CATCTGTCGAGCAACCAACACTGCAAACCACCAGCCCAATGCATCGCAGAGACAGATACGGGACAAAGTCCTTCGTCTCGCAGCAACCTCTGTCACGCAAGACGGCCAATGCAGGTGTCGTGTAATCCCGGGCGCCTTTGCCCAATCGAGACAGCTGTCAAGCGAGAAGGCCCAGTAAATGATGTTCACATCGTCTCCGCTGGAGGCAGTCACGCTCAGGTAGCCTACCGGGCCTTCTCAGCGCGCTTGCGCTCCGAGGAACGCTGCTCGTCGACACTCAAAACTATCTCGATTCTGCCCCATGGCGCGCATCATACGCGGCGCCGCTGTTCCAGTGTCCGAAGCTGCTAGGGTGACCTGCTAGCATGCACATCCTGGGAGATGACCTTTTTGGCCTTCCTGCCGGTTCTCGCGCACCAGTTTTGATTTACTCTCAATCTCGTTCAGTGATAGTGCAGTCGGACTCCGTTCTCGCCTTATCCGTACGTACCCCGCCATTCCGTCATGGGCAGTGACCGGTCTGTCAGCCCTGTGCGTATGAACATCAAAATCCATCGAAAATCATCACAATTACCAAGAATTCAAGATTCAACCTTCTGTGCGTGCTAAGTCATCGTCAGGCATGCATTCCGTATCGCTACCATCCCTCCGTTAACGCAGACACAGACACCAACTACGGCGGCACCCTCCGCACAACGCTGCGTTGTGCTAGGATCTCACCCGTTACTCTACCAGATTTTTGCAATTATATGTAAGCGTTCGGAGCGCCCGAGTCCCCACAGTCGGCTCTCTGTGACACGCGGGCTGCACACCTTAGTTTTTGACACACTCACAACTTTAGCGTCTGGCAAGCTCCAGCCTAGGCCTCGTGTATCCTGGTCCGGAAGCCTCAAGCCTCGACCCGACAACGCCCAACCACGTTGCTGGGTTTTGGTGCTGCACAGCACTGAGCAGGCGAAGGAGATCCTCAAGTCAATTCATCCTCATCAGTGGGCTGCGGCGGCCACGTTTTGAGCCTCTTCCACCAGTCCACGATGCTGCAGTTCCCAAGCTTCTACGGTGGCTGCACAACATGATCCTACCATGCACCCCTGCAGTCTCAAGCCGAACGACTCCAGGACCGCTGCTCGTGCTCTGTTTGCGACGATGGCACGAAACGTACAAGGAAGCCCGTTGTCGCGGTCAATCTGCGTTGATGGCACACTTTACCTGCACCATCACTAAGCTGCTGCCCTAGTCAACTGCCATTCCTTGTAACTTCAGTCTCGGCAGCTCCTTCTCCTGCATGATGCAGCTAACAGGAAATGTGCTTATCCTCACTGCATCAACTAATCACAAATTTGCTGAGGCCTCCTCGCCAAACCCTGCTATGGTTAGGATGAACACAACTTGCGTCCCTTAGCCGTTCATCGCTTATAACCGCTCTAGTTTCCAGGCGTCCAGAACATGATTTGAGGATGCGCAACCGCAACCCACTGATTGGATGTCACCTTCGAATTTCTCTCAGTAAGCGGCCAGATCGAATCTCAGCTATTCCTCAGCCGCGGAGAGCGCTTCTACAGCTTGATTTTTTCAACTTCGTTATGCGCGCCTGTTAGCGCAGCTTACTTTGGTACCGAAATCTTTCCTGCAGCAGATCAATACCACTAAAGAGTGGGTGGGGGCCTACATCTTGGAACCGGCCTTCGTCATCAACAACAGAGTTTCGATGTGCAGCTGTACCTGCGTCACAGTTTGACAGTTGAGCACCAATCTTTGTGGCGGACGCCAGCAGCACTCCACATTGGAGATCCCGTTAATCGTTGTCAGGCGTGTCGGTCATTACCTGAACCGGTAAACACCAGTTATCGTGCCGCTAGGCTTAACGCCATCAAAGCCATCCCGTCTGGATCGTCGGATCACGATGCACGCAGGGAGTTCCCAGTCTGCAACACATCGCTGTCGCGAGACTCGACCCCTGCTTTCGACTTCAACTGCATTGCGACATAAAGGAACCCCATCGTTAGGTCCCAGAAGATTTGATTTAGCTTCTATCCAGTCATGGGTCTTCACTGTGCGCGCTTCGGGCTCATCAAGCAAACGGAAGAACATTCGGCCTCGCGACTTCCTACCAACACTTGGTGTGCGTAGCTGGAGCATAACTCGTATACGTGTGCAGCACGCGCTATCTAACCGCTCATCTCAGCCGTATCGACCAATCTGATCCCGCCAGAGTGGTTCGATTGCACTACGCAGCTGCGGAACCTTTCCAATGAGACCACCAAATCACCCCGTACGGCTTCTTGTGAATCATCGATTACACCGGTTGGTGTACACCTTGTAAGGCTGGGCAATCATTGACACCGATCACTGGACTGAGGTACCGCACTCATCCCAGCTACCACATGACATACGGTGAAGCGGGAAAAGCAAAACATCGCAACACCATAATGCCGATGGGTTGATCGTCGTGGAAACTCCTCATATCCGTACGGCATATTCGCCGATTACATCACAGCGCATCATGTCATGGAAGCTCTGTGCGACACACACATCATTCTTGCATGACTCTCCTTCCGCGGCAATCTGCATCATACACTTGTTTTACTTTTTCGCTAAGAATCGCCTGTCTGCGTGAATTCAGTCGACGCTTGTTCGGCACATCGCCCTCGCTTTCGTGACTTTGCTTTAGATCGCAACGACGAGCAATGTCGGCGACACTTTAAACGATATTCTTAGTGTAGACTACGGTTAAGGTTGAATCATTCCATTTGCCTCAACCGGCAAGCCCTGACCTCCAACTCCTACAATCTGTTACCGACACAGCATCGTGTGTGGTTTCCGATCCAGATATTGTCAGCATACGATGTATAGAACTTGGCGTTCGAAGACCAACCTGCGCGCAGCTCTGGATTATTGGCACCAAATCTAGGGCTACATGCGCCGCTTGGCCTGGAGCTTGCTGTCCTTCCAGCTATCGGATAGGGTCCGTTGCAATTTCCTCTAGAATCCTGCTGGCAGTCATGCTAACCTTTTGAACATCTGGGCATTGAAGCTTGCGACCACATTTATACCAGACATGATCGTTGGAAATCCTAAAGTTCGTGTTTCCATGTGGCTTAACAAGCCTCTGTACTCCGGTAGACACCAACCAAGAGTTGACTGTCAAGTCTGCAGTCATAGGTCCTATCTATTGATGTGATGGTTCACTGACTATGAGTACGGCGGCGGCAGACCTGACAGCGATTGTAGTAGAGAGTCGACTCGAGGCACTGGACACTTTTACCCCTGACTCAGATGAGCTGAAGTCCACTTCACGGTCTCACGATATCACGTACTACCGCCTTGCGACGTGTTACTCCATGATCTCCTTGACTGTGGCAAGACATCACTTCGAAGCGCTCTTCGCCTCGAGGACTCCAGATGATTTCCCTATCATCACAGGTAACGTAATAAAGGCTACATAGCTGGCATCGAGGTGTTTGCCAGCAAACCCGTTACACCAGCTTTGTTCTTCCGAACATCGAGACCACCAGACTTAACAATGTCCGGGCTCTGCATGAACATCGAACAAATGCCGCAGATAGCGCCGTCTCACAAAGTACCTGCGAAAGGTAACCTATCCCTATAGACACTTGTCAAGCACCGTATTCGACAACCGAGCTTCCTTTCCTGGCCAGTACTATGTCACTGTGGCACCGCACCGAGACAACAACAATAACGCAGCATCGATGCGCCGTATCAAAGCGCGATTTGCCTTCGAAGCAAGACATCAGCTCAATAGTGTCTGCAGAGCCTCATTCCGTCAACACGAAGCCACTGACGAATGCCGGACATGTCGAGTCAGCTTGTAGCACGAGCGCAGTCCTCGAAAGGGTCACACAACGAAGTCACAGATCAGAACTTTGGTGTGGCACCGAGTACACGGATCTGACACCCACTGTGCCGATGCAGTAATTTGAAAGACACCGCAAAGGCTGCGCAAGCAGATACTGCTCGTGCAACTTGACTTGCTTCGATGTCTTTCTCAACATTGCGATCCGTTATGGTGGAGTTGGGCCGAGGTCTATTAAGAGTACTACAGATTGCAACCTTAATATTAAGATACCCTATCTATTCAGTGCAGAGAACATTATAGATCCTAGCACTGTTTCTAACAATTTACTAATAAGTATCACCTTGTATAGGTAAAGAAGATGTTATTTGTGTCACGGGTATTTCCCCTTACATGTACCGGCCAGCCCTCAGATGTACTCCGGAGCTGGGCTGGAGGCTCATGGGCCACCTATATGATAATTGTATAGGGTTTTTAGTGTTGCGCTCTTTCTGTTGACGCTCTCTTTTGGCCTTGCGTTTGGCAACTTCCTTAGCCTTCTCAGCCTTCAGCTGGTCACGCTCTTCCTTCTCCCTCAACTTCTGCTCATGCCTCTCCTGCACAATCTTCTCCTTGTACAGCTTATTGGTGTGCCTCAGTTCAGCTATCTCTGCTTTTTTGAGCTCCTCTGCCTGTTGAAGTTGTACTTTAAGCAAAGCTCGTAAGTACTATTCGATTGGTTCTCGAGGATGAGCTCTGGTTCTGGAACAGTAGGGGTAAGTCGCCTGGGTGAAACACCTAACGACGGCTTGGGGTGTAATGAGTAGTATAGAGTAGACTATCTGGCTCGAGTGCGGTGAGATTCCAATAACAAAGTTGATTGACGAGGTTGAACACGAACCATAAGGGTTGTGTTCCTACATGTTATATACTTGAATGATTGTACGGAGTCCTACAGTATCTTACTGTCTTATGAGACGTTGTCCCAAAGTCCCATGGGATATGTGAGACTGCGTGGGAATCCCATGGCTCGCTTGCTTCCGTCCCATAGGACGCTAGACTACTTGTATCGTCCTAGTGTACTCACGTGGCCGTGGGGTAGCTTGTACAACGGGTGCGGCTTCTCTGACGGCCGTTCTCCCTACGTTCAGTAACCGCTGTCCCCAGGCCCGATAACTCCTTCTCTTCTGTACGTGTTTGTAACAGTCTCTTGGATGCAGTCACTGCAGTATCTTTCCCCTGGTTTCCTGATAATCTTCATCTTGCCTTCAGGTCCAACAGACCAATGAGCCTTGTCAGAGAAGCGTACATCTCTCCAATCCTCCTTGTCAGGCTTGAGAGCAAGCATGGTTTCAGAGTGCTTCACTCTCTGCCTTACACAACGTTGAGACACCCAACCCTTGCAGCAAGCAATACACTTGTGATAGTCCAATGAACCCGTATGTGCACAAAGAGTCTCTCCAGCACAATCTAGGTCAAACTCTTCCACAAGTTCATCCCAAGTCTTGACACGAGCATCCCACCCTTCATCTTGTAAGAAGCGCTCAATCTCATGAAGCTTCTTCTGACTGATAACATGTGGCCAGCCACAAGTCTCCTGGTAAATACTATTGTTGAGAGTCCTGTCAGCTGCTAGATTGTCCAGTCCAAGTATCTCATAGCCACAGGAGCGGCATACACCGTTGAACTTGAAGAGATCAGTTTTGGAGTACTTGATCCCAGGTGCATCGTTGAAGTTGGCCGCACCACAAATGCGGGCCTTCCTTGGTGAATCTAGATTTGTAGTACCCTTTTTACAAGGCATATTTTCAATTGGTGCAATATAATATAGATGTTGAATGTGTGGTTGTGGAGCTGTACTGCTTTGAGGTGTTGATGTGGATGGATGCATTCGTGATCTGGTTTTGGTGGCCGTGCTTTTTTCCGGATCGCGTGCCAGTCCTAGAAGCTACGATAACGGTGAAGCGCATGCTGTTGCAGCAACAGTATCAGGTGCATCTTCCATATCGAACCCCACGGAGGTATTTCTAGTTGTTTTGACCATCCAATATAATATCTACTCCAACAATTTTGTACCTCTCGAATCCAGCTTTCCTTCTAAGCACAAGGTCACAATCTCGTTATCCTCAATTCATCTGGCAACGGACCAGACCTAGTCACTGGGAGCGAGAGATCGACGAAGCGGAGCGCTTCTACACATGTCTCACTAAGTCGTACGAGGACAGTGGCCGCATGTACTTCGCCATCACAGTCTTCGTTTCAATTTCGATCGACCTCACAAATTGTTCATCCGTGCACGATATTGAAGAAGCACATCGCAAACCATGGCTGAAACTCCGTTACGGTTTCCAATAATAGACTCTTGTGTCGACTACAATAGCGAACGAAACAGATATTACAAGTCATTCACGGCGTTTGACCCCAACCATCTCGACTTTCATACCGATTCATGGCTCGACGGGACTTTTGTGCCCATCACACCCAATATGACAAGGTTGGACTGGTGCAATTCGGACGCGCTTGCCCCAAAGACTCCGACCTTATTTGTCGTTACCCCTCCGTATACCAACGAGAGTAAGAAAGCCGTTGTGCATCAAGATCTTGTTCTTCGTTCACCGCATGATATTAGTAAGTCTGTTGAGGCACATAACGGTGATCACTTTTCACTGAAAAATGATGGCATTGGCACAGTTCAGCCACTGAACAAGTTACTCGAGTACGCCGCTCAGTACCATGCGCACCCTTCAGCCTTTGAGCTACCAGTTCCTGGGAGTGAAAGCCAAAATCTCAGCCCGCTACTTCGAGCCGCGGCTTCTATCCCTCCCATCTTTACACTCGATCAGCAGAAGCGCCTATAAGATATTATCCCACGTAATGCAGAACCTCTCCAGGATGCTGAGCCCCTTACTGTCCTCTTCACGCGAGGCCAGGTGGTTCCCGGAAAGCATCAACGCACCGCTCTTGCCCTCTCAACCACCGACACCACTCGAGTACTGCAAGCAACCAAAGGGCTTGGTGCAATAGTCACGCATGTATAAGTATGGTTCTCACCCTTCGAGATCTGCAACGATCACGTTGTCAGGAAAGAACTGCACGATACATCAACTACTGCCTGATTAATGAGCGTCCTAGTTGTGTAGCTCCGTTCAGTACCACCGATCACGCAGCAGGTGTCTACCACTCCGTCTCTGGCAACAGTCTCGCTCTCAATCTCGCAATACCATCCACCAAAGCTCGAAAGGAGTTACGCGCACTCGTTCACCGAGCCAGAGACTGCTATACTGCTATTCACAACTCCCCTGAGAACCTCGCAGTTGCACCGTCATGCTAGTCCATGGGCATCCCGCATGTCCCCAACCCGGGTTCCAACCCATCGCTCGATACACCCATACCTGCGCCCAATCCCTCACCTTCCGGCTCGATCTCTTCTATGGGCAAGCTCAATTCAGCATCGGTGCCTTGCAAAATGTATGAACCCCCCTGGGTTTTGGCTCAATATCATCAAGCATACGTCACAGGTGGGCGAGAGCTTCCGAGTGGCTAGCTAAGGCTGGTTGATCGGATGGGTGACAGTCTGGGTGACAGGACGCAGGGCAGAACGTGGGATACTTTAGGGCACAAAGACATTTAACTACCCACGTATGTGCCCTGCATGCTATACTGTGGTACGTACAGTCACTGTGCGAAAATTCATGAGGGTCCGTACATTTCGCAAACGATTGTAATTAAGCCGCAACGTGGTGCATTAAGTGCGAAGGACCCTTGGGTCATGGGAGAAGAGCTGGGTACTGGGATTGGAGTGTTCTTGGGTACGTGGCAAGGAAGATTGCAGTTGAGTGCTGTGTACAACGAAGCGTTGGATGATAGAGAAGAGATCAGAGGATTCTTGGAGGGGTGCTGTGGGATTGTGTAAAAAGGGCTTGAGTTGGGAGACGGGCCTGACAGAGAGCCTGGAGTCGAGTGGGTGCATTGATGGCTCTCCACTTGATTGAAATCTACAAGGAGACGTGAACTAGATCCTGCATGTAATACATGTGATCTCAAGACTAGATTGCTACATATTGCAGTGAGCTTTCACACACATAGACGTCTCATACTCGTAGTTTCCCTCGAAATGATTGCCTTCGCAGCCTTCCTTCCTTCCTCTCCAACTTCAATTCCAACTCACAGTAGTACCATATCTTCGGATCCGCGGCCGCTCTCGCTCCTGCCTCCGTCATCCTCTTCCGCCAATGCAAACCCCTGCGCTGTCCTCCCCACCTCGTACACCTCGCATCCAACCACTCGGTACCTCATCCAAGCCAAAACTTCAACCTTTGACACCAATCGGAGCACTCGGCTCCCTGGCTCCACAAAGTGGCTTACTGGAATCACCATGACACAAGGGATCTCTTGTGCAGCCAGGGGCGCGAATCGGTGGAACTCAGCGCTGAATCCGGTGGGATATACATCTACTGATGGTGTGTAGTACGGTTGTCAGCGTTCAGTGAGGGGAAAGGTGGTGCAATGGTGTACGAGATTTAGGGGATTGTGGGACGAGATTGAGGGCGCGTAGGGTGGGTAAGAGTCGGTGCACGATCGTGGAGGGAGCTGTGAGGTGGTTGGATATGCGGAGGATATAATTGGTGGAGTGAAGAGAGTCAAGTAATCAGGGTAGCAGATTTGGTAATGATAATTGGAAGGTTGGTACGCGTCATTCCAACGGATCATGAGCTGCTATGATGGACTTATTTGATCACCACTAGGTGCACTATGAAGTCAGCTTTCAAACTCAGTGCTCACAGTGCGAAGAGTTGGAGATCTAGCAGTAGTGTGATCGAAAAGTAGTGCCAGCCTTACATCCGGATACTTAGTACTCAGTACCTGCATAGTCGCGGAGACATACAATATGTCTCCGACAGTCCGTGAAATCAGTTCCGACTACTTCTCGTCAGAACCTAACATGTCGATCGTGAGGTACACCGACATCTCCATGCATTCTCGTTTTCGTGAGAACGCTGATATAGGTTGCGCGCAGTAACTTCGCTTTTGTACTCACCAAGACGTACCCCACCTTTCACCCACCAGCACGCAGCATCATGAGCGAGAACTGCGATAGCAAGAAGACAGGTCCACCACCATTGCCTGCCTTCGACCCCACAAACACTCACACCTATCCGGCTAGCTGCCACTGCGGTACAGTGTCCTACACCGTCTCCCTTTCGCCGCCGCTTCCAGAGTGGAAAGTCGTGTCCTGTAATTGCTCCATCTGCCAGCGCAACGGGTACTACCTTGTGTATCCGTCGCGCGAGCAGCTACACATAAGCAGCGGTGAAGAAACATTGAAGAGCTATTCGTTTGGGCCGAACAGGAATTTGCATATGTTCTGTGGGAGGTGTGGGAGCAGTGTGTTCTTTGATCCAAGGATGAAGGAGTTTGGTGAGGGTAGAGGACTGGATTTGTTGGGCATCAACGTAAGTCTGCATCTTGTGTTCATTTAGTCCCTATCAGAGTTGAAGTTTGAGCTGATGATGAGCAGGTCCGTATGTTCCATGATGTGAATCTTGAGGAGTTGAATGCTGTCCGTGTTGATAATCGTTCAAAGGATGATAAGAAGTCAAGATAGTCTCGTAGCTGTTGATCAGTAGCAGGCTGATCTGTTGTTGAATATAAAGTTTAAGATCAGGAATCAGAAGTTGATGGGAAGGGTAGTGACGTTTGTAAATCTAGGTGCAGAATACCGCCAAGCCACTGGTTTTGTGCCTCGGTGAAACTCAGAGCTCACATTAAACATTCTCACCAACACATCTTTAATGCAACGCAATTGTACATAATGTTTCGCGCGCGCCACTTCCTCCATCGTACGCCATTTAATGTAACCACGCGATCCTGTCGGCATACCCGCGCCCCTCTTGCACCCCTCGAACTCCCACTGCAATCGAAGTTTCGGTGGTCGTACCTCTGGTATGGTACCATCCTCGCCCTAGGGATATCCACAGGCCTCGGCGCCCGGCATTTTGCAGCACCGCTCGGCTTACCTGAACCTGGGTCGCGCGATGATGCTCTGATAATAGAGTCGCTGAACGCCGATATCGATAAGCTGGACATTGTGAGGGAGTTGAGGAAACAGAGCTATAGCGTGCATTCAGATGTGCCTCTGTCGGGCGCGGCAGACGTAGAAGCACCGAAGGCATGGCTGGAGATAGATCTGGGCAAGAGTGAGGTGGAGAAGGGCGGTCTACTGGGTACCATGAGTGGGACAAGAGGACTGGGTGTGCAGAGGGCGTTCTGGAATGCTGAGACGAGAGAAATGGTCGCCGTGGTGTGGATAGGTGGAGGATTATCAGGGTGGCCTGGTGTTGCGCATGGAGGTGCGATTGCGACCGTTTTTGAGGAAGCCATGGCGAGGATGGTTAGGGGACCCAATGGGAACATTGGTAGGTGGTCAGGCTGCAGATATCTGCTGTGCGCAGTGCTGATTCGGATGACAGAGCAAGTCCACCGCCCGACCTCGCTGAAAGTAACATACGCAAAACCCACGTACAGCCTCGACTTCTATATCCTGCGCGCCTCATTTGCCAAACCGAACCTACCCCAGACCGAGCCTGTACCAGAACCTGAGACCGAGCCCACAAAGTCATGGCTATCTTGGCTGTCACCGCAAAAGGACATGACGAAGAAGTCGGAGCCTGGACAACTAATTGAGATAATCGGGACGCTCGAGAGCGTGAAGGGTGACCTATGCGTCAGGGCCAAGGGCACATTTGCTGCTCCCGCGCTTGTGGGCTGAGAAAAGAGCTGTCGATACAATAGGTTTGAAGCAGATATGAAGCGCTAGGTGTAGTTGCGCTATTTCGACATTGCAGACATGAGCGTAATGCTGGCAGCACCCCTGCGGAGTCTCGTCTACAGCGACCTTGTTGTAATAGTACACGGTAGACGTTGAGCCAAGAAATATCGTGATTTTTCACGAACGAGTTCAAAGCCAACCACAAGCACCGGGTCCTAATAGCCATTATGTATCCTGGAATTCTCAATGGGCATAAGGGCAGTCATTGGCACTCAAGAGAATTAACGAAGTTCAAAAGGTCATAATGATCATGCAAGGGTTTTCGAATCTTCGTTTAGGCAGCTGACATCCTTCGTAGCTTGCGTCATCGGCCAGTGCGCGACATAGATGGTGCATGCTGTTTACAGTATGTTGTGCATCTTTTGTCGAAGTCGTGATTGTGTATGCGCTAGACGTTGGCAGGTGGAGGCCGCGCCGGCAGGCGTTCTGCGACCCATTATTTCTCATGAACGGTGCGCTGCAAGCTCCCATCGCAACCAGATCAAGCTTGCAGTAGCGACACCAAGGTCTGGGCCAGTATCAGCACTAAACTTTGAAACATTCATCACAACGAAATTGATTGATTGGTTTAACCCCTATGTGAGTTTGAGACTATGGAGGACGAGAGGAGCAGTAGCTCCTTTAGTATGAAGGAGGGGTCTCTACAGGTACAAGGGATGGTGAGGGTTTATGCCCTAAGCATAGCGAACTTGACACTAGACGGCATTTCCATCAATCACCCGTCAAACAATGAGAAATTTCCGGCAGATTCTGCATCATAACAAGCACGGTGAGATTACACGAGAATGCTGCCCTGTTTTGCACGCCAACCCTGTTTCTGCACCCATGTCTGGTGGCGTCACCCAATGGGTTGAACCGAATTTTTGAAGCCACAACTACGTCAGTGAAGATATCCGTTTTGGGACCCTCGTGATGCGGCATGCCAGAAACGAACACAGAGTTTGCTTCGTGCGGGTCATGCAAAAGCTCGATTGCGGAGAACACGCTGGCCAGCACACGGTACAGGTGGTGTGGGTACACTGTTGGTTGGTAGGATAACGCTCACGACGCGCAACGGCTGGCTATCATTACATCTTTTGTAAACCTCGGTAGATGATCCTTTCGGCAGACTTTCTGAGGGGCTGGCGATGTTGCAACACAGACTGCCTTTTGAGGTGTTCCAGCCACAGCTCATGCAGATCGATGCTGCATTAGGCGATCTCACGTTGCTTATGACGGCATACAAGAAAATAAGCATGTGGCTTGTGACTATTTGAACGCGGGAGAAACATGGCCCAGCCCTGCTTGCTGCACTGTAAAGAGATATTCTCCGCCCATCGCTGCCGTTTCGGGAGGGCTAGTAACGTCAGTTCAAAGAGCAGGTTTCTCTGGCAAACATGGCCGTGTGCTGTTTGCAGTCACGCTGCAGCTTGAGATTGTGGGAAATTGGCATGTACGGCGCGTGTAGTGATGGTGAGGTGAGCAAGGGCGTGTGACGTCAATACGAAAAGGAAGGCCCGGCCTGACTTGTTATAAGTGAGGGAGCCGCGTTTGTTTGTGCTTTCATTCCACAGTAAAACCTAAACCACTACCTACAACACCACTCTCCCCGCACACGAACTTTTTCCCACCACACTTATCGAACAAACATCACACAACTGCAAACATGGGTGCCGTAGTTTCTTGCGTATGTTCACACCAGCCACCTTTGTCCACGTGCATTCACTAACAGCCACCAGATCAAGTCCATCTTCCGCACGATTGGCAACTGCATCATGGCTATTGTTAACGCCATCGCCGCCGGATTGAAGGCCATCATCAACGCCATCGTCTCACTGTTCGACATCATCATCTCTTGCCTGACCTGCGGACGCGGCGGCGGTCGACGACGCGGCATGAAGACTCGTACCACACACACGAGTAGAGTCTAAGAGCCTCCCGTCTTGACCCCTCTACTGACACGCCGTGTCAGCAAGGAAGGTGAGGCGGGAGTTGGGCGTCTGAGGGAGCGAAACATTCAGCAAAGCGACCAAACCGACACCACGACTACGACTGGAGAAGAGCTGTAATGAACGGCGAGCATGCTGGAGTTCTCTTTTGTACGATACGGAAGTGCGCCGTGGATACCCGATGAGGAGTGGATGCATTCTTGATCACGAGTGGCGCATAGATACCCCAGCTTTTTCGATGAATCAACTTTAATACTTAACGTACCTCTTTGCTTGACTTGTTGTCCGTCCCTCTTTCCACCCTAACAGTCGTTGTTACTTTTGATATACGTTGTAAGTGACTCTTTTAGCACCCTGTTTACTTGCCGGTTGACGATGGATAGGTCATATCCGCTATACTTCGGCTCGAAGTAGTCGCGAGGGAGAGCGCACCATGAGACGGAGGATAAAGAATCATAACAGATAGTCATCTGCGGCCACAATAATGGTTGCATTTGATTCATGATAGATGCGCTAGCATTTATTTATGTTTGGGTCTCGGGCGTGTAGGCCTTAGGGTCTACTTGGGAGGAAAACACCACCTCTGATTAGTTGAAATTCTGGGCTCTGATTGGCCGCTTAGATTTACTGCACGTGACCTAAAAACACCAGCACTTCAGCACGGTTAATTGGCTGTTCAATATCTTCGCACGTAACTTAGGCGTATCAGATAGGCGCGATAAGGCTTAACGCCAAAACTCCGGCGCGTTAACGATAGAGAGTATGGCTCTGATGCTGACTTCCCACTTACACCGGCTGAGACTGGCACAAACACCAGGCCTCCCCATCATTCTTTCTGACCCAGTTTGGTCTGAGATTATTGTACCGAGCGGTTTTTTCACCAGCGACAGCGGCTATGGTGCTGACGGTGGAGGTAATGGCGGCTGAGAATAGTAAAGCAACCTTTGTAGATACAAAACTATAAGCGGTTTCCCGCTTCGTCAAGGCTTGCCTCGACTGGGTTCAACTTATGCGCAATATAAATACTTTACATAAAGTTTGACTGTAAACAATTATAGATCGCTTGCGCATCGTTCGCAATTTAGAGTCGTTTACAAACTAACATACTTTTATATACTGTTGCAGAAGAGAACAATGCATTGACTTGTACGCCACCCCCAAATTTTATGGTGCGAGCGAATATCAGATGACCAGTTCGCTATTACACTGGGAATATTCACTGAGGAATGGGTCACTTGACTGGCAGCAGTTCGAGCAGGACAAGAACGCGGGGATCGAGGCGCTCCAGAAGAAGCTCAACGATACTAGGGTAGAGCTCGACACCGTACAGGAGCAATTGGGAGCCACCAAAGCTAAGCTCAGAGACTACAAGCGTGAGAAGAACATCTCGTCACTTCGTATCGAGTGACTCGAGCGAGACCTCAAGAACTCCCAACAGCGACTCAGGCAAGGAGTCTTGCAGGACCAGAGTACTCTTTCAAGCCAGAAGGAGGTGCCACAGATGACCGTATGTACTTCCGCTGTGCAGGATCTCCAGGTTGACCATCAGCAGACGACCCATCAGACAGCCAGAATGCAGCGGCAACGCATGATTCTGCGCAGCAGCCCGCCCATCCCGCACCCTGCTTGAGGTCTAGAGACGATCTATGCGGAGACGAAAATTTCATGCGCGACCTTACGACTGGCACTTTCACCAACAAAATCAATGGCTATATTTTTGCCCACGGACACACCACATGTCCAGGTTTCAACTGGACCAATGAGAACACATCTCCAGCTGAGTCCTTCCCCGCTTCAAACGGCAAGGGAGCATAGAAATGCAAAGGTACTCACGCTTCAGAAGACTACTGGATGGCGAGTAAACGCGAACCATGCCCAGGTTGTAGCCATAAACTTACTTAGGATGGTTATAGGAACCCCGTGACAGCACCTTGGGATCTGCCGGAAAATGGACGGGGCACTGGGTGGATTCGTTTCCGGAAATCAACAGATTTCATCCCGAAGTTCGACTGGAAATTTCAGAAAGAGTTCAAGACAAAGGAACAGCCTGGTGTCTATCACAATGGCCTCGCCAGTCGCATGAGTTGTATCCTGAGGACAGCTTTCCCATACCTGAGCGAGCAATGTTGGAAGGGGTTATCTTCGTACCAGAAGGAGGTACTATGACATGGCTTGTACCTGCCACCTAGTTTTACTAGTACATGTAGCGGCGTGGACCGCTGTAGAATACTGATAGCTACGGTAAACGATAACGTAGCACTATCAGGTCGATGGAATACTGTGCTGTATTGCTATCTAGCTAGGAGGAGACGACTATATACCTGACCTGTAACACACTAGTCCAGGGTAGTGGTCAGGGGTATAGTCAGACACTGGACGGACCAACCGATACCGCAACAGTGCATATACTTTCCAAACATTGGAGATCCTCCAACTCCCAATCAATACACTTTTACCTCAACAAGCAAGACCTACGCTCATACTGGTCTCGACCTATGAAGTTCGACGATCTAGTGGGACTTCAAGCAATCATGACGATCATGCGAAAGTAACACCATGACGGTACTTGGCCATTCACACGCTTGTCGGCAGGAGCGCAGAGCGACAGTGTGGCTTTTTCTGTCCGCCTGCACACTACTACAAGCAGCAGTAGCGCCCCTGTTCCGGTCGATCCTACTCCAGCAGCTAGAAAGCGGAGCAACGACAACAGGGACGACAACACTGAGTTCGGGTCTGAGGACAACGTCGAGCACGCTCAAACGTCTCGTACGACTAGGCTGGCGGATTGAGAGCGCAAGAGGATGAAGCGGGGTAGGGAGTAAGAGATTGAACTGAGGCAGATAGGATAGAGACAATGGCGTATGGGGTAACGATCAAAACTCTACAGTATTACACAATTCCGAGTAGGGCAAATGACCCTCACTTCCGTTCGCAGTCTCTGTGTCGCATATACGAGTTGTCTTCTGAATTCCTTCGTCTGAACTTGACACGCTCTGCTGCTTTAAACCTATCCCGCGGTGCGCGCAACAATATATGCATATCCAGTCGAAACATAGCTATTGTTTGAGACCCGAGGTGCTTTATTGTTTGACCTTGGACGCGTCACGTTGGCGCTTTCCCGCCCCCGTCCAAACTTCGCGACGCGACGATGCTTCTCTCAAGGAAACCACCAAACCTACCCTCAGCTGCCTAAGCGCATCCAGTCGCCTCTCTCGAATGATCAAGCTCTCAATCGCTTTCCACGTTTCAAGCACCCTAAAAGTGAGATGTTGTGACGTCATGTACACACGAGACCCTCAGTCTGTAAAATGTGTCTGTACGCAGACGACTCGCCAACATTGACCTGCCTTTTCTTCTCATCAATTTTCGGTGCAGAAGAGCTCACGACCCCCAACGACCAATTATCGGCTCTATCAGAATGCGATCATCTTCTTGCGCATGCTCGGCTTACCTTCGCTGATTCGCTCACAACCACCGAGGCGCTAACTCGCAACGACTATCTCAACGTCTCGGCTCTTCAATCGAGGCATTGCGCCGCAACAGAATCCTGCAGCAATCTATTCTACGAGTACGATGTCAAAAAGCGTGCGATTACCTTCCTCTGCAATTCGTCGATCTCAGTATAACCCCAGTAGAGCCCGCAGCGGATGTCGGCATTAAAAGTACTTATTCGGCACTGTCGCGATGCGTGAAAGCGTGTACCATCACAAACGGCCATATAAGGCCGCCCAGGAAGTACCATGTGAGGGAGCTCCAGACATCGCAGTCCAGAATCCAACATGCCATCGACGTTGTACACTCTTGTCTCGCTGCTCCCAGTTCTCCAACTTGCCAACGCTCAGACAACAGGGTCCTTCAACACCCTTACGTTCAATGTTGCTGGCCTACCAGCTATCCTCAATGGTAACGATGTGCCTGGAGACAAGACAAACAACACGGCACGCATCGGTCAGCTCTTCACGCAGTACGACATAAACCTTATTCATGTTCAAGAAGACTTCAACTATCACGCCACACTTTATGCCAATGACAAGCACCCATACAGAACTGCGACAAGTGGAGGTGTTCCTCTCGGCAGTGGACTGAACTCATTGAGCAACTTCCCGTTCACTGACTTCGAGAGAGTGAAGTGGGATCAATGTAGTACTTTTGAGTAAGTCGACTATCATTCAACACGTCGTCTGAAGCATACTGGCAGGTTCAACATGATGTCAACTTCCGTACAGACTGGTCTGACCACCTTTGTAGCAGCGCGGATTGTCTCACACCGAAGGGGTTCACCTTCATGAGGGTCAAATTCGCCGAGGGTGTCTGGATTGATGCATACAACCTGCACGCTGATGCCGGGTAAGAGTTCATGCACATCCTTGATGTTGCAAGCAATTACTAAAAGTTATAACAGCACAACAGCGGCAGATTTGACAGCCAGAGCGTCCAATCTGCGCCAGGTCTCTGATCACATCATGATAAACTCGGTAGGAAACCCTGTTGTTGTCTTTGGTGACTCGAACACACGCTACACACGCGCTGGAGACACCCCTACTATCTTCAGTACCGAGAACGGCATGGAGGACGTTTGGATCGAACTCGTCAGGAAGGGTGTCGCCCCTACAGCAGGCAGCGATGCCCTGCTGTGCGACAATCCTTCGCCAAACACTACATGCGAGACAGTCGACAAAGTCTGGTACCGTGGTTCCTCTGCTCTCACTCTTCAGGCTACCACATTCGACTACGCAGGCGACATGTTCTTGCAGGAAGACGGTAACATCCTTAGTGATCACAACCCCGTGCTTGTTGACTTCACCTGGACGCTCCAGGGGCAGCTGCAAATTGGCGACGCTTATGGAGGCGAGTACGGAACCTGGTTCAACGATTTGGATACGCTGTCAAAAACCAGCAACGCCAAGGTCGCGACAGTTACGCTCCGTGGACAGAATCGGCTCGACAGCGTTGCGTTGAGCTTGACTTCTGGAGAGACACTAACTCACGGTGGCACCGGCGGCACAGCCTCTACTCTTACTTTGAGCTCTGGGGAGACGCTGACTGCTGCGACTCTGTGTCAGGGAGTGAAGGACGATAAGGAAAGAATCTTTTACGCTGAGTTGCGAACAAGTGCAGACAGGAGTGTAAGTGCGGGTGTCAAGACGAGCACTTGCGTTGAGAAGACTGCTGCAAGTGGGTACAGCTTCGTTGGATTCTTGGGTCGATCTGGAGACGAGATTGACAAATTGGGTTTTGTCAGCATCAAGGCCTGAATGCTGCCGATGCTCCTCTACGTAGCATGCCATACACAAATTGTTTTTATGACTCCTCACATCTAGGACATCAGACCCTTTCTTCACATTCTCACACAAGAAGCACCATAACCAGGGCACACCACCCGCGCACGCCATGGCCCCTAGCGGGTACAGCGGCCTCTTCAAGTAAAAAAGTTCGAGTGTGGGAGTTCGGATGGTCTTGAAGCCGCAGTCTACACGAATACTTAACGCTCCAAGATCTGGATTGGTGCAACATTGCCAGGCCGGTCGAGTCCAAATTTCGAGATGTGCCGCAGGCGATTACATTTTCGGCATGCATACAAAGACTTCTTCTGTGCGTATGTTGAGCGCTCGAGACAGAGTACTGCAGTGTGGCTGATGGCCGCCGGTCGTGGGATGTTATGATGACAGTGAGGAGAGGCTAATCGAAGCGGTTGTACTGACGCATCCTCGGATCCATCGAGAGCCTCACAGATGATGAGGTGGAGTTCCAAAGGCAGGCGAAGAAGCGGTGGCGTATCTTTGGGGTCAAAGCTTGGCGGGACTGAGGCTGTATTGAGCCACGATGTAGGCTTGTGAGGCATCTTGGCTGGATTTACGAAGGCTGCGCCGACCCAAGGTGAGCGTTTTCGATTTCTGAGCTTCTTCTTCATGTGTGAACCTGATGATGGTTGTTTGAGGAAGAGTGAGTGGACTGATTTTGTTTTACTTGATTCTCTGGTCGCGAGGTGAGTCAAGCACATGATATCTCATATGCTACATGACGGAAATGTTACCATCAAAGATTCAATGAACCATACTCATTTCATTTAGATGCATCGTCTTACAAGTACACATAGGCGTCCCTTCATGTTTGTCCCAGGTCACCGTGAGGAAGCTGCTCGACACCAGAAACTTCGTAGTGAGCGACCACGTGGCCCCTTGTGACTTCCAAGATGAGCTGCCTCACTGGCTCGATGATATTTCTAGCCAAGAAGGCTCGAACATTGGCGAGCGTCTGCAGGATGCAGAAGTACTACCGTTACAAGAACCTACGTACGATATATTTCCACAGCCATATAGTTGCCCTCATCCTTATTGGTATTGCTACGTCCAAGGATCAATAGCCAGACCCTGCGATAGACGGTACAAACCATCAGCCCCCCCTCCCCCTCTCGTCCTCAGACTGGGAATCGCTTCACCTGTACTAAAACTCCCTACAGCACTACATCTTCGCATTGCCATACAAAATGGAAGACAATATCGAAGGATCGAGCCAAGTGCTTCGAGCAACGACTCGGTATTTCCGCACAACCAGACCTCAGCTACCTCCGAGAAGAAATCTCAGCAAAGGTACATGACGCCTACCTACCGAGCTTCTCCTCGAGATCGTTGAGCATCTGAGTATCGCACACCATACTCGGGGCGCACAGATCTCCTTCGACACATTCACGCGCCTTTCGAGTGCAGTTCTCGACGGTCTCAGCCACCGGGCGACCAGTGTGGCAATATCAGGAAAGGGTACCGACCGGGTAGCTTGGCTTATGTGGATGGGTTGAGGTGGACGATGTGCTACTACTGCGAAGACGAGAGGGGAGGTGACCTGATGAGGAAGTGCCACGGTGGGTGTAATGCGTATCGAGAGTGTTTTGAGTAGGAAGGATGTCCATATGAGATGAGGAAGACTGATTGAAATTATAAGTATATTAAGTATACTTTTGGGGCACAAATATCACAGAGGAAGGTGATACAGTGGTCTCGCAATGGGTTACGGTTGGTTTAGACTAATTTCGTTTCAAGACATAGGAAGTATAACAATGCACTGTAAAGTGAAGAGAGGAGCAGGATGAGAGAAGAGCTTTGTGGGATCAGAATGGATATCTATTTGCAACTCGCTATGGGTATAACAACTCTATGTCATCAAAAACGTAAAAACGTAAAAACGTAATAGACCAGCACTCGCTACTCTTCGTCTGATCAACTCCCCCTTTCTAGTAATCCGACTCCAGGCGGTTGTTTTCGATGAACACCTTCTTGAAGCGTCCATGGAGCAAGTCGTTGGTGACACCCACAGCACTCTTCGCGTTCTCCTTAACAAGCTGGCTGGTCGGCTTCATAAACAACTGATCAATCTCCTCAAGGGTCTTGTTCTTCGTCTCATACATGAAGAAGATCTGGTAGAACCAGCCGAGCACCGCAATACCACCGTAGAAACCAAGGGTCAAACCAGTGGGGGTGAACGCCTTCTGCATGCCGGTGAAGTTGTATGTGACGATGAAAGAGGACAGGAACAGCCATCCAGTAGAGGTAGTCATCCCGTAGGAGCGGAGGTAGGTGGGGTAGACCTCAGAAGGAATGACCCAGGTGAGGGCAGCGTAGGAACCGAAGAAGAGTTCGTAGAGGATTAGACCGGTGAGGTACATGGCGAGCCTGCCGGTGACGTTGCCCTCACCGAGATGGTCAGAGGCACCGACGAGGACGAGACCGACAAAGAAACCGGGCAACATGGCAATGGCCCAGAAGCGACGACCGCAGGTCTCCATAAGGAAGATGGCGGGGATGGTACCGAGAAGGAGGGCGCCACCACCGACGAGAGACATGTAGGTGGCGTCGTAGTCGTTGAAGCCAACCTGGGCCATGAGGATCGACATATAGTACATGATGGCGTTGATACCGGTGAACTGTCCGAGGAAGATCATGATGTTGGCGTAAATAATAGCACGGCGAGCGCGAGGCTTAGTGAAGAAGTCCATCCAAGGGAAGCGGTTGGTACGACCAGCAGCAACCTCAGCCTCCTCCTCTTCAGTGCTGACCTTCATGACAAAGAATTCCTGACGGGCCTCGAGAGTCTCGACACCACGAATGCGGCGCCAGACTTTGAAAGCCTCGAGCGTCTTGCCCTTGTGCATGAGGTAACGGGGAGACTCAGGCATGAAGAGGATACCAACGCCCATGATAGTGGAGAAGACGAGCGAGGAACCGAGAATGTAGCGCCAGTTGCCGGGAACACTAACGAACATGGCAGCGACAGCGTATCCGAGGACTTCACCGAGGGCGATATTGAACTGGTATAGCGAGACCAAGTTACCACGAAGGCGACTCTCGACTGTCTCAGCGACGTAGACGGGGACTGTTCCACCCTCGAGACCGACACCGGCACCGAGGATGACACGAGCGGCGACAATCATGCCATAGTTCACGGAACCTGCCTCAAGCGCACCACCGATGGTGTAGAGGATACAAGAGATGATGATAGCCCAGCGGCGACCGAAGTACTCGTTGCAGGGTGAGATGAGGAGAGCACCAGCGACAGCTGTTGAGCGTTAGCTAGCTTCCAGAATTGCCGGTTAGGAGCTACCTACCACCTAGCGGCATGCCAGAGTTGACGAGGGAGTTTTGCTGGTCAGTGAGGTGGAGGTCCTTGGGTAGGAACAGGTTGGCACCAGAAATAAGCGACTGATCGAGTCCAGAGAGAAGACCACCCATCGACGCGAAAGCGACGAGAAGCCATGTGAAGTACTTGGGGTTCTTGAACTCGATGTCGAATATGCCCCTCTTGTAGCCAGACTGCTCAAGCTCCTTCTCCAAGTCGTGGATCAGGTTGTCCGACTCCCAGCCACGAGCATTCTCGAGCTGCTCAGTCTTCGCCTTGGGTGCGTTGTAGTCTGGGGGAGGAGCGGTAGTGATCTCTCCGGCCTTGCCAGGAGCAGGCACTGCCACTTCCTCGAACATCTTGGGATCTTTCTCGTCCATGGACATGGTGGGCAATGATCAGCTAAGATCAGCAGGAGAGAGAGGAGAGCGAAGGGCAAGAAAAGTGCTATCTTTCGCTCTGCTCTGGGGCGTGTCTCCGCCTTTTAAATCCCCGGCGGAGACGCCCAGCCCATGGAGAAGATCCCCATGGCACCCTCTCCAATATCGTGTGACGTACGCGTGGAGTCTCCATGGCACATGCAACAAAATTCTGCCATGCCCCGGCTCAGGAACCTGGTGATGGTGCATGACCGGACGTTAGGGATTCATCGCGAATTGCACGGGAATAGCATAGCGTGGTGGAGCACATAAGCACCGGCCCGGTCTCTAGGTGGAGCTTGAGTGCAGCTTGATCTCGAAAAGCTTCTAGCGGACCCACACGAGGCTCTGCGCTGATCTTGATTCTCGTTCCGAAATTCTCGCCGATTGAATACCGGAGAGAAGATGGAGACAGCCTACCTCCCCAGGTTTGCGGAGGCATGTTGGGGTTTGCAAGTGTCAAGGGCATTGGAGGTGCAGTCGCAGTCGCGATAAGCTCCCTGTGACCAGACGGTAGTGGCGCACGTCTACAGTAGTTCACCGTTTGAAGCCAGAATTGAGGCTCTGCAAAAAGCTTTTTAACTGCCGATGAGCATCCGAACTGCATGTCTAGGCGTAACGCTATGACGATGAGTACGGCTTTTGATTCAAAAGCCGGTCCAAGTTGATGTCGTTGGTTGAAAAATCCTTACAACATCGGAGGCAGCTGTCAAGGTTAGGATCGGATGTTCGGACTTCATACTGCTTTGGGTATACTGTAGTCAGGAACGACCTTAGCAAAGTAGACCATCCGCTACGTTGTTTCCGAATACATATCGTGTGCTCGCCCCAGAACAGACTGTGCCGTAACTCCACATCCAGAGCATGAGATCCATTTTGTTGTGCCTTGAAACCGGAGGAAACCGGCGAGCAACAACTTCCCCAGAGCTGAGTTCGTCTGGGGACAAAAGAGGAGACTGCCGGCACAATTGCGCGTGAGTTGTGACAACACTGATAGATCGGGACACTCGATATGGCAGTGATCGTGCTGAGAGCATCGTGTAAACCTCTGGCTTGGCTCGTGACGTCGGAGGAGGTATCAAATGATCATGCGACAGCCTCATGCAGACCGCCTTCGGGCCCCTGCCAGTACCTCACTATCGTGTAATAGTCATCTGCAGTGTGGAGAACCTTGAGGCTCTGCGGTCCGGCTAGCTGCCTAACGTCGTCTAGGCACACGAAGGATCTCGTGGCTTCGATGCAAGGTGAGTCGAATGCTTCGAACAGCGAGAAAATGCGAGAACCTTAATAGACCATACGATGAGGTAACAGCTCAAATGGAGGAGTGTTCAGGGTGCAGCGAGCATCCAGTCTCCGCAGATTCGCAGTTTCGTTGGTGGTGTTTCTGTTGTTGACGACTGTGATTCCGGGCAAGACAGATCTGGCAATCGCCCCCACGCTGACTCGTGCCTGCTCGCTTCAAAGCTTGGAAAAGCTTAGTCAGGCGTAATGTTACGCTTCGAAAACAAAGGTAAGCTCGACCACATAATCTTGAGATCTTCAGAAAGGAAAATTCTTTCTTTGGCGAAGATACATCTCTGTCATGGTCTTCCATTCTTAGTTCTGTGATGCTACCAAACGAAAAAGCAGTGAAACCTAGTGAAGGGTGGGTATCTCGCGATGATATACAAACTGGGAAAGTTAGAGCAAAGGGAAGTGACAGTACAAATGTCGACGCTGATGCAGAACCGAAAAGAAGAGAAACAAGGAGTACGACAAGAGCAGCATCCAATCCTCTCGAGCTCACATCTGCCGACTCAACAACAACTCCACCGCGCGATCCACTCTCAACCCATCCCCCGCATCCGTGATCCTCAACGCGTCCCTCGCTTGTTCAGCCGTAAACCCCATCTCCACAATGCGATAAATAGCCTTATCCGCCGTATTCTCATGCGCCGGGCTATCAAAGATATCCGCTTGCGCTGGATGTTGCTGGAAAACCGGATGATGGGCGACCATTAGACCACCACTACGCTCGCTGCGCGAGCTGTCACTTGAGCCGCGCGAGCTGATACTGATATCCGTCTCCTTTCGGGCGGCGTACGGGCGTTGCGAGCGGAACGCTGGGTGGGTCGGAAACGGAAGTTGCTGAGGGGACTGGGTGAGGAAGATGGGGTGTTCGATGATGGAGGGCATGGCGCTTGTGGCGATACTGCTTCGGTCGCGGGCTCCCGATATCGTAGACGAGGAAGGGGTGGGGAGGAGAGGCTGAGCTACAGTTCGTCGTGGTGGAGAGTGCGTGATGAGAGGAGGTAGAAGCGCTCGTGCCGTGGGTTGTGCTGCAGAGAGTTCGGAGATATGGGTTAAAATCTCCTGCGCGATCGCAGGGGTAGGTCGGATTGACCGAATGTGGGAGGTGAGGTTATTTGTTGGCAATGGAGGGTGTGCCCGAGTAAGACTGCTCATTACGTTCTCCCATTCGCTCATGGGTCGGTCCTGGCTTTGGCGAATAATTCGGAGCTGCTCGCCGCTGTCCTTACGGGTCCTGAGATCTTTGATGTGCTTCTGGATGCGTTGCTTCGACATCTGTCGCTGAAGCTCGCGCGTTGAGCTGTCTGCGTAGATGTGCGCGAGCTTGTCCTCGTAGACGCGGGAAGCTGCCTCTTTCAGGAAACTCCTCTTGCTACTGCCATGAATGGGAGGGTTCCACCTAGTCAAACCTCTGGCATTAGCTAACTTGAAAGCAATCCCGTTATTTTCGTAGCAAGGGTGGGCAAGGACAAGTACGGTGGCGAGTCCGAAGCTGAGAAGGTGGTGACACCACTCATCTGTATCTGTTAGTATAGCTTGCTGCTTGATTGAGAAACCACTTACCTAGCATCATCTCTTCTCCGTCAATATCGCCTCCTCGGATTTCAGTGTCATCGTAGATACCGAATTTGCGCGCTTCAGCGGTGCGACTTTGGAAGCCTTGCAGCAGAACGCCCAAGCAATTCCACAGTTCCATCATATCGAACAGTTGCTCTGCCGACAAGCCACCTTCGTTGCCCTTCGCGAAACAATCTGGCGCAACGATCAGGGTGTCATTCATGAAATCTGTGCTCATGACACTGAAGGTGCATGCTGGTTGGTGTGCCTGCACACCTCCCCGGAGCCAGTCTTGTTGAGCAATCACATCATCCTCGCGCCCTTTACCAGACCCAAAGATCTTGCAAAATGTCCAGATGCGCCACAATGCATCGTTGACTCTTGCAGCATTAGGCGACGTTTCGTCAGCAAGCGCAACAGAGATCTCGGGTCGTACGAACGACTGACACTTTTCATGAATCAATGACTTGATCTCTCGAAGAACGTGCATATCGCGTTTCTGGAGATGGAAATAGCTCGCAGGTGTGTACTCCTCGAAAGGCCGTGTCATCTCCAGATCCTCATCGTGTAGCAAGTCGTGCCCGGGGAAGGCGATCTCTCTAAATTCCCATGCAGGCGGCGACGTCTTCAGTAAAACAAACTTGATGAGGTCGAGCTCGTGGTGCTTGAAAACATGGTAGAATCCAGGGCTGACAACAGCCAGAGCAAACAAATCCTCGAGTTGGTCCACGCTCTGCAAGATCTTATGAAGCACGTTTTCGGCGTCGCTAGGTGAGATGATGCGTGGCTCTACCTTCGCGGAAATTGGCAAAGGTGATGAAACGAACTCCTCGGTTGATCTGTGGCTGACAGGAGGGATATCCACTGTCAACTTCTGTTCCCTTCTCAGCGACCGTCCTCTTGTGATTTGGGATGCGATGTGGTCATTCGGTACGCGAGACAGCCTAAATAATTCCGCATTGATGACTGATTGTCGCTTACTAGATTTTCTTGGTAGTAGCGGAGCAGGTTCGACCGACGGTCTCGTCATGTATTTCCTCCAGGGGTGTGTGTTGCGCTCCTTCATAGGGCTCAGGGGTAGCCTGTCGTTATCCGTGAGCCTACCCAAGAAACTGTCCTCTGTGAGCGAAGTCAAGGACCTCTCAAGCTCATTCTCAGCCTCGCTCAGTGTTGGGCTTTTACTTCGCCCGCTGTTCGACTTCTTCGACTCAGACCGACTTATCGCTTGGTTGATAGCACCAATACTGGGGTGTGAATCGAGGCTTCTTCGGTAGCTGCTCGAGTTCGAGGTCTTGCGGTAGACGGTTGATCGGCGAGTAATGCCATTCATGGCATCGCGTGTAGGTCGAATCGTGCATGTAGGCTGGAATTTGGCATTTTGCTTGGTCGAACATGGCGCATAGCGACGCGGTGGTATCGCTGGAGGAGGGCCGTAGTCAGCGCCGACTATTGGACACTCGTCCATAGCCTTGGGAACTATACGTAGATTGTCCTCCTCGACACTGGTTTCCGAAGAATGGTTGCTGTGCAGGGAGAACGCATCGCTCTCTCGGGAACTGACTGATGAGGTCGTTGAGGTTGAGTCGTTCTTGCGATTCTGTGAATTCTTAGGGTTCGTTGGTGTGGTAGGAGCTGACAGCTGGAACCGTCCGAGGGACACCGCAGGTGGGTGGTTGAGTGGTGATACGACTGAGTCGCGCATCATAGCTTTGCTAGTTCCTGTTGGTGGAGATATGTCATACGCATCCTCAATCTCAGCGGAAGCGGACCGAACTTGCGCGATGCTAGGGTGTCCAGAATTTGGAACTGTTGGTTGAGCTCGATCTTGTGCTCCGCTAGGGATCACCACATGTATCTTTGGCTTCAAGCTCTTGACTGCGCGAAGGCCGTGTTTGTCTTTGAGGCGCCACTGAATCCTTCCGTGTTTATATGTACCAATAGCTCCCTTGAGCGAAGCGATACTCGAGGCCGTTTTCAGAGTGTTATCTTGTTTTGCGGGGGAGGTGGCGTTGTGTGTGATCCATCCCTGGGAAGCTTCGTTTTCTGATATCGACGATAAGGCTGGACTGCTTGATGCTGACTTGCAGCTCTTGGCCTGATGAGTTGACGTAGACATGTCTCGCTCGTCAGCGAGGAGAGCCGATTCACATTCTGTCGTTTCTGGCACCGCACGCAGCACAGTGCCCGACTTCTTCGAACTTCTTAACCTCTGAAACGGCATCCTCTTCTTAGTGCGATCCTTCGAAGCAGGGCTTCCGGTGCTCTGTGGTGAACTGTCGATCCACAGCTGGGTAGTGTTTCCTTCTTGATCTTGTGTTCGAGTAAATCTCCTGTAGTCATCTACGGACTGCAATGGCAAGATGCATCCAAGTGAAACGATATTGGTGATTGAGTGCTCCGGTGAGGGCGCAAACTGGGTGGTCATGACTACCAGTAGCCGGGCAATGATGTATACAGCCCGGCATCCAAAATAGACAACCCGACTAAGGCCCGCGGATGTCCAGGGAGTGCAGGTTTGTGGCGCTCGGAGCCGTGGCTCTCGGTGTTGGCGTGAGATGGAACCTCGAGCTTCCGGTCGTAGTGCTATTACCAAGAAGAGGTGACGAAAGTGACGATGATGAAGAACAGCAATACCTACATGATAAATTCACGATCATTTCGTCTGTACGTGGACTGTATACTCTAAGCGCGCATGCTGCGTTGAAGCCTCTGTACTCGGAGGCACAGTGCATGGCGGGTGTTCGTGGAGGGGTCTGCATACGAGCGTTCGGATTCCGTGAGACTGGGATGAGCGATCGGCGGGGCGCCCCAAATTAGCACCAGCTCAGCCGCAGGCAGGGTCACCGTGCGCACATGGCTCTCCCCATCCACCAACCTTCTTGTGCTGTTCTGGATTGCCATTCGGGAATGCCTACTCAGTGACCTGGTCGCCCTTGGTTCCAAGAACCTGATTGACTGCTCGACGGTTCTGAGAGGGCACTTGGTACTGAATCCTGTTCGCGAGCTGACGAGAGCACAGCACGCATAACGCACCAGTGAAGATGGTGGTTACACAGCAGTTCTGCAGCTCACAAAGGGTCCATGACTTGCTTTCAGCTTTTGCGGGAGTTGTACAGGCGTGCCATGTGTTTCCGGACGATCCTCGCACTCCTCGTGTCGTATCCTACACCTTAGGCATGATCTTTGTATGACTTGCCGTCCGTCCGTCAGCTCGCCCCAAGAGCTGTTAGTTAAGCTTTGTGCAGTTATCAGCAGTATGCTGTGAGACATGTGCGGGGGCTCTCTGAGTTGTGGATGGTTTAGTCGACTGCTTGCTCTATATTTGTGAGCCGCTGAGCAAGCCGGCACTGCGACTTTTGAACTCTCTTTGGGAGAATACAGCAAGGCTCTCAGCCACGCTCGAACCCACTGCTCCCTACCTATATTCCCGAGTTTCAGCGTAGTTCACACCGGCCTTCTGGAACAGGTGTGTAATTACTTGCAGTAGGCTAACATTTGCTGGGTGATGACTGACCGCTGCAGAAATTCAAGTGCGATAGAAGCTGGCGAGAATTGGATGGACGGTGCACGTGTTGAGTATGAATTATGATTGAACAGCCCCCCCTAGCGCTTTTACGCTCTATACCATACAAGCAGTACAATGTGGTATGTACAAGGAAAAAGCCATGTCTAATGGTGCTTTGCGCCGCCACCCAATGTGCGCCTGATGTTGATGCTTCAACTTCTTGCCTAACTCAACCTTGACTTCTTCTCTCTTTCCCTCTTCGGCCAAACCCAAACGTGCATTCCCACCCATGGCTGGGATATACACATTCCGATGATGTCTCGATAGTACCAACGAGCTCTCCAAGATTCTGTCCATCTAGTACGGAATACCCTCGTACTCGCCATAGCCAAGAGCCAAGTTCATGTTCTGCAGACACTGTGTCGCCGCACCCTTGAGCAGGTTGTCAATGGTAGCGTTGATCACGACGCGCTTGCCCGAGCTGTGAACAGCGAAACCACCGATCTCAACACCGTGCTTGCCCGAGATGTTCTTGACGAGCGGCGACTCGCCAACGATCTTGACGAGCTTCTCACCGGCGTAGCGATCTTGGTACAGGTTGCGGATGTCGCGCGAGGTCATGGTGCGGTTAAGAGGAATGGAGATGGTGTGCTGAGAATTGTCAGTATACTGGACTAGTAAATGTATGGAGGTAGTGGAAGCTTACGTGGATACCCTGGAACCAGACAGCGACGTGAGGAATGAACGCTACCTCAGTGCCCAGTTGCCTCGAGATCTCCCTCTCGTGGATGTGGTCGACCAAGCTGTAAGGGATCAGATTGTTGGTGAGGTTGTTCACGTCGTTCTTGGGGCTGGGCTTGGTGCCCGCTCCCGAGTAACCAGAGACACCGAAGACAGTGGGCTGTCCACCGATGAAGTCGAGAAGAGGTGCGATACCGAGCTGAGCGGCGGTTGCGTAGCAGCCAGGGTTGGCTATCCGTGTAGCGCCATCGAGCTTGCGGCGGGGAATCAACTCGGGGAGACCGTAAGTCCACTTGTCGTCGAATCGGTAGTCGGCGCTGAGGTCTACAATGACGGACTGTGTGTTGCCAGACCTCTCGATGGCCTCCACAAAAGGCTTGCAGACACCATTGGGTAGGGCCATGACCCAGCAGTCAACTTCGCCCTTCTTGGCCAGCGCCTCAACATCGTCGGGAGACAGATTCTCGTATGTGATCTGGCGCTTGGTGTAGCCCTCCAGCTTCTGGCCATTGAGCTCACGAGATGAGACGTGACGCAGATCCATGTTGGGGTGCTTGTTCAACAGATCGATGAGCGCCTGGCCTGTGTATCCACGAGCACCAATGAGAGCAACCTTCGAGGGGTAGTCCTTGCTTGCGAACTTGTTGCCGTATGGCGGGTTGGGGTTGGTGGAGTCCTGGGAGCGCGATGCAGTGGTTGCGAAGCCACGGGATGCAGCCGGTGCGATCTTGTTCTGCCTCAATGATGGCCTGGCAGACTGGCCCATTGTTCGTGATCCAGCGATGGTCGAGTAGCTGCGGGTCTGCTGACCCTGCTTGAGACCCGCAACAAAGTCTGCTGCCCTCCTGAACTGCGACTCCAGGCTGTCCTTAAGAATGGAGCGGCCCTGCTTCGAGTAATTCTCCAAGAGACCGAAGATCTCGGAAGACTCTGCTGATCCCCACCAGCAGAAGATCTCCTTCTCGCGGCGAAGGAAGCCGTCAGTCTTCTCCAAGTTCCACTTGACGAGGTTCTGCTCCTGGCTCTCGACAACCCAGTACATCTTGGGGTACTTCTGCTTCATGCGCTCGAATACAAGGTCGGAGACATTGGTGAGGAAAGCGTCCTTGGTCGTGGTGAAGGTCGAGAGCTGAGCGAATTCGCCGTCCTTACCGGGAGGGTATACGATAGTAACGACACCCATAGAATCGTCGAAGAATGCCTCAAAGGGGCGGCTCTTAAGATTCTCGATGTACTGCTTGACGGCGTTGGTGGCCTCGGCGCCTCCGTGCTCCCTAGCCAATGCCTGGGAAAGCGCATCAACGTCCAAGTCTTCGAACTCGCTGACCTCCTTCACGCTGCCGCCGTTGCGAATCAGGGTACCGCCACCAGTGTGTGTGAACAGCTCCTTTCCAAGGTTCTGGGGGTGAGTGATGGCGACGCTAGATGTGCGTGGGAGGCCGTCCAGGAGCTTCTTGGCCTCAACGATCTTAAGCTTGGTGCCGTACCTGACCCAGGGCTGCTTCAGGTAGCTATCGTACTCACCCTCCAAGTTGATGTGGGAAATGAGCTTGCCAGTCTCGGCGTTGAACAGCCCACCCTTCTCGGACAGGTAGATGACCTTCATGGGCTCGAACTGGCGCGCAAGAGCAGCAGCAACGACATCGGCGTTGACATTCAGGATCTGGCCATCCTCAGTCTCAGCCATGGAGCACAGAATGGGAAGCTCCTTGTTCTCAATGGCATCCATGATCGCCCTGGGGTTGATCTTGGTGATGTTGCCAACGTACTTCCACTTCTCCTTGTCGAGGTAGTCCGCCTGCAGAGCACCAGCGGTGATGGGACGGGCAGGGACTCCCCAATTTCTCTTAAGTGTCATGACAAGGTCCATGTTGGCCTCCAAGAAGAGCTTGCGCGCAATGCCGAGCGTCTTCTTGTCTGTGACTCTTATCCCATCGATAAAGTCCGGCTCGACACCAGAGTCCAAGAGAGTCTGGTTCATCTGGGGACCAGCTCCATGGACAATGATGGGATACAGCCCAATGGCGTGCAATTGCTGCAGAGCAAAGCATAGCTCATCGAGGTGGTCTGTGAGGATGGCACCTCCTACCTTGACTACGGCGAACTGGTGCGGCTTGACGGAGCGGAATTGGCCGAGGTACTGGTCGACTTCCCTGCGAGAGCTGGCGCTGGCGAGCAGGTTGAGGAACGCGGCGTATACGGACGACTTCTGGCCGTCTCCCGTGGTGTACAGGCGGCTCGGGGTGGTGCTGGCGACGAGGGCGCGAGGAAAGGACCTCCGACCAGAAGCCGCAACTATCTGGCGGGACGAGCGTGCTGCTGCGCGCGCACCGGCTCGTACGACGCCCTGCATGGTGACCGTCTCGCTCGCTGGGCTCGAAGAGGGTTGCTCGAGGGTTGGGAGGCGGCGGGAGGGCGAGTTGGCTGTGGGATAAGGAAAGAAGAGTCAGACAGATAGGCAGGAATGACGCTTGAAGCTTTGGCTTCTACAAAATTCGCTTCCGATAACGCACGCAGCGTCGAGCATCTAACCCGCAAAGTGGCGCGATAAACCCTGGCCTGCGTCTGGGGAACCGCCGGTTATTGGCCGCAGCCGTAGTCTCTCACGCAAAATTTCCCTCTTCGGCTGCAAGCCGTGAGCGAGAAGGGCATCGCCCCGTGTTCGGTGGAGCTCCCCTAATCAGATTGAAGGATCTGATAAAAAAACCAGGCCGGTCAAGTGAAAACCCTCACGGCAAATACCGCGGACCTTCTACGTCCAGGCCGTGCATCAATTGAGTGCATAAGTTGGAGGCGTTAGGAGCTTTCGCTCGTGGCAGACAGGCGTGAGGGACATATTGAAAATGCCTCTGACAGCTTATCTGGGACTCAGTAAAGACCGCAGCTGGCCGTCGCATTGGCTAGACCTGAATTTCTCTAGGCCGATGTACTGTGGATCTACGTTGAAGGTTGTACCCACAGCGAATCTTGTGGGACGTCATTCAGGTTCGTGATTGACCGGTACCTGGCGTTGACTGACTTGGCAGCGTGCAGAAGAGACCTGCATGGCCGAGGTTGAAGAGTAAGGTGTGCTGTGCCGCTGCCCTGCAGTCCACCTGCTACTCCAACCTTACGCGTCGTACATAGGGAGGTATCAGAGTCTAGAAGAATATCATGCAATTGGCTATGGACAAGAAGACGAGTGTAAAGCATTCGAACTCCATTGTGAGCGTCTCCCGGCTATGCCCAGAACAGCTCTAGAGGTATCATATCGTAAGAGAGCAGTCCTAGGCACTGTGACGCAGGACTGCATCCCGTGCCGGTCGTTCAAATGCAAAGAAAGACAAGAAACCGAGCCTCGCTCCCAAACAGTCGTAGACGTAATTCCTACAGGGTGTCGTAAAGTACAGCGCACGTGGTGCCACTCTCCCGTCCTCGTGGCTGTGCAACTGTCCGCCGCTACGCAACTATTATGTGGTATGTTTTGTGGTATCTGGCGTAAAGACGTTTACTTCTTCTGGGTTGCAACGACTGTACAATGTTAGCTTTAAGTTCGTCACCACTGTATCTTGCAAGACTCACCAGAAGGAACAATGATGACAACGAGCAGGATGATGATGCCGACGATCAAGCACATGCGCATCTTCATGTCCTTCCACCACATCTGCTTGCGCACACGGTTGGCGCCCCTTCTGAAGCCCTGTGCGGAGACGGCAAGGTTGTCGGTCTTATCCTGCAGCGAGTCTAGACGAGCACCGCGCTCAGAGACCTTGTTGATGTTGTCGCGCATGATGCCAACCGTGCTGTCGATCTCCTGGAAAACACATTAGCGGCTGCCTAGCGTAAGTGACAGAGAGAGCGCAGAGCGTGCACAGGTCGAGCACAGAGAGCAAAGTACGCAGCGCAATCCACACGGTACACTAGAAGTGCCTGCTCGAGTGTATAGAGCGCTCTGTCGACGCCGCAGAGCTGATGTCATGTCTCTGCGAGTTCGACACTAGCTCTTCGACCACAACTGCTGCACCTCGACTGCTCTACAATGCTGTGACCGTCGCATTTGCAGTCTACACCGCTCAGGTGTGGTGGTGGTAACGTACCGCCTGGAGAGCGGCAGTGCGCATGTTGCCATTCTGGCCTTGGGCGCCCTGCTGGCCGGCGCCGCCGGAAGGGATGTACGGGTCGTAGGGCTGCTCGCGATCGGCCATTGTGAATGCAGTGGGTGTGAAAGGCGGTTTAGTTGCGTGCGACGGGGGTGGTGATGGATGATATCGTGAAAGTCGTTAGGGTGATGGGTGTGGAGGTGGTGTGGTTGCGCGTGTTGAGGAAGGCGGAGCAACTGGAGAGCTGGGCAGGTAAGGTTCTCTGACAGCGTGTGTCTGAGCTCTGAGGCTGATGCGGCGTGAAACCCAACACGACCACGATTTCTAAAGTATGAAAAGGTGTAACAGAGATACGGGCGAGCGCGAGATAGTCCAGTAGTCGTGTTATGAGTGAACAGCAGCTTTTATTCCGCTTCACATACCAGCATGTTCTTCTCTGCGCCACGGCAATGCAGTCACGTGCCCGCCGCAGCCACCGCTATTACGACGGTTACGAAATGCGAGCAGCTGGCGTGGCAACAAGGAGCGCCGAAATTAGATTGGCAACGCTGGCCTGGCTCGAGCAAAGGCCTCGTAACTGCCAGGGTCTGATCCCCGAGCGCTGCGAGGCCTTCACCAAGACAAGCATTGCCGGGTTGCTGCAGGTTCTTGGTACAAGGACCGCGAAGGCTTCTGTAGATGCAATAATCGACAGTAGATAATTGAGAATCCATCGTGACCAGCCTCCAAACTTGCTTGCGCCTAATGCGCCCAATGCCTGCTTGCGGGCGGCTACGATGATCCTTGGCGCGGCATCTCGCCCTGGAACTCTGGCACTGGCTGCGCATCCGTTGGTGCCGTTGCGCTCAGGAGTCCGAACCTAAACGCAGGCCAGCCCTTCTGCCACCCCAACACCCCTCCACTTCCCCCAGCGACCACACTCTTTCGACGTTCTCCGCCTCCGCGCAACTGTATAATACCCTCTCGACGCTCACCGGGCGTTGCCTCCGCAGGCGCTTTCCTTCCCCGGATCCTGTCGCTCGTTTCAACCCTACGTCAACCATTACCATCCTTCGCCGCGCGGCGTCTTAACTGAAGCAAGCCCGGCGCTTGACTCTGGGCACCTTCCACCCTCGATCTTCATTCACTCCACCGCGCTTTTGGCTTGCACATCATGAAGCTCACTTCTGCCCTCGGGGCTGTAGGAGCCTCGAGTGTGCTCCTGTCCGGCGTTGGCGCTATCCAACTGGACATTAGCTCGACTGGTAGGACTGCTCTTTGGCGTAGCGCAATTCCTGCTAACATGGGCAGACAACATCAAGCAAGTCGCAAAGACGCTGTCTGTTAATCTGCGCCAGTACTACACCGGTGACCGTGTCGGCGACACACCTGGAAACTTGCCGGACCCGTACTACTGGTGGGAATGCGGTGCCATGTTCAATGCCTTCATCGACTACTGGTACTACACCGGCGACGACCAGTACAATGGCATCACAACTCAGGCCTTGGAGCACCAGATTGGAGACTACAATGCCTTCATGCCGGCCAACCAGACCAAGACACTCGGAAACGATGACCAGGCTTTCTGGGGAATGGCTGCTATGACTGCTGCCGAGAACAAGCTGCCTGATCTTGGGGACGGAAAGCCCTCTTGGCTCGCTCTTGCTCAGGCCGTCTTTAACACTCAAAAGGACCGCTGGGACAACCAGACTTGCGGAGGAGGATTGAAGTGGCAGATCTTTACTTTCAACAACGGTTACAACTACAAGAACACCATTTCCAACGGTTGCTTCTTCAACATTGCTGCACGTCTCTACAAATACCTCGGCAACGACACCTACGCGGACTGGGCTGAGCAGGCCTGGGAGTGGGAGCTGTCTGTTGGTCTTATGAGCCAGGACTACCACTTCTACGACGGTACCGACGACAAGCAGAACTGCTCTAGCGTCAACCACATCCAATGGACCTACAATGCCGGTGTGCACATGGCCGGAGCCGCTGCTATGTGGAACGTAACCCAGAACGACCTCTGGAAGACTCGTCTAAAGGGTCTTATCGACGGTGCCAGCGTTTTCTTCAAAGACAACGTCATGACTGAAGTTGCTTGCGAGAACAACGGCAAGTGCGACGTCGATCAGCGATCGTTCAAAGCTTACCTGGCCCGCTGGATGGCATACACTGCGATCGTGGCTCCCTGGACTAGCACATACATCGATCCACTCCTTCAGGCTTCGGCCAAGGCTGCTGCTGCGCAGTGCACCGGAGGTGTCAACCAGACATCCTGCGGTCTGCGATGGATCGACAACGGTGCAAACGATGGTAGCTTCGGTGTGGGCGAGCAGATGGCTGCCATGGAGGTCGTCCAAGGTCTTCTCTACCCTACAGTTACCGGTCCTGCTACGCAGAACAATGGTGGTATCTCCGTGTCCGACCCCGACGCTGGTTCAGACGTACCTCAAACAGCCGTTACCTTCAACGCTGTTACAACTGGCGACAAGGCTGGTGCTAGCATCTTGACCATCATCGTTCTTGTTTCCATCGTTGCCGGTGCCTGGTGGATGGTCTCGTAGACATGCATTTGTGCGTGCATGAGGGTGTACATATCACGCTTCGGCTGCGTCGCTCGATGCGAACTTTTGTTTGCACAACAGGTCAACGCTTTGAAGAACTTGTACTTTTTTTTTTTGCGATACACCAGGGCATGACCTCCAGCATTAAGGCTATCCCCTATTATTGGACTTGTATCACACTTAGCTGACATTTGGGAGTTGCTGGCGTTCGAGCCGAGCCCTCACTGGGACATGTAGCTCACATTTCTCGAGAACATACTTATTTACTGCACATCTTGTTTTCCAACTAAAACTAATGAGTGCTTGGTGCGCGATGTTTGAAGAGGGTTGAAGCTCCATGCTTCAAGCTCCGCCAGAGACAAGCACCGCTTGACAATACTACCGACTTAGACTAACACCCATAATGCAAAGTCCAGCACTGCCTGCGATTATTACCAATACCCGTAACAACTGCTTCACACGAGATACCCACCATGTATACCCCGCGCTAGCCTGATGCACTTGCCCAGGTGCTCATTGCCCCACCTTCCAAGCCCATCTCACCATCGTTCCCTACGTCACCACGCGGCCACAGAGCCCTCCTGACGCGTGGGCTACGCACCACTGGTGCCTGCTTTATAAATATGCCGCCCTCGTCAAAGCTTTTGGACCAAATCAACTCATACCTCAAAACTCGCAAATCAGCCGTACCCGTCGCCAAAGACATCCATACACAGCTACCTCAACTCCAAGACCTCAAAGTAAACGAAACCTCAGACTTCGCGAAGACCTTCCTGGACATCAGAGGTCCGCACGTGTTAGAAAAGAAGACCAACAGATAACAGAGCAACCAACATGCCAGTCCACCCAGCTGAAGAGACCACCTCCGGTAGTACGTCTTTCCAGTCCTATCAGCACCTTGTCGTTATTTCACTCTCTCCACTATTCCCGCTCTCTACAGCCCTACAGTTCACAATCTCACCTCCGTCATTCGTCGTTCTTCGTGCTCTCCTACTAACATCCCCAGGCATTACCGACCAGGTCGCAAAGGACTCCAAGGACTCCAACGCCTCGAGCCACCAGCTCCACCGTACGCTCCACCCACTCAACCACCAACACAAATCCACTAACACAATATCTAGAGGAGGACAACCAGGCCACAAGCGGTGGATCCATTGCCGCCAACGCACACAAGGCTAACCCGGTACGAAGCACACCGTCCCTGTTGGAGAGGATACAATGGCACTTAGGAAGGACACTGACAGGTAGACAGGGTCCCGTTCACGCAGACAACCTGCCTGAGCCGGCGAGCAAGGAGGAGCTCAAGAAGAGGGCTGAGGAGCTTAACAAGTAAGCGACTCGCATCGCTGGGATGAGGGAGATGTTAAATGGGTCGTGTAGGCCCAAGGACTCGAAGATATAAGAATACCAACTGATTATGGAACCTTGTCTTTGACCAAACCTACTCTTTTTGCTCTGACAGTGATGTAGCGCTCAGAAGTCAGACATGGGTCTTCATCCATCTCCACCGACACACAAGTCCCGCTGCTCAAAATGAGAAATTGACATTGAACAGTGCAGTGATTTACGCACACTTCAGCAGCCCTCAGATGACTCCACGCAACTCCTCAAGGTACTTCATGATCGACAATCATTATATTCTCCTGCTATAAATTTCTACTCAATACCCAAAGCTCTCAGTATGCAAATATACGCCCTGCGCCCCCGTCCCCTTATGCACCGCCCGCTCATCACTCAATTCAACAACACCCTGCTTCACATCGCTAACCAGCCCCTGAGGCCCACACGCTACCACTGCCGACTCGCCGATCGCCTGCTCGAGCGAGCGGCGGATGATATCCTTGGTCTGCGGACGGCCGCTGAAGATCTGAATCGAGGGGTGCACGAGGGTCTGCTTGCGCGGCTGTTGCAGCGGTTGGGCGGACGAGGTGCTGGAGCGCGAAGAGCTGGTTGCTGCGTCTGCGGGAGTGCAGCAGCAGCAGGACGCTGGGTTGGAGGCGGAGGCTTCGTTGATGGGGGTGCGGCAGCAGCATGTGGCGTCTGGGCCGCATGCGTCGCCGGTTTCATCTGATGAGCGGGAGGTTGTTGAGACCTCCTCCACCTCATTCTTGGTGATCTTGGACCCGTCCTTTTCTCCTGTGGAACGGTTGCGGGGCTCCACTGTACCGTGTTCGACCACTTTGTTTTGGGCTGCTGTGCTCTTCGGCGCGGTCATAGTATTTAGCAATGATTTGTGCTCTTCTGTGAAGGATTCATCGCACGTGACGTAAACCGTCACCTCGAGCTTGATGCCTCTCATCTGCTCCCGAATAACTCGGAAGTCGGCATACACAGATGACAGCTGCTCGGAAAACATCTCGAGCTGGCCTCGGCTCTTGACGACCCACACAAAACGGACATGGCGCGTGACTGCACCTTTTGGCGATGAAAGAAACGAAGTATTTGATGCTGCTGATGGGTCGCTGTTTTCCCTCCAGCCTTGGATAACGTCTCGAAGTAACGGCACAGTGAATGTAGCGCCAGTGCTACCGGCGAGCAATATGACGCTGTCGAACTGGCGGAGCGGTCTGTGGCACCCATATGGACCCTCGATGGTGACCGTTTTTGGTCTGGAGAATTGTCAATAACAGCGGGACATATTGAAAGTGAAGGGCCATACCTTGATGGTGTATCAGCTAAGTCCTGCCACTTCTGGGCGTGTTTGAAGAAGCGTCTCGTTCCCCCAGATTGCGCTTTTACCAAGAACTCCATCTTACCATCTTCGGGAATCGACGCGATAGTAAACGGGTGGTTCTGCAGAGGGGCAATTCCTTGACACGATAAGAAGACATGCTGACCAGGGCGCCAGCTAATGGGTGGTTTTCTAATGGTGATTCGTGTGGTATCATGAGGCAGTGGCATGAATTCGGCCTTGCAAGCCAATAACCCATCCCGCTTGTGTGATGGGTGGAAGAGAGAGATGTTGGTGTACAGGACTCGCAGAGCTCGGAACACACGGTCGAAGAAGAAGAGAGCCACTGCTGCCCATACGTAGCCTTGCAGTTCAGGCGGAGCGTGGACATAAACGAAACCAATGAAAAGTGCAAATGAGGCTACATGTTGGACAACAAAAAGTTCATAGTTCCATCCACGGATGGGTGTCGCAGAACTGAAGTTGATCCACATCAGCGTGCACCAGGCCGCCAGTCCACGCCACACAAGCTTGTTCTGCTTGAGCTGAACACCGATATAGTCATATGGGGCCCAAGCTATAGTAGTGTTAGCGAAGGTCGTGATATCTGTAAAACAAAAAAATCTCAACGTACCACTGAAGAAGTAGCCCATGTGGACGGTCGCCGTAAGAAGCATGCACCTAGCGGTCCATCGATGCAGCCAGTTTAAACGCTCATAGCTGATGCCAGTAAGAAACCCAATGACGTTGTTCCTTCCGGAGAGCAAGAAGATGAGTGGTAGTTGACCGAGTGTCACAACACCGCATCGAAACCCAACGCTCTCTTTCGAGAACTGATCAGTGAGGTTGAGCCCATAGAAGCAGAGCACAAGTAGAACGACCACGTTCGCCAGGACTAAACTGGTACATCCGACAGTAGGTAACCTCAGAAAGCGTCCTTTGAGCGGTATCCGGACTGAGAAGTTGGACGCTTCTCGGGTCACAGCAAACAGTGTTGCACTCCATAGTGGGAACCAGGACCTCGGCTTTGCGGGTGACAATGTTCCTGCTCTTGCGGCGGATAGTCTTTGTCTGTACAAAAGGTGGTTGTAGATGTTGACAAGTGTTGCGATGGCAACCGCGCTTCCTACAACGGCGTAATAAAACTTGGGGAATTCTGGAAGAGCAGGCAAGGCCATCGAGCCCATCGACATGCCGCCATGGTTGTGACTCATGGTGTTTGAACGCTGGCCAATGCCGCGACGTGTTGTTTCGTTTGCGTTTCTTCACTCCAATCGCCAATACGGTGTGCTGATTCTAGATCGCAACGACTTCCTGTGGCGGGGTGATTCTTGAGTGTTCCTCTTGGCTATCGCATGGTCACAGTCGCAGCTCCTGCCATGTCAAGTCGTACTGCCGAGTTTGGTGCCGCAGGAGAAGTGGTGATACACTTTGGACTTCGAGTTGGTGTCTGTCTGTGGTTCAGGACTGACTGGAGTTACGGTACACAGACAGTGGCGTATGTCAACCGGCAAAGAGGATTCACTGTTGCTGTCAGCCACGGCCCTGGTAATAAGCGGCATGCTACTGCACGACGAGCCAGTTTTCGCTTCCTCGATGCATGTGTGTGGGTCAAGGCCTGGAGCACCCCAGTGGTCGTGGCTTGAATCAAGCATCAAACGCTAGCCCCTTGCGGCTAAATCTGCTCAAAGTCGCTCCTTCCCTTCACGGCTCTTTGAACGTCGCTGCAGTCTCCGCAGCCAGACAAAGCGAATGCAGGCCGTCCCTGGCTGCGCACTTTACAAAGCCGAGCACTCGCCATGAGTTCTGCGGCAGGTGGCACTGTGGGCAGGTCTCTTTTAGATTCCCTACACTTCACGCATCAGCCCAGGCTTGTCATCCCTTGACCGTCGCAACAACCCACGCATTCGCGCTCTTCTACCCGCACAAATTGTCTTCGCATCTTATGCGTCAATGCTAAGAGTCCTGTCGTAACCAGCCAAGTGGAACTTACAGCATTACATCTTGGTACTTTTAAGCGATCATCGCCCGGTACCATATACGAAGGTCAGTCTGGAACTCAACACTTAATTACTCCACATCCACCCAAAACCCCTTGAAGTCCCTCGAAAACCTGCAAATCAAACGTCTCGGTCTTTTCGACATATCAAAATGGTTGCTCACGGCGATGAAATGGCAGGCATGGACATGGACGGAATGAACATGGGAGGCGCGACCTCAAGCCATACCGGAATGGCGATGGCTTTCTTCACGGCAACGAATACGCCTCTCTACTCGAAGGCATGGACGCCGCAAAACGCTGGACAATATGCTGGAACATGCATCTTCCTCATCATCCTGACTATCACGCTCCGCGGCATCTTCACAGCCAAGAGCTTCCTCGATACGAAGGCATTGGAAACTGCAATGAAGAGACGCTACGTCGTTGTTGCAGGCGAAAAGGCGGTCGCAGAGCAGGCGAACGATGCGAGTTCGACGACCGGTATTCTGACCACGAACGGCATGCAAGAGGATGTCCGGATAGTGTCAGCACCAGTGAAGATTGTTCAACCCTGGAGATTCAGTGTCGACCTTCCACGAGCTGCTCTGATGATGGTTGCGACAGGTGTTGGTTATCTTCTGTAAGTTGCGCAGCCACTGTTTCATGAATGAGCGGTCGCTAACACTGGTGCAGCATGTTGGCAGTTATGACTTTCAACGTCGGCTACTTTTTGTCCATTCTTGCAGGCACATTCATTGGAGAACTGGCTTTGGGTCGTTACAACCAGGCGAACATGGCGATGTAGGGGCGTTGTTCAGCATCGATGCATCTGAGGTGTTATCTGGCGACCAGTAGCAATTTCATACCGCTTCTACATCAGTTTCCTGACAAGACTAAGAGCCCGGAGCTCGTCTTGAAACTCGTATTGTCCGAATTGTAATATGTAGATCTATTGAATCAGGGCGACCTGCAGGGCCCGCAGTTCACGCCTGCCAACGCTGCCACAACCGCTAGTCAAAGCTTGATTGTCCATATGTAACGGTCCACCATGGGTTCCACACGTTATTTCCGCAATTGTGTCTCCTGCCATCCGGTGAAGTTGTACCGGTATCGCGAAACATAACTGATTTGTGAAGGCTGGACTACGCTAGGATGAACGGACCCCTGTTGTGGCTGGAGTCTAACCGTTGCTTTGGTAAGAAACTTGCTCACATCTCCTGCACCTTCACCCTAGCGCCCCGTACCCTGAGGGTAACTGAAGTTTTAGCGAAAGCCGCCAATGATGCAAGATCTTGCTCACCTGCTGGAAATGTGCAAGGGCGCGTCTGGACTGGAGTCAAGAGGCTCAGTGGCTCCACGCGCGAGCCACGCGAACGCCCTCGGACGGAATGTACGGCACGCGGGGAGCGTTCCTGTTACTGCTGTGCAATAAGTATGGTAGGACGCCCAGAGCTGATTTCTTTTGTCAATCTTGGGCTTCACCTTACCTCGTGTTCACCTTTCTTTCCTCTATGCATCTTTGAGAGCATCTACCTGTGTCAACTCTCCTACCACATCAATCAAGTAGCCTCCAAATTTCAAGATGCTGTCCAAATCAATCGTCGCGCTCGCGCTCGCTCCCGTCGCTCTCGCCCACTTCACCCTCAAATACCCTACATCTCGTGGCTTCGATGAGGACAAGGAGCCAACCTTCCCTTGCGGAGGCTACGATACCGTGTCATCGCAGCGCACCGACTTTGCCATCAGCGGCGGGCCTATTCAGATCAACCTGGGACACCAACAGACCAACGTAGCTGTGTACATGGCCGTTGGTGATAACCCAGGCTCCGGCTTCAGCGTTGTTCTGCACCAACAATTCCAGGTCGCTGGCTACGGCGACTTCTGCTTGGGCAATGTCAGCATTCCCTCGAGCTTGAACGTCACAGAAGGTACAAAGGCATCCATTCAGGTCGTCACAAACGCACACGGCGAGGGCGGCCTCTACCAGGTACGCCAATACCGATGGAGTTGATCACCTGACAAAACTGACACAGATATAGTGCACCGACGTCAACCTGGTCAATACAGCCCTCTCCCAGTCGGACTACAGCACAAACTGCAAGAACGGCAGCGGCGTCTCAGTCAGCCAGGAGAACATCTCTGGCAACCCCAACAGCACAAGCGACACAGGCTCAGCGAGTGGAAGCGCGAGCGGAAGCGCGAGCGGAACTGGCGCTGCTGCTTCCCCCACAGCGACTCGCACAGGTGATGCGGCACAAGCAAAGGCTGCCTCCTGGGGTTTGGGCGCAGTCGGTCTTGTCGGACTTGCGATGTTGTAGAAAACCAAAGAGGCGGTTGAGCTTGGCAGGAGCAAGAAAGCCGATAGTCGCGGCATGATACCTACCTGCACTGCATCAATGATACCAATTCCACATCGATCTGTGACGATGCCCCATGAACTATGTTGAACCTGACGGAGGCCTGTCGATTTGACGTACTCGAATGAGCTCTCAGGGTTCTGCGCGGCCTATCCTCGTCGCTTGGTGGTGATGCCATGCCCAAGCCGCCCCTATGCCCAACACGTATGCTGTCCACACAATCCATATGAACGTTATGGACTGCAGCCTGTGCAAAAGATCATTGAGTCCAAGTGTCTTCGTAGTATGTGTTAGAGAGGTGCAATGATGTGTAGACCTGATGCCCCGCAACTGACGACAGCAAGCGAGCGCACGGACTCCGCAGCTTCAATCCGCACATACCGCAACACCACGCTGAGTCTTGCTTCACAACGCCGAATCTAGGTGAGTCCGAACCGCGCCCGTATCCGAAAGCTCGAAGCTGCCCCAATCGAATTTTGCTCGACCTTTTGCTGACGATTTCTCGACCGCAGACCCTCCCACAGTCACTCTCCCCCCACAACCGCAAATATGGATCAGGCCAAGCTGGCACGCATGCAGGCGTCGGTGCGCATTGGTAGGTCGTCTCCCGTTGATTTGGAGTCACGAGCTCTTGAACGAGCTGTTGCTGGAAGCTTAAAGGATAATAAATTAGCTAACATACGTGAATAGGGTAAGCAGACCTCTTCTTCGAATTTTGACAGCCCCGCAAATACATCATCGCAAACTTCGAAAACCGCCAGACGGACGTCATACACGCGAGCTCTGAGACTTTGGGGGACATTGGACATGGAACACGCGGCTAATTGGGCGATACAGAGGCAAGGGCACACCCCGCAGGAAGGTCAAGAAGGTCCACAGGGCCGCTGGTACCGACGACAAGAAGCTCCAGGCTGCGCTTAAGAAGCTGAACGTCCAGCCCATCCAGGCTATTGAGGAGGTCAACATGTTCAAGAGCGACGGCAACGTCATTCACTTCTCGGCACCAAAGGGTGGGTCCAGACATCCCCATCCTGCATGATGGCATCGGAGGAGCTGTACCAGGCCTTCTGTGTAAAGGGCATCAAGCGCTGCTGGACACTGAAGCTTTCCAGTCGACCCATGCCAAGGACTTGAAGGAGTGCATTTGCTAACCTCAGTTGTACAGTTCACGCCTCGGTACCCGCCAACACCTTTGCCATCTACGGCGCCGGTGAGGACAAGGAGCTCACCGAGCTCGTCCCCGGTATCCTCAACCAGCTCGGTCCCGACTCGCTCGCATCGCTGCGCAAACTCGCCGAGAGCTACCAGAGCATGCAGAAGGAGAAGGGTGAGGCTGGCGAGAAGGATGACGACGAGGATGACGATGACATCCCCGACCTCGTTGCTGGCGACAACTTCGAGTCGGCTGAGAACAAGCCTGACGTCGAGTAAGCTGGCTTTTAGTTAAGCAGCCGAGGGAACAAAGTGTGTAGAGATTTCGCGGCGCAGAGATGCAGCGAAGGTCTACGGGTGTCTTGCCATGGGTAGCACGACCAATCCCATGCAGTCGTCAGCTTCGTTTGAGTTGGGCAGTTGCGGTGGACCGATGATGCGGACACCAGACTGGCGTATCATGAAAGATATGAAATGAAAAATATCCCAGCATGCAGGAAGCTTGTTCTACTCGAGGATACATGTGATTATGCAGCCAGATGGCGAACTCTGACTCTCTTCGACGAGCCTGGCATTGTAGGTCACTTGAAGTAGGTATTAACTCGCGTCGGAGAGAAGATTATATCAATGGTCCGAGACCAGCAACATCACCGAAAGATGAGGTCTTCCAACACTGACTGAAAGGAGCGAACAGTTACTCGCTGTTGATCTAGAGCAAGGCTTGTACGCGTAAAAGTAACGAGCTGGCCATAACATGAGGGCAAGAATGCGGCAGTGTATACAAGAGACATGGACCTGCAGCCGGAAGCCATTCGACTTCTCGGAGACAGGCAGCAACCACGACGGCTACTGAGAATCGCTCACGTTCGACTCTTGGCGCATCATGGCAACATTGGGAACAGCCGTGATAGACAGCCTCGCCGGCTGAAGCATGCTCCGTGGAGGGAGCTACCGAGCCTAAATGGCAAGAAGCTAGTCGCGGCAGTTTCGACCATTGTTTCCGATGTCAGCCTGCACCAACTCACCATCACTCACCCGCTGCACATGCACAATCCAAGCACAGCGTTCTCACGGACACCATACTCTCCCACAATACCTGTATGAATTCTCAAAATAAGCTGCAGACGCTCAATCTCCTCAACACATCCTGCATCTCACCACTGGTATTTCACGACTAACGGCAGCACATCTGTTGCAACACTCCCGAGATCTCGGCTCCCCATACTTAGCCCTAAGGCACGCTGAAGCTTAGGGCAAGCTCAACTTTATTTTAGGCGCGCCGCTGCCTTGACTCTGTACTTTATTGTGGCAACGTGTTTTACCCCCTTCCTCTGCTCTTCGCTGTTCTCTCCTGTTTTTCTGATACCCAAAACCTTCCCTTCCAAAGCTTGACTTCGTCTCGCCAGCACCATGAGCACAGAAACAATCCTCATCCTCGGCGGCTCCTACGCTGGCATCAGCGCCGCGCACTACGCCCTGAAGCACACCATCCCCCAGCTCCCCAAGGAAAACGACGTCACATACAACGTAACTCTCGTCAACCCTTCCAAGGACCTGTACTGGCGCTTCGCGGCCCCCAGAGCGCTCGTGAGCAAGCAAATGATGCCGTACGACCAGATCTTCTACCCCATCGAACCTGCCTTCACATACGCGTTTCCGAAATTCAAATTCATCCAGGGCACAGCTACGCATGTCGATGCGGCGGGCCAGAGCGTGAGTGTGACGACCGTGGAGGGCGAGCAGATGACGGTGAATTATGCGGCGCTGGTTATTGCGACGGGGTTTACGACGCCGAGTCCGCTGTTTACGCAGGCGAACGACCGCGCAAGCTTGGAGGCGGTGTATGATGCGTTTCAGCAGGGGTTGAAGACTGCGAAGACGGTGGTCATTGGCGGCGGAGGGCCCGTGGGTGTTGAGACAGCGGGAGAGGTTGCGGAGATACTGAATGGGCGGCCGGGCTTCATGGGCGCGGGGCCGAAGAACCCGAAAGCTCAAGTCACTTTGGTATGTGCGGATAAGAAGCTGCTGCCCGTGCTGCGGGAAAGTATTGGGAAGACCGCAGAGGGTTTTCTGAAGAAGCTTGGGTGCAGCGTCACGTACAACACACGCGTCGTCTCCGCAATAAAGACGAGCAAAGAAGAGGGCGCGAAGACAAAGGTCGAGTTATCGAACGGCGAGACAATCGAAGCAGACATCTACATCGACGCCACCGGCTCACGACCAAACACTTCCTTCCTACCCAAGGAGTGGCTCGACAACAGAAACAGAGTGTCTTGCAACCCCAAAACCCTCCGCGTCGAACACGAGTCCGCCGGCCCGCGCGTCTACGCCCTCGGCGACGTCGGATCCTACACGCGCGGCGGCGTGATGGACCTCTCCCTCGCCGTCCCGGTCGTAATGACAAACCTCAAACAAGACCTGCTCCGGCACCTCTCCGGCACCGTCTTCGCCGGCGACAGACACTACAACCCTAACTTGAAGGAACAGCAGATCTGTCCGATTGGCACGCAGAAAGGCGTTGGTGCGTTTAACGGGTTCAAGGTGCCGAGTCAGATGGTATGGATGATTAAAGGGAGGGATTATTTGATCTCGCAACTTGCGCAGGGCACGCTGAGGGGCGATCAGTGGAAGAAGGAGGGGAAGTGGACGCCGGTGCAGGATTTTGGGAAGGCGGGATTAAGTCAGGGGTGAGGTGGTGGAGGGCACGACGGAGTGTCGTGGTGAAGTTGTGGGTTTTTTTCCTAACTTAGTAGCTGAGCGTCCGGATACCCTGGAGATATAATATGTAGTAATATTTTGATCTTGTTCATGCTTGCATGCCTTCTGGCAGCGCTCTTGTGGTGTACCCGATTATTCCCTCGATACACTCGTTTGCTTCGTGATCGAAAGCATCTTTGTGACCATTCGTACCGGCCAGATTGCGCTTCTTCGATTGCGCTTCTTCGATGTTGTACTTCTCCCGTCTATGACGAAAATTCTATATGTTCATCAACGCTCACGGTCTCCCGCTGACTGCTCCCTCAACAACCGCCCACCTCTCTGTCGCTCTCTTAACAAGTGCCTTCATCGTCTCCCTCCCAACAACACCCCCGCCACTCTTCTCCACCCTCCGAATCACCCCCCGATCAACAGTAACCGTAACCGTCTCCCGACAAACCCCCTCCTCAAACGCATCAGGATCACTCAGCACCCACTCGCCGCCTGTCTCCCCATCGCCCTCGCCCCTGCCCTCAAACACTGCAAACGAGCTCGACACCGGCAGGCCCCTCAACTGCAATGTCCTTGCCTCACTCGGGTCATCCGAGCACAATATCCCCTCACACTCCTCGTCGAAATACGCGTGCGGCAGCCGTGTGTTTTTCAGCGCAGCGAGGATGGATAGCCATGTGGCATCAAACGCGTTGCCGTCTATGCTTATGAAGAATACGTCCAGGTACAGTACCCAGTACCCTTTCGATTCCGTCTCGGGCGCGGCCTCGGGGTCCTCGGGATTCGTAGTCGGCGTGTACGTTATCCTCAGATCGCGGGCGCGCAGGAGGCGCGTGCTGTGGAGCAGGCTGCGTATCCGAGTGATGAGGCTCTGTGCGAATGTGGATGGTGCGTTGCCGGGGATGTGGGCGGGTGTTGAGCCGGTGCTCAACTCAACATTCGGTACGAGTAAGCGCAGAGTTTCGACTTCGTCTTCTGCGCCTGCGTCTTCATCTCCTTCCACGTCGCCGTTGGCGTTCACGGCGGCGGGCGACGATGTACCGGGTGTGTCTTCCTCTTTCAGGATTTCTGCGCGCACGCCACAGACCACGCTGGTGTTGCCTAGTCGGACTACGGCTGAGCCATTGCAGTGTGTCAGACTCCCTGTGTTCACGCCTGGAGCGCGGAACTCGTGTGCAGCGCGACCGTTGGCGCGGACAGCAGTCTTGCTGGCGGAGAGGTGCGCTTGTAGGAATGGGTGGGGCGAGACGGCGGCGAAGATGGGGCGCGGGAATGTGAGGGCGGGTGGGGGTGCGGAGGCAGCGGTAGCCATTGTGTGTAGAGTTGTGTTGGTGGTTGAGGTCACGAGTTGGAGGTTGGTGACGTTGTGTTGGAAATTTTGAAGCTTCAGCTTCCGCATGGCGCTAGAGTTGAGCTTAAGGTCGATGGGGCGTGGGGATCATCCCATCACCACCACACTTATCCAGGCGACAGTTCGGAAGGTTCATATAGAGTATAAGTCGTGGTAACATTTCGAACAAGAGATAGCCTGCAATAACACGCCTCTCCAACGAAGCAAATCCGCCCAACCGAATGCCAAACTGAACGCCTGCCCATCGTAAATGTCGCCGAAAGATGCTAATATGCTGGCTGAAATGAAGTTTCAAAAATGCTGTCAAGAACGCCCTCGAACATGAAGAACAAACGGAAGAGACGGAAGGATAGGACGGAAGGACCGAGGTCGATCCAGCTGCGCTTTTTCGCTCCATCCCCTGGCCAGCCATTGTATCCAGAAAGCCACCAGTCTCCTCTACCCATGGTATCCAAACACCCAAGAATTACCCTTCGTCAATCGTCATTACTTGGCGGCCGCTTCATCTCACTATCCTCTTGCTCCTCACGATAAATGGACTGGGCATCTCAGGCTCCGTCTCGGGATCCCAAACAGCGGGCTCCTTACTCCTCAGCTTCATTGGACTCCTGTACCCAAACGCGCGCTTCTTGATACCCTCGTCATCACTCATAGTCTGAACGGGGATGCCTCTGGCTTGCTGAAGCTCCACCAACGTGCGGCCTTGCACGCCACCGTTATTGCGCATGGCCTGGATACGGATCGCTTCGTTGCCCTTCTTCGACTTGAGACCCACAGCAGGCTCAGAGCGTGCTGCAGATGCGGCGGTGGGTTGGAGGTGCGTCTTTCGTGGCGATGGAGAGAGCGCCTCGGTGGACTTCGATTTTGGTCTGCTTGGTGATGTGGCGATGATGGGAACCGCGGAGACTGGCCGAGGCTTGTTCGTAGGTGCGAGGTTTGGTGTGCTGCCGAGGCGGTGGTGAGGTTTGACGAGGGGACGCGCGGCGTTGGCGAGGACTTTGAAGGGATCTTCGTTTGCGGAGCGGTTGCTGTTAGCACTGCGAGCGCGTGTTGGAGATGGGAGAACGGGGAGGTCGTCATCGTCATCAAAGTCGCCGTTCCACTCCTCTGCTGTGGGCGAAGGAGGAACCTCTGCCTCCCACCTCTTGGCTCCATCCTTAGCAGCAGCGAAAATGTTCTGGCGAGAGACCATCTTACGCGGCGAGAGCGACAATCCAGCGAGCGAAGCTGGTGCTGGGGAGGGTTCACCCATCTGGACATCTACAGGCGATGCAGGAGCGTTGGGTGCAAACATAGTGCGCGCACGCGAGAGGGGAGCACGGTTGGGTCGCTTGAGTTTGGCTGTGATCGTGACATGCTCTGGGTGTTCTGGGGAATCCTCGAGCGACAGGGCGGAGATATCTGTCCCGCTGCCAAATCCAGAGTTGGTGCCGAGCGTACTTGTCGAGCCACTCACGACGGTTGCGTCGGTGTCGGCAGGGAAAAGCAGCTCCTGTTCTGCTGGCTGCATAACCGGAGTATTCGATCGAGGGGCGAGCTTCGGTGATGTGCTGGGACGCTTCGGGTGCTTCTTCAGGGCCTCCTTGACGCGCTTCTGGACCTCTTTTTCGAACTCCGCTTGCAAGTGAGCCAGCTCCTTCTGGACGCGCTCCTCGGTCTGAAACTTGACCTGGCGCTCGATCTCCAGGCGGGCCTTGACTTCCCACTCTCGTCGCAGCTGGTCGTCGATCTCCTTGCGCATGCGCTCGATGGTGTTGTTTGCTTCCTGTTCTCTTCGTGCTGCCAACATCCTCTGCTCCTTCAAGTCCTGGCCCAGCTTGACAACTTCCTGCTCTTTGCGCATCAGCTTGACAATCGGCAGGTTCAGCAGTGCGGCGGTATCTGGTCGATGGTCTGGCGTGACCTGCAAACAGCTGGCAATGACTTTACGCAGCTCAGCGGAGTAGCATGCTGGTATGTCTGGGTAGCGACCCGTTTTGATCTTCTGGATGAGGTCGAAATGTGTCTTCGCATTGAACGGCGGTGTCTTCGCGCACATTTCGTATATTATGCAGCCCAACGCCCAGATATCAGAGTGAGGGCCGTACTGCTCCGCCTTGCAGATCTCCGGCGACATATAGAAGGGGGTGCCGACATAGGTGGATGCGAAGTCGTGCGATTGGAGGATCTTGGAGAGACCAAAGTCACCGAGCTTGACCGAGTTGTCGTCGCCGAGGAAGACTGTTGTTGTTATTGTTGTTAGTATGCTCTATCGATCGATCGTTTTTGGTACGTCATCAGGGTCCACTCACTGTTCTCAGGTTTCAGGTCGCGATGAAGAATCATGGGCCTCGAGCGCGCGTCTCGAGAGGGCTTCGCGTTCGCAGCGAGTCCCATAACATTGCGGCCAGCAGCTGGCGGATCCTCGCCGTAGTGGCAGCGGTACAATGCGCTGATGATCTGGCTGAAGATACTCCAGACAAACTCCTCCTCGCACACCTGGTTCTTGTTCTTCAGGTCGCGGATGACGCGCCCCAGATCGCCATTGCCGCAGTATTCCATGTACAGATGCAGGTCCTGGCTCGCCTTGATGTGGTCGCGCTCAAAGTAGGCGACGATGTTGGGGTGTCGGAGTTCTTTGAGGATGGACAGCTCGGCCTGCAGCTGCTCGCGCTCCTTCTGCGACATCTTGCAGTAGCTGATCTCCTTGCGACAGAGGATATAGCCATCGGACTTGCGCTTGACTTTTCTGATGATTCCAAAGGAGCCATGTCCTACGGTGGCCATCAGTATACCAATCCAATTTTGGGACATGATCCCATCCACGAGGCGATGCACGCACCAATCTTCTCCAGGACGTCGTACTTGTCGTCCTCTGGCATATTGGCGGTGTATCACTATTGCGCTGAATACATGCAACGAAAGTTATATCGGGGTGTGGGATGCTGCGGCGTTAGTAGTGCTTCGAGGTATGCGATGTTGCGGGCAGACGTGCAGACATGCCCTTTGATTGTTTAGCCGTGTTTGGGTAGTAGCCCGTCGACTAAGCAACCATGCACGAGAGTATTAGGGGTCCACTTCGCCGCCTTATCACCGAGGCTCTGACGCCACCGCTCAAAAGATGGGACGAACATTTGGTGCATGGTGAGGAATCACTCGCATTCGCCACTATGGACGTCAAGAAGAAGTACGAGCTCGAGGCCGCCCTCGCGACAGAAGCGCAGGCGATTTCGTCTGGGCAGCTGAAGGAGGAGAACCCGCTGGACCTGAGCGATGACTTTAGGTTGTTCTGCGAGGCGTGTCGGCGGGGTGACTTGAAGGTCTGCCAGGAGATGATTTCGCAGGGTGTAAACCTCAACGCGCGAGACAAATACGATTACACACCTTTGATTCTTGTAGGTTCGATAGTAATTTGTGTTCTTCATGCTGTGCTGACCGGTAAAGGCCAGTCTGTGCGGTCACTACGAGGTTATTCGACTGCTTCTTGAGAATGGTGCGCTCTGTGAGCGCGATACCTTCCAGGGCGAACGATGCTTATACAACGCACTCAACGACCGCATACGAAACCTGCTGCTTTCTTATGACTACGCGAAGTCAACGAACCCTCTGCAACCGCTTGCGGCGCACATCACCTCGCTCCTCACACGACCATCACCGAAGACTGCCGACATTGCGATCACTGCGTTCGACCAGACCTTCTATTTGCACAAGTTCTTGCTGGCAGCTCGGTCGCCGTACTTCGCGAAAAAGTTGGCAGCAGCACCGTCTACAACATCATGGAAGCTGCCGGACAAAATACCTGCAGAGTCGCTGGGAATGGCATTGCAGTATCTGTACTTCCAGGAGGTGTCCATACGGCGGGCGTTGTTAGGCCTGAGTGATGAACAAGAGCTTGTAGTCCTCAACGGCATCGATAAGGTTGGCAAGCAACTGGAAACCGAGCGGTTGTTCGAAGACATCACAGAGATCGACGATCGTAGACGATTACGGCAGCGCAGAGCAGATGAACTGTCAAGAGGCCGAGATCAGCTGGATGATTGGTTCCAGAACAACATTGTGAAGCACAAGAGGGTCGTCGACACAGACAAGGTCGACAACATCAAGTGGGACCGCGAAAATTCCATCTTTGCCGATATTCTACTGCGCGCAGACGACGATGAAGAACTCGAGCCTGAGCAATCTGGCACTTCGACCCCTACTACAAGGACCATAAATGGACCGCTCAACGGCCTCCCCGTTGGCCCCAGACAGTCGAGATCTCCGTCACGGCAGCGCAAGCCTCGCAAATCGACCGTATACCCTGCGCACCGCGCGATGCTGTTGCGATCAGAATACTTCTTGACAATGTTCAGCTCAGAGTTCAAGGAGGCGCAAGAGACACCACACCTACAAGTCATCACTGTAGACTGCTCGCCTGCTGTCCTTGAGACGATCCTGACCTTCATGTACACTGAACGTGCAGATTTCGGCCTCGATATTGCTATCGACGTACTCTTCGCAGCAGACATGCTGTTCATCGAAAAGTTGAAGCAACGCGCTGCCATTATCATCTCTGCGTTGGGTAATGGCTCTACATCAGCCGTGGAATCTGACAACCCTCGTGGTGCGACTGATGCAGACGAGACGGTTGACATCTACGAGGTTCTCCAGGCTGGTTGGGAAACGAAAGTACAGCGTTTGGAAGAGTTTGCAGCACGGTACATCGCCTACCGACTCGAGTTCTACATCGACGAGCCTGAGTTCGCGCAGATTGTTCAAGAGTCAGCCAACAGGGTCAAGGCGCGTCAAGAGACAGATACGGTCGAACTGGTCGACGATATTCGGTACTACCTGTCGGAGCGCTTCAGGCTTCGATTCGAAGACAGTGGGCTTGACGAAATGATGGATGAAGATGCCGCGGTCAAGGCTGCTGAGAAAGACCTCGGCCTTGCTGTGGATGACTTGTCTTTGGAGGACAAGAAGAAAGACGAGCAGGCTCCTCCCGTCGAGCAGCAAATTGCTGCTGGTGCTATACGGACTCTCGATGGTGAGATCATCGGCGACGAGTTCTTGCAGGACGCTCAGAACTATCAGATCTTGCTGGGTAAGATTGATAGTCTGCTGGAGAGGCTCAACCTAGACGCTTAGACGTAGAGTGGCATATAGAGCATCGCTGTTGATTTTCAAGAGGCATATAGAGTATCGCTGTTGGTTTTCAAGAGGCATATTGAACGTTGTTAGCCGACTGCTGAAATCTGCAAGCACTCGCAAGTCTTGAGATGCACACTGTTGCATTCCACGTCAGCCTCTGTGGTCTCCAAGGGAGCTGTTGCAGTGTCGAAGTGGTACGGGAAGGGTTGTTGCTGGTCTAGACTTGCATTTGCCTGCACATCTGCTTTCGGTGTTCAGGAATGCTACAACTCCCGTTCGTCGATTGCACGCCATGACATCATCAGCGGGGTAGCTCCGGATGGCCGAGCTCCACCAGATCTACATCATAGTACCTTTACAAATACCTCTCCACAATATAATGCGCGCAATTGCTCGTACTACGTCAGCTTCTCGTTCTTCACTTTGCAAGACAGTTTCTCGAACAGCAGTTTCTCAGCTTACACGTACCTCAATCACACACACAAGCTCACCAGTAGCTGCACCTACTGCCCCACACATATCCATACGAACAGTAAAGATGTCGACGGAAGGAACACAGTCGCATGCATGCTGCAACACACCCGCTGTTACCGGCGGCGACTACAAGGAGAAGGGCGAATGGATTCAGGCTGATGGACTGAAGACGTGTGCGTTAAACTACTGAAATTACTCGTGAACCGCATACTAAACCTCTTAGATAGATGCCACTGGGTCCAAAGACGCAAAGACCGGAATCCTGATCGTCTATGACATCTTCGGTTTCTTCCCACAGACACTTCAAGGTGCCGACATCCTCGCCTACACAGACAAGGAGCAGCAGTACCAGGTCTTCATGCCCGACTTCTTCGAGGGCAAGCCGGCCGACATCTCATGGTACCCTCCGGACAATAAGGAAAAGGAGAAGAAACTCGGCGAGTTCTTCCAGGCAAAGGCTGCGCCGCCAAAGACACTGCCGCGCATCCCCAAGATTGTCGATGAGCTGAGCAAGAGCAAGGGTATTGAGAAGTGGGCTATCATTGGCTTCTGCTGGGGCGGAAAGATTGTCAATCTTTCCTCGCAGGAGAACACCAAGTTCAAGGCTGCTGCTGCCTGCCACCCGGCTATGATTGCTAAGGATGATGCGCTCGGTATCACCATTCCGTACATCATGCTGCCGTCTGGCGATGTAAGCTCTCTACATTCTTAGATGAAGAACTCTACTGACCATGTCTGAAGGAGTCCAAGGACGATGTCGAGGCGTGGCAGAAGGGCGTCAAGGTTCCCAACGTTGTCGAGTGGTTCCCAGATCAGGTACACGGATGGATGGCTGCGCGTGGAGATCTGTCGCAGGACAAGGTCAAGAAGGAGTATGAGCGTGGATACAAGCTGGTCTTGGACTTCTTCCACAAGCACTTGTAAGTGGATGGAACACGCATGATATGCACCTACTGAGACGCTTTCAGGGGTGCGGATTCGAAGTTGTAAGCTGGTATAGCTGCACAGTATCGTCAGTACATTATGATATGAACTTGAATTAACAACAACACGGTGCTCCATTCACTCTTCAATCGTTCAAACGCGCAGTCACGTGAACATGCATTTGTTATGTCTGAGATCTTTCGAGCTCGGCACGGATACCATCGAGTTTCGTTGAAAGCTTCAAAATCCTCAGAAAGTCGAAGAAAGCCCTACTATCAGGACAGCTGAACGCCTGCACATTACACAGTCTCAATTCCTGTCCAATCGCTTTGCAGTCGTTCACATGTGATAAATTGACGCGAGTAATGGAGCACAAAAGTGTTGGCCGAGTAGTCTCGCAGCACGTCTCCAGCTGCAACCACCCGAGTCTTCAACGCAGTAGCTCACACGTGGCACCGTCGAACAGTCGTGCAGATAACGGCAAAGTCCAAATATCTATCGCAATCTTGAAATCTTGAACCCCACCTCCGTGATCCTTTGTGCATGGATGTGCTGTCTCAACTCCATCAATCTCCACACCCCAGGCAAACTTGCCCTCCGCCGTCAAAGCTTGCCGCGTGTGGACCTTCGGAACCGCTACTGCGTTCGGCCAGAACGTCATGGTTATTTTTGCGACAAGCGCGCTCAACAGTTCAGCAAAACGTTCTGGCGACTGATAGCAGCGCAGAGATTTGTGGAGAGGCGCAAGAGGTCTGCGACAGAAGCCATTGCGAGTCGTGAAGCCGTGATTGAGGCTCTTCTCCAGGTCTGGGCTCTGCAGCGGCAGAGAGCGCTTGCCTGCTGCAGCATGGTCGATAAGGGCGACCCGCGTAGCACGGGCCAATGACGATAGTGGAAACTCCGTTCGTTGAGTTCCTGCATGCGTTCGCTCTGCGGCAGGAAGCAAATGTCGACGCCGTCTCCAAAATCTCTTGCATCGTGTTTTGACTTGTCTCTTCCTCCAAACTCAGTCTCGAGCACCGAGAACGCTCTCTCCGCCAGCCTTACAGCATTCGGCTTAGACCGCCCTATTATTCGTGTTCCTATTATTTTCCTTGCACAGTTTGGTTGCATAATTGCTTGTCCAATTGCCTGCATATCCACATCGACACCGCCAATCGCGCCGAGCCGCACCCTTCATTCATTGCCAGTTGACTCGATAGCCTTTACACTCACCCAGGTACACATTCACTATGGTTCTCATCGAGAATCAGGAATACCTCTGCGAGGAGGAGAAGCGTCTCAAGGAGGACCGCGAGCGCACTGCTTACTGGAAGCGATGGGGGCCCTATGTTGCCGAAAGGCAGTGGGCTACTGGTCAGTCTCATTACGATGCTCTCTTTAACGTCTGCTAACTTGTGACAGTCCGCGAAGATTACTCGTGAGAACCCCGAATGCTGCTGATGCCTTGACATACTAACAAATCACAAAAGCCATGACGGAGATGCGTGGAGCCGTATGTACCCTCGACTTCGACATCAATGACTATCACTGACTGTTCTCAGACTTCACGCACGATATGGCACGATCGCGCGCCTTCCGCTGGGGTGAGGACGGTATCGCCGGTGTCTCCGATACGCACGGCTTCCAGAACGTTACCTTTGCTTTCTGGAATGGAGAGGAGTATGTCGATACCAATAGTTACTACTATTGACTTGACTGACTTCGACAGTGACTTCCTGAAGGAGCGTCTGTTCGGTCTTTCGAACCCTCAAGGTAACCACGGCGAGTCGCTCAAGGAGGCTCACTTCCATTTGGACAACACACCAACTGTACGTCACTCCTCTGCACTACGTTGCACCGCTAACAAGGTCACAGCACTCGTACATGAAGCTCCTCTACAAGCTGCCCCAGCGCAAATTTCCATATGAAGACCTCATTAAAGAGAACGCAAAGCGCAACAGACTTGAGAAGGAGTACAACATTACCGACACTGGCATCTTCGATGATGACCGCTACTTCGACATCTTCATCGAGACCGCAAAGGAGGCAGACAATCCGGATGAGCTCCTTTTCCGAGTCACCGCATACAACCGCGGTCCAGACGCCGCACCACTTCACATTGTACCCCACGTCTTCTTCAGGAATACATGGGCTTGGGGGCACGAGGATATCAAGAAGAAGCCTTCGATCCAGAAGGTCAGCCCAACCACCGCACAAACGAAACATTACAAGCTTGGAGACCGTTTCTTCCAGCTATCGCCCTCCCCCGGTGTGGGATCAAGCGGTGACGACGTACAACCCGAACTGCTCTTTACCGAAAACGACACCAACTACAACAAGCTGTGGAAGGTCGAGAACAAGACTAGATTCGTGAAGGACGGCATCCACGAGCGTATTGTGAACGAGAAGACCGAAGCTGTCAACCCTGATAACGTTGGTACCAAGTGTGCAGCCTGGTATGCTTTCGATGAGGATGAGGGCGTTCCTCCTGGCGAGTGCGCCGTTGTGCGTTTCAGACTGTCGTTGAGGAATGAAGGCTTCCTCGATGAGGAGCTCTTCGACGACATCATGGAGCAGCGACGCGCCGAGGCAGACGAATTCTACTACCGCATCAGCCCTCTGCCTATGGCCGATGATCTGCGCAACATCCAGCGCCAGGCGTTCTCAGGTATGCTGTGGTGCAAGCAGTACTACCACTTTGTCTGGGACCAGTGGGCGAACGGCGACCCGAACATGCCTCCTCCACCTCCGGACCGAAAAGCGATCCGAAACAAGGAATGGAAGCACATGTACCTGGACGATATTCTGTCTATGCCGGACTCGTGGGAGTATCCTTTCTTTGCTGCTTGGGACAGTGCCTTCCACTGCATTCCGCTTGCAATGATCGATCCCGACTTTGCGAAGAAGCAGTTAGATCTGTTTACTCGCGAATGGTCCATGCATCCCAATGGTCAGCTGCCAGCTTACGAATGGAACTTCGGCGACGTCAATCCTCCAGTTCACGCCTGGTCGCTCTTCCGAGTCTTCAAAATTGAGCGCAAGATGTACGGACGTGAGGACTTCGACTGCCTCGAGCGTGTGTTCCAGAAGTTGTTATTAAACTTCACTTGGTGGGTCAACCGCAAAGACGCTGACGGCAAGAATATCTTCGAGGGTGGTTTCCTGGGACTCGACAACATTGGCATCTTCAACCGATCCGATCCTCTGCCCACCGGTGGTGTCTTGGAGCAAGCCGACAGCACAGGCTGGATGGGCTTCTATTGTTTGAACATGCTGAACATCTGTTTGGAACTTGCCAAGCGTCGTCGTATCTACGAAGACATGGCCTCGAAGTTCTTCGAGCACTTCATCATGATCAGTGATGCTATGCAGTACCGCACCGGCGGCGAGTCGAAACCGCTTTGGAACGAGGAGGACGGATTTTACTACGACGCTATCTCCTGGGGTGGTCCTTGGAGCCACCAGATGCCTGTCCGCTCTCTGGTCGGTCTCATCCCTCTTTACGCCACATTGACTCTGGAACCGGAAGTCATCAACAGACTGCCCAACTTCAAGAAGCGGGTTGAATGGTTCATTCACAACCGCCCGGAGACCGCTCAGCGCAACATTGCATCGATGAAGAAGCGTGGGCAAGGAGACCGCATGCTGTTGTCTCTTGTCAGCGAGGACCGTCTCAAGCGCATCATGCAGCGCATGCTTGACGAGGATGAGTTCTTTGCCGACCACGGTATCCGATCACTGTCGAAATACCACAAGAATCACCCGTACTCAATGGATGTCAACGGCCAACGTTACCAAGTTAGCTACCTCCCTGGTGACTCAGACAGCGGCCTTTTCGGTGGCAACAGTAACTGGCGTGGACCAATCTGGCTGGCAGTCAACTTCCTGCTTATCGAGTCTTGCCAGCGATTCCACTTGTACTACGGCAACAACTTGACGGTCGAGTGTCCCGTGGGCTCTGGTGAGTATATGCATCTGGGCCACGTTGCCGAAGAGATTCAGCATCGTCTCCAGCATCTGTTCGCCCGTGGCGATGACGGTAGAAGAGCCATCAACGACGGCAACCAAATGCTGGACTACGACCCGAACTGGAAAGACTACATGTGGTTCCATGAGTTCTTCGATGGTGACACTGGACGTGGTTTGGGAGCGACTCATCAGTGCGGCTGGACCGGCTTGATCGCGAAGATGATCCACGACACCGGGTAAGTTTGTTCCTTTTTTGACGATCAGAGCAGGACTAACATTGTACAGTATGACATGCCGACTGCCACAAACACCACGTACACCAACTGCTGCCGCCGCGCACTACTTCGACGATGTTCTTAGCACTGGACCTCGACCGAAGAAGCCCTCCAACCTCCGCCGATCCTCGACAACTCGTAGTATTGGGTTCCGTAGCGACTACGAGACTAGCATCAACGGCGACGATGAGGACCCGATCAGCCCAGTCAGGCGGAACAACTCGGTCGGCTACCTTGACGAAGACGCTATCAAGGCCAAGCAGGAGATCCAGGACAGGTTCAACCACTACGTCAGCGGCCAGCTTGAGCGTGTCAAGACTGGCATGCAAGACTACGAACCGGATGAGTTTGAGACGTCGGTGGATGGCACAGACGAGCGACCGAGGGGCAGGCAAGGCCCCAAGGCCAAGTCAAATGGTCACAAGGAGCGCCAGGACTACTTCGAGCAGGACGAGTACTTCAGCAGATGATCGAGCTGATTGTGCAGGCATAGTTTTGTTTGGTGGAGCGGCAACAGTTGTAATGGACAGCACCTCATATATCCCTAGACCCTAGAGTAGATCTCAACAACACACCAACTTCTCACTTCTTATACTTTTGTCAAATTGTGCAACCTTGAACATACAGTGCGGTGTGTTTTGGTTGCAAGTGAGCTCCACGTGCTTGCGTCATTGGTCCGAGTGTCCGGGCAGTCGCGATGGAGATCAGATTAGGGTCCATTTGCCAAACACCAAAACAGTCCCCACACAGTCCAGGCCAGCGTCACTCAGGTACACAACACCACGCCTTTCTTTTCGTCCCTTCTTTTGCTCTCGATTGCTTCTGAAACACTCCTTATACCTACTTGAGCCTATTCCAACCGCAAACTGTATGTGCCTGCAGTCTTGCAGTTCTACCCCTCATTGTCTCCTGGCTAACTAAATGCGATGACAGACGGTACACGACACCGTTGACCTATATACCTCACGATACAAGCGCGATCGCCATGTCAGGCTTCATAACCACAATGTTCGTCTCTTCCCCATACAGTATTCAGTTTCCCGCGAAACCCCCGGCCCGTCTCCCCCATATCCACGTTTGTCCAGAGCCAGAGCTGCATGAACCTCCGGATGGACATGCTCGACTACCAGGAACGATGCATAGCCGGAGGAATATTGATACAAGATCTGGGCCTTGCGACGAGAAGAGCGTGCTCACAAGCCTTGCGATGCCGAAAGAGACATATAAGAGTCCACTACAGAGGCTGTGAGAGGCGTTACGGCTGCCGCAATCTGGCAATGCGCTTACGAAGGCGTTGGTTGAAGATAGAGCTCCTGATGCGCGAGGTCGACAACCACCAAAAACCAACCCCTCAAACAACCCCTCAAACAGCCAGTCCGCTAGGATAGTCCCATGCGCCCGCCCGCCGACTACTCGTATAGCGTATAGCCTCTTTCCTGGCAGCAGCAACGCGACCACCCCGAACAACCCTACAAGCAGCACAGCTCTGGACTCTGGACAGCAATATTTCGCGCCGAAGGACTGCAGCAATGTGAAACCGGCACCTAGACCATTACCAGACGCGCCACGCAACAACGGTTATTTTGCGAGCCCTCGCTTACTTTCTTCTCTTTTTAGTAACCCGCGCACTCGTGCGCCGTTCAAGCCACAGAAGTCGAATCGAGGCACAAGCAGCTGGCAGCTGAAGCAGTATGCGGAGGCGACACTCGGCAGCGGCAGTCTGAGGAAGGCTGTCAAGCTGCCTGAGGGCGAGGACAAGGACGAATGGCTGGCTGTCAACAGTGAGCATCATGAGCACAACTACTGGGGGATGAGCTGACATGCATGACAGTTGTCGACTTCTACAATCAGATCAACCTGCTCTATGGGTCCATCACCGAGTTCTGCTCGCCGCAGAGCTGTCCTGAGATGAAGGCGACAGACGAGTAGGTCAACAAACGATTTCTCCATGATCACCTTCTAACGCTTTTCAGATTCGAGTACCTCTGGCAAGACAGCGAAAACTATAAGCGACCCACCAAGATGCCTGCGCCCGAGTACATCGAGCACCTGATGGCATGGGTGCAGTCTAACGTCGATAACGAGCAGATGTTCCCCAGCCGTATCGGTGTGCCATTCCCGAAAACCTTCCCGTCGCTCATTCGCAACATGTTCAAGCGCCTGTACCGCGTCTATGCACACATCTACTGCCACCACTACCCCGTCATCATCGAGCTCGGTCTTGAGCCCCACCTCAACACGAGCTTCAAGCACTACGTGCTGTTCATTGACGAGCATGGTTTGACAAACGGCAGCAAGGACTTCTGGGGGCCTTTGGGTGATCTTGTGGACAGCATGTTGAGGAGCGACTAGATGTCTTGCCTTGAAACAGGGTGCAGTCTTGGGTCAGGAGCACCCAAGGTAATTGTTGAGTCCATTTCGGTTTAGTGGGATGCAATCAGCAACCACAGCATGGGGCAGGCTTACGGCGTTGGGGAAATTGGGACATGCATGTACAGAGGGATATCCAGAGCATTTCTTCCACGATGTACGAGTATCACGGACGACGAATCGAACAGCGTGGCGTTTTTGTCGCTCAAGCTACGCTTTGCAGTGCTCGCGAGATGTGATCACCTATCGCCTTGCATATGCACTCGAGGCGCTTTGAAGAGGCATATCATTCGATCCCCTGCATGAGCTCGCCGAACTGGGGCCTGTGTAACGGCTTTGGGGCTGCCACGCGAGTGGGCGGCCGTTGCACAGCGTTTGCTTTTCTCCGGTGTCAGGCGAAGAGAGACTGACAGATCAGCGGAGCATACAGATGCTGTGCTCTGTGTCTACTTATGTTGCATCGCTAGATCCTTCGTCCGCCGAGAAGTATCCTGGTAGTCGGCGACGTGAGTACGAGCAAGAAGGACCGAAAAGCCCGAGATTACAAAGGATGAGCAGGTGTGTGGAAGTCTTCGAGCAACAGCAGTAGCCCCGAAGACGTGTAGATACTGAATGGAGACTGCTATGTAAGGTCTTGGGTCTGTGGTTTCTGTGTTGATGTTGATACCATGCGGGCGTCCACAGCAAGCCGCTCCGGCGATCATGTTTCCTTCTTTCTCTGAACTCAACTTCAGCTCCTCCAGACCAACGACACATAAGCTCTGGAGCGCATTCCACTTGCTCGCCATCAACCACAATCATTGCCGACACGTAACGCGAAAGCTTCGAAGTCTGATCACCGGCGTCGGCGTCTCTACACAGTCGGCGAGGTATAGATAACACATCTCCGCAAAATTATGCGAGGAGCTCCACAATCACGTGATCTTCGCATATGAAACGCATCGCACAACGGCGACAGCGCCCGTCATCAGCCTTCCAGGTATCGCGTATAATGTCACCCACCAACAGCCCAGCGTCGGCGACGTCCCACTTGAAAACGCCACCACGCGCGAACCACGTCCAGGGTGCACACTAGGCTCGAAGGGGGCGTGTGATAGACGCACTAACCCTTTCATATCTTGCGGGTAGTCGTGACTCGGGTCAAATTGCACTTCCTGCTCAAGTTCGCCGACTACAGGACGAAATGATTGCTGCGATTGGCGAAGGGGAGTCTGAAAGGGAGCCCGCCGACGAGCGTAAGAGATAGCTCCCGCTTTTAGTAGAGGTATCACTAGATGAGTAAGTGGTCTGAAAAGCTGTTGGCGGCGAGTCTAGTACGCTACAAGGTCTTGTGGTATTTCTTTCACCTGCCACCCCGTCTTTGCGCTTCTCTGTTTGGACGCCAGCAATAGTAATGTCAAGAGGAGGTGCAGAAACCTGGAGGTAACCCGGATGTTTACTCCCGTCGAAACTACGATTGGCGCTGTGCTGCTGCACAAAGCGACCAGCAACCTCCTCTATCAGAATGGCAACATCTTGGGTCTCTCTGGCTTTCTGGGGCGGTTGGTGACTGCGCCAAGCGTGGAGATACTGGCTTTCTTTACAGGCATGGCAGCGAGTTATCCGCTACTCAGCTCTCTGGTCCCAGAGGTGGTTACAAGATATCCTTCGATGCCGATCACGTTGCAGACTATCTTGTTCACCACAAGTGTTGCAGCTCTGATAGGCTGGAGTACTAAGGTGCGTGAACCCATCAAGGTCAATCGAGGACAAGGGTCTGATCAAATTTAGGCATCAAATGGCTGCACATCTGGACACATGCTCTGTGGTCTCTCTAGACTCAGTGGACGTTCCACTGTAGCGACTGCGACCTTCTTCACCGTGGCATTGATCACACACCACCTTGTACATCCCAGTCTCTACACCGAGGCGTGTCCCGGCGACGTACCATGCTACACGCCTGTCTTTCCGTCTCCACCAACAACTTTAGCACTCGGACTTCTTACCAGCAGTGCCATCCTCGCCGCTCAAACGATACCGCACTTTATCGCCGAAGCAACATCATCGCACGCTGCCAACACTAAGACCTCCTCGGACCCTCAAGATGCAGCACGCACAGCAACACAATTCTTCAGCGGCCTCCTCTTCGCCCTCGGTCTCCAAATCTCCGGCATGGCCCACCCCGCAAAAGTCACATCCTTCCTCTCCTTCCCCGTCATACACGCATGGGACCCATCTCTCGCCCTCGTGGTCCTTTTCGGCGTGCTTCCCAACATTGTCTCCATACAACGGAAAGGCTTCGCCAAGCCACCGGCTTTTGCGAAGATGTTCGAGCTCCCGACTAAGACCATCAAGGATGTGGATGTTAAGTTTGTGGCTGGTGCGGCGGCGTTTGGTGTGGGATGGGGGCTTACAGGGACGTGTCCTGGGCCTGCGGTGCTGAGGGCTTTCGCGCAGCCGGTTTGGGGCGTGTTATGGTTGGGTGGATTTTGGGTGGGGAGACGAGTCGGCGGAGCATGAGTTGGATGCTGCATGTTACGGAGAAGACACGACGTTTTAGTTCAGAGCTACCCTGTTTGTACCAATGAATTGGATTCCGATCGCACCTTAGGCTTCACCTTCCCACTTTCACCATCTGCGCTTGCTTTGTAAATGGTATGGTGCATCTCAATTATGAGACTAGCCACGGAAGCGCCTGCCTGAAAATTGGAGACTGCCACAGGATATTCCCATGATTTCAACGGGATCCTTGCCTTTAGGCGTGGTTGCCTGCGTGCACAGGCAGCCTGACGAAGTACCGCAAATATGAACGCTCTTCGCCCACAGGCAGTGTCTCGCGCATTCTCATGTCTCCAAGCTTACCTCTCTCGCTTCTCTCGTCCTCCATCTTCACTTACACGTGTATTGCCAATCGTCACCCGAAGAAACTTCTGGTCCTGCCATTGCTCACAGACGCAAAGTTGTTTGACAGCCATACTGCAACCGCTCTTGTCTCTGCTACCAGCCAATTGTCTCTTTTCTCTACCTTCACATACTCTCCATACGTTTCATTGCCTGAGGCCCGTGAGTATTTGGTTCACATAACCCCTCAGCAACGTCCCTGGAACTCCTCCAACCCTGAAGTGAAAGGACAAACCCCGTCTGCGCTAGTTGCGTCAGACCTTCGCGCCATACGATACAAATATCGCTCCTTGCCCTGCGCGTTACTTTATCGTCTCGCGCCAAAACGATATCAACTGTCACACAGGCGCGCCTACAAACCCATGTCACAGTACACCACAAACTGAACATCGAAATCTTCCCTCGCCTCCAACACCACTATGGCGAAAGCCTACGTGATCTGCGGTGGTGATGAAGCCAGCGGCGAACAAATGCTCGAAACTCCCTGTCAGCAACACTGTCTGCACGAATGATGTGGGCAGTTTCTTCGAGTGCGCTACCGAGAACGAGAGCCTCTACCCACCTAAGTGCTGCGGTCAAATCTTCCTACTCGATTTATACGAGAGTCATATTCCCTTTGACGTACAGTGGGCGTTTCAGATGAAGGAGCAAGGGGAGTACTCCGTATTGGCTAAGTACATCTTCATGATCGACTTCCACTTCCATGCTAACGGGTGTAGGTACCGTGTCTACTGCGCCAATCCAGCTTGCTCAGAGTTCCTCAGCCCGGCAACACATGTGAAGGATCCGTCTACCAATGTCGGCTACACCATTTGCCAGGACGATGTGTGCGGGAAGCTCACATGCACGTCCTGCAAGATACTGCTGAACGGCATTGAAGGTCACACTTGCGACCAAAACGAAGATTACAAGAAGTTCAAACATACAGCTACGGAGAAGGGCTTCCAAGAGTGTCCGATCTGCGCCTCCACCGTCGAGCTGACCGAGGCGTGCAATCACATCAAGTACGTTGACCACTACCACATTGCTGTGTGCGCTAACCATCAATAGCTGCGAGTGCGGTGCCGAATTCTGCTACATCTGCGGCGAGCAGTGGCAAGGGATGCAAGGCTGCTCACACTACGGCCCCGCGATTTACGACGAAGAGGGCTACAACCAGGATGGGTACCACCGAACCACAGGCCTCAATCGCGAGGGCCGCCCATGTCGCGAGCAGGCTGGGACAAACCGTGTGGAAGATGGCGAGGAGGATGATGATCCCGATACGAACCACCCGGTCTTGCAGTATGTTGAGCCTGGCGTCCGCACAACGTTTGCAGCGCTTCTGCATGAAGAGCGTGAGATGTTCTTGGTCAACCTCCAGATCCAACTCTTTGAGGAGCGCGGCATCAACTTTGGGGATCGTGGAGAAGATGATGAGGAGAGCGACAGTGATGGCGAGGAAGACGGTGCGAGCGACAGAGAAGACAGCGGGGATGCCAACTCTATAGACGACCGCAATCGCGACGAAGGTTCAGGCGAAGCTAGTGAACATGAAGAGGAGGATGGCGCTGAGCAGAACGACAACGCACGCACGGGTACGAACGTAGCAAAAGCCGCTGATTTCGAAGCAGCTGATGCCGCCATGGCCGAAGCGATGCAGACTGCCGAAGATGTGTTGAATTCTGAGGCTATGGTCGCAGAGCAAGACTCCGAGGTCAATGTGGGTTATGCCGACCATGAAGCCGAGGAGCTGTAGAAGAAGCCACGGCCATAGCCAGGCATTCTGAATGGCTGGCGGTACGCTTCGAATGGCGCAGCATCACATTGCTTCTGAACTGGTTCCACGTAAAAAGATCTGTGGTGCTCTCGAACTTCTGGAGGCTAGTAATCCAAGCATTGCGCAGATCACCAACATATCCTTGCTTCTCTCACGGGTGAGCAGCTCTTCCAATCACGACAATACTGGACAGGACGAGAATGGTGGGTCTTCATCAGCAACAAGCCCAGATGATGATCAACCATCGGCTCCCATGGACGTTGACCCAACAACGGGCAAGGAGGAGCGTCCAGCTTGGAAAGGACCACCAGGAGGACGGCCGGTCGACGAAGAGTTGTGATCAAGGTCGTGGTTTGACCATGGGCTAGATTAGTGATATACCAAAACCATATAGGGCGGAGATCTCAAGTTACGCGACTACGCTTTGAGCTGAACGACAGCGTGTGAGGGGAATCACTATGGTACAGAGGAGGTGGATCTCGAGAGTCAATTGCAAGATAACAGATGATAGATGTCTGGAAATGAATGTCAGTTTGTAAAGTCTATGTCGTACCGTTGTCGATTCTCGCGCAGTTCTTGGTGTCTACGTGAGTTATGGATGGTGGGTGGTAGATGATGGGCGGGGCATGAGGTATAAAGGAAAAATGTTGCGGTATCGGATGGTCCGTACAGTGTCTATCTATACCCCTGATCAGCCACCCTGGACTAGTGTGTTACAGGTCAGGTATATAGTCGTCTCCTCATAGCTAGACAGCAATACAGCGCAGTATTCCATTGACCCGATAGTCCTATGTTATCGTTTACCGTAGCTATCAGTATTCTACAGCGGTCCGCACCGCTACAAAAAAGAATGAGAGAAACCACTGATTCGATGTGCTCTGAACTATCGAGAGCTGGGAGCAAGGCAGCAACGCCGACCAAGGGCATCCAGAGCCATGTTGATAACATGGTCGAAGCAAAAGACAAAAAACATACAACAGCGGGTATTCGCTAGTGGTCACCCACCTAACTACTAATCCGCCGGTACGTTGCTTAAATAGGGCTGAGCGAACGGGAAGCCTTGCTTTCAACGTCCTATGGTCGTATGTGGAAGGTAGAGCTCTCGTTCTTGTAAATGTATTCAGTATTTATCTTAGCCATGGTAATCCACCTTGACAGGGATCGCTTACTGTGAGAGGGGGCCAGCTGGGGATACAAACTGCTCTGAGATGGATGAATTGGTGGAAAGAAGGTTCAGGCTTGTTAGAGATAAGGGTGTAGGAGAGACCAAGTATGGGAATACCACAAGTGATAGAAAGGATAGATGATGAAGAAGGGATCAAGTGTAGGGATACCACAAAGGATCAGTGAGGAGTGAGTTGAGGAATGAGGTGCTGAAGTGAATTGAATTGCAAGCATAAGTAAGAACTATCTAGAGGTGGGAAGAAGGAGGTTCATGTATATAGATGGGTGACTAGCTAAAGTGGGATACAAGATGACGATGCAAGTGATGATGCAAGCAATGATACAATCAATGATGCAAGCTGACAAATGGCAGGGTCATGGGAGCCTTACTAAAAGGACTGGGAGGGTTGTTGTTGGCTGCAAGCCGTGTCAGGATGACAATCTGGTTACATATGCAAAGGTGTAGGTGCTTGTATTTGTTGCCTGCAAAGAGGAATCTGATGATATCTTTGGTTACTGCAACGGGAGCAAGTGGTTTAGGGCATGCAAATGTTAATACAAGACCTTGTGGGATGAGGTCCTTTGTGACAAAACTGATGATCTCCTGATTTTGCACTGCAGTGTATTGGTAATGCATGTGGATCTTGATGGCACGCTTCAGACTGTTGATGTGAGGCATACAGCTCAGCCCCGCTGCGTTACACTGACCAAAAAGGCACAGTACTGCTGTAGACAGCAGGTACCGGGAGCTGAACAGTATATACCCGTGATAGTTGAAGCGGTTAACGAGGGTTGTATCGGTGATAGATTCTTCCAAGAGACCGTTACATGTTTGAGCTAACCATTCAAGGAAGAGCTTGATCTAGTACGGCCTCTGTCAAATGTTGCTCAGCTATTGTTTTCTCTAGGATGTTTTCTGAGAAGCTTAACATTTAGTCAGGGCTCTCTCAATATCTTCAAAGCTGAGAGGTTGTGGTGCATTCTCTTGGCGAGCACGCTTCTTACAACCCTCAAGATTCATAAGCCTGGCCAATTTACACATGTTTTTGGTCTTCTAGTGCGACAGTGCCGAGTGAATCAGTGCTTTAAGTGCCAACACTACGGCCACATAGGAACCCAGTGCAAGGCAACAATCGCATGCAGTTACTGTGTGCAGGAGCACGAGACTCGTGACTGCCCGTCAAAGATCGACCGGAATGTAGTACCCAGGAAATGTGCCGCCTGCTGAGGCGAGCTCGAAGCGTGGAGCTACCAATGCCCCACCAGAAAAGAGGAGAGGGCAAAGGCGAGGGCTGCATACTATGTACGACCGTACTACCATCTGGTCACGGAGGTAGGAAGGATGATCCCACCGGAGGTACCAGCCACCATTATCAGTAGGTGTTTCACGAGTAGCAGACTACGTGTGTCAGAGTTCAGTGAAGAACTGTACGCAAAGGGAAGAATTTGAAGATTGTACTGAGGTTGTATTGGGTGAAGCTACGGACAGTATGTATATGTGAGTAGCTGTAAACAACGCTAGTGTGACGTGGCAGTCACTCTCATGACAGGTGAGGTACGACAGGCAGGAGCACCCCAAACCGTGACAACGTGTCTTAGGTTTGGGTATTCATGAGCTTGTATGTTTACTTGTTATTAAGTCGATACGCTCCTTTCTGCATTGAGAGCTGTTCGCTAGCGGTCCGTTGCAGTGCTTGCCAGCGGTCCGTTGCAGTGTCTACCAGCGGCCCGTTGCAGTGTTTTCCAACGGCCCGCTGCACTGATAGTCCAGCTCATTCGGTTAGTTCGGTTTGCTTCACTGCTATCCCCTTCTACTATATAGTCCCGATCGATCCTCGCCATAGCAATACAGACCAATCAATACTCTCAACCCTTTCACAAGAGCCCGAAAAATATGGCTACGTCTCTTTCATAGTACCGGCAATGAGTGTGATAAGTTTTGTCGGGCTGTGCACCTTGCTGGTCTAACCGCACTCTGATACGTGCGACCTGAGATTGTGTAACTGTCGCAGTACAGTAAGAGGTGTGTCACAGTCCAGTAAGAGGTCATGTTACAGTACTGTATGAGGTTGAGTAAAAGAACCGACTGGACCAGACTCCTTCAAATAGTAACAGTAACATAACAGCTTCACAGTCAACTCTTCTTTCCGTTCATTCACAGTATATAAACACACAGCTTGAGTTCAATACAATTTCAGTGAACCTCAATATCCATTGCCAGTATCACTTGTCTTCTGTACCGAAACAGTAACAGCCATCATCTTCCTGTCTCTTCATATACATTTAAAAGTGCCCTCGAAGATTTCGTCGGATACCAGTAGCAGTTAGTGATAGATGTAACGGCGTGGGCCGCTGTAGAATGCTGATAGTGTGGAAAGGTTGAGATGTTGATTGATTCTTTTAGCTATTGGCTGGAATCGATCGGGACTATATAGTAGAAGGGGATAGCAGTGAAGGGTTGGGGAAGCAAACCGAGCTAACCGAATGAGCTGGACAATCAGTGCAGCGGACCGCTAGCAAACAGATGGCGATCGGTGGATATCTTCACTCCCTCCGACAGATAGCTACGGTAAACGATAACGTAGGACTATCGGGTCGATGGAATACTGCGCTGAGTTGCTATCTAGTGAGGAGAAGACGACTATATACTGACTCTGGAACGTGCTAATCCAAAACAGTCTAAACAAGGGTAATAAGGTCTCGTATGGACCGACTAATACCGCAACATTAGAGAACAGCAAATGTGTCCCAACAGATAGTGACCGTTGTTATTGGTATTATCAGGTTTCGAGATCGAACGAATCACCCTGCCGTAGGCACCCGGTGTTCCAGAATGCTTCTCTCAATTGCCAACGGGTGCAGATCAGGCGCATGATGTCGTTTACGTTTCTCCCCCATCGGCTTTGTTCCGCAAGCATGCAAATCTTCAGAACCTTTGAGTTACTGACCCACTCAAAGAGAGTTTCTATGGCTTCCTTCCACTGTCCCTTGGCCAAGTCACTATCGTTTCGCAGCCATCTGTCGACTCTATCAATCACTAGGTAGAATTGTTCGTCGGGATGAGATCTGCCCCACCGATCCAGGAGCTCCGTAGCAACGTGGAGAATATGTTCTTTCGACAATGCTCCAGTTACACTCCTTGTTTGAACCAAATGCTTGTGTTCAGCAAAGAAGTCCATATCCCATTCTAGGATTTCGCATATAATGTATGACATCATGCTACAAGGAGTGTCCCGAACATTCTCAACCGCATAGAAAATGACTTTGCGATCCTCTTGTCTCGTGCTCGAAGCAAACTCGGACATAGCAAGCGACAGCCAAAGCGAGTTTGTAGAATCAGCATCTGGATGGTTGAGTGCCAAAATATAGAGTATTCCGCCACAAATACTATCGCGCCAGCTCTTGTACTCTCGATGCACCTGGAGAACACTCAAGTTGCCTGGCTGCATTGTGTCGTACGTATCGCTATCAGCAATCACTAGGCTTTGCGCCTCTTCTTCCAGAGCTCGAAGGCGAGTATCCACTTCGCCCTTATTTGAACATTCGAGCTGATGTCGCGTCAAGTTGCACATGTGCTGCCATTCAGAGCGTCGCTCCGCTTTGATATGTCAGCATGAATCAGGAATTTGAAGTGCTTCGAGATCTTACTTTCTTGATTCCTTGTTATGGCTTCCAAGTTGATCTTTGTCTCTATCGTCTGCGCGTGCAAGAGTTTTGTCGCTTCCACTTCGAGCCTTTTCACGCTGGTATTCAGCTTGTCTAAACCGGGTTGGGTACTGTATTTTGCCGGTCGCAATCCTTTCAACCATCTCCCTGCTTGTTCTTAGTATATTAAACATGCATGAAGGATTGGAACACTTACGGGCGGAGCAGCCAGTATAGTACTTCCAGGTATCTATACAGAAACGGAAGATATCCTTGTATATTTCTAATATAGCTACTGCGAGAGCTGGACGGGCTGGACAAAGGTAAATGTTTTGCCATTCGACGAGATCTTGCAGATATCTCGTCGCATGCTCGAGGTATAGAGAGATGAGGTTCTCACGATCGTCTTTGTTCCTTACGATCTGGTGAAGTTAGCATCTTCAATCCAAGTGAACATTAAAGCGATGAAAGGTGATCTCAGACCATCAATAGCACAGAAACAACCCCGTACCCAAGCGACCCTCCCTTTGGATGTATCCCTTTTGCCAACTCCGCTATCCCGGTATAGCACTCCAAGAACTCAGAAAACTTAACACAAGCGTGCTGCAAGCGCACCTTTATCTTAGAGGTTTTGGAACGTGGTTGACACGTATAGTCATGACTTTGAGTACAAACGTCCGCCACGAAAGATTCCAGATCTGTCCTGTCTCTTATCTCCCGAATTCTATGGATGTCTTGTGCACTAAATTCCTTCTTGATCTCTTCCCACATATGGCCCAGAAACTCGTCGTATTGATTGGTCATCGTGGAGGTTGCGAAATCAAGTTGATAGGTATCGCAACTTTAGAAGTCAGCTCAGCAATCAAGACCTTAAACCTTCGTGACAATTATACAAGGCTGTGTATAGATGATGCATAACCTCGCCGCTCGAAGCGCTAGACCGGTCCGGCCAGTTTCTTTTGGTGGTGGCTCAGCACGGCGCGTAGAGATCTGCATATCTTATGATAGGTCAGAAAACCACTGTGAGCCTTGTCATGACAGCAGGGTATGCATGTATCTCTGCATCCCTGTAATATGATAGCATCCCGGCCGTAACAGCTCACCGGTTGAATCGCTTAACTTGTGTTTGGACGGTCAGCCACTGGGAAGGCCACTTGTTGGCAATAAGCGTCGCTCTCAGCCTATCGTCACAACCACAGCTGCAGGTATGGAATTGTTGAAGTATTGACATCCTGTACCGTTTCACCGGTTGTACTTGTGGAAAGCTTGTGATTGGAATGATATACTACTCATAAGGCGCATATGGACATAAGAATTCTCGAAAGAAACCTGCAGTTGATTCCCTACTTGGTCGAAATACTTTCATCTCTGCGCCCTGTGTAATAATCAGCACAGAGTCCGTCAATGTCAGCCTCTCCGGAAGAGCATGCCCAGTTTCTGCTATACCACGCTTACATACTTAGTTAAACTATCGCGGATGCTATTGCAAGCCATGGAAATCGATGTGTGTCTGTCACGTCTTTTATGCACATCGGTACTAAAATAGCACACAGACTGTCAACAGACAATCCCAAAATATCGACGCGGATGATGAGCGCTTCCAGAAGATCATCAATACTCGTGCAAGTCAACTTCGAACCGATTCTTTGAACTTTTCTGACGTTCCATCAGAGTATCACTCATGAGAACCCAAAATGCAATCTCTCCACAGTCCTGGATAGATCCACCGGCTCAACGGAGCAGACGTATGCGGAACCTGAAGCTGAACCATCCCTACACATACATAACGTCCGAGACGGATCCATTCCAGCCCTCTGTCCAGCAGTATCGGCTAAAGACAGTATTAGCAGATCCATGTACCTGGATTTCGAGAAGGATGAATCTGGAAAATACAGACCACATGACAGCACACGACCTATGGATGATAGGGAGTATCAGTACAAAGACCCACCCTACATTCACACTACATATTGGAGCAAGAATCAAGATGGTTCCATTCGCAGCAGAGAAAACACACTTCTTGAAATCAGATCGAAGTCACTTCTTGATCTGATGACAAGCGTCATGTGGAACATGATAGAGCATGAGAGAGCTTCAATATGGAAGAAGCTTCCTGTCGTGGTGCAAACAACCAACAAACTACTACTACATTGCTTCGAAGACCTCGATCAAGTCTCTAAAGCACGTGAAAACCGGGATCAAGCAGCTCGACAGGTCCTGCGACAACTCTTGAACGATGTCCAGTACATTGAGTCGGATTTCGTTCGAGCACAAGACTCTCTGAGAAACGAGCAAGCATTACGATACGACGACGTTTGGTTCCTCTTCAAACCTGGATCATACATAGTAGGCTGGCCGTTCGAGGAGAGCCCGCAAATCTTTGTGGTCCACAGGCATAATTTCCGGGATGATACCTTCACTGTCGTATGCTGGGCCTATGGCTGGGACGGCAATGATTTGGTACGACTCTACTACGAGTTTACAATTCGAAGCTACCAAGGTGTTAAATCGGTCACCGATCTTCCTTGCTATCCTGTGGAGTTGTTTTCGGACCCAGAGAAACTGCGAGAACAATTGATTGAGAGAGGGAAGGAGTTCTGGAGGTACTGCAGTGTTACACAACCGATGCCACTGTACCAGTCTTCCAGTTTTTTTTCTATCCCTGCCAATCTCTTCGACGATGTCCACAGGGATCTCTCTGGAAGGTTCACTTTGGAATTTAGCAAGCAGCCCATGGAGATATACACAAGCAGGGACCGTCCTCACGAGATCATCATTGATGCTGCAATGTGTAGACGATATTCTCCGAGTTCTTATCACCGTCTTGGGATGATGAGATCCATGCCTGTCAAGCCATGCGACTGCGCATTATGTGGTCTGCATGAATTGCGCATACCTTTCGAAGAGTCATTCAAAACGGGCAATTTGGATGTTGGCAAACATATCAACGTCTACGCTCTCCTCCCTCCCCGACTACACGGATACCTCATCAGCCGCAAAGAATGGGGTCAGGTTCTCATTGGTACAGTCACTCGGTATCAAGAAGAGCATCCTGGTGCCGCCTGGAATAATCTTTCTCTTACGAAGCAGGACAAAGTCAACATAAACGCAATGGTGTCTGCTTACTTCAAACGTGAGGCCAATGAAAACAGCCGTGCTGCAAACATTCAGGATCCTACACCAGGTAAAGGAGAGGGTTTAGTCATATTACTACATGGTACGTCGAGCGAAGTTTGGGTCCATAATCACGGATGATAATATCGTATCAGGGGTTCCAGGAGTCGGAAAAACAATGACTGCAGAAACCCTGGCAAGATCTTTACAACGTCGAATGTTACGAATTGATGCGTCCGATTTCGAACACAACAACGCAGGTCAGGTCAGTGAAGTCTTCAAGCGCTACTTCCATATGGCATCTTCATGGGGTGCATTGTTACTTCTGTAAGCCCCTCTGACGCTTCTCGTCCGACCTATCCGCTAACATGACATAGGGATGAGGCAGATGTGTTCCTACAGGTTCGCAAGCGTGCAGAACTCGCACAGAACGCACTCGTATCCGTTCTCCTGAGAGAGTTAGAGTACTTTCGTGGGGTGCTGATCATGACTACAAATCGTATCGTTTCAGTAGATTACGCCGTGCAATCCCGCATTCATTACGCAGTGCGATTTCGCGAGCTTCGCGAAGATGCGGTTGTGCAGATATGGGAAAACTTTCGCGAACAGCTGAATGACGCGAACTGCACCGAGGAAGAGCGTGCGAGTATTGACGAATGGTTTAAATACTCTAAAACCACGTTGATAAACGCGAAGTTCACAGGAAGGGACATTCGAAATGTGTTCATGTGCGCTCAGTTGCTTGGATATCCTATGGTAACGCGAGAAAACCTTATGAGAGCAGTGGAATCAACCACTTCCTTCCGCTCGGACTTGGACAAGACGAACTCAAGAATTGCAAATCAGAACACTATCACTGACGAATGATCGGTTGTGGGTACATTGGCTAGGTCAGAGCTGTTCAAATTGTGTCGGGGAGCGTGAAGAGTACGCATGTGCGGAAATATTGAAGGATTGAACTGAGGTTGTATTGGGTGAAGCTAAGGACAGTATATATAGGTGAGTAGCTGTAAACAACGCTAGTGTGACGTGGCAGTCACTCTCATGGCACGTGATGTACAACAGGCAGGAGCATCCTAAACCGTGACAAATTGCGTATGTACGTATGTCGCTGTAGAAGAACTTTGTAAATCTTCTGATAAACTCTGGTTCAAATGCTAGGTTATATCACCTTGATGGATTAGAATCTTTGCTGAAAAACTCGTCTCATCCGTCCTGACCAGAATGCAACTAAACCTGGCCTGTGAGGCTATGAACCAAACTAGTGAACGAACGAAAGGACGCACATCGACAGGACCGCACCTGAATCAAGTTCTTGATAACACTATGGCAGCCCTTCAAGGACGAAGTGGTCTAGGTAGCAGACAGCAAGGGGAGACTTTTCACAGCGGAGTTGCAAGCCCCCTACATCCTCTCCCTATGTCAATCAAACGCCGTGATGTGCTGACAGACAGATCTGCGTCTCTCTCACCATGACAAGATACGGCGGTAGATCCATCTTTCTGTTAACGCTCGTTCGGTCCTTCCCGTTGCTATCACTGCATCTTATACTGCCGCCGGCGCTGTCGTCATCGCTGCCACCGTCGTTGTCGCCGCCGCTTTCGCTATAGCCTCCGGCAGTATAACTGTGGCGGCGTGGGGCGCTGTACTATACTGATAGCTACGGTAAACGATAACGTAGGACTATCGGGTTGATGGAATACTGCGCTGAATTGCTATCTAGCTAGGAGGAGACGATATATACTGTGCCTGGAACGTGCTAGTCCATAACAGTCCAACCAAGGGCAATCGGGTCTTGTACGGACCGATTGATACCACAACACCCCCCCCCCCCAGCTGCCGTGAGCAACAAAGCTGAACTATACTTGTCAGTACCATCCTGTGAGTCCTGCTGGATCTGGTATCTTAGCGTCCTGTGAACGTCCTACAACGTAACGTTCTACACTCTCCAGACCAAGCTGTTCCACAAACTTGTGATGTTTCTGTCGTACTAAAGTCTTTGTGAGTCCGTCTGCTGGCATGTCTGCAGTTTGACACCAGAAAACGTGTAGACGGTTGTGCTGTACCTCCTGCCTGATCCACAGCTGATGAGTATCAACGTGGCGTAGCTTTGTGTGTAGTCTGTCCTCCTGTTTTGTGACTATGTGTTGAAGTGAGTGGATTGTGTTGATTGATCTTAAGAGCTATTGGCTAGAATCGATTGAGACTATATAGTAGAAGGGGATAGCAGTGAAGGGTTGGGGAAGCAAACCGAGCTAACCGAATGAGCTGGACAATCAGTGCAGTGGACCGTCAGCAAACACTGCAACGGACCGCTAGCAAACAGATGGCGATCGGTGGATATCTTCACTCCCTCTGACACTATGCCTACAGTCTGTTCATTGTCACAGTAGATGACAGGTCTCACATCTGGGCTGAATGTGTTTGAACACTCTGTTCCACCACTCCATCTCTCCTCCTGCTACTGACAGGGCTACCAGCTCTGCTTCTGTGGTAGACTTTGTGACTGATCATTGACGTGTTGCCTTCCAATCGATACACATTCCGTACAGCTTGAACAGGTATTCGTACGAGCTCTGTCAGGACTCCCCATCGTCAGCAAATGCTGCATCAGAAGCTCTGTAGAATGTTGACGGGTCGTTGAATTGGTTGATGTACGTTGTGTTGTTCCTTGATCGTTTACACGCTCCGATAGCAAGGTATTTGGTACCGATCAGGTATCTCCACACATGCCTTACAGTTGCTAGATGCTTCTGTCCAGGGTTCTGTAGGTGGCGTGCTGAGACTGCGTGTGCTCCTGACACATCAGGTCTTGTGAAGGTCGATATATAGGCCAGTGACCCTAGTAGCTGCTGGTACACTTATTGTCACCCCTGCTTTCGAGACAGACAGATCATATCTGTACTCCTCATTGCAATCAACCCCTATCAGAATCCTGTTACCGTATTCATCCCCGAGAACCAATAGAATAGTGCTTACGAGCTTTGCTTAAAGTACGACATCAACAGGAATGTACGATCAGAAGGTGGGGGCCAACGAAACATTGTAGTCAACAGCATGATTTTGTTGGAGGTTGGCATGCCGTAAAGCATATAGACCAGAAGCTTGTTTTCAGTTTGGTGTTTATGCAACGGCAGGTAGAAGCCGGGCTACAGGAAACAAAAAAAAACATACGACAGCGGGGATTCGCTAGTGGTCACCCACCTAACTACTAATCCGCCGGTATGTTGCTTAAATAGGGCTGAGCGAACGGGAAGCCTTGCTTTCAACATCCTATGGTCGTATGTGAAATATTAATTGCATAACATCCACTATAATGTACATCAAAATTGGTTTTAATTTGCGTCAAGGACTTGGAGAGCGCGAAATAGACTGCGTGACGTCATGAGCGTTCCTGACCTTAAAGCCGGGAGCTTCGATGATGATTAATGAACGAACAGCAAGAGTGGGGAACGCATTTGACTACAATAATGGCGACTCCCATTTGTTCTCATTTCACGATCACTTGACAAAAGCTCAATCAACATGTCTTACAGCAGAACTGGCGTTGTTACTGGTGCGAATAAGGTACCTTGTTCGTCCCATCTATCGACACAACTGACACTTTTAGGGCGTTGGCCTCGCGATAGTCCGCCAACTGGCACTCCAGTACCCGAAGTCGCCTATCAACAATGGTCCCTTCCTTATCTATCTCACAGCCCGTGACAAAGGCAGGGGAGAAGCTGCAGTGAAGCAGCTCGAGCAGGACTCGCAATTGAAGCAAGCGAAAGCACTGAAAGCGGACGGCGGTCTTGCTGAGATCAAGTACCATCACCTAGATATCACAGACGAATCGAGTATCAAAGATCTCGCAAAGCACCTAAAGGATTCGCACACCGAGGGGATCGACTTTGTCATCAACAACGCCGGCATCGCTCTAAACGGCTTCGGTACCTTCCCTCCCAAAGACACACGAGCTTGCATCCACTGACAGCGCTAGACTCAAACATCGTCAAAGAAACTCTCCACTCAAACTACTACAACACCCTCCTCGCCTCCCACACCTTCCTTCCCCTCCTCAAACCCACTGGTCGCATCGTAAATGTCGCTTCCTCCTCTGGCGCGCTGTCCAAATACTCGCCCTCCATCCGGCAGCGCTTCCTCTCCGCCGAATTCGAGGACGATGTGACGGCCATCATGCGCGACTTCGCGTCCGCCGTGGAGCAAGGGCGGGAGAAAGAGGCCGGGTTTCCGAGCGCGGCGTATGCGGTCAGCAAGGCGGGGTGTATTGGGGGTACGAAAGCGTTGGCGAGAAGGGAGAAGGAGGCTGGGAGTAAGAGGCTGATTAACGCGTGTTGTCCGGGCTATGTGAATACGGATATGACGAAGGGGAATGGGACGAAGACCCCGGATGCGGGCGCGCAGACGCCGGTGTTGTTGGCGATGATGGATATTGGAGGTAAAACAGAGGAGTTTTGGAGGGATGAGAGGGTTATTGAGTGGTAGAGAGGATCCAAGAGAACGGTCACGATGTCAAACGACGGAAAGCAAGGAGTAGCTCATTTCTTCGGGGTTATAATGTACTGATACTGTCACCCTGCAGGACACTGGTCTCTCTGGGCATGCTCATTTGATCCGTGTCGGTTCCTCCACCGTCTCTGTTCCGGCCTTGCAACTAGTCCTCATCGACAATGATGGCGTTGTCTGCGTTGCTACCCTCTGGGACAAATACAGCTCCGGCATCAACAGTGTGTCCGTGGCCATCTCCAACCGTCCCTCTGTGCTGGCGTACGAGGTTGACAAGTTGCTCAGTCTCAGTCAGATCTTCAATGAAGACAGGACGCGAGCAGTACTGCCACAATTCCTCCTCAGAAAACATAAGGAACTGAGCACGTAGCAGTATCTACATGCGCGAAGGATGGTATACCCTGTACGTTCCGTTTCCATCTTGAGAAATAGCAATTTCTTCGCCAGTGGGCGTCGACTCGATGCCTGGAAGCCAGCTGGTGTTTGTGCGAAAGAGAACGAAGCCAGCGTTCCTGCCTTTCATGTCCAAGTCCCAGGGCATCTTCTTGAGAACTGAGTCCTTCTTGCTCTAACCGCATTCAGGACAATAAGGCTTCTGGTGGGCCACGTACCAATGCCCGTATGCATGACTGTTTCTGCACATTCATGCACCCTCGTCTTCACGAGAATTCCAGAAGAAGAGGAAGAAGCACACATGTGAAGGTAGCAGCGCAAGTACGGCACCCTGCGCAGCAGTAGCAACTCAGAGTACCATGAAAGGCAACGAGTCTCGCTCTTCATCAGACGCTGGTGTGCGCGACTGTTTCTTACCTGATGGCTCGTTCAATTGAGAAATTTGGCAGTAACGAGCTGCGGCGCCAATATGCACCACCGCAACAAGAAAATATTTCTGACAGCCAATGTCCGCTGTCCAAAAAGCTCCGCAAACAAGATGACATGGTCGAAGGGTACATTTCGCTCTATCGCTCAATATGTGAAATCAACAAACCAGGGTGCGCCATACTGAATAGACAGTATCGCACACTATCGCATCTCCTGCTGCCCATCTGTGCCCTCTACCTCCTCGCCCTTGACCCATACGCTCTTCATCGCCTGGCTCAGGATCTGCATACCTTCCTCGATCTCAGCCTCGGTGATCGTCAGAGGAGGCACAAATCGCAGTGTGTTGGTACCGCAAGTGATGATGAGCAACCCACGCTCACGAGCAGCTGTAAGGATCTCCGTAGGATCAGCGTTGAGCTGGAGACCAAGAATCAGACCCTTGCCGCGGACCTCGTTGATCTGAGTCGGATACTGCTGGCGCAGGGCATCGAAGTGCTTGCGGAATGTTTGCTCCTTTGCTGGAATGGCGTCCAGGATCTCAGGCGATGAGAGACGAGACAGGACGTAGGACGCCACGCGGCTGCCGAGCGGGTTACCACCGAATGTTGTGCCGTGGTCGCCGGTCTTGATGTGGTCGCAGACGAAGTCGTTGACGATGGTAGCACCGATGGGGAAGCCGTTGCCGAGGGCCTTGGCCGTGGTGACGATGTCTGGGTGAGCCTCCTTGGGGAACATGGCGTGTGCCCAGAAGGTACCTGTACGGCCAAGACCGCTTTGAATCTCATCGTATATCAAGACAGCGCCGACTTCTGTGCAGCGCTTACGGAGGGCGAGTAGGAATTCAGGCGTTGCGACGTTGATGCCTCCCTCTCCTTGGATGGGCTCGATGATGACACCGCATGTCGATTCTGTGACCAGGCTGTTGATGCCCTCGATGTCGTTGTATGTTCCGTACTTGAAGCCTGGGACCATGGGAGAGAAGGGCGCCTGGTATTTGGGGTTCGGTGTGGCGCTCAAGCTTCCCATAGTCCTGCCGTGAAAGGAGTTGTGGAAGGAGACAATCTCATGCTTGCTGCCATCTGGCTGCAGAGACTTGCCGGTCTTGCGCGCGAACTTGATAGCAGCCTCGTTGGCCTCAGAACCGCTGTTGCAGATGAATGTCTTGGTTGCGCTGGCAAAGCCGCCGGTCGCGTGTGTGAGCTGGATGAGCTGTTTCGAGAGGAGGCCGGTGTGAGGGTTGTGGTAGAGGTTGGAGGTGTGCATCAGCTGCTTGGCCTACAAAATAGTCGGTAGCTATTCAAACATTCGTTAAGGGTGGTCATTTGTACCTGCTGAGCAATGACCTCCGCAACACCAGCATCGCAATGCCCGAGAGCGTTGACCGCAATACCAGCCGTGAAGTCTAGGTACTTCCTGTTCTCAACATCCCACATATAGCAACCCTCGCCCTTCTCGAACATCGGCGGAGGGCGGACATAAGTCGGGACCATGTACGGTAACTGCTGGTCAACGAGGCCGGCGGTTTTTGAGCCCGCTGGAGGGTCCGGGGTCGCCAATGTCGAGTCGCGCTGTTTGAAATTAGCGATTGAAGCTGTTCACACATGGCCCGAAGACCCATACAGCTATCGAGTCCTTAACATCCTGAGGCAGACTTGAGCCCTGCACCGCTGCCGCTGCCGACGAAGCAAACCGAGTTGGAACGCAATTCACACGGGGCGCACGCAGCGAAGCGCACACCCGCCTAGAAACAATCCGAAATGCCATTGTATATGCTGGGTATCTTACAAGCGAAAAGAACGTAAGAAGAAACTGTCAATGAGGCATTTGCAGGGCATGAGTCTGAATTTCCTTATCGATAGAGCTTGGGCCGAAGCCGGAGGTTCAGCCGAATGACGGTAGCAGTTTGCGACAGGATCACCAACATTGCCATTATCGTGCGATGCATCGATTATGTCTCCATCTAATAAGGGCATCTGAATCCGGCCACTTGTGGGTGAGTTGCAAGTAATAGAAGGACGTGAGTAATGTTGAGAAGTTGGTGAATAGAGCAGCACACCCCCACTAAGGGCAGTGTGATCCTTACAGATACAAATTACAATATATATATAACATTCAATCAATTTATCATCAAGAGCAACTAGCTTCCTTGGTGTAGTCGGTTATCACGTCGGTCTCATATCTCGTCGAGTATGACTGTTCCAAGAACAGAAATCCGAAGGCCGCCAGTTCGAATCTGGCAGGGAGCAATTTTTTTTGTGCTCACACTGTCCGCCATCATCATCACTTGATGAGCTTGAGCAGCGACTCTTCCATTTTGGCAATTATTGCACTGGATTGATTGGCTTGTGCGAATCATCCTGCACACCGGACTTGCCTTTCCCTTGACATCTTTCTATCAATAATCACAGAGTGTATGCAAGGTGTCTATATTCGCTCTAGGTCTTCGCTATGCTAGAGAGTAACAATCGTGCTGTTCTATCAATGCTTCTTCGCATCCTTCTCCCTCTGCTTCTCCGCAATCAAGCCATCCAACCGCCAAAAAGCGGTGATACCTTCTACAAAGCTGCTCCCTACCCACAACCACCAGACCGCATCAACTGAACTCAATCCATGCCTCCTGACCTTCTTCTCCATGACGAAAGTCTCAGTAACATGTATGGCCAGCATGATAGGCAGAATGATTGACCTGACCTGCAGTACGAAATCTGCGAACGTTGGCACCATGAACAGGAGATTGTCGTACAGCTGACTGCCAGGCCTGAAGTTCGCTCCTCTCGGCAATAGGAGGTAGACAAGGAAACACTGAGTGAAGTTTAATAGATGGCCCAACTTGACATATGGCGGGATGTAGCGAGTAACAGTGATGTCGCTGCGGCCCAGGACCTTGAGGGTGTCTTTGTCCATCTGAACAAGTCGCTCTCTTGCTTCACGCAGGCTCTCCATGGGCGGATCAAAGGCGATGGTGCTGGTTTGGCCACTGCAACTGAACTTCATCTCATTCAGGGTGATATCGGTCATTTGGGCGGAGTGGCTTTGCCTGGGGCTTTTGGACGCGTAGGCTTCGACATAGCGACGGATCTGTACTACTGTCAGATGTCACGCCTCGTGGTAATGTGTGTGACGGCGTACAGAATCATGGTGGTCTGCATTCATGTGCTTAATGATTCGCTGCTTGGCCGCTGTCTCTTGTGCCTCTGGAGTCGCCATTTTGCGGGCGGCACGAGCTTCCAGTGCCGATGCAGTTCTGGTGTGATGCCCGTCGATGCTCTGATCGATTCCTGCGAGGTGAGTTCTTGGCGTCACGAGTGCAGACGAGGCTGCCTTAGACCGGTGCGGAACAACTCCCGCGATCCACGCGTGACGCTCGTGAAGACTTGCATCTTTACTCGCCTAGTGTTAATTCAATCTCAACGCTCGTTAGCCCAACGCTCTCTTCAACAACGATGAACTTCGTATCTCAAAACGTTATTTCATCATCGCCAATTTCGCGGTTGTCTGTTTGCCACCAGAAAGTTGGATGTCCGGAGCTACTGAAAGTGTACCAGATTCCGACAGTGACCTACCAGCCACCGCCATGTCAGCCATCCTTGTCGATTGCGCGGGGTGTGCCTCAGCATCCAGGTTTCGCCTCAACGCCGCCTAAAAGGAAATGATCTCAAGCGCGCATGCAGAGGCAGCGCTCGATTGAGACATGCTGAGCTCGTTCTGAGCTCACCGCACGGCATCAGGCCATCCCGATCAATGCTCGCAAGGATGGTGACAAGTTTTAGGGATGGCTCACACGCGTGGTGGGGTACACCTGTCGGTTCCACTCTTGCGTCAGGCCGCATGATGTGGGTGGCTCGTGTGTGAGCAGGGATGTCAAGGTACCTCTGCAGCTCCAAACCTGTTCCAATCCCGCTGGTGGTTCCTCTTAACAAATCGGCTCCGTCGACTTGGATTCTGCCATTTCCAGAATTTTGAACTTACTTGTCAACATCCAGCTTTTTGCGCCTGCAGACCAACACTCCATCCAAATCCATCTGAAGACCAAGCAACCACATCATGGCGGACACTGTCGAAGAGAAGAAGCAGTCCATTGAGGGCGAGGGCCAGGCTGACGCCAATGCCTCTATTGGAGGATCTGGCAAGGCCGAATCATCGAGTAAGAAAGAAAAGAAGACCCCGAAGAAGCTGGGCGGCAAGAAGCCCCAGCAGCAGCCCACTCCCGAACCCACCCCCGCCCCCGAGAGCGAAGCTGAAGGCGACGCTGAGGGCGACGCCGAAGCCGAAAACGCTGGTGACGCAGAGGCTGAGCAAGAGGACGCAGGCAAGAAACAACGATCCAACGGCAATGCCGATGCCGACGATTCAGAACCCGAAGCTCAGCCTCAGAAGTCAAAATCGCAATCGAGGCGTCGCCAGTCTCGAGGCCGTGGACGACGAGGCGGAGATTCCGAGGACACTGATGCACGATCCGATGTCTCCCAGTCTGGAGGTCGCCGCAACCGCCAGCGCCAGAAGAAGGGCGGAAAGGGAGGAGGTCCCCTCGATGACATTACCGAGAACGTCCCTGGAGGTGAGCTTGTTGGTGGTGCTGGCGACATGGTCCAGGACACCGCAGGCAAAGCCGTTGGCCAGGTCGGCGACACCGCTGGAAAGGCTCTTGGAGGTCTGACCGGCGGAGGCGGCGAGGACGAGGGTGGTGACGGCAAGGGCGAGCAGCTGCGTCTGCGACTGGAGCTCAACCTCGACATTGAGATTCAGTTGAAGGCTAAGATCCACGGTGATCTTACGCTTGGTCTGCTGTAAGTTGTGATTGTTTACTCTTAAAGTACATGCGCTGACCTTCTCCAGTAACTAAGCTGTATCGCAACGAATATTGCATGACTATTATTGACCTAACTTTACGACGTTTGGAGCATTGAGTCCTGGAGCTTTCCTGGACGGCGTTTGGCTTGGGGGTCCTACGTAGTGTAATTCTATCTGAAATACTGCATTGAACCAAACATTCACTTCTCTGTGAGGCTGTAACTGCTGTGCCCGAGAACCACCAACTCGACGCTTGCAGACTTCGCAAATGCCAAATTTCGAAAATCCAAAGTCCAGACGCAAGACCTGAGTCGTGGCAGCGTACCTCCCACGTCGCAGCGATGACATCCTGGTTCCGCCCTGCCAACTTTCCACCCCGTGCGTCGTCAGCCGCATAGACTTGTATCCATCACCCCTGCACGAAAAGGCTATCTCCGCCTTCTGCTCAGCCCACGCGCCCGCCACGCAACGGCAGAAACGGCCACGCCAGGGTCAAATCCCGCCCTGACGTCAGGCTTTCGGGGATCCTGCTTCGCCTGCAGCTGACAGGGGTGCCAAATTGGGGCGACGTGCGAAGTGCACATCCCAGCTCCACCCTAGCATGCATCAATCTTGATTTCAAGTGACGGCTGGTCTTGCCTCTAGCTCTGCCCAACCCAGAGCTCCCCTCATCTGCACATTCAGTCCTCTCCGTTCGTTTTGCTGTGCACCGAGATATCCTTGACATCAACCAAACCTCTCAATCGCAAGTATAGGTGCCGCCTCTGCACCCCGGGTCCCGCCTACCGCCCCAGAACCAAAGGAAAGACCCTCAACCACAACCACAAATATGGCGGACAAGAACAACCAAAACGATGCCTCCGACTCGGAGCCGCATGAGCGCACGACCATGCAGCAGGAGAAGGCGGTTCTGAAGAAGAAGCAAGACAAGCGTGAAGCCGGCCTGCAATCCGCACGCTCAAGATCATCATCGCGCCGCGCCCGCCGCCAACGCATCCAGAAAGGCATCGAGGACGGAAAGTACATGAAAACCGCATCTCTCGAAGCCCTGGAAGAGGCCGACGCAAACAACGAACTCAACCAGATGGGCATGTTCGAGCGCATCGGCCCAGACAGCACATCCATGGACGGCCCCGTGACGCACGCCCGAGCAATGCGCGGCGAGATCCCAATGCGCGGTACCGATCCCAACCAACCGTACCGCATGGATCCCGAGAAGAAGAAGGGCTCGCTGGAAGACCAGGATGGTCTGAAACTCACACTAGAAGCGAATCTCGAGATTGAAATCGAGCTCAAGGCATCAATCCGCGGCGACCTGACTCTTTCGTTATAGTAAGTTCCTTCCCACACCCTTCCCCCTTACACCTGGTCTTGGTTTATTGCGTCCTTACTTGTTTGCAGCGGCGACATGCTGCCTGAAATCTCGCTGCCCAAACTCCCTTCGCTGCCCAAACTCCCCTCGCTCTCCAAACTCCCCTCGCTCCCCAAACTGCCCAAACTGCCCAAAGTCGGCGATGTGACAAATGTTGTCCCCAAACCCAAACTTTCCGACGTCACAAGCCTTGTCCCCAACACCCCGAATCTTTCAAAGGTGGTCTAGCCATTTCCTAATTCGGGTCTTAACAGTGAATAGTGCATGATTGGACGTACCGATGGCAGCAATGCCGAACCAGTACCACGAAGCTCATGACCCCACCTGGTACCGAACCATCAACACGGATCACGAAAATCGTCGAGGAGAAACCCACTTTACCGTCCGTGAGGACTGATGCACCGTTCTGAGCGTTTGGAGTTTTGTTGCCGGTTGGCATGTGGGATTTGTATTGGATAGTAGAAGAGAAATGATAATGTTCTACGACACCATCGCCACGACTTTTCCCTGCGTCCTGTCACCTAATATGGTTTTCGCAATCTGGAACTAGACCCCACTGCACTGGAACCCCAAGTTTGTGAAATATTGGGAGGTGGTGTACGGACCTTGTCTGCATTGTCACACACGTCCAAACTGTGAAGACAAGCCGGTCTTTCCGTGCCCGCTAATAAAGTCTGTTCCCATCAGCGTCCATTCCTGGGCACTGTGAAGGCCTCCCAAGACCACCTGATCGAAGCGTTCTACCACCCCCCTCAGGTCGGAACCAGAGTCTCTACGCTGACCCCTCATACATCCAAGGGCTCACACCTCTGCAAGACGAACAAGCAGATTGCAACCACTGTGTGTACCTCCAAGCTAGGTTTAGGGTTAGAGTTGGATGCGGTAAAGGCAGTCATTTTGCGACGAAGTATGTGGAATTTTGGTAGAGATAATGGTAGTCAATGGCCTCGTATCCACCATAGTGAGCTGTGTGGCCACATGCTGCGCTTCTGAATGGTCTGAAGACGTCGAAGGTCGGTCACGGCGAACAGATAATGCTCTTGGAGGAGTGCTTTGGAGGTTGTCGCTACCACTTCACCCTCTCGTTCATATATCCTGCAATTCGCACAAGTCTTCAAAACCTCCAGAGCCTAACCAGCTCTTCTGCGCTGGAGACACTTCATAATATTCGGCTGCACTCACGGTATTGTATACCTCCAGCCCTCCCCTCCACACAACTCATTTTTCACAAACCAACAAGATCGTAAACTGCGCATCCACCTTCCTTCCCTCCCTCCACCGCGCACGCAACGCAGCATGGTAGGAAGTCCCTCCTGGCTACCACCCCAGCTACACCCTCACCCCGAGGGGTTTGTGATCGAGCCAGCGACAGAAAGCATGCGCGTTCAAGCTCGAGCAGTGATTTGGGACGATATTCCAATTACCCCGGGCAGTGAAGAGGAGATGGGGAGCGAGGATGAAGAAGGGGGTGAAGAAGGGGGTGAAGAAGGGGGTGAAGAAGGGGTTGAAGATTTCTCCGACAAGATTCTGTACACGCCGGGTCGAAGACAGAGGCTCCGAGCAAGGATCAAGAAGAAGTTGAAGAAAGTGCATGATAAGCTTGAGAAACGGGTGAAGAAAGTCGAGCGTGTTGTTGTGAAGAGGAGGTTTTCGGGGGTGAGGAGGGGTGTGGATAGTAAGTCAACAGTTTTCCAGGGGAGTTCGGCATTGATTATGGAGTTTTTTGTTATTTGAATAGATGCTGACAAATGAACAGAAATCAAGCCGCTCGCAAAGTTTTTGAAGGACGTTGCGTTGTCAACGACCATTCACGACCCGGTGTTCAAGCATAGGCCGTGGAACGTTTCCACTGCCTCAATCGCCCGAGGCGTAGTCACGGAGCCTGAGTCGAACAGGCCTTGGATGAATGTACGAGCCTCATGGAATGTCTCGGCGTCGTCGCTTGTAGGGCCCGTGGATGCGGCACGGGAAAGACCTCTGATTCGTGAACCTCTTGTCCTCTCGGAGACAGTTCGTGTGGCCGACGATATTGCTGAATATGCGACTGTTGCAGAGAAGCAATCAGCGATCGTGAGCAGCGAGAGCGTTGACGACATTTCTGAAGAGGCTGTTCGAGGCCTCAAAGACCGGTTTCAGCTCCACACCAAAGCTCAACTGGCCAAGTCGAACGAACTGCCTTCGGTGCGGCCTACATCCATCTCTGCGCAGATTACTGCGTTCCAATTCACCACCCTCGTTCCGATGGATATTGTTTCGAGGTTTCCTCCTACGCATCGCGTTAGCGTAAAGACCAGTAACACACTCCTAGCGCAACGGGACATGATGCAACTCAGTAACATTTGGAGCCAAGTCGTCGGTCCGGCACCAACATTATCGGAGCTGAAACTTGTCAACCCACTACGAGTCTTAAGTGGTGTCGAGGCCGAGAGACTCTGCAAGCTTATGGAAGAGGGTCTTCATCGTTGGTCATATTGGGCATTGTTCGCAGAAGCGAGCGGAAACGATGAAGAAGGAGCCATGGATGACGAATGGTGGTGGGAGTTTGAAGCCAAACTCGACGCTGTCGGACTTCCGGACAACGAAGCGCTGTCTCAGCAGCTGATCATCTTGGGTGGGAAGTACATCAATGTACCTGCACTGGAAGCTACCATGGAGATGGCAAAAGCTCTTGCCGCAAGCATGTCTCTAGACAAAGAGTCAGCCCGCCACGATTCGAAGACGGACTTTGAAGAAGAGATTGAGCTTCTTTTTCCGGCACCAGTGGGGGAAGTGACCGAACCGGAGACTGCAGCAATGTCCCCGATCGAGCCAGTCGAAATAGCTTTGGTTCCATGCTCGATGTCAGAACCATCCTCACCGGTGCGTCAACGGTCGACAACGGCGATTCCTCTTCCTGTCATGCGAAATGCGGCTGGCGAACAGATTACTGTCCCATTTCGCAATTTCCGCTTAGCAAAGAAGATCGTTGCTCTAGTAAAGGCAACCGAAGAAGAAAAGCCATCCCAGGCTGCTGTGGACGGCACAGCTCATGAAGAAGAGCTGATATTGCAGTATTGGTGCAACAGCCCACTTCCTGATGAAGAGACTGCTTGCCCGGAGAATTCGTCTTCATCTTCCGATATCATGAAGGAAGTCCAGGCCGCATTGGACGCCGCTGTAGTTGGACGATTCGTTAGTTCTCCAGAACCCGTGAAAGAAAGGAGACCCTCACAAATTCCTCCTCCTTTGACGATAAGGAAAAGTCAGCCTACGCTATCGAAGCACAAATCGAAGAGCGCTGAGCCTTCTCATCAGAGGAAGAAGGCTCCTGTGCGAGAGGAACCCCCTTCGCCGCCAGTTACTCGAGAAAATGGCTGGATTTCGGTGGACAATCTTGTGGACTTCAGCCCTGAAGACGTGGTGTATGAAGAGGTTGTTTACCCAGGGCCTTCGTGCATGTCTAATAAAGCGAGGGGAAAGCTTCCGATGCCTCGGACACCTTCGATCCGTACACCTTCGAAACAGAGTGTTTCCCTACGACCAGCTCCGAAAGCTACAGTGTCGAGAACACCTCCCCGCAGCACTGTGTCTAGTAGATCAGTGTCCAAGGTCACGATGCCGCGCACTGTTCCTGGGCGGGCAGTTTCCACATCGGTAAAGCCGCGAGTACCTCCCTGGTCTCGTGCGCAGACTCAAGGCGCTTCGCACGCTGGACCAGCAGGCGGTCTTTTCGCCTGTACGGCGTCTCCCGGTGCTGCTAGGAGGCCTTCAAACACTCCTGTGAAGGCCGGAGCTGGGTCCAAGACCTCGGAAATACCTCTGCATCCTACCATGACGCGCGTAGCGGTCCAGGATGTGACTGTGAAATCCTCCAGCTCTATTGAAGAGAGCGAGGCTACTGAGTCCGAGGCTTCTCGAGTGTCTCCTGGCCCTACTGTCACGCCCGTAACGGTTTCTAGTGCTGCAGCGAGTTCCTCCAGCCTTCCTTCAGAGACCGAGGATGGTGACGTCAAATCATCTCGAGTACCTCCAGCCTTCGTTGTGCCCGTCACAATTACCAAGACCTTGAGCGTACGGAGGCAGTCGAGGATCCCTATGCCGCGCAAGAAGGTCTCCATGCCGGGCGCATTCCCCAAGTCTGATGCTGGAGTCGAGGAGTGAGCTTGGTTGTTGTTTAGGAAGTCAGCATGTTGTTTGAACGTCTAGAGTATAGTGGTCTGCAGCGTACATCGTCTGGAGTGGAGATGGGAGGATGTTATTTGGCCGATTCTGGCGTTGTTTTGCTTGAAGTTGAATCTGACTACCGAGATACCCTACCGCGGGTTTCGTACAACCGTATGTTTCGTATCGAATGTCAACCCCATCTTGTTCAATGTTCGACGCGTCTGTTATGATCGTGAGGGCCTGAAGACCTCCTGGGTCCCACAAAAACTGTCAAAGTTGTAACTGCCGAACATCCCGATCTCCCGCTGGCAGACCTTTTATGGAGGATTTTGTAGATCTTGATTATGGTCAGACTTCGTGAATGTGAGCGCCCTGGCTCTCGAAGTTGAGTAGGTGTTGCAACAGGCGCGGCTCGAACACTGACAAGATGTTGTACGGTTACATGCAACTTTCCACGACGCGTAGGTCGGCGACTATCCCCGAGGGTATGCATGCTGCGTTTGCGCAGTGCAAAGCTTCCAAATTCCTCTTTCAGCCAAACAGGAACGCGTGGAACAACGGTCGAGCTGTTGCTAGCTCCGGTTGCGGCTGGAACAGCAGGGCTACCCCACAGTGGATCGCCAGCATCCGCAGGTGCCCCTCCAGCACCCCTCACAACAATGACGCCCACTTGCGGAGCTTCAAGGATGGGGTTATAAACCGCAAAGGTGGGCGTTTTCTGGCCCATCCAAGACTCGTGATCCAGAAGCCTCTTGCATTGTAATCCTCGTAAACCGCTTTCGCAATTGATCCCATTGTCGCACGCATATAAACGAGCCAGAATCCACCATGGCACGCGCACCACAGGACGGCGAGAACGTCATTCCGCTCCTCGACCCCGACCACGATCCAGGGCAGGTACCGGCCGAAGATACATCCAACAACTCTACAAACATGTCGGGCGATAAGATGAAGGCCGTGCACTATGAGGGGCCATTCAAGGTCTCTGTGAAGGAGGTCGGAATACCGAAGATCGAGCATCCAGATGATGTGATTGTCAATGTGACAACTGCTGCCATTTGCGGTTCGGATCTGCACATGTACCAGGGTCGCACAGCTGCAGAGTCAGGACTGGTCTTCGGCCATGAGAACATGGGTGTCGTCATCGAAGCTGGCGCAGGTGTCACTCTATTGGAGAAGGGCGACCGTGTCGTCATGCCATTCAACGTAGCCGATGGAAGATGTCAAAACTGCGAGGAGGGAAAGACAGCGTTTTGCACAGGGTGAGTACACGCCGTCTGCCGTTTTCGATACGGGAGCTGATAGTCGTGTAGCGTAAACCCCGGGTTTGCAGGCGGCGCATACGGATACGTAGCCATGGGCCCATACCAAGGTGGCCAGGCGCAGTACATTCGCGTACCATTTGCGGACTTCAATGCACTCAAGCTGCCCAAGGGCACAGAGCATGAGGCGGACTTCATCTTGCTGGCAGACATCTTCCCCACGGGATGGCACGGACTTGTCCTGTCAGGCTTCAAGAGCGGCGAGAGCGTCGCAGTGTTTGGAGCTGGCCCTGTCGGTCTGATGGCAGCATACAGCGGTGTTCTGCGAGGTGCCAGTAAGGTGTTCGTCGTCGATACCGTGCCTGAGCGATTGGAGGCGGCAAAGAAGATTGGCTGCATACCAGTTGACTTCAGGAAGAGCGACCCTGTCGAGCAGATCATCAAAGCCAATGGTGGTATGGTGGACAGAGCAGTCGATGCTGTGGGCTACCAAGCTGTCGACGCCTCAGGGTCGAAGGAGAAGCCAAACATCGTCCTCGATCAATTAATCATGGTGACTCGTCCAACGGGTGGATTGGGTATCCCAGGACTGTATGTTCCAGCAGACCCAGGCGCGCCAGATGAGCAGAGCAAGAAGGGACAGATTCTGATTTCGTTCGGAAAGCTCTTCGAAAAGGTACGATTTGAATTCGAGATGGTGCGACCGAGTGCTGACATCGCTAGGGATTGTCGCTGGGCACTGGACAGTGCAACGTCAAGGCCTACAACAGGTATCTACGCGATATGATTATCTCGGGCAAGGCAAAGCCAAGCTTCGTTGTTTCGCACGAGATCGAGATCGACAGTGCGCCGGAAGCGTACCAGAAGTTCGACCAGAGGATTGATGGATACACAAAGGTGCTGATTCATCCTAATGGGCCACTGAACTGATCAGTCTCCTGAACACACTGTACATAGCAATTGAACCGAAGAACTCACTTCAAACACCTTGGCCCTCCAGCCTCGCGCATATTGTGTGCACTGGGTAACGCTTTGCTCTTGGCGGTCTCTCTCCGTTCCCCAAGAGCTCCATGACCGAGCCAATGGCTCTACTCTTTGACCACGTACGCCTTCAAAATCCTGACTTCCTCCACAGGCCTGTCTTCCCGGTCTGTCTTGACCCAGCCAAGCTTCTTGACCGCCTGCATTCCGCTCTTGACTCGGCCGAAGATTGTGTGCTTGCCGTCCAGCCATGGTGTAGGCGCTAGCGTGATGAAGAACTGGGATCCGTTCGTGTTGGGGCCTGAGTTGGCCATGCTGAGAATGCCGGCACCTGTGTGCTTCAGAGCTGGGGAAATCTCGTCCTCGAACTTCTCGCCGTAGATGGATTCACCGCCTCGGCCAGTGCCAGTAGGATCACCACCCTGGATCATGAAGTTCGGTATTATGCGGTGGAACAGCAGGCCATTGAAGTAGTTGCGCTGCGCAAGGGCAGCGAAGTTCTTGCATGTCTTCGGCGCGTGATCATTATAGAGTTCGACCGTGATGAGGCCCTGGACGGGTCAGCTTAATTCGTCATTGTGGTCTTTTGAACATACGACAGTGGTATCGAGCGCAACTTCGGTAGTCATGGTGTATGAGGGGCAAGAAGGTGGATGGTGGGGGAGTACAATGATGGTCGGTTCGTAGCTGCTCTTCAAAAAGTTACGCACAGACGACAACTGCCACAAACTGTGGCGTCACTAGCGTGCATGACATCGTTGACTCGATCAAAGAGCCCCAAACTTTCCCACAAACCAAGCAGCAGCAACACAATCTCGCCAAAATGAGTCTCGCAGATTGGGCGCTCCCGCAGCTCTCGAAGCTTCTCCCGCTGGACAACGACTCTCTGAAGCAGATCATCTCATACACCGAGTCGTTACCAAACAGGGAAGCGGCGGATCATCTGCAGAACATGCTAGGTGATAGTCCTCAGGCCCTGGAATTTATCACGTCCTTCAACAACAGGAGACCGTCAAAAGGACCTGCAGCTGCAGCTCAGACGGCGTCTTCGGGTGATCTGTCCGAGGTGCCGAAGCCCAAGTCCCGCAAGAAGAAGCAGACAGGATTGGGCAGGCCGTTACCAGCACGACGGATAGAGGATGCTGGCAACATTGCGGGCGCGTACATCAAAAGAGATGAGGACGACTACATGGCCGGGAGCTCAAAACATAAAGCTCCCAAGTCGAATGCTTTCGGGTTGTCTCAGAAGCCAGATGCTTTGCAGTTACCAACAGCTACATCTTCAGGAACGGCCACGCCGACATCACGCGGCGTCTCACCTGCCCCACAGCCGAAGAAGCTGCCTCCATCAGCCGCAGGCCAACTCATCTCCGAGGCGAAATCATCAAGAAACTCGTCACCAAAACCAAAGGCGAAGATCAGCGTAGCGGGTGGCACTCCAATGCATGGAGCTTCTACAGCACTCAACGATCTCGAATCTGCGATCAGAACTCTAGAGATCCAGACGAACCCTACGTTATCTGCACAAGACAGCAGTAAACGAAAGTGCAACTGCATGGCAACTCAGCACCCACTTCTCGATGCTGCGCCAAACTGTATGAACTGCGGCAAGATCATTTGTGTGAAAGAGGGTATCGGCCCATGCACATTTTGCAACACCCCGCTTCTCAGTGCCGATGAGACTCAGTCGATAATCCGCATTCTACGTGAAGAACGGGGCAAGGAGAAGATGGCTGCGAACAATGCCGGCCAAAAGCGTGCAGAGGTCGCACATGCGCCTCGACCGTTCTCAACACCGAAAGCGTCAGCGCCATCCTCTGACGTCGAGTCTGAGAACGAGAAGCTAGCGAAGGCCAAGCAACATCGAGACAAGCTCCTCGCTTTCCAGGCGCAGAACGCAAAGAGAACACAGGTCCATGACGAGGCCGCTGATTTCGAGACGACGACGGCCGGCTTGAGCATGTGGGCATCTCCACAAGAGCGCGCCATGCAGCTAAAGCGCCAGCAGAAGGCTCTACGAGAACAGGAGTGGAATGCGCAACCTGAGTACGAAAAGCGGAAGGTTGTTGCCAGCATCGATCTAGTGGGAGGGAAGATTGTAAAGCGCATGGCTGCTGCAGAGCGACCAAAGACACCCGAGAGTGAAGATGAGCCACCGGAACCTGCACAGCACTACGAGACCGGTGCCATCTCGAAGGGACATGGTGCGTTCAGCAGAAACCCACTCCTTGGTGCCCTCATCCGCCCCACTATCACAGTAGAAAGCAAGGGCAAGGACAGGCAGAGCGAGAAGAGGCAAGCCTGGAGGAGGGTACAAGACGATAATGACGACAACGAGCAATGGATCTTGGATGGTGGAGTGTATGGTGGGAAGAACGAGACTGGCGAGCCAGAAGCTGGGCACTGAGCATATACCGACAAAGACGCTGAGGACCTATTGTCTGCATCATCATCGCTACTCCAGTGTTGCTTTTGCGTAGGATACACTGGTTGCCTCGGTCTATAGCGCTTCCTTGGGCGTTACAGAGAGCTCGATACAAAAACTCGGTATCTGCGCCGACACAACTTTTCAGAAAAGCAACGGCCTCCGGATCTGGCTTTCCCATGAAAGCGCGACCAAACATGAAGTAAAGTTTAGCTATTGTCTATTCCAAGAGCCCAGCTAGCGGAGCGCTAGTAAGTTGTAGCACAACGGCAGTCGTCCACAGCCTCCAGCGCGAACCACTGCCCCGTCTTTGCACACAGGCGATTTTAGCATCTATCAATGAAAAAGCGGCCAAGCTCAGCTAACAGTCTTGAGGACCAACTACCGCCTTCAAATAATCGCACCTTCCTTATCCACTTCAAGCAACGATAGCTCGCCTGCAATTGCCGCGGCCCAAGACAACGTCCAAGACTCCAAGACCTCTTCCCCGCAAACTTTCCCCAGACATCCAACTTCCATCATCCGAAACTGTGGGCCTGACACGCGCCCCACGTACAGCATGACCGATCATCGTCGTCTTTGGTAATATCTGAATCTCGGATATACCATCTATTGGCGTTCGACTGCAGTAAAAACCCACATGGACTGCCACTGATGCATCGTCTCCCTCGCTTGACGATGTGAGCCAAGCTGAAGGTCTTGGGGTGGTGCATCCACACTGCTGCGGTAGATGGCGGCAAATGAGCGGAATTGGGCGCTGCAAGTTGCCTTTCTCCAGAGACGGGGAGACTTAATGCATGTAGAACTGATTGTCCCCAGGTTTCGTCGTACTTCTTTCTCCGTATTTGCTTTGGGTACTCTTGACCTGTGCGGTTCGGCTTGTACGCCCGTCCAACATCATGACGAAGAACATCACCTTCAAGGACCATGCCGCACACCTCGAGAACGTCGAGAACGAGAAGGGGTTCACGACACCCTCATCATCTTCTCAGAACGATGCGCCATTCACTATCGACCCCAAAGTTTCAGCACGTCTGCGCCATGCAATCGACTGGAGACTCATCCCTGCCCTAGGCGCAATGTACGGTATCTCACTCATGGACCGCAAGAACGTTTCCAACGCTGCCATCGCTGGTATGCTGGTAGATCTCAGGATGGGCAGAGGCATGGGGTACAACCTCGTCAACCTGTGCTTCTTCATCACATACGTGCTGTGTCAGCCATTCATGGTTATCCTGTGTAGGAAGGTTGGGCCACGATACTTCCTGCCAGGTATGTTGTGCACTGCTCACGCTGAAAGCCTGTCTAACCTTCTATAGGCATTTGCCTGGCATGGGGTGCTGTAATCGTTGGCTTTGGCTTCACAAAGGACTGGCCTAGCTTGATCCCCTTGCGACTGGTGCTAGGCTTACTGGAGAGCGGTTACTTCCCCGGCTGTTTGTATCTGCTGAGCTGTTGGTACACCAAGTGTAAGTTGGCTCAATCCCAAAGCGGTTTCAGCACATTAACAGCAAGCAGTCGAGGTCGCAAAACGCTACAGTGTCTTCTACTTCATCGGCAGCATCGCATCAGCACTTTCCGGTATTCTCGCCTACGGCCTGCAGCAGATGGAAGGCGTTAATGGCATCCGCGGATGGCGCTGGTACGCACCTTCTCATTTCTTCACTCGCCAACACCGCACTAACCTCCTCCAGGATCTTCATAATGGAAGGCGTAATAACCTGCGGCGTCGCCATTTTCGCCTTCTCCTTCATCGTCAAATTCCCCGACCAAGAGAAACTCAAGCCATCCTGGGGCTTCCTCAAGAAACCCGGTGACATCGACCTCGTCATCGATAAGCTCAACGCCGACCGCGGCGACGTTGCCCCCGAACCCTTCTCCTGGAAGAAGTTCCTCGCCCCAGCGACGCAGTGGTACATCTACGGCTTCGCATTCATTTTCTTCTGCGTCACGACCATTGCGTACGGGTTTGCTTTTTTCCTACCCATCATTCTGAGCACGAAGTTGAAGTTTAGTGTGGCGATGGCGCAGTGTATGGGTGCGCCGCCGTATGCGGCAAGTGGGTTTATGATGTATGGTGCTGCATGGTTCAGTGACAAGTACAAGACTCGCGGTCCGGTTGTGTGCTTCCTCTGCCTCATTTCGCTCATCGGGTTGCCAATCATGGGTTTTGTGGAGAATCCCTGGGGACAGTATGTCGGAGTGTTCATCACGGTCAGTGGGACCAACAGCGCTATTCCCGCGATCATGGCGTATCAGGCGAACAATATCCGTGGGCAGTGGCGCCGAGCGTTCTGCTCAGCTACGTTGACTGGTCTTGGTGGCATTGGAGGTGTTGCTGGTGCCTTGATCTTCAGGACTGAGGATGCACCGTCGTATGTCCCGGGATTTGCGGCCTGTATGGCTTGCAACGTGCTCGTCATCTTGACAACAGGCGTTTTGACATTGTACTTCAGACGATGCAATTCGCAGGCCGATCGGGGCGAGCGAGTGATCAACGACGACCCGACGTTCAGGTTTACCATCTAAGTTATGTAGGACGTCCGTAGCTTTTGAGCCTAAGCACAACCCAGAACTCTTAGCATGGCTACTTCCTATTCATTTAGCATGAATTCTACCATTTTATCACAGCAGCCCTCACAATCTCGCAGTTCCCTTTATCATGTGTTTTGTCTTCTCCAACATCAAAGATCAAACCACACTCCTCTCCTTCGCTTTCGCCACCTTGTCGACCGATTCAGCAAGCGCAATGCATGCAGCATCATCTACCCACCACCGCCTCTCAATCCTCGTTGTCGGTCGTTCCTTCCAATGTTTCTCATTGAACTTCGCAATCGCCGTGGCGATAAGCAGCCTTGTCACCTCATTTGGCGTAATCCTCTCTATGTAGAGATCACCAGCCACAAGGTGGGCACCAAGTTTGTGCTGGCTGAACGTATGTTTGTATCGACTGTGGTTTGTGTGACAGTGTTGATCAGGCAACTCTTGCGTCCGCCGTGCAGGGTGGTTGTTGTGGTAGACGTAGTCTTTGAGCCACTGCAAGGCATAGACGGCGCTGAGGCCAAGCTCCTGTGCGGGAAGAGTGATGTCGGAGTAAAGAATGGCATAGTGAGAGTCGGGAATTGCACTGGATTCGTAGCGGCGGGATCGTATGTGCGAGTGGCAGATGACGGTACCGAGCTCGTTGAGCTCTGTGGCCTTTGCGGGAAATAGTATTAAGTTGCTGTAGGCATCTTGTTCTCTTGGTGAAGATAGCGCGGTTGTGGACAGTGCACAGCGTAGTGCCTTCAGGTCGACGTTGTAAACGAATGCTTTTGAATTTTGATGCGGGCTGCCAAACCTCGTTTTCGAATTGAGCGTACGGTGGAGGTGGAATGGTTTCTATTGTAGCCTCCATTGTAGATTCGCTTTTACTGCCCTGTTGCTGTATAGTTTGTTAGTGAAGCACAATGGAAAAGGCAGCGGAGTGTTTATTCAAGAAACGCACAGCCACCTCGAATATCTTGTACCATGGAACGAACAAATTTCGGTGATTCAGTCAGCAGACGACGAAAAATGGTAAAGGTAACAAGAGGGGTCTTGAGTGACTTCCACACGTCAAGACTGACCGTGGGGCCCTACTGGCCGTTTTTCATAAAGCTGGGTTCCTCAGGTGGACGAACCGCAACACGCTGTAGGCATATACTGTATGAGTGCCAGCTTTGAGGGGATGGAGAGGTCTTGATATAGGTATTGACATTCATCTTTGTTGTACTATGCTTTTCCAATCGTCCTCGGTGATTAGGTCCTTCCTCTGCCTGTAGTCTGTTCACTATCTCCGAAGGCACGAGGCTAGTAGTCTGGCAGGACCGATGTAACTTCTTGCATGCTGGTCGAAGTATCCGGCTAGTAATATCTCTTGCCTCCTTCATCTTGCATGTGCCAAATAACCGCTTCATCCGCCCAATTCAACCTTCGTATATCCAGTCCTTGGGTCTTTCCCCCGGTATTCTCCTTGTTCGCCGTACATCTTTACCTGGCTACACGGTTGGGTATCTCCCGACGGTTCATTTTGCCGGCCTGACCCTGCGATAGGCTATGTGTAGTCGAGTGCATGTGAGCTATCGCTGCATCTTGAGGCTGCCAAGCGTCAGGCTTGGGATGGCGTTGCTTATAGTGTTCGGTGATCCGAATGGATTGCTTTTAAGACGTCCTTCATCCGAACGATGACATGGCAAGAGAGGATGCAACAGTCAAGATCGCAAGGATCATCAGCGTGGGCTGCTGTTTCGAAGCAGCACCGGGAAGTAAATTCGCCTTGAGTTCCATGTTTGGCGGACGTGCTACCACATCTGACGAGTCGAAGTAGGCGTACTTGGACCTCTCGCCATCCTGGAGCTGTTCGTTGGTAAGAACAGACAGTTCGTTGGGAAAGTCCATAACCGGAACGTTAGGATAGAAGCCCTTCTTCTGCAGGATGTAGCGCGCCTGTGCGTACAGCGCGTAGTTCTCTGCGTTGTTGGCGGCGTCGTAAGGCATTTGTGTCGAAAGAACCGCCAGCAGCTTCGATCGTGTTACGCCATAAGCGTATTTGAGGGTCTGGGCGTCATTTGGTCCGGTGCCGTCCGGGCGGTCGTTGAGTACTCCGGCAAGAACCGTTGTATTCATCGCTCCTTCGGTGACGATTGTCTCCCATTCCCTACCAGATGTCGAATTCGCTCGTGCCGGGACAGCGTTTTCCACTACCGCAACACCCACGCCACCGATATGCATCACCATCCTTGCCCATAGCGTTGCCCGGTTGTAGTATTCGTGCAACCTCTCCTTCTCCATCTGGTTGCCTGCCTTTCTGTCCACCCTTTCCTCGAGACCATCCAACTTGAAGTAGTCCTTACAGAAGTTGATCATTGGAAGGTTGCCCATGTTGTACGCGACGTGATTTCCCTCTCTCTTGTTCCCCGTTTTGCAGATGTTGTTTGGGTCGTCGCACCGTACATAGACATCTGGATTGACCGTCTCATTTCCTTTCAGGTTGGCGTACTGCGCTGCGCGCTTGAGGTTCGACTCGATCATCGAGGAGTAATTCGCGATTCGCAAGGGTTGACCAAAGAGCTCGACGGCGGGTTGGCCATTCTGATCATAAGGCAAGGCTGCTTGGAACAGCTCGGTCATCTCTATGAAGCCATTTCGAATGTCTTCGATATCAGACGAAGAACATCCTTCACCACCTGTCAAGGATGCAGCAAGCTCGGGCTTTGCTTTACCCTTCTCTTCGGCAATGACTCCATCGTCTTCCGGAATAGCGACTGCGTGGGCGACTAGAGCAATCGAGAGGAATGTCGGTAAAGAAAGAAGGGTACGAAGGGTGAGCATGGCCACTCTGATAAGTGGCTCGTAAGCCCAATATGAGGAACGAGTAGAGGGCGATCCCGTCTAAGAGACGCGTTGCCTCTGCAAGGTTGTTGCTCCCAAGGCTGAGATAGAGTAGGATGGATCGTTCGAAACAGGAACTATGGCGCAATCGGTCGTTTTCGATGTTCAGCGGAAGTCGCGGTATCACGGGAATCAGGGTAGACGGGCGCTGGAAGAGCAGGTTCGTAGACACGTTTGGTGTCGTGAGAGAACCTGAGGTGCCCTGTCGCAGTGGATGAGAATACGATGCATTGGAGCGCCTGGGCAATCTAGGATATGTGAGGGATGTTGGCCGCAGTTCTCCAGACCTACCAGACCTAAGACCGACAATGTGGGGCTAGGATTATGGGCTAGATCTCCCGGCACAACTTCCGAGACGCCAGACCCCCGAATTCTGCAAGGTCCAAGGGCCCAAGTCATGCCTGCTCACCTCGATAAGGAAGTGAGTGATTGCGATGCTGCGAAAATGTTTCTGTCGGACCGAACATCGCCCTGGTCAGCTTGTTCAAGGCCATCGTCTTGTCTGAAGAACTGCACAGCATCTTCTGCGGTCATCTCGTGCCGACGTCTGAGCGAATTGTGTCTCAGGCCTTCCGCAACAGGCAGGACGCCCTATCAGGATGAAACGCTTGCCGAAATACCAAGACTTTTAAACAATGCGATGACCGCCAACGACGATGGCGATCGTTTCCAATTCTCCCATCGCTCTTGACGGACTTTCCTCGCTCATCAATGCGCAATGACCACAGATCGACAGGGCATAAGTTTCATTAACGGGCCATTGTCGGTTGCTATCGTGAAGTTTTCGATCAAAGAGGAAGAGCTTGGACATGCTGCTGCGGTTTTGGAAGTGACGAGGAGGACAAGAGCATGAACGAGCGCTGAAAATTGCCAAGAAGCTCCGGAACAGTCGGCGCACGGAGTGCTCCAGCCCGTGATCCTTGCTGACACTCGAACGCTCACACGAAATCGACAACTTCAAAAGACAACACTCACGAGAATGCGCGCAAGCCCGATCGATCTCAAGGACAGTTGCGAATCACAAAAGTTGTCGAGATGAATGTTTCCAAGAATGGAAAGGTAAGGTAAGAGGCCTTCTGAACACTCATGCGCCCACCGAAGAAGCAGCATGGAAGCAGAACATACGAACCAGCGTTCAGTCGCGCGCTCTACAAGATACATGATTTAAGCTGGCCACAGAACGATTCCACTGTTTGAATGGTCGTTCTCCGTACTGACAGATCTATTTCGCGCATGTGTACATGGAGTTGCGGAATTCACTCGATCTCTGACGTGTTCACCGACTTCATTGAAAAATTCGATTGTGGCTGCGTACATTTTAGGACACGATGCTGGTCAACTTTTGAGAAACTGCAGGTTCTGCCATTGACGCGTTCGACTTGGAGGTGGCTGAAGTGGCGTACAGTTATCAACACTTCTGCAATCTCCATCCGGCAACATGGAAGTATCCTCATCTTCATCGATACTCAACACCACAAGGCTGAAGTTTACAGCCATCTGACTATCGGACTTCCCCAGTTAGCTGACCTTCAATAAAAGTAGAACCTGGTGCCTGGACTAGACCCCCAACCACACATATAAGATTAGGTAGGAAGAACATCTATCTATCACGTTTGTTACGGTACTGTGCAATAAAACTCAATGGCACGAACGGCATTGGCTCGACGCCCACCGAGCGCTATGTTGTATCAGCTGATCAAGCCTATTAGATCGTTCAAGCAGCTGTCGCAAATGCCACCGCCATAGGGGTGCCTCAGAACATCGCCGTCGTTGACCCCTCCGATCCTGGTCGCCATCTTGCGCATAGACAATGCTTACATTGGTTCCATCGATATCAGCCAAAAGAAGTCGAGGACTGCAGTGGTGTTTAATGGATTGTTCAGTGCAGGCTTGTTTAACGCAAGTCAGCCTGGTGCGCCATTGTATGCTATTGAGCAGACGAATGGTAGGCTTGTCGTCTTTGGAGGGGGTGGATGTCACATCCAGATATATATGCGGAGTAACGAACTGACCGTTCGCCAGGCTGCCGACCTGCTATCAAGGAAGGTTGATTGGTGTTGGTGTCAGTGGAGGCACATTGCCGCAAGACGTCGAGATTGCTACTGCTGGGCTAGCGGGCATTGGAGCCAGCGCTACAGCACCGATGTAATTGTACTCGGATTGCATGAACTAATGACACAGTATGTACTACGAATTGAGATACCTGGTAAATCTATCGCAAGGTCTGAATCTTGGAAGATACGCAAAACAGGAAGTGATGATGGAAGCGCTAGTACGATGGACCACTTCTACAAACGCGAGCATCCTCCGCATTTCTCTTCTACACCAAGCATAGGTGCACTTGCTGTCCTCAGCGTTTCGCTCCGCCGCTTATTTGCATGCTGATATCTAATTTTAGAACATGTCACCCCGCTACGCTCTCAACGGAAGGCAGCAAGGGTCTGATGTCAACCTCACAATCGGCCGAATTCACAAAACCCAGGAATCACACGCCACGCGGTTTGAAGTCCGATCAACACAGGCTTCCAGTGGCAATTGGGACGCAGTGTGAATGGACATGCTCGGTCCAGAAAGCCACGTCTACGATCCCCTCCCTACGCCGACTTCGGTTCGAGTTCTTCTACTGGCACCAGGGAAGCAAGAAGATGACATCTTCTGCTACCTCTTTACGTGCGACCTAGACAAGGACCGCACCATCGATATCTCCATTCCGCGCCCTTTTGAGAGTACATGTGTGGCTACCGCAAAGAGACTTGATGGTAAGGATCCAACAAAGTCATTCATACTTCAGGTGGACTCGTACATCGATGAAAGCGAAGAAGGCACAGCATCGGATTCTGACATCCAACCTACGTCTGCCAAGGGGAACGGGCTCAGGCCCAGCCAAGTTGCTCCGAAAGTTTCAAGTTTCCCGACAGACACGGCTGATGAATATGCAACAATCAGTAAGGCTGGAGAGTACAGCGCCGCCTTTGACCGAACTGAGCAGGGTGACAACTCAGAGATCCTCCAGAAGGTCCAAGATGTTGCTTCGAGTTTCCTGAACAATGACAGCACTGAGGCTGCTGACAGCGAAGAGCAGCCCAATGAAGAGCACGAGATGAGTGACGACTGGTGGGATGTCCAGCAGCTGACGAAACTCACGATGGCCAATGGCGCTCTCAACCATCGTGTTCATCGGCATCCGTTCCAACGATATACAGCACTTTCTTACGTCTGGGGAAGCGTGGAAGATCCGGCACACATCACTTTGGAAGGTCATGCGAGATTCCAGGTTACCGGAAACTTGTTTAACGCACTGAAGTGCCTGCGTCGGCCAGATGCAGCTCTAGCGCTCTGGGTAGACGCTATCTGCATCAATCAAAACGATCCAGAGGAGAAAAGAGTTCAGATCGGCCTAATGAGACGTGTGTACAAACAGGCGCGAAGAGTAATCGCTTATGTGCCACAGGAGCCGGAGGACATTGAGACTTTCAATGAGCTTGTGGGGAAGATCCTTCAAGCGTATGCGCAATGCAGAAAAGCTATCGACTCAGGAGCAGGTCGTGGGCAACAAGAGGACACTGATGGTCTAGAGGTTGGTCAGGAAGCCAAGCTCGAGCAACACGGACAGCAAGAAGATGGCGCCTCGGTGTCTGATGCATCTGGACTCAAGGTCAAGATGTTACCTCTCAAGCCAACAGGCACTTGTATCGAAGACTACGATATGCCACCCGAAGACGATCCAGCATGGTTTGCTTGGCGACGATTTTTTGCTTCTCCTTACTTCAGACGGATCTGGATCCTACAGGAATTTACCCTCGCCAAAAATCTTTACCTGCACAACGGTCGTTCAGAAGAAACGTCCTCTGCCATCCTTCTTGTCATGCATGCTGTCAGCAGTATGAGTAGAATGCTCAACGCACAATATTTGGGGCGTGGGGAGGACGCTGAGTTAGGTCGAGCTGCGGCTTTAGGTTGGAGGGGTCTGGAGATGATGAACATGGAGAGAGTCTTCGCGCAGGAAGATCTTCACGACGAGGTCGCACTGAAAATGCTCAAAGAAAGATCGAGACTGATCGACAAGATCCGCTATGCCTTCGACTTCGATGCGACCGATCCGCGGGACAGAATCTACGCTCTCTTGGGCCTTGTATCAGATTCCGAGCGCTTCCAACATCTAGTCAGCTATCAGCCGGCGGATACCTATCCAAAGATCTACAGACGTTTTGCCAAAGCGTTGATCGAACAAGGGCATCTCGTGCAAGTCCTGCACATGTCTTGCAAAACACCTTCGAGCTTACGGCTCCCTAGCTGGGTACCGGTGAGTCCAGGATCCATTCAGCAACTGTATTGAAGAGTGAAAACTTACCACAATCTCAGGACTGGTCCGCTCCTACCATAACATCGATAGCTCCTGGTATTTCCTTAGAGAAAGGCTACAAAGCTGGCTGTGACAAGACATCAGTCCGGCCCCGCTTCATGCAAGATCACCTCATCCTCTCCGGCCGAATCTTTTCCAACATCACCTTCATGACTTCACCGGTCCAAAAGTACAGCCTCAACGCCGCTCTCGGTGGTCGAATACAGGACATGTTCGAGATGTTGACGGCAAACTTAAACGAGCTCGCCAGTCGCCTTGCCCAGAGTCCGGTCGAGACACTCAAAAGCTTCTTCTATTGTCTAACGATGCAGCTTGACACATTCGAATCTCTAGATCGCGAAGATCTCAAGAGCAGTGAGCTAGTGAGCGACTGGAGGCTGTTCAAGACACTTTTCGCACGCATCACGGATTACATGCAGATTGAGAACCACGCAGACCACAAAGTCACGTTCGGGGCTTTTCCAGAGGAGGACCTCGCGTTCATGCAGAAGGTAATGGGTAACCTGGCGGGAAGGTGCTTCTGCGTCACGAGACCTGGTAATCGAATTGGTCTGGTGCCTGAACGAGCACGAATCGGCGACAGTCTTGCAATCATCCAGGGAGCGCCGGTCCCCTTTGTTGTAAGGGAGATGAGTGAAAGTACGGCAGGAGATGGGCGATTGTACAGTCTCGAAGGCGATGCGTACGTTCTCGGTGTTATGCGAGGAGAGCTTGTACAGGAAGAAAATGTTGCGTGGTCTGAGGTAATACTTTCTAGTCACAGGAATCGAATTGCTCGATCTTGCTGTATAGTATCGTAAGACATGCAAACCTTCCACTCCAGTCTCACCGACCACGCTCCGTGTGACGTCACACCCACAACCACCTTCAACACCCCCACACTCCCAAGCCTCGGAAGTCCCCAAAACAAAGACTCTGGAAACGATGCGCCTCGCCGCCCTCGGTGCAGTACCCCGTGATTAGGGCTCCGGGCCGTTCGTTGATGCGGGGTGATCGGCTGCAGGATTACCTTAACGGGTATACCGCGTTGCGTTCATGACGGAAGAGTCGAACACGCGACTTGTACCGCGTCTTGAGTACCGAAATTGCAGCAAATCGGGGGCACGCGGAGGATGGATGGTGGTGATGGGCCATGTCTGTAGCCGGATGGCATGAGGTGGTGAGGTTTAAGATGTTCAGCTCCCCTCGCCGGTCTTGAAGGTGGTCTCGAGAGCTGGCGTGAGCGAGACGATATGCGATCATTTATCTTTCAGTTCTCGGATGAACCTTGATCTGCGTCGAAAGTTATTCAGGAGTTGGCTTTGATATGGCAAACGGCAACATGAACGCGGTCCGGTTCCATGGGCAATACGATCTGCGATATGAAGAGATCCCGATTCCTGAGGTGAAGCCTGGACAGGTCAAGATCAAGCCAGCTTGGGTGGGAATATGTGGAAGTGGTAAGTCAAACCAGCTCAAGAACTTGCCGAATAGCGTCTAAGCATTTGTAGATCTTCACGAGTACCTCGGCGGTCCAAATCTCTGTCCCACAACACCACACCCGATCACAGGAGAAACGGTCCCTCTGACATTCGGACACGAGTTCAGCGGTGTAGTCGAGGAAGTAGCCGACGACGTGAAAGACTACAAGAAGGGCGACCGAGTCGTCGTACAACCCATCATCTACGACGGGACATGCACAGCATGTGAAGAGGGTCTGCACAACTGCTGCTGGAGCAACGGCTTCGTAGGACTATCCGGCTGGGGTGGCGGACTGGCAGACCATATCGTAGTCCAGACTTCAACTCTTTACCACCTCCCGGACAACGTTCCCTTGGAGATCGGCGCACTCGTCGAACCACTCGCAGTAGGCTGGCACGCAGTCAAAGTCAGTCCATTCAGAAAGGTGATGTAGTCCTGATCCTCGGCAGCGGTCCAATTGGCATCTCAACAATCCTAGCCTTGAAGGCGAAGGGCTGCGACAGAATCATTGTATCCGAGGTCTCGCGCAAGCGACAAGAATTCGCAAAAACATTCGGCGCAGACTACATCATCGATCCAACGAAAGAAGACATACCCAAACGCTGTAAAGAGCTGAGCGACGGCAAGGGTGTCCACATTGTATACGACTGTGCAGGCGTGCAAGCAGCACTAGATCAGGCTGTGCATGCTACACGGCCTCGCGGTTGCATTCTCAATATCGCTATCTGGGAGAAGCTGTGCACGATTACGCCGAAGGACTTCAATTTCAAGGAGCGGATGTATATGGGCATCGCGACGTACGAGATTGGTGATTTCCAGGAGGTGATTGATGCGTTGTCGTCGGGGAGTATAAAGCCTCATGAGATGATCACGCAGAGGATCAAGTTGACGGAGGTAGAGGAGAAGGGGTTCAGGTCGTTGATTCACGATAAAGACAATCAGGTCAAGATCTTGGTTGAAGTTGGAGGTGGAGATTGATTGATAAAGGGACAGGAAGGAAGTGTAATTGAGATGTATTGATGATGTCTGGAGCACCTTGATGTCACATTAGCGTTAACGAGAAACACATATACGATATAGTATCTCACATAAGTGCAACTTCAAGTACACTGTGAAAATGAATGAAATGTTCCAAAGACACCTTCACGTTCAAGCCACATCGAATGTTCGAAGAACAGCGATTGCCCACACGAAACAGCTCTATGAGCGTTTTCACGAAAAGAGCGAACCAGAACTGGAGAAGTTGTCAAAGGTGGTAGCGCCACGTTCCAAAGGCCGACTGCACAAGACGCACTGGTCGATATGGAGGTCGTGGGCTGTTCAATCTTCGCACGTAGACTAATTGACACGGTACTGAGCAGATACCCCGTGGCAATTTAAGAAGGTGCGGATCACAAGGATCATAGACTCTGAAGTGGAGCTGAGAGGAATCATCGTGTATCGGGTAGCACACACTACTCATCGTCGCCATCATCGTCGCCCTGAACATCCATGACTCGCTCGCCAGCTCTCTCCAGAGTGCGACGGCTCCAAACGCGAACGCCTTTGTAGATGGCCTCTCTTGTGTTAGCAGGGGACCCATGAATGATCTGAGAATGTACATACTGCTAGGAACGTTCCTACACCGATCAAGATAATGATCCAGCTGACCTGCTCGTATCGATCTCGGCCAGTGGCTCGCCCTCGACCGCCACCTCCAATCCTGAAGTAAGAGAGCGGGCTGGTGACAATGACCTTGAGAAAGCCAAGCACGCCCATGCCAGCGAAACCTTTGGCGAAGTGCTCGGCCCAGGAATCCGGCTCATCTTCCGGTTCATAGTAATAATCTCGACTGGAACTTGCCCAGGGCATGAGAGTGCTCCATGGATTAAAGTACAAATTGAGAATAGGATCGGCAAAGAACCCAAGGATGAACACCATCGATATCATAATCAGAACCGTCAATGTAAGTTGCGCAGCTGAAACAGTGTCAGTATTCTACATACTGAGCAAGTTGTTTCTATGACTTACTGATACTACCAACAAACCGACCTGCTCCAAGTCGCGCAAGTCGATACTTGAAACCGCAAGTTGGGCATTGCCAGTAGTTCCTGCGTCCGTAGCTGGGATCGGCGTGGCGCCAAGCTTGCAGACACCCGTCATGGACATACTTTGAAGAGCCTTTGCATAAGCAGGGTCTGATCAAACGACCGCCTTCATCTTCGTACAACACATTGGGATGAGACGACTGCAGAAAGCCTGGGAGGTTCTCAGAGGGTGCGTTGACGGTAGGTTGAACAACCTCGAGGCAAATCCTGCACTGTCGAGGTGGCCAGTGGGTGCGTCTGGGCCGAGTGGCTTGTTCTTTCTGGGATGATCCATCTGGAGCTGAGGTACCTGTGGCCTGAGGTTGCGGTGTTGACGATGAGGTTGCACCACGTGACGGCTCGTCCTTTGGTACATCGTCCGGCCAGTACCAGCCCGGCATAGCTTGGAAGCCGGATGAAGAAGGCATGTCTCGAATGATGGTGAAGTAATAAGGCTCTGTGCCTGGAGAAGTCAATTATATGCTTACCAACAAAGCCTGACAAGAAGACATGAGTACAAAGATGATGTTGCAGGTAAGATCAACCAGGTAAACGCGGGGGTGACATCTGCTAACGCAAGCGCCTCTGACCAAACCAGGAGCCGACGCAGCGTTCTAGATATGTAAGTGTCACGAAGAGACACGGTGGCAGAGGAAGTAAAGGGAACAGCATCGAATGAAAGTTATTCGCAGGCTGGATCGGCCCGGGCGTAAGTCTTGGCGTATGTCACGTGCAGCTGACTTGGTCAATGCTCTCGCGTCGCCGCGTCCATCGATTGCCTGGAGCTTCAAACGAGCTCCAAACTCACGCCCATCTCGCACCCCGCAACGGCTGTCTGCCCTCTCTCCATACCCTGATACTCCGCCAACTTTCCAGTACTGCATCACACATCGCCATGGCTGACAGATATTCCTTCTCGCTCACCACCTTCTCGCCCAGGTAAACATTCAATCCCCGCCGCAGTGGCTCTTGGTTCGCCTGCTAATATGACGATAGTGGAAAGCTGGTACAGATTGGTATGCACACCTATTACTTAGCACGCGTGTAGACCAGCCCTTTTCAGTGTTACTGATACTGTTTTAGAGTATGCCCTCAATGCTGTCAACCAAGGCGTCACTTCGCTAGGTATCAAGGGTACGTCTATATTCCATGTTTGCGAAGTCAGGAACTAATGAGCCTTTACAGCCACAAACGGTATTGTCCTTGCGACCGAGAAGAAGTCATCGTCACCCCTCATCGACTCAGCATCGTCATCGAAGGTTAGCCTGGTAACACCAAACATCGGCATGGTCTACTCAGGCATGGGTCCAGACTACCGTGTCCTCGTCGATAAGGCCCGTAAGGTCTCACACACCGAATATAAGCGCATCTACAACGAATACCCACCCACCAGGATATTAGTGCAGGATGTAGCGCGAGTGATGCAGGAGGCGACACAGTCGGGTGGTGTCAGGCCGTACGGTGTCAGCTTGTTGATTGCTGGGTGGGATGACGGCATTGAGCCAGAGGCTGAGGGCAAGAGCGACGAGCAGAACAGCGAAGAGAAGAAGAAAGTGAGCGGCAAGACCGGCGGAATCTTGAAGGGCGGGCCGAGTCTGTACCAGGTCGACCCCAGCGGCAGCTACTTCCCTTGGAAAGCAACGGCAATTGGCAAGAGCGCGACGAGCGCGAAGACCTTCCTTGAGAAGCGGTACACAGACGGTTTGGAGTTGGAGGATGCCATCCACATCGCCCTTCTGACACTGAAGGAGACGATAGAAGGAGAGATGAATGGCGACACTGTCGAGATCGGCATCGTTGGACCGCCGGAGGAGAGGCTGCTCGGTGTTGAGGGTGTCGAAGGAGCAGTGGGCCCCCGCTTTAGGAAGCTGAGCCCCTCTGAGGTCGAAGACTACCTGACGAATCTGTAGAGCTTAGATGTATCTGTGTTCGAGTTGCTACCTTCCCCGGGCTCTCGAGCGCTGTCAAAGAGTGATTTGGGCTGGCGCGGACGGTAATACGCAAAGACCATAGAGACGAGCCGACCTGATGTAGCATTTATGAAAACCACGACTTACCATACTCTTTATTGCCATGCGATATGATCATCTTTGAAGATTAATGCTTTGTCAAGTTTAGCTCAACCTCTTGTAGCACAGGCGCACCTGCTTCGTCCATTGTTGTGGGTTTGACCAATCATGAGCTAACGGAAAACAAGCCCAACCCAAGCAGGAGTACCTTGTCTTTTCACCTCCCCGGACCAAAAATATGATTTGAGGCGACCAGCCCTGTGATGAACCGATGGCTGCTACAGCGGAGCTCCATGACGGTGCATCAGCCCGTGCGGCCATCATGGACGCTCAGCCGCTCGTTCTGCGCTCATATCAAGCTGAGATAGTGGAGGAAAGCGTCAAGTCGAACATCATTGTTGTCATGGACACAGGTAACGGCAAAACACACCTACTTTTTGAATCGCCGCAACCGATTTCCAAAACTAACAGCTACCCGTGCGCTCTATCGCACAAGAGCTAAGCTTGAGATATGCAAGCCTTCCAAGGTATGTATTTTTCTCAGAAAGATATGCCTATTCCCTCAACCTACATTGCAACGCGTGTATGGTTCCTTACACCTACAGTCACATTATGTGAGCAACATAGCAAGGTCTTCAGTCGTCATCTTCCAAGTTACAATGTCCTAGTGCTCAGCGGCCAAGATGACGTTGATCACTGGACAGAGCAGAGCGTGTGGGACTCGGTACTGCACAACGTTCGTATCGTATTGTTTACACATCAGGTTTTGTATGACGCTCTCACCCATGCGTTCGTCAGGATGGATGAACTAGCTCTGTTGATCTTTGATGAAGGTTAGTCAATTTTGCAAATTGTGACCACAGCGCCCTGACCAACATGTAGCCCACCATTGCACTCTGAACCATCCGGCCAATCGCATTATGTCAAACTTCTATGTTTCAAGGGTCGAAATAGGAGACAAGAGTCTCCCCAAGGTTCTCAGATTGAGCGCGAGTCCAGTCATGAAAGCAGATGCTACGACGGAAACCTTGGAGTGAGTTTTCCACATCCCAGAGCATTGGTCATGTTGACAGGGACATGAGGAAAATTGAACGCAATATGCATGCTACGGCAAGAAAACCCAAAAGTCGTCCGGAGCTGGCACGGCATGTTCATGAACCCCGACGACATGTGACAGAGCAAGTTAGCAGATGAGAAGGAAGTAGAAGAGGAGGAGGGATCCCGCTGTTTCGAAGTTGAGACTACCAGCGCCCGTCTGACATTGGACGATGCATTGCCACATCTCAACCACTTTTGTGCGCTCCTGGGATCAGGCCCATACATCAATCTGCGTCCGCAGTTCAAGTTCAGTTGATACAAAGCAGACAACGGTATCACTGCGGAAGTCACACTCCCCATCTCAGTCGAATGCGCAGTACGCAAAGCTAAAAGCCTGGAGTCATGGCGAACGACAAAGATGGCGCGCAAAGATGTTGCTTTTGAAGCCTACAAGGCTTTGTACCTCGCTGGCCTGGTCAACGATAACTTGTTGCCTGTGCGACAAGAAGCTGACAACCTGGCGGCAGAGTTTCAGGTGCCTGATCACACAACATCTATGGTGGCTACCTCACCAACTTTTGATCCCTGGGTGTCGATCGCTCATCAGCAACAACTCAAGCACCGGACCTACTTTCGAACGCTACTCAAAGTCCCGGCAGCTGGTTAACATCCTCTGTATATCAGGCTGTTCACACTGTTTTCCGTTCCTATCGTTGGCAAGATTGAATTGTTCTGGCATGAAAGCCAAACCTACACAGCTATGATGTCCAAATGATTGGAAATCACGCTAGCGGCGATAACACTGCGTTCCACTACTCGAAAGATCGTCCGATCCATGCATTCAGGGAGAATGCAAGAAGAGCGACATGCCCTCCTGTGGCTACTGGCACCTTGCGATAGAACGGGCAAGAGCCTGACTTCTATGAAGCTTCCAAGATGGGACAGCGCCACAGACGGTTGCCAGTCAGCTATATCACTACTGGCCAAGGCCATGGACTAGACATCACAGTGGGGTCTCATCTACCAGGGTGAGGATAATCGTAAGTATATTCTCCAGGTCATCACCGATCCTCAGACTAATATCTCAACTGGCCAACCATCAGACGCACACCTTCAGACCATTCGAGTGCCCAAATGGCGTGATTTCCTGCATCGCATCTTGAACGCTGGCAACGTGAAGGATGCGTACATACAAAAAGAGGTCCTGAAAACATCGGAATGTGTGGTGGACAACCTACCAGCATCGTACTCAGTAGTCGCGCTTCTACTACCATCAATATTGCATAGGATCGAGATTGCAATGATTCCAGAGACTTACGAACAACACTGCTCGGCCCTGGCGGCATCGAGGACGATCATCTGCCACTTAGGGTAAGAGCACTTACCGCATTCTCTACCGATGAAGGTGACAACTACCAACGCCTCGAATTTTTGGCTGATTGTACACTGAAATTCGTTTCGTCTCTCCATATGATGGCAAAGAATCCAACGTGGCCCGAGAGCTTTCTCACCGGAAAGAAAGATCGTAAGCAACGGCTCCCTTGCTCGGGCTACCTTGGCAGCCGGTCTTGATAAGTCTGTCATCACCAAACGATTCACAGAAGCAAAGTGGTCTCCCAGCTATGCAGTAGATGTGCTCGCAGCTCCCGCGCCGTCGGAGAGACCAGAGAGGTCATCGAAACTGCATGCCGACGTTGTCAAGTCGCTGATTGGCGTAGGGTATGTATTCGGCGGATTTCCCAAAACTTTTACTCGCGTGCAGACGCTTTTACCACTCGAGAAGTGGAGGCCGATATCTGAAGCAAATAACAGCTTGTATAAAGTGCCTCCTACAGACCTTGCTATAACCAATCTTGACATTTAGAAACCCTTGATTGGATGCACCTTCACGAAGGAGATGCTTCTTCTAGAGGCACTCACGCATGCCTCTTACACTGGATTCAACGCTCATTGTAGCTACGAGAGACTGGAATTCCTCGGAGACGCCGTACTTGACTACATCATCTTAACACGGCTGTACGGGCATGACCCGCCCCTGCCGTATCAGAAGATGCATGCCATGCGGACGGCGATGGCAGATACATCGTTCCTTGCCTTCAGCATGCTTGAGACGACGGTCTCAGAAGAGACAACCAGCAAGCCAACCATGCAGCCGGAGGGCCATCAGAGGGCATTATGGTAATTCCTACGATCCGGAAGTCCTCAACTGACCACTACACGGGACATAGCTTTACAGTAGCACGCATAGGTGAGAGAGCAACTCATCTATGCGCTGAAGCATGACGAGTTTCCATGGCAATTACTGGCCCTTATCGACACACCGAAGTTCTTGTCACATATCGTCGAAAACGTCATAGGCGCTATCTACATTGACAGTCGCGATGACTTCTCTGCCTGCGAAGTGTTTGTGCGCCGTCTTGGGATCCTCGACGCTCTTGAACGCATTCTACGTGACGATGTAGATGGCTTACACCCTAAAGAGCGACTAGGTCACTTGGTTATCGAGCGCAGTTTCCATTATATTCGTGTGTGGGACGACGCCTCGAGCAGCTTTGGCCTGCAACCTGGCATGAGCAAGGTGTGGAAATGTCAGGTCAAGGTTGGCGGGGAGGACGAAGGAGGAGCCGTGGAAGGATTGACGAGGGCAAACGCTGAGACTGTAGCTTCCTGTAGAGCGAACAAGGTCCTCAGGGACAAGAGGTTCGTCGCTGTGCAGAGCAGTGGGGAGGAAGACGTCTTCTTTGACGCCGATGAGGGAGGCGATGTAGCACCCGGAAACTGGTAACGGTCAGCTGCGGAGGGCATGTGATAAGCCGCTCAGTTGGATCACATCTCGAGGCCAAAGATTTAGCAGACAGTGCTGCAACGGTGTATACGAACCCTAGGCTAGAAGTTCGGAGCCCGTCGAGGAGGCAGTGTCGCGGATCTCGCTGGGGAGCATCTTTCTCCTCAGTAGACCTCAGCGTCGTTAGGTGGTTTAGTACTTTAGGTCACCCGCCAGGCTGCGACAGGCCTGAGGATAGGGAAACAAAGCCGAGATAGAGTTTGTGGGTGCTGTCAACGCCGCCTAGCATGACACGCGGGAGCTCTTGGGCTGCGATCTGTAGGCAACTCCATTGGTCAAGCCCATCAAGGTGAGTAATAGAATGTCTCGCCTTTTCCACTACAGCCTGCTATTTCAACCTGGATTAGTCAAGGGTAGGTGTTTGAGTGTAGGCACCTCTCGAGGCATCAAATCACCGTTGATGCTAAGCGACAGAACCCCTGCAGATGATTGAGAAACGACCCCCAAGAACCTCGCGCTGGTGCTCACCTTCCAGCTTTGATCATCAGATAAGTCATGTCTCGGTGACAGAAGGAGAATCGTCGGTGCAGTGCCGCTGCTTTGACCTTGTGGGGTTTCGTGTGGCGTTGCTCTCCGTGCCCGTCATGAGGCGTGTGGCGTACTTCAACCATTGCACTTTGCACAAGACTGACCATGCCGTACGCTGACCCCGACCGTCCCCTCTCATATGGGGGCCATCTGCCTCAGTGTATCGTTGCGTTATTGCGGCACTGAGACACTCGACTATCACCAAGGCAGCATGAAATGTCTTGCCAATATAAGACGGGCAGACATCGTCGTGGCAGAACACATCATCGCAATCCTGCGCAAATCTCTTCGATACTTTTTCTACTAGACAATACTATCATCTTTGGACTATCGGCAGCATTCGACCGACATCAACATCTCCCACCATCATGTCTTCGCCCCAGCCCAACCCCCAACAGCCATCCGCTGGGAGGGCAACAGGAGCGTCTGGCGGTGCATACGGCAAGTTTCCCTGCAGAAATGCATGGAGTGAAGGACATCCCAGAGAGTATCATTTGGTGGATACTGCTGATGCTCTGTGTGCTTCGTGCCAGGTATGATGCAGCTGTTCCTAGTACCATGGGCCAACATCCCACTAACCATCGCACCAGTGCGAACCTCGCCCGCGGCGCTGAAAAAGGTACCGCGTCCCGGCAACTTCGTACGAGAGCCAACTGAATGACGGCATCGCGTCTTGTCGAGCTCAGCAATCGAGTACTGAGATGACCGTTCAAAGGATGCGAAGGATGCAGAAGGATAGAGTACACCGCAGGAACTGATTGGGAGGATTTTCAAAGTTTCCAAGCGAGCTGAAGTGCTTATTTGTTTGGGACTGGCGGCAATTTGAATGGTCTCTGGAATGTGCGTGCACATACACCTTGGAGTAGCACTGCACGTGTAATGGACAGCCCTAGCCACCCGTATGGCCTTCTAGACTTCTTTTCATATCCTAGATTTTCCTTCATAGCTCGACGCTTCTCGTGAAGAATATCATCATAAGTGGAACCATTCGACCCTACAGTTCCACCAACCATCTACAAGATTCAAGCAAACGAAGTATCGTAGACTAATCACGATGCGCTACCGATGGTAGGCTAGAGAGCTGCCCATTGCTTTCACAGAGACGCAGCAGATCCTGACTCCTGAAGCATCAAAAGCAGCGCTAGAGCTAGGCAAGTGGCGCGAAACCACCCGGCATCAACGGGAAGGACGCACTGACTGGCACTGCACCTGCCGCAACAACAACGTCGCAGAAGCTGCCAGCTGATGAGCAGCGACAGGCATCTACAAGTGCCATGGCCCCATTACCTGTGCTGCGGCGCTGCCTTCCTTCTTCTTCCCAACCAGGAAAGCGAGCTCTGACTCGACAACACAACAGCAACCATCAGGCTGAACCTTTTTTCTCAACCTTCCCTGCATAAGCCTTGCACTCGCACTCCTAGCTCATCTCGATAAGCGTATGTGCCGCGACGGACGGCTCCTCTCTGCATTCACCCCCGCATGCGACACTCATCACCTGTTCGCTACGCTGCAAGCTGGGCGCCTCCGTCACTGAGCTGACTATGCCCTATGCCCAGTGTGCGAATGAGCAGTGACAGGAGTTGCTCAAGGGCACATCTTCTCGTACCTTTCACCACTGGAATCTCAGCGCTCATGACGACTAACGTGGTTGGCATGGAGCACGCACATCAGCGCATGTTTACATGGTACGATCAGTGGAACGCAGAACAACTCTGAAGTCGATAACGTTACACACCTTTCATTCTACAGGCATCAGCAATGCGTCTATCGTGGTACAACCCTGGCCTTAACGGCCCGGAATACCCTTGCCTATCAACGGTCCTCGTACCGATCAAACCGCATTGCCACTGGCGTGTTCTGCCGTTCCCATCCACAAATCTTCCACAGTTCCCAACACCTTCTCAGGTACAGCAGTTGTGGACAGGACGAGACATCGGCCCGACAATCGGCATACATCGTCAGTGACGAACACTCACCTCATCACCGGCATGACCCCAGTGCGTATCACAGGGCCAAAACCACACGCCTTTCATCGTCCACAAACAGACATGCGTATCGCAGTGGACACACCGTTGGTATTCGAGAATGTTCGCCAGCTGCACCGAGAGAGGCCAAGCTCCAAGGAAAATCCGTGTTATGCTATTGATGTGTTCAGCATCGCGTTATGGCAGTTCTCGAAGCTTTCTGCACATTGAGTCCTCATTGACTCGCAACGGTGAGGCGCGGAAGCTCACGAATCATGGTCATCGCCCTTCACATGAACGAACAACCGACATGCCTTACGACGATCCGAACGTCGCGCAACACGGCAACCTCCAACGATCGCAATGACACACCGTCAACAACGGCGGCCGGACCGGACACGAGCCGTGTGCGGCATGAAGACTCTGCGAACCGACCTTCGCAATAATTTCAAACACGCCATGCTAGTGACTGCAAGGCATCAGTCACATGGTCACCCGCATACTGAGCTGTCGATCCACAGCTGACTCGGCGTTCATTTACAGGACGGTAGAGGTTGCGCCTTCGTCGATCTCCGTCTCGCAAAAGTGACCATCACAGCTGCACCTTCGGCTTCCACTGCCACTACGAAACCGGTGAAGGACCCCCAATCAAGGTTGATCGCAACCAATCGTTCTGAAGGCAGAACCTCTAATGATAAGGCCGAAGCAGGTGACTGGAATGCCATGCATGCGTGCTCAATCCGAACGACACTGCAGTATGCATGCTTTGCTGCACACTGCACATCCGCCACACGGACGCGTTCTCGACCGAATTGCACACGATCCTTCTCAGCACGGCTTTACAAACGCGGCCCCCAGTCCTCCTATACGGCTCGATGTCCGCCAAACTCGCAATGTTCGGACCTACGCGGTAACAATGAGCGGACTGAGGTCCACAACCAGCGGGTCGGTACACCTCCTTCTCGCAGCCGCATCGCTATATGAAAGGAGATACGCGTCTGAACGCCAATAACCAAGTAGCTCGAGCAACAGTCTGAGCTGTGTCTGCACTCACTCCTAAGTTCCTCGACAAAAACCACGCCTCACAAGACAAGACTCGAGTTGATCGCGACCTCAACTATGCCGGATCCCGAACGTTATGAGAGTAGGTTGTGATCCCTCGCTCAGCTCACGGACAACAGTTCACACCTAGGCGCGCGGCACGGCAGGTCTCCACTAGGTACGCGTTGATCACCCTCGAAGTCCGCGAAACACATCACTCAATCCATGAGTTCGCCTCAGGCAATACTCCGTTCTGATTCGGTCCGACGACGTCTGTTCTGCTGTGCCGCTTTAAGCGCCGTGCGCTAGAGTAAGGCTGGCTTGGTAACCAGGCTGTCGGGTCGAGGGCGAAAAGCAGTGGACAAGACACGACAAATTTTGGGACGAGGTGAGACTAATGCGTCTACACCGGAGGATCTCCGTGTGCGAATGGCAGTCAGGCAATGCGCACGTATGACGCAGTCAATGGATCGCATGAGACGTTTTTCACCGACCAAGCCTTGAAGCTCGGACCATCAGGCTATTGGGCCCGGGGTTCCTTGTACGCGGCTGGCTGCTTATGTCACAGACAGTAGGATGAGACGAACTGATTGCTAGAGGAGGATATCGGCCTCTTTGGGCAGCTTCACAGCCTTCTCGAAAGGTGATAGCGCATTTCATGGTCATATGTTGCATCGTTCAGCTTCGAGGTCAGTCTGGCAGCAGAGACTTGTCTGTGTGATGTCAGTCTACCATCGTGAATTAACTGACTGAGCTCGATTTGGCTTGCAGCCCTCCATATGTCGGTCCATGCTAGAAAGGATTTGAGAAACGTAGTTTCAGTAACAAAATTACTATTTCCAAACCAAGCTTTGCCTTTTCGCCCCAGCATGCTATCATTATCATAAACTAAACATCATAGGTCAATCAGTATCTGCACCAAAACGCCGTCGCTTGGGTATGGCATGCAGGTGAATCGTTTAGCTTCCAGTTTCTGCGCAAATAGTTAGCTTCTCCGTTCATGACTGCAATCAAAAGCGTAGACGTACCAGTTTCAACACCAGGCTGTCGTCCCTCCAACCCACCAGTCACTTTCTTCGTGAGCTTTTTAAGCCCAATTTTGGTCTCGTCCTTTGCAAACACCAAGTTCCTGGCAGGCTTCCACTGCATCAGACCACGGTGCTTGCGCTCCTCGGTCCGCTTGTTCTGCTTGTTGGTGCTCTTCGTTGACTGGCTGCCATTCGAGTCCGTCGTATCCCACGTGCGCGCCGTAGACTGAGATGGCCGTCCACCATCCGGCGAGAGATCCGTCGACTGGTGCTTGAAGCCACCGTTGGGGCTTTTGGCCTGATCGCCGCCGCCAGGGCCGCCGGACATGGACGTTGCGCTGCCGGTGTTCGTTGCGTCCTCGATGCCCAGGTCTGAGCTGGAATCTGAGTTGTCGTCGGAGTAGTCGTCGTGATCCTCGTCGGATGAGGGGTGGAACGGGTCGTGCAGGGGCTGCTCGACACCTGGTTCTCTGCGCTTGCGGCCCTTGGTATCCATGTACGCTTTGGGGTCTTCTCCGAAGGCGCCAGACCAGTCTTTTCCGTCTTTGGCGAGCCACTTCCTCTTCTCTTCCTCGTCGGCGTTCTTGAGTATGTCGCGGCCTGCGGTGAGGGATTCTTCGTGCAGCTGCTGGACACGCTCGGGCAGTTCCTTGTCGACCTTGCGGTTGCGAACGCCTTCGGTCAGACAGGCTTCCCAGGTCTCGTACGTCTCGCGCGAGTCGTTGTCGACGACAAATGCTTCGTGCGACTCGTCTGTGCCGGCTTTAAAGCGGGCGCGGAACTGCAGACGGCCGACCTCCTTGAGGTCCTCGAGACCGGGCTCCTTCTTGCAGTTATCTTCGGTGATATAGTTCTGTGTGAGGCGCTGGGGGTGTGTTGTTGTCCAGATGGGGATGTTGATGTCAGCATCCTCGTTGTCGATGAAGTGTTGAAGCCAGATGACAGCGTAAGCGTCTGCCTTGCGCTTGCCAGCGATATGGAACTCGAAGACGATCGGCGACCTGTAGCGATGCTTGACGGGCAGGCGGACGTTGTCACGACCATTGTTCTTCTCTAAATCAAAGTAGTAGCCGTCACCCTCGGGCAGCTTATGCGCGTGGGCGCGACTAATCTTACCAGTGCTACCACCTGTTCGTAGCTTGAGCTTGGGAGAGTGGTTATAGCCGGTCATCAAAATGTTGTGAGACCTAAACTCAAATGTACCAACATCCCAGCCAAGCATCTGAGGAGGCAGACGTGTTTCGATGCCGCGGAACAGAAGCGAAATACGGATGCGACCGAATCCGATACCGCCATCGAGAGGATACCAACGGGTGGCTTGCGAGGAGGTCTCGAGAATGTCGGAAAGCTTGAGAGGGACAACACCAAGGATGGGGTCGTGCTCGCGGTTGCGGGAGTCGCGCACGGTGACTGTAATGATAGCAGACCGCCAGTCGCGAATGAAGCGCTCGGTTCCAGCGTTGAAGATGGGCTGAGATGAGACAGCCTTTGCACGTGTGCGGTAGACCAGTTGATCATTGTACAGTATGGTGCAGTATGATGTAGGAAGGTCGCCACCAGTCTCCTCAGTTGCCTCGCCGTAGGGTTTCGCGGGTTCGTACTCGCGGCCATTCCTACTGCCTGAGGTACCCTTGACGTTCTCGAGTTCGAGGTTGACGATCTGATGAATAACAACACTGCAAATACCGCTCGGCCAGAGTGGGTCCGGAGGAGTGTGCATAACCGCATAGTCTTCGTCTGAGTTGATGACACCCTTCTCGTCCTGCAGCTTAGGGTCGTCCTTGAGTTGATCTGGCAGACTCCTGTTCTTGCCGTCTGTCCTGAGCTCAGGTCTGAACTTGGGCTTGCCAAAGTAACCGACTTCCCAGTGCAGCTCACCAGGCATCTCGCTATCGGCATCCATGCCGGCCAACTTAGACACCTGAGGATACATTTTGCCGGGGTGTTGGATCATCTTCTGCATGGAGAGCTCGACCTTGCCGACAATGTCGTCCGCGGTGTGCCTGTCAGAATCCCAAAGCTCGACACTGAGGTTTTCATTGGCCTTGATCAACTCGGGACTAACGAGAAGGGCAGCGGTTTCTTCCCAAATGGGGTTGAGATCGTCGGTGATGACACGAGTGCAGTACATGGGCTTGCCGTACTTGGAGAAAGCGAGTGTGATGTATGGGTCGCTGCCTCCGTGCTTCGACCCACGCCGGTCCTGCTTGCTCAGGCCTTTAGCGCGGTGAATGCGGATCCACAGAACACCAAGAGCTTCAGTATCTTTCTGGATCGAGTCACCCTGCAGAATGGCCCTCATGTCAAGAGACATGGATTTGGGAGCAACATACATGCTCGCCGCAGCCTTGATAGCGTAGTTAACGAAATTGCTGATCAGTGGAAGGTTGAGGATGTTGGGCGCCTTCTCGGACATGGGTGTGCAGCCAGCCGTAACCTGAGGGGCACCCATTAGAGTGAAGGTCAAGTTCTTCAAGAACGGCGCCTCAGGTGTCATGTTCATTCGCAAGCGAACGGTACCGACCAGCGACTGAAGCTCGACGAAAATTGGTAGTGGAACACCAAAGAGACCCTTAATTCCCAGGTAGAATACCAAGTTCATGTGCATGTTGCGCGCCTTGTCTGATGTACGCTTGCCGCTCGGTTGGGCGTGGTAGGCGAACGAGACTTCCAGGTTGTAGTAGTCACCGCCCTCCTCATCTGCTGCCGCTTCCTGGGGGTCCTTGGTCTTCTTGTTCTCCTCGTGGATAGCCTGCTTCATCTCGCCCATCTGGTTGTCTGGGAGCGCGCGCATGCTGAGGATGCGCAGAGGGTTGCTACCCTGGTTGATCTCGGCGACTCGGACGTTCTCAATGATGCCTGGAACCGAAGCTTGCATGACATCCTCAAGGGTATCGGCGACGCCCTGGAACATATCAGGGTTAATGAGACCCCACATGATACCCAGGAAGGTGTTCATCCATTCGACTGATTCAGGGAGCAGGTTGAGGGTGGCCTAGGCATGTCAGTAACTGAATAGAGCATGGCATTGTTGTACTCACCAACTGTCCACGAGTCTGCTCGCTGGACCACTCAACCTCTCTGCCACTGCGCACAACCTCCTTCATCCAGAGCCAGACTCCAGAGGCTAGGCACATGGCCAGTGGTACCAAGCCCTTCAGTGCACCGCCAAACATCTTTCCCACGACTATTGTGACGACAACGATGCCAATGCACAGGATGCCTGCACGCTTCTCCAGCTCAGCGAACATGGGCTCATAGCTGACCGACGGGGTTGGGTGGAAAAGAACGTTGGTCTTTTCGCCGTGGATGGGGACATCGGAGGTAGTGCCTTCGGCGACGGGGTCTGGTGGAGCGGTCACGTCTTGTGCTTCCTTGTAGTCTGCGAGCGACTGTGAAGGGTCTGTCTTGATGGGCTGTGGATTGTCAATGTTTGTTCTCCAGAACCTGCATACTTCAACATACTGTAGGCTTCTTCAGATTGGCGTTGGGCACGATCAGATGTGGGTTCTCAACCTCGTCAACCATCTCCTTGCCAACATCGGCAATGACGACTTCCCTGCCGGTTGTGGGGTCTGTGACGGTCTTCTCTGTGCCCTCAACCGTCTTCTTTGAGACCTGGTGGTCCTGCACGCCATCTTGAGCTGGCGTCTTTGGTGTCGTCGCAGGCGTCTTCTTGTCTGCCCTGGGTGGTGTGGAGGGAGTTTTTCCAGCAGCAGTCGATGCTGTACCAGTCTGTGCCTTCGCAGCCTTGGCGCGCTCGTCAATCTCCTTGTCCCTACTCTTTTTATCGCGGTCGAGGTTTTCAACGAACTGCTTCACTGTGGGGATGGGGTTGTGTCCGGAGTAGTGGCTGCCGGGGGCGTGCTGCTGTTGCGCCATCGTTCGGGCTGGGTAAGGGGTGAGAGGACTGCAACTGAGTCCCTCAGCGCAATTGAGGCTGTAGATGGAGAAAGACAGATCTCACGACACGGCGAGGTGGAAATTCATAGGTGGGCGTAGCGTAACCTGAAAGCAAGGAAGCGCAACCCTGGTGTTGATCGAGAACCGCGGGGAATTGCGTTAGCCATGACATCATCCTCAACCAAACAAGCAAAGACGCTCCCTTTTCCGGGCAGGACGCGCCCAAAACTCTTGACTGCAAGCAGGATAAGGAATTGATGCCAACCTGATGCGCCGGCCTGCGGCTCAAGCCCCTGGCACATCACGAGAGCGTGATATGATCGCTGTCATGACGTACGTAGATCCCGCAACGATCGCTGCTGCGGGGCGATCACCGAATAGCTTACCGCAAATGGCTGAAACCTCCAACCACCACGAACCGCGACAACAGATCCATACCATACATAGCTGTGGCTGGCAGCAATCACGGATATGTCGGGCTGGTTCACTCTCTTCACAAACTGTCGTTATGTGCTTGATGGCCAACTCGTCGACGATCATCTCGTTATCTCGGATGAGACGGGTCTGATACTGAAAAGAGAAGGCTACATTGGAGGTGAAGCAGTTGACCTGGACGATAACATCATTGCTCCTGGATTTCTGGAGCTGCACACCAATGGCGCCAATGGATTCCACTTTACGCATTTTGAGGATGAGAAGAGCTATGGCAGGAAGGTAGATGACATCGCGAGGTACTATGCAACACAGGGTGTTACTGGATTCTGGGCAACGATACCTACTGTGAAAGGAGAGGAGTTTCAAAGGGTGAGTGCTTGATGTGTGGTCGAAAGAAGGATGCCCAGGCAGTCAAGCCTCACGACCTGGCCAAGACAAACCGTTACGACTACACGTCTCATATTGGACTAATATGCACAGATCCTCCCATCTCTGGCACCGCGAGATATTCCCAACTCTGCCTCCCTTCTAGGCGCTCACGTCGAAGGACCATACCTGCACCCCACCAAGAAAGGCGCGCACAATTCTTCCCTCTTCCAACCATGCAGCACCCCAGCATCCTCAATCTACGGTTTCTCGAACCTCTCCTCAGCCGTCAAGCTAGCCACCATCGCCCCCGAGCTCCCCGACTCCTCAACTCTCATCAAAGACCTGGCCTCCCACGATATTCGCGTATCAATGGGTCACTCCACAGCCACGCTCGACCAAGGATTGTCAGGACTAGAAGCAGGCGCAACATGCCTGACCCACACCCTCAATGCCATGCCACCCTTCACATCGCGTGACCCTGGACTCGCAGGCCTGATAACCATCCCCCCAACGCACGCCCCGCCACCACCGTACTACACTATCATCGCCGACGGCGAGCACCTGCATCCAAACACCGTCTCGCTGCTGCATCGCGCAAACCCCAAGCGCTCCATCATCGTCACGGACTCCATTGAGTTGGCGTCCCTGCCCGACGGAAACCACCGGGGGCACGCGCAGATCCCCTTCGAGCAGACGAAGAAAGGAACGCGTGCAACTATCGCAGGTACCGAAACACTAATCGGCGGCTGTATCCCTCTACAAGAAAGCGTTCGCAACCTCATGGCTTGGTCTGGGTGTGGGATTGCGGAGGCGGTGGGGACGGTGACGGAGAATGCCGCAGGGCTCATGGGGGTTGATGGGCAAGGTGGAAGAGGTGTTTTGAGGGAAGGGAGGAGGGCGGATTTGACGGTGCTGAGTGAGGAGGGCGAGGTTCTTCAGACTTGGATTGCGGGGCATAAAGTTTGGGATAGGGAGGAGGATCTGGGTTTGGCGGAGGAGGATAAGGAGAGGAGGGAGTAGATTGGCAGGTCTGTGTAGAGGATATGATAGACTCACTGCATCGACTTGAAAGCCTTCATGATCTGCGTTTTAGACGTTGTAGAAGATCTAACTGAGAACATCTCAGGGATCTTCTTGGATGCTGCACTTACCGTGTGACAAGTGTGAATCGGGAAGTGTTTGCACATCATAGTCCTCACGAGGTGAAGTGAAGAAACAAACGGGCGGATCGTATTGCGCAGCTGTAGAGCAAGCTGTTCCTAAACACCATTCCCTGTCCCCCATGAGCCTTGTGAATATCGCCATGATGGGCAAAGAGAATGAAAGAGCTACTGCTGGGGCCAACCCAGTCTCAACATCAGGATCGCTGTTAGTCTTGGTACTAGGTAAGCTCAGTTCACCACCCTTGTCCCCATCTAGCGCTCTCTTACTGGCATCGAAACAGGCGCACCATGCTCCGGAAAGGCCACCCTCTACACCGCCCTCGCCAAGCAGTACAACCTCGACCACTTCTCCCTTGGCGACGAACTGCGCTCGCTCGTCAGCGACACACCCTCCGGTCATGCTGCCCGCATAAAACCCTTCTTCTCGGACTCTGAATTCGAGACATGTCGCAACAACTTGTGTGCAGGTACTCTTGGTCCGGTGCACCTAACGCCGAAGTATGTCAAGGAGCGCGTCTTCCCTACCGGCTCTAACCTACAATGTGTACGAATGCTGATTGATGGGTTTCCTCAAGATGCGGAGCGATGGGTGCCATTCAAGGAGCCTGCAGAGCCGTTTTGGGCGCCCAACAGGAAGAGCGTGCTGATTGTGCTCGACGTGGAGAAAGAGGTGGCGTTGGAGCGCTTTACGAAGAGGGCCAGACCGGGAGATGTGTTTGAGAGGAGGTTTGATGAACACATGGAGCTAATCTCTGAGATCGTGGAAGCAATGAAGGACGATGATATGACGATTCACAGTATGGGGAAGAACGATGGAGATTTGCAGGCAATGGTAGAGAGTCTTGCCGAGCTCTTAGGTCAAGGCGACTATGAGGGAGAGAAACAAAGTCAAACATAGGGACATTTATACATGGGAATCGATGGTGTTACAACTCCTGGACATGGTACTACTGATGATGTCGAGAGCTGTGGTTGGTGAGATGGCGCAAAGGCAAGAAGCTAGGGTTCAGCCCTACGAACATTTTCATCCCACTTCAACCCCGCGACGCGCCGCAACACGCCACCAACACAATGGAAGAAGACCGCACAGCCACGAATCTTGGGCCTGAGGTGAACGATGAAATCACAGAGGAGCCAGCTGCCGTACCTAAGCAGCCAAAGAGGAGATTTGTTGGGAGAAAGACGGCTGAGAAGAGCGGCGAGCAGCAGGCAGATCCCAATGCGAACATTGAGGACTCGAGCGCAATACAAGGTGTGAGGCGCCTTGTGACGAGGAGTTGATGTTCGCATAGCTAACATGTACTGCAGTTGCCCAACCTCGCCGCACTGCTCGAGCCCTGAACGCTATACCCGACTCTATCCTGCATGACAAAGACATCAACGATGCTATCGCTCTGCTCCCACCGAACTACAGCTTCGAGATCCACAAATGCATACACCGTATACGGACATCCGGGGCGAAGTCCATAGCGCTACAGTTCCCAGAGGGGCTGCTGCTCTTCGCTACAACGATTTCAGACATCCTTACGCAGTTCTGCCCTGGCACAACGACCCTGATCATGGGCGACGTGACATACGGCGCATGTTGCATAGACGACTACACGGCGAGAGCGCTTGGCTGCGACCTTTTGATTCACTATGCGCACAGCTGCCTTATCCCGGTTGCGGTCACAAAGATTGCAACGCTGTATGTCTTCGTTTCGATCAGCATCGACACCACACACCTCATAAACACTATCACCGAGAACTTCCCCACAGGCAAGAGTATCGCCTTGGTTGGGACCATTCAGTTCAACGCTACAATACACGGCATCGTGTCTATTCTGCGGAGAGAAGGCTACAAGCCTATCGTTCCACAAATCGCCCCTTTGTCAAAAGGCGAGATTCTGGGCTGCACATCGCCGTCAATGGCGATCAAGCCAGGACAGTTAAATGCCAAGGGCAAGGAGGAAGAAGTGGCAGACATGATCCTCTACCTCGGCGACGGACGATTCCACTTGGAAAGCGCGATGATCGCAAACCCTTCATTACCCGCATACCGCTACGATCCTTATTCACGACGACTCACGCATGAGACATACGAACACGACTCGCTCTATGATCTAAGACGGACAGCTATTTTGACAGCGAAGAAGGCGCGCACATGGGGCATCATCTTGGGCTCATTGGGGAGGCAGGGCAACCCACATACTCTCACACTGATCGAGAACGAGCTCAAGAGACAGGGCATCAAGTGCGTCAACCTATTGCTGTCCGAGATCTTCCCAGGCAAACTGGCGATGATGTCAGATGTGGAGGCTTGGGTACAGATTGCCTGCCCGCGATTGAGCATCGACTGGGGCTACGCGTTCCCAAGACCATTGCTGAGTCCATATGAGGCACTGGTCACACTCGGTGTGCGGGATGCACCATGGCTTGAGGAGGACCCCGCACAGAGGAAGGTTGAGGAGCGGGAGAGGAAGAATCTATATCCTATGGACTTTTACGCGAAGGAGGGACTAGGGCGAACGACGATTGACCATATTAAGGCGGCTGAGGTGAAGATTGGAGCATGAGGTTAGGACAAGTTTACATTCAACGGCGTTTAGATACCACGACAAATACCGACAGTGTACGAAGAGGCTCGTTTTGGAGACGCACTAGTCGACTAGAATTTCGACTTCAGCAATTTGCGACCCTACAAAACAAAGCAGAGCTTGTCCTGGACACACTGAATGCCTCCTCGCTTAATCATGATTGATTGAGACAGCTCTCAAAACTGAAAAGCAACGAATTGTTGCGCCACGCTGGTCTACACAAGGGTTGCGCTGTTTGGCAGTGTGCCGTTAGGAACGAGCCTCTTAGTATCATAAAAATACAATGTCAGCCTACAGGAACTGGGTCTTTCAGCATACGTAAGTTCCAATTCAGAAGAGGGCACGCTGTCGTCACTGGTTGCAGACTAGCGCCTTTTGCATGAATTGCTTCACTTTCATCACAATCGTATCTCCACGACTATCTCCCTCATCTACTTACTCTTCCTTCGTACTGACTTACAAAGTCGCAACGTCAGGCACATATCTTCCTGGGTGCTGCAGAATGCGTACTGACATTCTCTAGTATGAGGTTCGACAGGGAACTGTTCCAGGAATTCGGCAAGAGCCTGGTCAAGCTCAAGCTCAAGCGCAGCTCTGTGAACAACACCGATGTTGCCTACGCTCCGCGTGTCAACAGCATTATCATGAATTCAACTGAAACCGCGTACGCGGTTCAGACCACGATATGCTTACAAAGATCGAGACTACATCATATGTTCGAAAGCGACATCTGATAACTTGCAGATTTTGCGTCCGCTTGCGACACAGGTCTGCGTATGCCGACGGTATGCGGTATGCTGAAGTGGAGCGGTAGGATCAGTGGTACGAGTCGTGACCTACAATTTTGCGCATACAGTGGCTTTGATCAGGCACGTGGCTTGACATCAAGGTCAACGGGAAACGATGGCTTCATTGTCGAGTCTGCAAGGCTATAGAGAAGTCAGGTTACGAGACCGAAGGTGTGCGTTGTGGCACTTGCAAGGCATGCCCATGATGTCAAGCCTTGTAGCACTGCTCAACGGGATGGTGAATGCAAACTCCACAGTGACCGATTCAATCATCCTCGGTATGCTGAGGGAGTTACGCACGTCCCAAATATCCAGTAGGCATGGCCATGTTTCAATTTGACTAACGTGGGCAGGCGCTGGAAGTTAGTCGTGGAAGGACTAGCGCCTTCGAGTGTTTTGCGTGATATTGTAGCGCACGGCGGATGTTATTACGATGACTCGGATATCGATGAATCTGGCTTGGACGTCTCAGATGTATCTGATGGGGGCTACTACATGCCTCCAGTGTCCCTGAACGAAGATACTTCTTTCGAACCTCTTGAAGGCGTTCCTTTCAAATCCCAGGAAGAGACAACAACGCCGGCCTAGTGTGATCTCATGCGTGTAGCACCGAATCAGATGAAACAACAATTCGGGAGCTGAGAGAGCCAGTGCCTCATATCTCCCTGGTGCCAGAAGCGCCAGGTCTCTATTGAGAGTCGTTATCAAGGTACCAAGATAGTTTCAGACTTTTGGCACAATGATGACGTTGTTCTCGGAGTGACAAATAACGCAGACTGAAAAAAAAGATATGCTGCAGTTTTCAACAGATGTTCCTATTCTACTTCTGCCAATACAGTCTTCGTGCAAGCTCTTGGAATCGACACTACGGTTTTGCAAACATGTATTTCCAATGTTGTCTGACATGCTCCACACAGACCTCTCGTTGCATCCACTTCTGCTGCTTGCTCACAGAAGCTTCGGTCAGGTTTCATGATGCGGTGTTGGTAGTTTGCATTTTCACATAGCGTACATTGACAGCAACAAAGGCAGACCCATCTCGAACATGTCGCCCAACTTCCACGCCGCACCACGACACAAAGGACAATGGATCACAGCGCTTACTTCCACGCCACTCAACGGATACAAAAGCGAGACCTTAACCGCCTGTTCCCGACCTCATCACATTGACATGGTAATCTCAAGAGCCACTCTACAGAGATCATCAACAGACGTCACGCAGCCAACCTACGACATGTCTGGAAACAACGACACAGACAACACGCATACCATGTTGCCTACACCAGACGTGACGTCAGAGAAGCACAAACAGGCCAATAAGATTACTGACACGGAGGTGTTGGATGACCTGTTTGACTACACAGAGCAAGAGCAGGAGGAAGAGCAAGAATTGAAACCAAAGCAGGAAGGAGAGTTCGATCAAGGGCAAAAGCAGGAGCAGACACAAGAGCCAGTCACTACACCACAAGCTTCTACTAAGAGTAACATGCTGGAAGCGGTCATGATTGGCAATGCGATCCGCGGATCTTTGTGCAGCACGGCCGTCAAGAGGAAGCACGACGACGTCGACGAAATCGGCCTTACCCATGACACCAGCGTCGAGAACAGCCTAGTACAACAAAAGCAAGACCCCGAAGCCATCCGTGCAGAAGCCACTGCTAGCTCTCCACTGCCTTCACACCAACCCTCTTCGTCTCCTCAAGCAGCTTATGGCATGGCTGACACAGCCCCAAGGAGCCCAGCTCCACAGCCTCAACCCGAGCTACGCAAGATGCCTGTCCCTCTGCCCAACATGTCCAACGCGCCACCCAGCCTCAAGCCTATGAAGAAGCCCCAGCCCAGGAAGAAGAAGCCCCGCGCTCCCCCCGCAAAGAAGCAGCCCAAAACCCATACTCCAGCACCAGAGCCCGAGGACCAGTCCGCGCCCAACTCAGCGCTCTCAGACTCCGACCCTGCAAAGCTATGGTGCACCTGCCGCCAGACCTACTCCGGTAAGCACATGGTTGCCTGCGATGCTGACCCGAAGTGCGAGATCGGGTGGTTCCACTTCAGATGTGCAGGGTTGGTGAAGAGTCCGGCGGCGAAGGAATGGTATTGTGCTGAGCATCGGGGGCGGGCGAGGGGGGTGGCGAGGGCGAAGAGGAGGAAAACGGATACTGAGGGTGCAAGGACGGGGAGGAGAAAGGCAAAGACCACGGAGAGGGCGAAGAGAGCGGGGAGGCTTGGAGGCCTGGAAGGAACGATGCAGAGGGGTGCCCGGGAGATGTATCAGACCCAGGGTCGTAGACGGAAGCGTGGATAGGGAGGTGATGGAAAAGGTAGTATGGACGAGACTCGAGGGAGCGAAAGGCTATGTAGATGCATGACCTTGTAGCTGCAACGGTGATAGCCATGACGTGACTTTGCACATGAACGACTCTCAAGCGCCGAGATCACGCCAAATAACTTCGCTCTGGTCCCCATCCTTTCACACATCGCTCAGTCTTGTATACGGCGAAAGCTTGCCTGCCCAATCTTGCCGCAGAGAGACAGCATGGGTGATAGCGTAGTCAACACAGACATGATATAGTAAGGTTCCAAGAAAACACGACAAACCCCACCAGCCATCGTGAATATGGTCTCGGTCGTCATCGCACATGGTACGAGCGTGACCTGAAGCCTGCCAGTTTCGTTAGACCAGGATGTGTTGTTTAGCTCTCGGAGGGGCAATCTACAGCGCTTGCTTCTCCAACGTCCTTCTCGTCCATGCCGATCTCAAGTTTGTCGCTCTCTGCTCTACCGCACAGCAGCGTCAATCCAGCCTTCCTTCTGACTGGGGCGGTGGTATTGTGCAGGGGTCGTGATAACGCGGTGAAGCAATTTGTGACCTAGCACTGAGCTGATAACGAAGAAGATGATGATATAGATGGTCGTGTTGTCAAGCATGCTTTTATACTTGTTTAGCATTTGAGACTTGAAGGGTGAGCGAGGTAGAAAGTGGAGTAGTAAAGGGCAAAGACCATGCAGATATGCTAGGAGATGGGTGAGGGGATGTAAGACGGGTATATAGCCGGGGGCGCACATGCTCCGTGATGATTGGAGAGTGTCCCAGTCGTGCTTACGCTCGCCTGAGGCAATCGACTACTAGATGTAAGCAGAAAACGAGCATGTGACGATAAGCATCAAGAAGAAACGATTAAGCTTTGCTTTGCAACATGATCTGGGTCACAGATGCACAGTTTTCTTGGACGCAACCTTGACCATGATTGGCGTGTGGAAGACTGAGGACGGCTTCAGTGAAATCTGAAAAGACTCTCAAATCATTAAGTAGGTAGTTGGAGACTGCAACCCGTCCGGCCAGAGATCGCTCGTTCATAGATCTTGCCACCGTCATATCCAGGTGTGGTATCCTGCTCAGTTGATGGCCCAGTGGTCAATAGAAACGAGCTCCTTCGTATGCCAACATGGGTAGCTTGCTACTCCAGAACAGGTGATGTCGGTACCCGATCGTCCACCTCAGGCCTTAGTTCACCATCGTCCTCCTCATCCTCATCCTCATCCGCCGTCAGCTCGGCCTCTAAATCCGGATCTCGCTTGCTCCCAAAGTCGATGGTATCCAAGAATGACCTTCCTCGCAGCGCCTCCGGTAGGTACTCCTGCTTCACCCTGCCATTCAGGTACTCGGGATTGTACTTGTACCCCTCTCCATAGCCCATCTCCTTCATCAGCCTTGTCGGCGCGTTGCGTATATGATGCGGAATAGGCAGGGCAGCCATGCCGGGCTCTCTGAGGACCTGCATTGCAGCGTTGAGTCCTCTGTATGCTCTTGTACTTTTCTTCGCTAGCGAGAGCGCCGTGACACAATGCGCAAGATTGATCCTGCACTCGGGCATTCCAATCTTCTCACATGCTTCGTATGTCGCTGTTGCGAGAGAGAGCATTGTGTTGTCTGCTAGTCCCACGTCTTCAGATGCTACGACTACCAGTCTGCGCGCGATGTACCGCGGATCCTCGCCAGACTGCAGCATGCGCGCGAGGTAGTACAGTGCAGCGTCGGCGTCAGAGCCGCGGATGGACTTGTGCAGGGCGGAGATGGTGTCGTAGTGCTGGTCGCCTGCCCGATCATAGACCAGCGTTTTTGTGAGGGACTGCTGGATCTTCTGCTTGGTCATGTCGGCGCTCTTGGACAAACTGATGGCGAGATCGAGAAGGTTCAGCGCTGTGCGGGCATCGCCGTCGGAGAAGCGGGCGAAGTAGGTCAGCATCTCGTCGTCGAGGAGGGGGGAGGAGGAGGAGGAGGAGGAGGAGGTGGTGGTGGTGGTGGTGGTGGATGCTGTGGCTAGGGCACGCTGGAGGATGCGTAGCAGGTCTTGTTCGCGCAGGTCGTCGAGGGTGAATGTGCGGCATCTGCTCAGCAGCGCAGAGATGACTTTGAAGGACGGGTTCTCGGTGGTCGCTGCAATCAGGGTGATGGTGCCGGACTCGACAGGCCCCAGGAAGGCGTCCTGCTGTGTCTTGGAGAAGCGGTGCAGCTCGTCGCAGAAGACGATTGTCTTGCGGCCGGTCAGATGCAGGTCCCTTGCAGCCTCTCCAAAGATCCTCCTCACTTCCTCTAGCTTCGTGCTGGTGCTGTTGATCTCGACGAAGCGTGCGCCTGACGTGTTGGCGATGAGGCGCGCAATCGTCGTCTTTCCTGTGCCTGGCCTCCCCCACAGGACCATCGATGGCAGCCGCCCTTCCTCGACCATACCGCGCAAGATGCCCCCGGGACCAACCAGATCCTGGCCGCACACATCGTCAAGTGATGTTGGCCGCATGCGCTCAGCCAGCGGCATTGCATCCTCGACTGCCTTCAGTCGGCGCTGTCTCTTCACCGCCGCCGGCGACAGTTCGCCGTTCGTTTCGTCTTCGTTCATCTCATCATGTGATCGTTTTGGTGGTGTTTTCGCCCTGTGGACGCCTTGTGTCGCTGTTGGCAGCGGCGGCGACGGCGATGGAGGCTTCTGGCGCTGGGTGGCCGTAAAGAAGCTGTGCGTCCTCACCGGCTCATGGTCGGCGAGGTGGTCCCTGCAGTCGCTGTCGAGGTGCTCGTTGATCTTGCTGTCTTTGACGGGCTTCTGGCAGATGGGACAGTCCAACATGGTGGCCATGCAGGCGATTGGAGAGGCGCGTCGCGTAACATCTCCACGCGACGCCGACGTCGGCGCCAACCTCGGCTGTGGAGCATGACGACATCGGCCGCACCACGAGCACGCAATGGTAAGCAGCTCCTCTGACTCTGAGCCATTCTCAGTCAAGCCAATCCGTGGACTGCGATGAGGGGCATCGTGACTGCAGCTTCAAGACTCAAGACACCTGGTTCCGCGCTCCTCGCAGCCCCAATCCCCCCAATCCCCCCAATCCCCCCAATCCACCCAATCCACCCCACCTCCGTCCCCCGCAGCTCCCTCCGCACCATGTCCGCAACAGCGCGCCGCGAAGACCCCTTCAAGCCCGCTGCTCGAGTCGCCGGCCAGAAGCAGGATGTGTGGTCTATCGTCAACGAAGCCGCCGCCGCCTCGCCCGTCAAGCCCATCGTGAACATGGGCCAGGGCTTCTTTGGCTACAACCCGCCGCAGTTCGTCCTCGATGCCGCCAAATCCGCCCTCGACCAGGTCGACTGCAACCAGTACTCCCCCACCAAGGGCCGTCCTCGTCTGAAGAAGGCCATCGCAGATGCTTACTCGCCCTTCTTCGGCCGCGAGATCAACGCGGAGACCGAGGTGACAATCACAACGGGCGCCAACGAGGGCATGCTGAGCGCCTTCATGGGCTTCCTCGAGAAGGACGACGAAGTGATCGTCTTCGAGCCGTTCTTCGACCAATACATCTCCAACATCGAGATGCCCGGCGGCAAAGTCGTATACGTGCCTATGCATCCTCCAAAAGATGGCGCCACCAAGACCACATCGGCTGCAGAGTGGAGTCTCGACATCAAAGACCTCCAGGCTGCAATCACGCCCAAGACAAGAATGATCGTCCTCAACTCCCCACACAACCCCATCGGCAAAGTCTTCAGCAAAGAAGAACTCACTGCCATCGGCGAACTGTGCGTCAAACACAACATCATCATCCTCAGCGACGAAGTCTACGACCGGCTCTACTACGTCCCATTCACACGCATCGCCACCCTCTCCCCCGAGATCGCCAACCTCACTCTCACCGTCGGCTCAGGCGGGAAGAACTTTTATGCCACCGGGTGGCGTGTGGGGTGGCTAATCGGCCCCAAGCATCTGATCAAGTACGTGTCTGCAGCGCACACACGGATCTGCTACAGCAGTGTGTCTCCGCTGCAGGAGGCGACCGCGATTGGGTTTGAGCAAGCAGACGCACACAACTTCTGGGAAGACAGCAAGAAAGAGATGAAGGCGAAGATGGATAAGTTCACTGCTGTGTTCAAGGAACTCGACCTCCCATATTCAGATCCTGAGGGCGGCTACTTTGTCTTGGTCAACATGAGCAAAGTCAAGTTGCCTGAGGATTATGAGTTCCCGCCACATGTGGCTGAGAGGCCGAGGGATTTCAAGCTGTCCTGGTTCCTGATCAAGGAGGTCGGCGTTGCCGCGATTCCTCCTACAGAATTCTTCACGCCGGAGAATGCGCATATTGTGGAGGATTGGCTACGATTTGCGGTCTGTAAAAACGACGATGTGCTGGAGACGGCTATGGAGAGGTTGAGGGGGCTGAGGAAGTACATCCAGGAGTGATCAGCTGCAGAAGGGAAGAAAGATCAATCTGATGGAACCAAATCTACAACCGACTTTTCCTATCGTCACCTCCAACTTGCCGAAAGAACGATGATGAACCGGCTTGACTGACTGAGAAAGATACCTCCTCCGGCATACCCATTCGCGCGCTTTCCTTTCAGATTCAACGCCCCAAGAAGAAGAGGAATACAACCAAAAAAAAGTCTCTCCTCTGAGTGTTTCTCAGTCCTCGGCCGTACACCTGAAACTCACAATCCTCTTACTCCAATCATTGCCCTCCCCAATCCTGCCCCTCAAGTTCTGCACCCCCGGCCACTTGATCCACTCCGCCGCCCCATAACAATCATCATCCGCAAAGAACAAGCAAAGCTGCCCTTTGTCCGGGCGCACGCTCATGACCTTCCTTTTGAACACGTCACTGAGACTGCGGCACTCGTTCCATGTACTGTGGACAGCGTCGCAGGACCCGTTTGGATCGTCGCCGGCCCACGAGGTGTACGCTGTGGACGTGCAGAACAGGACTTCGCCGGATGTGGCGTCGGGGTCGACAGGCTTGATTGTAGGTTTCGGCGCCTGCACCAGCGTGGTCCCAAACTCGATGTTGGACAGCGCAAAACTAATCGGCTCTTTGGCATAAGTGGGTGCAGGCTTCGGTATGCGCGTGCTCACAGTGTTGAACGCCGGATTCTTGATGCCGGACTGTATCATGGAGATGGCGGGGTTGATGCTGCATTTGGCTGGAACAGGGTTAACGCTGGATACGGGGGGAGCAAGGGGCGTGGAGCCTGGAGGGGCAGCAGCGGGAGGAGCTGGCGCAGGATGGCCTGAGGGTGCAGGTGCTGGGGCGGACGCTGGTGGAGCAGGAGCTGGAGGTGCAGAAGCTGGGGGAGCTGAAGGTGCGAGGGCCGAAGTAGAGTTCGCTGCTGGTGGGGAGGTGAACGATAGGTAGGGGATGCTGCCGGGGCTGGCGTGGGCTTGTGCCGATGTGAGGGCGGCAAGGGCCAGGATGGAAATGAGTCGGAAATACATCACAAAAAGCCGTACTGCTTGGAACAGATGGTTCTTGGGGTCAGTGATGCTGTTTGACTCGATCGGCGAGGATGGTCTTCTACATGTCTTAGTGCTTGTGCGTATGCGAGACTTCGAGGACGTTGGCATGGTTCGCAGCTTCCGTAACTGAATCTGGGGAAGACGCTGAAACGTACAAAGACGCTATAGATAGACCAGTGATTGAGTTGTACAAAGAAACACGTGGGCTGTTTCGTAGAGCTTTGTTTGTTTTCTATCTCCTTTCTTAGATTGCGATCACACACCACTGGAGGACTAGCCCTGTGGAATGATCAAGACCGTGATTATCGCCGGACGAGTAGTAAGATAGGCAGTAGAGTTTCTCTGTAGTACTGTGAATGAACTCTAGTGTAAGCTCGACAAGGAGGACGACTTGAGCATTACCTTAATACGCTTGATTGATGTGAGTTGATAGGGAGAGACGTGAGTCCTAGAACATCATGAGGTCGGGTAGGATAGTTCATCTACGAATACTTTTGGTTGTAAATCGATGTTACGATTGTTGGCAGTCATCACTGCAATCGTGTACCTCACAGTCACCCTTAGTTCCTCTTTGGCGGCAGCACAGTAGGCACAGGCGGCCTAATCGTCGTCCTCGGCAGCTCCGGCACTGCAACAGTCGGAACACACGCACACGCGCTGCTCACCCTAGCAACTACGTTCTCGGTCGCATTTCCACCACAGCCTTGGCGTGCGTAGTCAGGGATGCCCTGCACCTCATCGTTCTGTCTCCTCAAGTAGTCATCGCAGAAGTCAATACTCTGCTCCAGTCTTCCCTCAATGCTGCTCGCCCTCAGGCTGGTCAAGCAAGAATCAGACTTGCACACAGCAGGTTTCGGGCATTCCTTGGAAGTCATCTTGACAACGAAGGATCCGCGCTCGATGGTGTGGACGAAGACGTAACCAGACTTGAAGTACGGGTAGCTGCTCCAAGATCCGAGGAAAGCGACTGTGCCTCCGCCCTCTAGTTCGTCGTCCTCAGGATGGATGTCAAAGAAGCCAGCCTCGCAGATGGAGTCACCTGAAGGGTCCTTGGTGATGGAACTAATGTCATAAACAGTAATACCCGCACCGTAGTTGCTCTGGTACAAGAATCCATCGACAACGTATTGGTTGTGGTCGATGGCTCGGCGCTTACCCTCGAAGTTGCCGGTATAGTAAGGGTTCTCGAGGTCGCGGATATCGAATATGTGTGTGGTAGGGAGTCCCTGTGTCATGGGCCCGACCTTTGCATCCCGCTCGTCGAACTTGTCGTCGAGGAAGAGGTATTCTTGGTTCTGCTCGTCGTTGACCACACCCTGGTGGACGTACTCCGCGCCAGGGTAAGAAGTGATTGAGATGATGTTGGTAACATTTCCGTTCTTGTTGGTTACGTCGTAAATCGTAAGTGTCTGTTTTTAAGATTAACAATAAGGTTATAATAGACTTTAGAATACTTGCATCTTCATTGTAGCCATAGCAGATGTCGCGTCCGTAGTAGCGCTTGTCAGGGCCGCGGTACACCAAGCACTCCGCATCGTGTACGTAGCCGTCACCAGCAGCACAGCCAGGAGAGAATGGGTTGGCCGGATTGGTCATGTTCAAGAAGATGAGACCACCGCGGCAGGGCAGGTCACCGCGAACACGGATTGTCTCATTACCGCCAACAGATCCAACGGCTATAGCGTAACTTAGCTCCTGGTTGACGACGATGTTGTGCGTGCGGCCGACAGGGAGCTCGTTCCAGTAGCCAGTGAGGTCCTCCTGGGTAAAGTTGTGGGGGCTAGCAGGATCGAGAGTGAGGAGCTTCTTCATGTCGAAGATTTGGACACCTGAGTTGATGGCTTCAGAGCCAATGACGGCGTAGTCGCGCAGGACTCGAATTTCTCGCCATCGAGAGCCAATGGGGTCATACTGGGGAAGGCGACCGAGGTAGACGAGTTTGCCTTCGCTGGATATCTCGGCGAACGCAGTGCCGTCGAATTGACCAATTGCTACGAACTCACGTCCGTCCTCAGAGGTCCAACCCCAAGAAGATGAGCCCTGGCCGACACTGCCGAGTTGTGCGTGAGGCAGGAAGTGGTACAGATCGACCTGCGTTAGTTAGCTCTATATTGTCTCTGAACGGCAAAGCTGCCTACGTTGTTGCACTTGAAGGTGTTGTTCTTGTCTCCAGGAATGGCGGCAGCGAAACCGTTCTCACAAGCAGTATATCCCAGTCCTGGATACTGTGAGCTGTCCATCGCACCAGAAGCAAGTTCAGCATCCCATTCAGCCTAATTCTCATGTCAGCTAGGAACAAGCTTCAGGGTCGTACGTGTGCCCACCATCTTCATGCCCATGATTCTGGCATGCACTGAACCATCAGCATACTCTTCTGCAGAGCCAAGAGCAGCACTACTCAAGCCCACAAGGGACGAGCAGATAGCGGCGAGGGAAATCGTCTGAACCATGATGAACGTTTACATCCGTCCGAAGACTAGAGAAGAGATGCAACTGCGACTGATCGACATAATCGCCCTTACAATGCCGGTATAAATACTCGAGGTTCACGAAGGGCCTCACTATCACTCAAGATCACCTTCCGGTTGAAGTTAGAGCTGGTGCCATCATTTCGGTCTTGGATCTCTCGTGGCAGACATGGAAGCAGAGAAGTGTAAGCCTGGGGCTGGTGCTACCGTAGATGCTTGGCCGATGACGAGGAGATAGCGGACTTGGCAGTGGTGGCTTGGGCGGAGGACTTCTTGGCTTCCCCGCCCCCACATTTTACACTCCACTCGAGATGTTGCATCTTTGCGTGCTGTCTGAGCTCGAAGTAAGACGTCTGTGGGGTTACCTTTTTCTTCAACGTGTTCCGGTTTTGATGAAGGCTTGTCGAGAATGCCTCTCGGAAGTTCAACGGTTCCACCGCAAAATTGCCGTCTTCGCGCATGCCGACCATTGGCACTTGGCTCGCATAGCACTAGCGATAACGTCAACCCGAACACCAAGCTCGTCTGCATGTTCTTATGCCCAGTGATAATGATGATCTTGGTAGCTTTTAGCCGTTGGGGCGCCGAAGCAAAGCGGCATAGCCTGGAAGTTGTCTGTGTAAACTGGGACGATGAGAGTTTCTGCGGCTTGCAGTATGTTTCCTGGTGGGATCTGGTGAGGCTAGTCAGTCAGTGCTGGGAAAGCAAAAGATGAGGTGACGTTCGGCGGAGAGGCCTGCTTCTGGTCGATCTGCGTAGTATAAGTATAGTGAGCAAGCTGGCATTTCAAGTGAAGAGCTGCATGGAAGATGCGTCCATTATATACCTCAAATCTCATTTCCCGCCAAACATGCTCAATATTGCTCCTCTGGTCGCTCAGAGGTCCGGTATAAGTCCACCTGCCCATGAGCTCGTTTGTGGGGGATCTTCAATCACAATGGATGTATTGACGCCGCTTCCCTTTGAAGGAGTGGTGGTTTTCGAGATCTTTGCCTTCTTTCTTGACTTCTCTGGCGTGTCTTTCACCTGAATGCGGTGGTACTTGTCTCGATTCGGCCGACCAAAGAGTTGCTGTGGCACCTTCAACAACGCGAACTTCGCCAGCCCTTGTTCGTCGTTTGATACAGGCAGAATCTGTGCACTCTGAATAATCTCAGTGATGCCAGCATCGTCTTCCAGCTCTTTCGCCTCCAAGTGCTGGGCCCGGCTCATCTTCTTTGCTCGTTCGAAGATTGCATGCTCAATGGTGTTCTCAAGCACCAGTGTCTCGACGAGGACTTCCTTAGTCTGGCCAATTCTGTGAGCTCGCTTGATAGCCTGCGCCTCAAGGCCAGGCCTATTGATTGGATTGACAATGATGATGATACTCGCCGCATTGAGGTTGAGACCAAGGGCACCACAAGCGACATCGATGAGCAGAACCCTGACAGTCGCATCTTCGTTAAACAGCTTGACATATTCCGAGCGCTTCGTGTTGTCTAGCTGCCGGGCGTAGATGCGGTGATTGACATAAAGCGCTTCTAGGCTTTGCGCGATATAGAAAGCAGCGTTGTCGCCATCGTAGAAGATGATGATCTTCTTGGAGCCTTGGTGCTCTACCACCTTGTCGATAACATATGTAAGCTTCGCCGAGGTGGTACCGATGATACATGTATCGAGCAGTGGTGAATCAGCAGGAAGAGACGCTGTTTCATCATCGTGTGTGAGCTTGCGCTTCTTCGGTCGGGCTGGGAGCGGTGTAGTCGGCTCGGGAGTATTCGTACTCTCATTGTTGCCAGACTTCTTGGGCAACGCTTTGCTGGCAAGAACTGATGCTCGCCGGCTGTTTAGAGGCTGTGAACCTTCAATAAGACCTTGGGGTATCCCTGACTTCTTGAGTGTTGACTCGACATCGCCGGAAGCATCATCTTTAGGTTGCTTGACTTGGAGTTCGGCTTCGGCCATTGCAGCAATTTTTGACTTGCCAGCTTCGCCAATGAGTATAAGGTTGCTCGACGGATCATCGGTTTTGATGTTACTGTCAACATGCAGCTGACCTTCGAGAAGCTGTGCCATTCCGATCATTGTGGGTTTCTCAGGATACGCAAACGCAAAGGACTCTTCGCTGTCTGCTGGCCAGGCCTTGACTGCAACGCCAACCTCATGTGCTGTACTTAAGGCTGCCCAATCGGCCGTTGTGGGCAATCCTGCTACAGCTTGGCTGCTTTCCAACAGCGACTGTGCGTCCTCTAGGGAACACTTCCTGTCTTCCTTGGAGAGGTACTTGGCACTAGTCTCTAGAGTGCTTACTACGCTCTCTACGCTGAAACCTGTCCATGTGAAGTTGGACTGCCGTAAGTTCCGAATGAGGCTGTGCTTTGCCTTGACGCTGTTTGGATGGAAAAGGTAGTCGACATCGGTTCGCTCAGACGTGATAGCGTTCGCCCGCAGAACCTGGATGAACAGATTTGCTGTCATCTTGTCGAACCAGCAAGGTTGGAGATAGACAACGTTGTGCTTCAGAGGTGGCAGCACGATGTCCTTCTCGACGTCTTCAGGTCTTGTCTTCACCACCAACCCTTCTAGAGTCCGCTGAAAGCAGGTTGAGAACGCTGAGTATGTCTTCCGATGTGGGTGCTCATGTCGATAGATGTATTCGTCCCAGTCGAGGCCTCCTTCGACACTCGAGGCACACCAAGGACGTACCATGAGGTAGTTCGATGCGAGTGAGCCCAGCGCCTTGACCGCCTTTGATTCGTCTGTGAGGTTGAAGGTCTTGCGCTGTTCGATTGCTGACTCGCGAAGTAGAATTGGGTCTTCATCATCGACTTCCATAGTTGACATGTCGACTTCTACACTCACCAGATTTTTGGCGGGTGTGCCAGATACAACCCATCGCCTCTCAGCTTGGATCTGCTTTGCGACCAGTACTGCGTTCGATGTCGCTGACGAGAAGTTGTGCCCTTCGTCGATAACAATGCGAAGCCAATGGAGCTTCAGGAGAGGTGATTCGTACACTGTACCACTGTCGAAGCAACTGCAATTTGCAATGCGGGTTGCACCGATGTACGGGCAATTGCAAGCACGGGAGACACCAGCCACATATCGCCGGCCCTGGTTGTCAGCCCCGTCTTGAATCTCTTGCTCGAAGCGATTGCGCGTAAAGAGTACCACATCGTACTTCATGAGCTCCGTGGGGGCTGGCAGCTCACTTGCAGAATCAAAGCCAGCCTGATCAACTGGAGCTGCCTTGGCTTTACTGCGTTTAGACACTGTATCAACAACCAGGATCTTGAGTGCTTGCGGGAGAAGGTGTTTCCGAATCTCAGACTGCCACTGGTGCAGCAGGTTTTTGGGCACCACCAAGATCGTAGCGGAACACATGACGTATTGACGTGCTGGCGGTATCCTTGTGGTACGGTTCATTCGAGGCATTTCCGGCGGTATCTCGTAGTAGGGCATGTTGTCGTCGAGAACGGTGTTCAGCCGTGGTAGGTTGACATCAGCGTGCTCTGCCATCTCTTCCAGACATACTTTCCCAGGTAAAGCATATCGTCCAGGCACGTGGGCTGTCATCTCCTTCAAAGTGCCCACACTAGCACGCACAGGCAAAGGGGGCCGATATAACTCGGGTATCTGCGGATGATGACCTTTAGTAGCAAGTATGACTGCCAGACAGATGATGGTCTTGCCCAAGCCCATAGTCTCTGCTAGAATACCGCCACGGTTGGACTCATAAAATCGCGGCTCCTGTAGAAAAGAGCCATCCCGCGCACAGTACAGAAACTTGTCTCCGTTTGGTGCTGTGCGGGTCTCCAAACGCGGATCAAGTTGCAATTGGGGTGCAGCTTCTCGCTCGATCATCAAACTAGCTGATCTGGCTTGGTAAGGGTATAGCCTCGTTCTCAAGCCCTTGAGAGGTTGTTCGCCATCATCTTCCCATTCCGAAGCTTGTGCTGATCCAAGTAGATCGTACGCTGCCCTTCTGGTGTACCTGTTCTTGATAAGAGCTGGGTTGGGAGACGGCGACGGCAGTTTGTTGAAGAAATAGTACAACGATGTATCAAGTTGGCCGGCCCATGGGTCGAATGATTGTATCTGAGCATCTGGAAGGTCGCCAGCCCAAGCATTTGGCGATGTATCGATCTGATCGAGTAGTTGACGCAGTGCCCTCTTCAAAGCAATACTGCTGCGGCTTATTGAGCGGCGGCTCCAATCTTCCGGAAGCAGATACACGCGAGCAATGCTGTGCACTGACTCGCGCTGAGAACGAAAGAACAGTCGTATCCATTGCGCATCAAGCAATTGAGAGGCTTCAGTACCGATGATCAGCTTGACCTCTCCGGGGAGCTGAGAATGAAGGACTTCAGTCCACGTAGACTCAAGAGTGGGCGTTGAGTTAGCCTGTACAGGGACGTGGCTGTCTAGGTGAAGACAGCCTAACGCGATGTAATGTTTCAGATCATCGAGTGTGCTCTCTTCCGTGGACGATGCAACCGAGGTGTGAGGCGTCGATACAGTGGTCGAAGATGATTTGCTGGAACTTGATGCCGAAATGCTAGATGCGTCGTCATCTTGAAATCGATTTTTGGACCGACTTGTTGTGCATGCAATTGGTGGTGATTGATGCATACGCCCGTCCACGCCGCGCTCCACCAACACGGATCCACTCATAATATAATGAGCATGCCCAAATTCGAGGACAACAGGAGCAAAAGATCGAGTTTAGGTCTCTCTGATGCAAGGCGGTGTTGTGCGGTGCATGAAGTGTCAGTCAGAAGAGTTCGCAGGGAGGCAACAGCCAGGCGTTCGGCCGGAGATAATTCCGTGCTAGTGCTACCGCCGAAACTGAAGTTGCAGCCCTCACAACAGATCTCGAAGGTAATCGATTAAGCGTCCTCATGTCAATTGGGATCGTACGTAGAGAACAGGATTGCAAATATGTTTACGCACCCAAACCAGAACCTTTTTTGCGGACTGCCAACGTTGCCAGGTAAGAGGGACAGCAAAACTCTTCAGACAGACCAATGATAATCGAACGAGTTTATCAGGAAATTGGAGGCTGGAGGTGGTCAGTAGACTGTAATCTGTTCCTTTTGCTGTCGTCGTAATGACCGACGAGCAGTTGTAGAGGCTCGGATTCGTGAAAGCTTCCTTCGCAATTGCGGAGATGCCGGCCCCGGCGCCAAGCCTCTCCGACACTGGCCGGTCCGATCCAGGAGTGCTTCTTAACCAAAATTTCTGCTCCCCCACGAGCTCCTCTTTCACAAAATGTCTCCGTACGCAAGAATCGCTCAGCGCTGTCTGATAACCTCCACCCCTTCCAAACACGCGACCCAAGTTTATGGCTGTTGCGCACTAACGGCCGCTGGTCGCGCTTTTTCTCCCAAATCCAACTTTCATCCCACTTGAGCGCGTTACGCCTACGAGTAGATCTGATTAGGTGAGTGGCTCGAGTACCTCATGCGTCGTATTTCACGATATCACTTTTCATGATGAACTTGTCAATTTTTTTAGATGTTAGACTTGCGACATTCGAATGAGCGCACAAAGACTTTCTGATCGAAACCCCCACTACCAAGAGATCCGCTTTTCCACAGCGAAACTGTAACTGACGCGTTTCCTCAGACTATTCTACTTCGCCAATACCTAATACTGCATAACCAACACCATGTGTGGAATCATTGCTGTGATCCACGGTGATCCAAAGTCATCCTCAGCCTCTGTCGAAATCCACGATGCGCTGTACCTCCTGCAGCACCGTGGTCAGGATGCGGCCGGTATTGTGAGCTGTAGCTCTGGTGGTCGTTTCCACCAATGCAAGGGCAATGGCATGGCCTCCAAGGTCTTCCAGGATGGAGCTCGCGTCGCTGACCTCCCTGGATACATGGGCCTTGGTCATCTTCGCTACCCCACCGCCGGCAGCAGTGCTAATTCGGAAGCTCAGCCGTTCTACGTGAACAGTCCGTACGGCATCTGCATGACCCACAATGGCAATCTCATCAACGCCCCTGCTCTCCGCGAGCGCCTCGATCAGGTAGCCCACCGACACATCAACACAGAGAGCGATAGTGAGCTCATGTTGAACATCTTCGCCGACGAGCTCAACGAGACCGGGAAGGCCCGTATTAACGCCAACGATTGCTTTGCAGCCCTGGAACGCATGTATAAGCTGTGCGTTGGTGGCTGGGCATGCACCGCCATGCTTGCTGGTAAGGAATTGCATGATTTGTTACATGTTACGCATACTAAGAGTGTCTAGGCTTCGGTCTGATCGGTTTCCGCGATCCCTACGGCATTCGTCCCATGGTCCTTGGTTCAAGGCCCTCTGACACCGGCAATGGCTTTGACTACATGATGGCTTCCGAGAGCGTTGCCCTTGTGCAGTGTGGATATAAGACATTCCAGGACATTCTGCCCGGCCAGGCTGTGATCCTCGAGAAGGGCAAGGACCCTGTCTTCAGGCAGGTCGCTAAGCAGGAGTCCTACACCCCCGACATTTTCGAGTACGTCTATTTCGCTCGTCCTGATTCGGTTATCGATGGCATCGACGTTGACGAAAGTCGACGCAACATGGGCTACACGCTCGCCGAGACCGTCAAGAAGCAGCTGGGCCAGAAGATCCTTGACGAGATTGATGTCGTCATGCCTATCCCAGAAACCAGCATCACATCTACTGTTTGCGTTGCAGAGGCACTGGGAAAGCCCTATGTAGCAGGTTTCGTCAAGAACCGGTACATCTTCCGCACATTCATCATGCCAAACCAGAAGCTTCGCCAAAAGGGCGTTCGGGCGAAGCTCAACCCTATGGTGCAGAAGTTCAAGGGCAAGAGCGTGCTTCTGGTCGACGACTCCATCGTTCGTGGTACGACTTCACGCGAGATCGTCCTGATGGCTCGCGAGGCTGGGGCAAAGAAAGTTTACTTCGCTTCCTGCGCTCCTCCCATTACCAATGCTCACATTTACGGTATCGATCTTGCATCGTCATCGGAACTTATCGCACATCAACGAGATGCTGCTGCCATTGCAGAGCACATTGGTGCAGATGGCGTCATCTACCAAACGCTTGAAGACCTGCAAAGTGCGTGTGCGTCATTGTCACCGCGCGACCCGAAGACACAAGGCTTTGAGGTCGGTGTCTTCTGCGGTAAGTACGTCACGCCTGTTGACGAAGGCTATTTCGACCATATCGATCGCATCCGTGGTGAGAGGCGCCAGGCTAAGGTGCTGGACAACGCAAGAAATGCCGTCCTGCACGGTACAGCCGACCCGCAGCAAGTTCGCATGGCTGCCAAAGGTGTCGAGGTCGACCAACACGGCAACGTCATCCCTTCAGGCGAGAGTGGGCTTAGCCCTGAGTGGCAGCCTGTGAACGCCCACGGGATTGAGAAGGTTCCTACAAATGATATCTCGAACCTCAATAGCGGTAATGGCCCAGAGAATGCCCCGGTCACAAATGGCAGCAGCCAGGACATCAGCTTGCATAACCACAACGATTACTAGATGGTTTTGGTCAGACCAAATGGTGGCTGGAGGTCTTCAGTACATACAGCTTTATCTTCAATATGAAACGCGACGACACGCTGCAGTATGAATTACGAAAAGGATGGAATGGGACGGTGGCGTCGATGGGTTTGTGACATGGGTATTAGACATGCTCCTGGAGGTATCCAGTCCAGCGAACTTTAGACGGTCGTTTACCTAGCGTGATTTGGTACGAGGGATCAATTCGACTACTGCACACTCTCAACGTTCACAAGCTCTATCTTCATTGACACCTGGACCAGCTTGCTACGATCATCGCCTGTCCCTGTGGTCAAACCTATTCACCTAGGTTCTCCTTCTCTCACCTTGCACGACCCAGCAAACGCCGATCTCTGCTCGATACCTGCCTTCACCGTGTCGCCGCTCCAACAACCTTCCGTACTTTGTCCTTTCCTCCTACTGTATGCCGAACCATACTTCTCTTTTCCAGACCTCCAGCCAATCGATCACAATGGGTGTAAACGCCTTCGAGAGCCTCAACTGTCCTCGAATACCGCCAGACGTCTACGCCAAAGTCAAAGCTATTACTATCATCGCTCTCCAGACGGTCTTCACCCACGTCACCGTACCCTTTGAGATTTCAGGCAAAGCTGACTACGGTGACATCGACATCCTCGTCTCCGCTCCCTCCGGAGACCCCACCGACCTCACATTCACCACGTTTCCCTTCCAACCCGTCATCGAAACCATCAAACATGCCCTCAAGGCGCCTTACGGCCGCCGCGGCTTCCCAACCCCAGATGCATGTATTTCGCCATTCGCATGCCTCCTAGCTCATCAGTCTCTTGCCTCGATGAAGACGGGATGGCGGGAAAGAGCAAGAATCCTGGGTCCAAGTCGACGTCAAGGTCTGCTTCAAGCCCGAGATGTTCTCGTGGATGACTTTCGAGCTCAATTTCGCGAGCCAATCCGGCATATTGGGCAGCATGATCAAGCCGCTGGGCTTAACGCTTGATCTTGAGGGGCTGCATGTGAGGGTTTAAGAGATGGAATGGATAGATTGGCTGGGGAGTATGGTGTGGGTTACCAGCGATCCTTGGATGGTGTGTAGGCTGTTGAGTTTGGGGAGGAGGGTAGTGGATGGGGGCTTTGAGAGTAATGAGGAGAGTGAGTAAAATTTGCCAGGATGAAAGGTTGTGAGTAAGACGCTGACCAGAACCAGTTTACGAGGAGTATGCTGGGAGCTGGCTATTCCATCCCTAGCATTTCAAAGCCAAACTCGAAGACGAGAGCTACTTGGTCCAGCATAGTCATAGATCATACTTCCTGAAGCACTGGTTCCCAGGGCGCTTCCCGGACTTCAAGCTTAATGTAGCGCGAGATAAGGATCTCCAGTTTTGGACAGCGCGCACCCGAGCAGCCATTTGGCAGAAGGTATTCACCTTATTTCCGCACGTTGCAGCACAGTACTACACCAAGCGCTCTAAGCATGTCAACGGAGTGGAAGAGCGCAGACTACGAGACCTGATCACAGCCGCTATCCCCACCGGCATTAACGGCTAGCGTGACGACTGTCAGCTCCCGCGCATTACTATCTTTGCCATCGATATGGGGAAACCAGTGGCTGCTGCCACAGTATCTTATGGAAGAAATATGTTTGTTCTATGGTCAACTTCGAACATGATGATGCTAGCTGAATGGTACGAACCTAATGGGCGATTGCTCATCCTTGCGTAGTGTTCTTTCAGGGACTTCTCCAGGTTGAGTCCGCAACCAATGTTCTTCTGCAGACATCGGCAAGGCCCCAAATTATGGAAGTCTTTGCAGGTGCCACAGAATTCTAGCTTGAGTTCAGGGCCTTTCCTCTCGCCGAACATGCAATAGCAAAGCCACCTCTCTCCATTCACAATAACGTTACAGCCAGTACCGTAGTGAGGGCCGGTTGGACCTAGGGAATGGTTGAAGCCACAGTCTGCGCAGTATCGAAGGTGACGACTCAAGCCGCTAATGCCTGTCCTGCCCTTTAGCATAGCGTTGGCAAACGCGGAGCTGTGTCGTAAGCGGTTGCAGTAAAATGATTGCCAAATTGTATGGGCCTCCCTGAACTTGGGACCGTGATACATACAGTACATGTGCACCGTAGTCTTACTGTGCGGACAAGTTTGTGAGTGGTCATTGTCCACGTGTATGCCCTGCAGTAGGTCTACCAGCGTGTCACATCTGACGAACCAAAGACATACAGCCACTCAGAAGTTCTCGCCTCTGTATGACGTATGGAATATGGGCTAGTGTGCCAGACTTAGGGGGGTCCATACGTTTTGGCAAGCACCGATGCCCGCAAGTGAGGAGATAGCGCTCTCGTGCGAATGACATTGTCTCAATCTTGAGCAGCACCTCGTGATTAGGCTTCTTGATGATGCGGCGGAAGTATCGCGATGTACGGCTGAGTTGAAGAATTGTTGGATCTCCGTCGGCCTCAAGGTGAGAGGCGATCTCTAGGTGCAGCATGGTCGGGAGGTGAAGGAAGGGCGAAAGCATTTGTTGCCCTGAGGAGGAATGTGCTGACGGTTCTGTATTCGCATCGTTGTCTAGGGGTTCTCCGTTGGCCGTCGACAGTGGTAACTGGTTTAGAATCACTACAAGCTATGGTCTACCCATACTGAGTTGATTTGAGGGTGGTGAGGGCAAAGTTCAGATGCGCAAGGGGGAAGATTCGTGATTTATCGTACCGCTTTGTCACACCAGAAACAGAGAATCGAAGGTTTCCCGATGACCATGATCTCATTGCCTTTTTGATATCGTTGGGTCTGTGTCGGATCGAAGCCGCAATCCAGGCAAAATCGCTTGAATTGCTCGGTGCCTTCCCGGCGCTTCTTGCCTTTCAACATCGCATCCGCGAAACTGTCCTCATATCGTAGGTGAACACAGTACTTGCAGGCGTACAGGAAACGCTCTATCGCGAACTTTGCCTGCTTAAGCTCGAGTAGCATCTCATGATCGGGTGCTGGGAGGGTGTTGTAGAAGTAGCGGCTCGCAAGGCGGAGGCAAAGGATCGTTTCATCGTGCATATCTGTCGAATCCAGGTACGAAATGATCTGTTGGTGCAGCACAACTGGAAAACATAGTAAGGGTGGAATTCAACAAAGAATGTATCCGTGACGTTGGCTTCAGAGTTTCTGATGAGCTGTGTTTGTGATCGACAGCATGCTAAGGTCAGTCGTTGGCGGTGGGGTATCCATGGCGAAACTGGAAAAAGGGAGGCGGGCAATGGTGAGGCAGAAGCGGAAGAACGCGCACAGCGTTGTTATATTTGTGGGAGCAGCCAAGACAGGTTCATACTAGCCGAAGCAAGGGGTGCAGGTGAACGGAAAGTGAAGTATCAAATTGCAATGATGTTGTCAGCAACGATCATGCTATAAAGGTAACAGGACGGACGAAAGATTGTATGCACCTGCTGAGTACTAGCAAACTTTGGAGTTATGCTGTCATTAAGCATTCGCCGTCTTGTCGTTGTAGTAGTGAATCGTCTGATCCGCACACCCAGCCGGCGTCTGGTACAAGTAGTTGCCCAGGTTGATGTACAGCTGCTGCCCAGTGCACACATACCAAGCCGCAGCATTTGGTCTCGTGATACCCGCAACAGTCCATGTCAAGCCATCACCGTTCCAGGCAAACTGGCCATAGGTGTTCTTCGTGGTCGAGAATGTAACCGAAAGCGAGTTGTCGTTGATATACCTCGTCTCCGATACGACGGCATAGAGAAGCTTCACAGGCGCACCAGGTGCTGATACCAGCTGAACGAGTTGGCCGTCAACGACTTGAAACTGGCCCGCGGTGGTGTAGTCGCCGAGGAGAGCAGCACCGGTTGCGTAAAGAGGTTTAGTCTGCATATAATTGTGGAAGTTGGGTGCTGCCACGGCGCGAATCCAGTAGTAGCCACTCTGAAGCGTTGTGCCAGGTCCAGATCCTGCCGGTGTGCCAGTCGCGGCAGGAGCACTGGGTACAGCTGCAGCGCTGGTCTTTGTAGCGGTCGCCGTGGGCTCGGCTGAAGTGATCAGGGTTGTAACAGCAGCTCCAGGCTGGCATTGCGAGTAGTAGTCACTGCAATATGTTAGACCACGATGTTCGATCGACAGAGTTTGTGATGTCTTACTTGATCTTCACGCAGCCAGATCCTGCTGCACACGAGGTCTCTCCACTCCAGTTCACTCCGCCACCTTGCAGATGTTAGAGGCGGAAAGAACTTGTTTGGCGCGAAACCTACATTGCTGCCAATCCCCCACTGCAGCAGAGACTGTGCCAGCAAGAAGAGCGAAGTTACTGACGCTGGTAAGACGCATGTTGCTTGTGGAGTAGCTCAGAGGACTTTGACTGATCAGTAGAATTGCTGTGTATCATTTTGAATTCTCAGATTCCTCTTATACATTATTATTGCGAGGAAACACAACATTGACTTAGCTCATTGAGCCGACGGACCGGGGTAGCCGCCTAAAGTAATTGCAATGTACTAAGCGAGGAACTGGGCGCAAGGCCACAAGGCCGTGGAATCAAGGCTTGGACGGATTTGTTCGAAACAAGAGCGTATCACGGGTGACGGGCAGAGCTTATGATGCATGGAGTCAAGGACGACCTGAGTATTGAGGTTGCCGAATCTTTGGGGTAAATGCTGTTTGCCCGTGTCGGTATTGTCGCAGGCTCCTGGAGATCTTGTCACCCGTGTCCGACGTAAAAGATTGTGTGCAGCAGCATCAGGCCATCAACCCTTGAGCAGATTCAAGATGATGGATGAGAGAGGAGATCTTCGCGACTGATGGCATTGATCATAGTTGAAGGAGAAGTTCAATATGTGGGGAGCAAAAGGGTCCACCTGGACCGTGCGATTCCCTTATCGATAAACTTTTCATCGTAAACGCCACCGCTCCACAGATCTCACGAGACATTTCACATTCAAAACGTCCATTTGAGATTAACTCGTATCCGATACAAGAGTTTGGAAGAGGCCTTCAAGGGAATCAGGACCGTTTGGTATCAGGGACCACCTCATTGAGGCCTGCAATTGATACCCATCATGGCGAAGAGGAAGCGCAACAATCCCTCCAGTAATGCCGTGAAGAAGCAGGCGACGGCAAGCCTTCCCAGTCCCCCACATGAAAAGGAAACTGCTCTCGGTGCCCCAAGCATTCATGCAGTGATATCACCAGAAGAGATGGAAATCGCCGTGGAAACACTTCAATCTTTGACAGAACACCCAGCTTTGATCAAGTCCAAGGCGTGCAAGGACCTGAGGGCAGCAGTGTACAACTTCCGCCAGGCGAGCACCACAGGAATGGCTGCAGCCGGTATGTTGAGACTTTGATAAGTTTGGGCTCAAACACTGACTCCAAACAGAGAACAGCAACCTCACAGCCCGCATTTCTGCGGCACTCACAGATGGCAAGTACACAGATGCTATGATTCTTCTCGCCGAGATGCGCATCAGGAAGGAAACACCCACCCTCGGTGCCCTCTGCCGCTGGGTACGCACACTGGACGTTATCTCCGGACTGTCAATCCATGTACAAGTACCGAGCCAGACAGTCGTAGGCAAGAACGCCAGTAACGAGGAACTAGTCCGAGTCCTGGACGCCATTCTCCGAGTCACTGGCCCAACAGACACAACATCTCACGGCATCGACGCAACTTCCGGCCCCATCTCGCTGCAAGGAACATGGAATCTGCGCCCCGCCACAGAGCCCACACGTCAACTGCGCCGCAGCATCGAAGACAAATCCATCTTCACATCCTCACCCATCAATAAGGAGAACTTCCGCATCATTGAAACTACACCCGGTCCCCTCCGCAAACCACCAAACCTCCACCCTGCTGTCCTCTTTGCATCCCAAGACGACTCAGTCCTCCTCGGCCAAGGCCCAAAGACAGAATGTTACAAGCACCCCATCGTACCCGACTTGCGTCTAATCAAAGACGTGCTATCCCCGGAGGAGTGTTCGTCCATCATCGCAGCAGGTGAGACCATGGAATTCATTCCCGACGCGCCAATGCGGCCTCAGGGCGAAGACACGAGCATTCTCGCGCACAACTTCTACTGGATCGTTGACCAGGCATTCCACGATAAGCTGTGGGCGCGCGTGAAGGCGTTTGTGCCAGAGTCTGTGGGTGGTAGGGTGGTGAGGGGGATTAACAGGAGGTTTAGGGTGTATCGTTATGTGCCGGGCGCGGAGTATAGGTGTCATATTGGTAAACGTTCTCTAGTCTCACTATGTTTCTGTGTGTTATTTTGCTAACGTGATTGTAGATGGCGCATGGCCACCCTCAGGCATCGATCCTGTCACCGATGCGTACCAGTATGATTCCTCCCCGTCTGATGCCCGCCAGTCGAGTCTGTTCACGTTCCTGATCTACCTCAACGACGACTTCCGCGGTGGCGAGACGACGTTCTTCATCCCCAGTGTGAAGGAGGGCGTTATCAACGCGTATCCTGTGAAACCGATCATGGGCAGCGTGGCTGTGTTCCCGCACGGTGAGGCGGCGGGCGCGCTGCTGCATGAGGGTACCGGTGTGGTTGAGGGCGCGAAGTATGTGATTCGGACGGATGTCGAGTATGACGTAGATGCCACTGTTTGATCGAATGCATCGTCTGCGCCTGTTTCCAAGAACCCCTCTTTGCTTAGACCCTCGTCCGATTTTGATGTCGTCGTCGCGATGAGCGTGTCGTTCTAAAAACCACACAGTCTTGTCGGATCCGCAATGTGAACGGCCTGCTTGTTACTTCTGCGCTTCGTTTTGTGCCGTCCCCTTCGCCCTCTCAGCTCTCTTCCGTCCCCCCACCAACCGGCTCCGGCCGTCCAGAAAAAACAATCTTATGTCTCACCACCTCCACAATCTCCAACTCCTCTCCCTCACCCGTTCCCGTCCCTTCCTCCCCACCCTCCATCACCTCATCTCCACCTTCGTCCTGTCCTCTCCTCCTAATAACAGCAAACGGCCTCCCCAACCTTTTACACTCCCCAACCATCCTCTGATTCTCGCCGATATACAGATACACCCTCTTCATCCACTTTGTATCCTCTTCGCCATTGAGATTGGGGTTGTAGGTCGGGAAGACGAGCTTGCCGACGCGTGATGAGGTCGAGGTAGCGGAAGGAGGCGGGAAGTGGATCGTGCCTTGAATTTCGAGGAGGGCGAGGCCGGTTGGTGTGTGCAAGAGGGGTGGAAGGGGGTTCTCGGTCTTGAGTGGGGGGGTGGCTGTGGATGAAGGCGGATAGAGGGTGACTGTTGGCATGGTGTGTGGTTTGAGGGTTTGAAAATGGAACGTGATAAGTGCGAAGCTACCGCCTCAGCTAAGAAAAAAAAATGCTGCGGATCTGGAGTGTTTCTTGAATTTTGTGATGTCTAGCTTGAAGGGCGCAAGTTGGGGCTCGAATGGCAGACGCGAATTAGTGTGACGCGTTCAAAGCTGGTCCAAGCTTCGCGGGGGAGTGACGGCATCGATCCTCCCTTTTTGAGACGTGTGATGATGGTTCATATTCGCATTATTTTGGTATCTATGTACTCATTGACGCTCCAGAACGGTATCATAACTCATTACACAAACACTCTATGAGCGCTTGCCGAAGACCTTGTCGAAGTTGGTGAGGGTAAACCTGTAGCGGACGTTGTCGTTCTTGTAGACACGCTCAACAGCCTGCTTACAGCCCTCCTCGCTGAGATCGATTGTCTCGATCCAGCCCTTGATGTTCTGCTTCGAAGCAATCTGCAGCATCTCCTCCATCTCGGGCCTGTTGCCAATGTGCGACGCACCCATGTAGCAGCCGTTGGGGGCGAAGGTCTGCGCGGGCATGGCGGGGAGCGGCTTGTCGGGGAAGCCGACCATGTGGAAAGTACCATTGACCTTGAGGATCGAGAAGTACTCAGACAGGTCGAACTTGTCGGTAGCATCGGCGGTGTTGATGACAAAGTCGAAGCGGAACTTATGCTTGTCGGCCCAGCCCTTCTCGTTGGTGACGATGAAGTCCTTGGCGCCCATCTTGAGCGCATCCTCCTTCTTGCTGGCAGTGTGCGAGATGACAGTGGTCTCAGCGCCGAGAGCGACAGACCAGAGGACACCAAAGTGACCCAGGCCACCAAGACCGATGATACCGACCTTCTTGCCGGGGCCAGCACCTAACCTCTTGAGGGGAGAGAATGTGGTGATACCAGCGCACAGCATGGGTGCGGCGATGTGTGTCTCAAGGTTCTCAGGGATCTGGAAGACGAAGTACTCATGGACACGGACGTGAGAAGAGTAACCTCCCTGGGCGACAGTGCCATCGGGGTGCTTAGCACCATAGGCATCGACCTGGTTGGGGCAGTAGTTCTCCTGGTCGGCCTTGCACTGGTCGCAAGTAAGATCCGCGCCGATCTGGGCACCAGAACCGACACGGTCGCCGACCTTGTGCTTGGTGACCTTGGATCCGACCTTGACAACGCGGCCAATGACCTCATGTCCTACGCAGAGGGGAAGGGGAATATCCTCTCCCCATCCACCTGTGATGGTGTGAACATCTGAAGCGCAGACACCGCAGGCGTCAACGGCGATATCGACATCGTAGTCCTCGAACTTCTTGAGGGGAAGCTGTTGTTCTGTCAGCAATTGCCGCAGGAATCGATGATCGTGCAACGTACCTCCTGGCGCTTGAAGGTGCTCCAGTTCTTGATATCGTTGACGGCGAAAGCGTCGGTTGTCTCTGGGTAAGGCATTTTGATGAATGTGCGGTTGAATTGGGTATATGAGAAGTGTGAAGAAAATGTGCGGTTGTTGTTAATCAAGAGAGGAGCAGTTCCAGAGGGGCAGCTGGGCGTATTTGAATCGCTCCTTCCTCATGCTCCATAGTATCGGGCCACTGATTTCCGGTAGTGATGTCAGATGGGAAAGCGAACGACGTTAGGTCGTCCCAGCCGTTATAGCTCCCTGTACATTATGCCTGATTGGGCGGGTTCTACAGGCGGCGAGGGCTTTAGTATGCCGTTGCTGTCGGGTACCTTTTTGTATCGTCACCAGCGCGTCAACGAAAAGCTTACAATTGCCGAAAGATGTAACATCGACGATTTTCGGTGCAAATGTTCGCGCCTAGGCTCCAGAGTAACCGCGCCGGTAGCTGTCACGAAGGCAAGTGCTTCGTTGTTGAAGATTTATCTTAAATCTCAAACTGCTATGCCATCATCGTCGATGTTCCAACGCTGCCCCACGTAAAGCTTCAGCCTCCCCCACGTATAGAGGGGCAGCTTAGTAAAGGTTGATCCACGAATGAGGAGGTTTATCGCGTGCCAAGGCTTGTTCCGATCGGCTTTCTCTCCGACGAATCGCTCTGAGTCGCTTGAACCAGTCTCTTTGCAGGATGGGGCTGCCGACAAACCGATGATTGTCCTTCGTTCCTACAATCTCTGTTGGGGTCGGTGGCCTCTTCTCCAACCCGATAACTCCTTTCAGCCATCTCGAGCACCGACTGACGATGCTGGGTTTCGGGGATTCCGGTAATAGATAACTTGGGGCGGACTCCAACATCGATCTATCTTTCATCGTCTAAACGGAACCATGAATGTTGAACGTTGTTGAATGGACCTGAAGGCCATCGGTGGCCCTACTCATTGTTGCTTTTATGCTGGAGTCGCACGAGACGTGTCTGCTGGATGGTACAGCTCTTGCTCGAAAACATCTTTCTTTCATCAGGTTGAATGCTTAGAATAAACCGGATCGCTGGCGCAACGATGGACCGTAGAACGTCTGGATCTCCAATTTAAGCAAAAGACATTGAAGCCCTGGTCGTTCGAAAGTTGCTGGATATGAGAGGTATAATCGATGGCTTGGAGGGTATCTAAAGTATAACAAGCTGGGTACGGATTGCGACATGACACCCCCGCAAGGCGTGCGTTGGTCATCATGATCAACGATACAGTAACCACGTAGAACGACGAGACTGAGGAAGAACGACGACAAAGTCGTGAGTGCGACTGCTTCGACACTGTGATGTACCTTTCCCAAGTTCAGCTAGGTACTCTTGCGCTAGTGCGTTTTGTGAGGCAGGGCTGTTCTTTCCATCAACCACATTGTCGCAACTATCCTCTGACATGATTCTACGTCAGACCACGATCACTGCACGGTCTGGCGTTCATTTCTGTTACTTCGAAGATGTTTTATGGCCTGATGTTGACAGCATTCAAGACCTCCACATTTACAGCCGGGACGGTGCACGATTCGTCATGGACGCAATACCCTCTCCGCGTCACCCGCCGTCCAGACCGTTATGGGAGATGGACCTGCATACAAGGCATTGTGGAAAGCGGCCTTGGTACGTACAGCGGTGGTACTACACACTGAAACCACCACTTGTGGATAACCCGTAATGAACCCGCCGCACTGGCAGCGGCAGCATCACACATCCACAACCCAACGCCGGCACTTTCGAAACTTGAGGTGCTGACACAGCATTTGTTGGGCAAAGTCAAGTCCCTAGAATCTCCACAGGAGACCAGGATGCGACTGTCGTGGCCGACGGCATGCTGCCGTGAGAAATAATGTACCAGAACTGGTCCGCTTCGACCAAAGTGACCACGCTCGTCAACGCTGCCTGTAGAGTTAATTGAGTGCTCACCATGCAGACAAGTCGAGTTTGTAGTTCAGCGAGGAACAAATTAAGCGGCGCCTGATCGGTCACGGCGCAGGGATCGGCTATTCGCATATGAACCAGAACGAAGTGTGATCCAGGTTAAATTCCGACATGACCAGTCTCCAATGATAGCGCGCCTTGCAGAATATAGCAGATTTGCACGACACAATGACACTTTTACTCCAGCAGCCACATCGAACGACGCTGTCAGAATGCTTTACAGTTGGAGTGCAACGTTGCGCAAGGGCGCACTCTCAAACACTTATTTATGGGTTTGCAGCGTAGGCAAGTACTTGCTTATTTCGTGGCAACGCTTGGAATGACTCGAAGTCAGCGACAATATCCAGCCAAAATCGCATTGGACGAAAATCAAGGATCAGTCCACGACGAAAGTCGTTCGAAAGTGGTGACTAACTAAAGGTCCATGTGTGGCGATCCCGGATGATCACCCTCCGTAGCGAATGGGAGGTCCGTTTCACTATAATCGGTTCGGACACTGTAAATGAACAATTGCGGGGAGCGCCTTGCCTGGAAGACTATCGCGCCGCGCCCAGGGTACATGGCAAGGGTAGGTGGCTGCCATCTTTATATCAGAAAGCTCACCCTCACGGCCACGCGGTGGGGATGGCGAGTCTGCTGCAGCCCACCTCCAAGTCGTCAAGATGCCTACATATCCACTCCAGCTTACCTGCTTGGGAGTGATATATGGCACGCCTGCGCTGGCAGCGGTTTTCGTAGCGCTGAGGATCTATACACGGCGAAAGTTGAACTTGAGATTGAGCTGGGGTACGTACTGCACATTTGCGTTGAGTTACGATGCTGACAATGACAGATGACTGGCTCATCATCCTGCCTACAGTTTTGTCCATCGCGCTCATCGGGCCCTCACACAAACGTTAGTACTCGATGAACGAGACGCACTCAGTCACTAAACAAATTCAGATGTCAAGATGTGGCACATCGGCATTCACATTTGGGATGTGGATCCGAACGAGATTGAGCCAAACTACGATGAATTCTATGCGGTATGTTTGTCAAAACCTACAGGCACCAACAAGCTGACCAGATCGTAGGTGCAACTGGCATTCAACCTCCTTAACATCCCGATCCTACCACTCGTCAAAGCTTCGATCATCTTGCTCCTTCTTCGCGCTGGATCCATCATTACATGGCTGAAGAAAGTACTCTACTGCATTTTGGCCTTCGCCATCGGCAGCTCACTAATACCGTGGTTTCTCTACATTTTCACCTGTCCACCGCAAACCGGTAACACCTGGAAGCCACGAACATTTGGGAACCTCCACTGCATGGGCCGACATCGAATGGGCGAGTTGCTGATCTGGGTCACCTGCGCCAACCTACTCACCGACCTTCTTATTCTACCTATACCCTTCATCATCGTCCGGAGAATGATGAGCGCGCGCTTGCGGTCAAGGCTCGTCGTCTTGACAGTCTTCGCATGCAGTCTGGCAGTGACAGGCATCGGCGCCGCCAAAATCTACCTCTCCTACCGCGACCGCCTTTACACCCTATATGTTCCCGACTGGACCTACCCAATCGACTACTGCATCAATCACATCGAAAATAACGTTGCTATCATCGTCGCCAATATCCCCATTCTGCGCGGCCTCGTCACACGCTGGGTATTCAACTTCAAGGGCACCAAGGCAGCACCCACAGACCGTAAAGAGCGCCCAATCCCGCTGCGAAAGCGATCGAGCCTAACCAATAAAACGCACAAAAAAGTACACAAGAATCCCATGATGCGTAAACTCCTACCTTGCATCGACGACTTCTCGTCCAGTTTAGCGACTCCAGAGCAATCTAAGCAACGCCCCGGGAGACCACTATCGGGTACCTTCACCACCCTCTCACACTCAAACCAAAAAAGTAGGAAACTAAGCGCATACTTCTCGCGCTCCCGCCGCTCCAGTACAGACCGGTATGATAGCGCCGACACAATCGAGAAGGGTAATGTCCGGGAGACAGTAACCAGCATTGGCAGCGCGCCCACGCTTATCGGCTCAGCGAACAGGGAGTCGAAGCAGTGGGATAGCTCGGTATTGAAAGCGAAGGGGAGTAGTCCGACACTGAGACCGAGCGAGCCATTCGGAAGTGTGGAGCCATTGAGCGAGATCCAGCCGCTCAACCAGGTGCGAATGCGAAGTGCATTGGACGGCGAGGAGTTTGATTTCGGGGACATGGAGGAGATATGGCCGTATTCGAGTTCGCGTCGTTGAGTAGAATACCCAGACAATGTGTTCATCACTGCGAGATGCAAAACTACTCTTATACATGCTGCCTTGAGTGTATCTCCCCGCCCTTTGCGTTCGTGTCGCCTCAACACATGCAAACCGATACGCGCTGCGTACCTCAACACTTCGCATTCTGTCAACCGTTTGGTACTTCTCAACGGCCTACTCCGGTCGCAGTGTAGGCACGGCGCGCTCCATGATGCTGATCGGTGCCCTTGTCACCCTCGTCCTGGTCGCAACATGTGCCGAACCGGCACTGAGGTCCGGCTTCCCGCACTGATCGCCCACACCTTCGAAGCTACCGGGCGGCTGCCGAATAGCAGAATCTGGGGTAAAAGTCAGGTGCTCACGTGGATGGGCAAGGTCTTGCCGTTCTTGCCGATTGTCATGTACAATGAGAGCAGAAGTAAAGATACAGAAAGGGTGTCTCACGAAGAGCTGAGTTTCACAGAACAGCGTTGAGGGACTATCTTGCAACACACTCACTTCGCAGAGGGCGAGCCATACAGACAGAATGTTTGCAGCTGCTCGTTTTGGAGTTGAAGGACCATATGGTAAGCGTTCTCCTTGCGGAAGGTTAGTCCTTCGATACTACTCCTACACAGGGCTTGTCACTTTGAGAGCAACACAACAGAAAATACTAAGCATGTTTCTGTGCTATATAGCTGGAGTTGCGCACGAAGTACTTGTTGGCTCATGATTATTGCGAGGGAGGCATGTCCTCCGCAGTCTACAAAGCTTAGTGGACGCTGAGTACCATTCTGACCTTAACTGATGACTCGAATCGATAGCTGCTTCGGTATGAACAAGCAAATGGAGTCGATGTGTCGGGTGTACTTTCCCTTGTATATATTAGATCCGGCTCGCGTAGTCATGCAATCTATTCGCCCCGCGGTTGATATGGATAAAGTGGGCAGAGGTGGCTGACCAGCACGATCTCGACGTTGCTTGGCTGGCAATTCTAAGTAGCCGAAATTGGTGAAGATAGTATGTCATGCTAAGATTAGGTGAGAATAGATGATGTGTCAGTAGTGATGGATGTGGTAGTTCGTGAAGAAGCGAATCGTAAAAAGATCCGTAGCCCATCGTTGATTACAAGTTTACAGTGAGTACCAAAAGCTTCGTGCTCTGCCTAGTTGCACATTTTTGTATGTTCTCGACAATGAGAGGTCCTAAGTTTTGAAGTTCTGGAAATTGCCAGCATCTGAAAAGATCACACTTTAGAAGGCATTCGTACCAACGTCGGGTATGAAGGCGGTTGTGATTGACAAATGGGGCATGCGTTTCAACAGGTGACAGTCGAGACCTGGTTGCAATATGCGGAATGCAGGGGTACAAAACGTGGTTGATCGTACGCGGTCCGGAGAGACTGGGGTGCAGGATCGTCAAGGTCATATCGTGAGCAAAGCTGCTAAGCCGGCGGCAGAAACGGCCACGCCGAGTGTTGCCCGCGTCATGTGTGCTAACGAGGGTTTCGCTTGTGTTGCGTTCCCGGACGTCTGTTCAGCAAAAGTACTGTCATCATTGCGGACACAGCCCGTCTTTGCTGTAATCTCGCTTGGGCAGACAACTCGTTTGAAGTTTGCGCTGTGGAACATCAGATACATGGCAGTGTGAGGAAGCATAAATGCGTACCTGGGATATGAGGCGTCTTCTAGCCAATCGAAACGCCATTGACAGGCGGATCGTAAAGACTCTGGAAGATTCTGGCAGTCGTCTTTTGTGGCGACGCCTTGACGGTCTTGACCAAATACGGATTGAGATATGCCATATTGTGTCGCGCAGCCATCCACCGAAGTTGTGTTCCCACCTGGTATCTGCAAAACGATCAATGTTTGCTATTATGACGTCGATCAGTGACCATACCGCTAATGTGAACCGGTTTGCTGTGTTGATGTCGTAGGCAGTGTTCGATGCTTGCACGATCATGCTTTTTCCTCTCAGTGGTTCACTAGTGAAATCCAGTTGGTAACATGCGCAACACCAAGCATCCTCGGTTGCGCCGCCTACGATTTCTTGGGTGAGATAGACGCCAGCAAACCCGTACGAGAGAGTGTCATTGATGGCCCAAGGTTGCTGTTTGGAACAGGCGAACGCAGTACCGCCTTTACATCCGGTTCCAGCATCAAGACTGATCGGTTTCTCGTCCGCTGTGCAGGAGCCCACTGGGTTGTTCACCGATGCTTTGCCCTTCCATCCGCAAGATGGCTTGCAACAATCCCAATACCGTGTCGTAAGCGCTTCGCCGCTGTAGTCGAGGCTTATACAGCCCGCTAGAACTACAAAGAGTTCCAAGATGAGGAAGAGGTTGTGAGATGTAGGCGTCATTGCGTGATGAAAGAAGTCAATGTGAAGCAAAGACCAGAAGGCATGGTTTGATAGCAGGGACAGTTACGGGCCACGAAATTGTATTTGAACGGTATGAAGGAGGAGCTTGCTTTCTTAGGACGTCCGCAAGGAGATATTACTCTGGTGATGCAGTCGTATAGGCGGCGAGATTGGTCTACCGGCGGTGTCATGCTTTGCGCCCAAGCCATTATCACTCAAGGATCGGCTTAGGCTGTGGGGCAGCGGCAACCAGTCTTACACTTTGGTAAGGCTCAGCAAAATCCTGAGTGGCCCAAAAATTACATACATCCGAACTCACTCGGGTCAATGCACCCCTTGCAATTTACTGTGAACGCCTTCCCCACACTTTCGCGTCACGCTGTTTCGATCCCCGCATTCGGACCGTGGCGTTCTTATTCCATTGAGCCATTGCTGATTTCGGCGCATCTTCGATGCTTCTGCTGTCAATCATGTTCTGATCAAATCATTGTTGTGTTGCGATATCTGCTGTTGATGGTTATTTCTCAAGATGCCACAAAGCCATTTTCTTGGATGTCCTTGACATGCCTAAGCGAACCACGCCGTAACCTCCTCGGCACTGCATAGTCGTACAGCGGTCTGCAAGGGCACAACAGGGTAGGAATCGATAGGCACGTGGTGTTGTGGCTGGCGGGTAACCCGCCTGCAAGGCACTGGGCCCTGTCCATATCGAAATCGCTCGGCTCGACTGTTCTCGAATCGGACGCAGGCGCATATGAGCAGTTTTCTATGTCATGTGAGTGTAAGAGATGATCACTGTAGACGTTACGATAACGAGCGAGGCAGTCAGCCGGTCGCTCATATCGACGACCGACCCTAATCGCGATATCAATCGAGTGGAAGGGCATTGCTCGGTAACAGACGGAAACCAGCTGTACGCAAATTGAACGACGTCAATAAAGAACCACTAACAGATCAACGCTGCCCGATAGACGAAGCTACCAGAAAACGGAAGCAAACGTTAGATTTGTTGGACGCACGGCTGGTCGTCATCCTTCACGTTGTGATCCGCTCATACCTTGGTCGACTCGCTTGGAATACCCGCAACCGACTATGCAGCAAATTAGTAAAGCAAGAGATGTCTTCTGGAAGAGTACGCACATCTGTGGATTGCTAATATTAGATAGCTCAGTGTTGCTCAGGATCATCCTCTATGGCATCAGTAGCTCAACGTTGTCGATCGGGAGCAAGGCACGGGCATTGCCGAGACCTGTGATGATCGTTGAGGCTTACGGTATGCCTTGCAGAGGGTAAAAGGGAGTGGCCACGATAGCTGTTCTCGTGTGCAGCCACTTCTCGCGTTGCTCTCGGATACTTCTGTATCAACCCCAAGAGATTGGAGACACTGCCGGATTCGCTTCGATGGCGATACGAGCGCAGCATTGGCCAGTGTTATGTTCGGGAGAAGAGATAGTGAAGAGGCTGGTTAGAGTATACTGGGAAATAGATATTCAGGCTTAGCGCTCGAGCCCGGAGGAGGCCGAGGTTCTATCTTTTTCCTTCCTCTTGATATCGGACAATCATTGTAGGTTTCCACATGACTTCTCATCATGAATCTGTACTGATCAGCTAAGTTGGGAACAAAGACTGGCCAAGAAGAGACCACAACATGAGAGGTCGTTCAGAAACTGGGAATTCTTGAAGTATCAAAGTCTTTCCACCAGCTGGCCACCGATCTTCTGGATCCCTACAAAGCTACGATAGATTCTTGTCTACCGAATACACAGGCTACAACCTATGCTCTTAGGAACTCTATAACACATCATACCAGTAAAAGACATACCAGTAAAAGACATGGGGACGACCCATATCGACATGAGCCGTCGAAGGCACTGAGACTATCAGTCTTAGCAAAGGAAGGCACATCGAAGGATGTACCCGTCGATGAGCATCTTGAGCAAGGTAAGTGTTAGATGATATGACCAAGTCTGATTGCTCATCTGATGCAGACATAGGGAAGATAACGACTATTTCGACGGGGGCTTCTTCGATAGACCCGATAGACCATGGTGATTACGGTATAAACCCAACGGCATTTCACGAGAGCTTGAATCCCGAATGATACGAACGAAACACAACTAACTCCAGATTCGACCCGAGTCCAATCTCTATAGATTCTGTGAAGAGTTAACGTCAATTTGCGCGAGTTGGCCAATCGAATGATGACCGTACAGCCATGGAGCCAACGACCATCCATAGTCTCGGCTCAAGGTCAACCATGAACTTGATTTACTGTACTGGCTCGCTTATTCCACAGTTCTCATTGGAGTCTATGTATTATGTTTAACATGTGTCCTTGCTCAAATTTTATATTCAACACTTTTCATACCAACTAAGTTGTCTTTAAAATAAGCTATTATATTTTCTATTGTTCTAGAATTAGTTCAGGAGATGGCTGAGGTAGCCCGTATGGACAGACTGGAGAAGATTCTTGAACAGTGCCCACTCGGGTTTATGGAGACGAGTCTTGTGAGACAATTAGAAAACACCAGGAGGGACGCTAGGCTGATCAGAGTGACATCTGCGATGGCTCTGTACATTGTCACATGAAAGGATAAGGATTTCAAACTGGAAGTCTCACTGGGTTCGTCTATTGGCAGAGATGTCTCCCAGATGCTCGAGGGCTCGAACAACATCCAGTACTTGAATACACTCCTTGGAGAGTGTGGAAGGGTTGAGATTATTGATTGATGTAAGAGAGCTATTGGCTGGAATCGATCGAGACTATATAGTAGAAGGGGATAGCAGTGAAGGGTTGGGAAAGCAAACTGAACTAACCGAATGAGCTGGACAATCAGTGCAGTGGACCGCTGGCAAACACTGCAACGGTCCGCTGGCGGACAGAGAGTATCTTTTTGCTGGAACGATGGCTAGCAACTACAGGAAGGAAGAGGAAAAGAGGGGAATGCCCACATCCACCCCTGCCGAGAACATGGTCTTCCTTACCGAGAAGGATGGTAATGAGGATTGCAAGTTGCAAATGGTATTTGTATTACACGACTGGATGTCAAATATGGTATGATGTTTTCTAGCTTTTGAATAATTTGAATTCCATCTTATGTACGACTACGATCCAACCCGCCTCAAGAATTACATCACTTATGTCTTCGTCCGCATTCTGGTTAGTCAGTAGGGGTTAATCTGTGGCTACTCGTCCAACTTCTCCGGTTCTCTTCTTCCATGACATCTTCCTCGGTAATCGACAGGCTTGAAGTTGTGGAAGTCGGTATCCTCAAACTCTCAGTTGTGGGTTTCTTCTGCCCACATCCTTTTGCAGTAGACTTCTGAGCATCTAAGTATATGCAATCTATCTTGGATCGAGTTCGGGCATTTGAGCGGTGAATTTGAACCTCGATAAAGACATCTTTTGGTCGATGCTCAAGCTTTGAGTCCGAGGGTTGAGCACCTATAGAACACATCAACACCAGTATACATTGAATGCAGATTCTGAGATTTACAATTCAACTGCCTTGTCGTGAATGCTGAGATCAATTTTCCTAGGATCCGATTGAGATACTAACAGCAACCTCTATGTTTGGGTGCAGCCGTGTGCTGCTACGAAAATCGAAGGCGTGACGTGTTCATCGATGGCGTCTGGTCATCGCCGACAAAGGTCCCCCACGCCTGCAGGCCAAGGTAAACGCATCGTCCTCATCGGAGCCCTCCGCTGCTGTGCGTAAGAGCACACCACGATCCTTTCGCCCCAGGCCGACCAATTCTGCGTCTACAACCCGAGCGAAGAGAGTGGCATGACCGCCTTCAATACATACAAGACCGGATCCAGATTGTTTTTTCAACTGGCGTATGTTCATCTATATCTACAGATACGGGATCTGCAAGGTGATGGTAACGGAGTGTAAGCGCTGGAAACAAGACACGTCTATTCCTGAGATCTGTCAGCATCCCGCCGCCTGGCTACGGACTACTCCTCGTCTTTAGTGTTCTTTATTTGAGAGTATGTACTTGTTGGCTTCATGGAACGAGAAGAACGTCGCCGGCTTTAGCAAGCTCGTCAAACACTGCCTGAACCAAGCCTTTCAAGCACATAGTTCCAGGAGCCACATCACGTTCTTGATTCAGATTCCTGTCTGACAGTCGATTCGCTTCGAGATCCATATTCCAGAATAGCACTATAGAAGCTAGCGAGCTTGAAGATACCTTTTGGAGACCGTGTTGATAGGTTCATAAGATTTCATCCGGGCCAAGTATTGTGGTGTCGCCGTGAACAGTGCAGGGAAAGGCATAGTGGGTTTTGTGTTCGTGACCGATGATCGTGAGAGCTGGTTCGAGGAGGTTCGTGAAAGATTGCTCTTCTACCGCCGTGCCGGTCCTCTGGACTTCACTCGATTCAGGCTCCGCATCAAGAGTGGAACAGGTCTGGTCTTGTGGCACTGGCGTTTTCGCCAGAGCGTCTTTGACCAGCTCCATCTTTTTCCGTAGACTCGCCACCATCCATATGGACATCTGCAGTTCTGCTTCTTTCTGGTACCCGTTTCTGGCTTGACTTCTATGCCCGAGAAAAGAACAGCTCTCGATGTAAAATTGTCAGTGGTATGGGACACAGGTATTGCGCCTGCTGCCTCCAGTCGTTCATAGAGTACACGGAAGCGTGGATTGAGGCATGAGTATGAGAAGCAAAAGTCGGTCTTGCGAAACAGATGATGTTTCTCGCTCGGTGTAGAGGAATGAGCTATGTATGAAAGGTATTGTAGATTTATTCCTTGAGATTGTCTGCAAAGTCAACAGGAAAGAGTTGTAAGCAGGGTAGCACTTACACGCTTTCAGGTCGCCACAGGCCTTTGCCATGCAGTATCACAGCAAGCTCGATCAGTGGCCAAATGACTCCGAAGCACCACGCGTTCTCGTTCTTTCCACATTGTGAGCAGAGACCGGCGCTTTGAAATATCCCCTTTACTCTTCGCAATACGTCAACCAGAGTCAAGTCATGTGGCGAGCGCGTATCGTCGTAGTCGAACGCCACTTCGTCGAAGGGTTCCATACTTAGGGACAGACGAAAATCAGGATCCTGTTCAATCGCATGTTTCAGACCACCTGGGATATAGCGGTCTTTGATCGCAGTCCCCAGCTGTCTTCTCAAATGTGCCAAACATGTCATGGTGTCCTGCAATAGCGGTTGCGGAGGCATCGTTATAGGCGCGAGCGAAATCGAGGGCTGAGCTGTCCGCAGCTCCGTAAGGTGGCGACTCGGGCTGGCGGTGCGCTTTACACTACTTGTTGCAGTGAACACAGTGCGCTCAGAGAGAACGATGCTACCAGTGCGCAAGGCACTTCGTCCAGACAAGCTGCTGCCCCCCTTGCGTCTCCGCTTGCTCGGACTAGGACTGCGCCTCGTTTGATCATCATCCATGGAGTCCACGTCGTTGTCGCGCGCTCGTTTCAATCCACCGGATCGCTTTTTGCAATCTTTGCTCCCAACCGGCAAAACTGCCGGACTGCACACTTCTCTAGTCATAGGAGCTTCTAGAGCCCAGTGATATAACCTTTCTCGACTTCGTTTTCTATTGGACCCTTCGATTCTCACGGAGCTTGCTCAGGTCGCAAATGGACAGGGGGGTGTTGACGAAGGGTCGATTGACGGCGTTGACGAAACGATCGACAGCAGGGCCAACATGGCAGCAATCATTGTCGGAGGCCGACAGACTGATGGAGAGTTGGCTGAAGAACGTTGCATGCCAATCACGGGTCTATAAACGTGCGAGCAAGAGATGATAAAGGTCCGGAGTGCGAACTTGTCCCGTTACAGCGTGTGTCCCGACACGTAGGGATGGACGTTACACCACCGCAATCAAGGATCTGTCAACCAGCGTCCTTCCATCGCTCAGCGCCCTTCTATCAACCGACGTTTCTCCGTCAACGGGTCGAATCCGACGAAAAATGCTGTGACATCGACAACCATGGTGACCGATGCATTCGTCGCAAATTCTGTGCGATTTGACCCAAGCCAGCTTACCGATATCCAAAGCCTCCTACACAAGATTAGCAACGATGAAGTCAATTTCTGGAATCCTAATCTACAAGGTCAGATCACAAGAGAAGAGGCGGACTTCCTCCGCCTGCCAATTGATGATGGCGTGTATCTCTATCTTGTTCTCCACGACACTCAAGTCCATCACAAGATACTTCGAAGATCTGCCCGTCTGGCGGTTTACGATTTGACAGTTCGAGGTTGTTCAGCAGAAACGTTGGCCCAAGCATTTCAAGGAACCACTCTGTTGAAGAAAAAGGGTACTGGCCTTCAGAAACAAATCGAAGGCTACATCCAAGCTGGCGTATCCTGAAAGCTTAGTCTACGCTCCAGAAGCTGTTGACTGAGTTTGATCAGCGATATGCATGTACAATCGATGAGAGCGCTTACCTCGGAGCGCACATACACTATTGAAGCACGTCTTGAATTTGGCGACAAGCGTGGAGTGTCGACACTAATAATCTGATCAGGACGGATGTGAGTGTAGTATTGCCAAACAGTAAGCGAGCGACAAAGCGGAGTAGGTAGGAGGAAGAAAACGCTAACGAACGAAACAGCTCCTCCCTCGGAATTGAGCTGCGACGAAGCACGCTTACCGACTCTCATGCCTACTGAACGGCGGGTAAGTAGTACGTTATGCGAATGCCACTGCAAGCTAAGGTAGGTAGACGAAACGCAAATGAGAGCGAAAAAAAAAACAATTGTGAAATTTTGAGAACGCTTCTGCGCAGCCGCCATGCCTGCTCAACGCCGCGCTACTCTGGTTTGACAACAGAGTCTCGAAAATATCGTCGCCTCCGTTCGTTCTTCAAGACCCTTTCCCCTTCTTTTCCAGCAGCTTGCCCAACTTATCCAGTCCTCCCAATCCCTGGAAGCTTCCATCCGTGAGATAGTCCGGAAGAATGCTATCAAGCTTGCTACTCGCCTGGACCGTGCCGGCCGCGCCGCCTCTCCAAATCTGTGGCGGCGGACTATCAGGGTTTTTCATCAGGTCTTTCACTACGTTCTTCGCCCACGCCTTCCTATCCTCGGCATACGCTTCTGTCGTCTCTCCAGTGATGACTTTGAGGACTTCGTCTTTGATGGGCTGGTATGGTGAGTCTTCTGGTAGCTCGTAAGGGTTGCTCTTGTTCTCGCCGAAGTTCGACTCAAGGGAGCCAGTCTTCAGGTCCACGACTTTGATGCCCAGAGGTTCTAACTCGATGCGCTGGATGTCGTTGAACATTGCCATTGCGGCTTTCGATGCCGAGTAGGCTGAGTGGTATGGTGTGCGTAAGACGGAGGAGATTGATGTGTTGTTCACGACTATGCTCTTCCGTCCCTTCTTGCCGGGCTCGGCGTTGGCGAGCAGTAGCGGCAGGAAGGCTTGTGTTGTTGCAACAAACCCCCATACGTTCACATCAAAGAGCTGCTTTGCCTTGTCGATGTCCAGATGCAGGAAGGGTTGGTAATGGCCGCCCCCAACGGAGTTGATGAGGATGTCCAATTTGCCCTTAGTCAATTGCGTGATCTCTTCAACGAGCGACTTGATCGACTCTGACGACGTGGCATCCAGCGCTAGCGTTTGAATGCCGGCGGAGGAAAGTGCGGTCATCTTGGAAGTATCGCGCGCCGCTGCGAAGACCTGCAGATCGCCATGATTGTGCAGAGCGAGTGCGAGTGCAGATCCGAGCGAATCGTCGGAACAGCCTGTGACCAGGACGGTGCGTTTTGCTGAAGACATCTTCTTGATCTAAGATGCGAATTGTGCCACAGTTCGAAGAGAATTGCGATAGTGGGGTGGGCGGAGATGTCGATGAAGGAGGTCGTAAAGTCATGACGTTATTTTCGGTCCTTACCAAGAGCGTCTTTCGGTTACGTACAAGCAATGGCAGCGAAAAACTTGCCATTCCTCAATCCTGAGCTCGTATGATCATAATCCTCTGAACACAATTTCAATCGCTCAATAGTACGGCAGGGTTTATGTCGTATGTTCACGTTGTCTTGGAGGAGTTTTGACTCGTTGAACTCATTATGTGTCCCTGCCTGTTAGCGAGTGCGTAACACCATTGAGTGATGGCTTCGGAGCGTTGGAAGTTTCGCGTATCAGCTTTTACTGAGCTGCAGTTGTGTGATGATGGTGGTGGAATTGAAGGACACGAGATTGCAGCTGCCTCGCTGGCTCGTCGCTTGGCAGGAGGCGCCGACGTTCCAGCCGTCCCCTCCAGGCTCCTGCACTTTCAACCACCTCCCATTCGTTTTCCAGCAAACCCTTACCGCAGTACGATGGACTGATCCATTGAATCAGATGCATTTGGCTGCACATCGATTGCTTGGTTGGTTTAACGTCCTATGTGAGCCTCAGACTATGGAAGACGAGAGGAGCAGTAGCTCCTCTGGTAGTGCAAAGATTCAGTTACAGGAGGTTAAGTTCAGTGAGAGTACAAGAAATGGTGAGGGCTCAGGCCCAAAGCAGAGTTGTTGGAAATGAAGGAATGTGAAACGAAACAAACAACCAAAGGAAAGAGTCTGCAGTGGCAAGTTTATGCCAGGTCTTCTGTGTGCTGTGCAAGACGCCCCCTCCTTGTGCCAACCTTGGTCCTGCTGATGAAAGCCAGAGTGGCCTTGATACCTTCTTTTGTGTGGAAGAGAAGAGGCACCTTCCCCAGGCTGTCCTGGAGGATTTTCCGGTCATGCTTGAGCCACTCGCAGCTCAGGATGAGGTGTGCTAGGGTCTGCTTGGCTCCACAGCTACAAAATGGGCGGTATGCTTTGCCAATGTGGGACAGGTATGCCTTGTTGTATCCATGGCCCAGTTTGAGCTAGTAGAAGGCACTGGCAGTCTCTCTCCTGGCCCCTGGAGGCACACTGAGTCTCTTGCCAATCTTCCAGCTGTACTTGGCAGCATAGGTGGTAGGGTTGCGGGAGACTGCATCAAAGGTCTAGCTTCTCAGGGCATTCTGCCACTACAAGGTTGCCATGCTCTTGATCCTGATGCTAGTCATGGCCAGGCTGGTGGTGTGTGTGGATGGCCTCTTCTTGGCAGCCTGCTTGGCCAGCATGTCTGCTCTCTCGTTTCCTGCTATATCTTGGTGTCCAGGTACCCAGTGGATGGAGATAGATGGACTAGCTACACATCTTCCGCGTACTTGACAATGAGATCGCACCGCACTAATAGGAAGAGATAACTGTTTTGTGATAGTGAGGTGCGGCTGAGCAATCACCTTCTGCCTACCAATATTGCCGAAAAGCGCTATGAGGCTGGAAACTTGCGGCGGATTATGAGTGCAATGCTCGAACGCACGCGTCGAAATGAAAGATAATCAAAGCGTTATCTAAGGATCAATCTTACGCCACTGCAGGGCAAACCGGCATATCGTTTGTCCCTTGCTCGCATATCGCAGAGCACCAAGTACAAGATTGTTCGAAGAATGCTTCAAGACATCTCCATCGCCACCTACCTTGCCATAACAGCAACTATTCGTGGCCAAGAGGGGTCAGGATATCCTGTTGGTGGTCACAGTACCTCGCACAGCCTTACGATATGTTACAGACAGGCTGCATGTGTGTTTTGATACCCCAATGTGCTCACGACTACAGCCTAGAATTCTGAGGGCATGCTATCGCTGGTACTGCGCTCGTGAGTAATCTGAGTCATCCCGGCCCACTGAGTTTGAGATGGGCACACACACTCGAAACTAGCCCGATTGACTACAAGGATTGGTTGCGTGAATTTGCAGATCCTCCCGAAGATCGGCTCGAATGGGAGAGGAGCACCACGAACCTTTTCGACGGCGGTCCGAGATTTTTGGAAACTCGATTACAGTGATTCGGGTCAGCAAGTTGGAGTATAGACTGTGGAAAGATCTCGGGACATGTGCACGCTTGTGTAGCATCTGTTATGATATGCGGTGGGTTCCATACCCGGTGGCGGATCCAATTGTCTGAGCATTGACTGCAGTGTCAACATAATCGCGAACTTGCAGGCATCTCACTGTGTGCGATATGGCTAGCATGTCCCTAGAAGCCGCTTGCTAATCGGATCAATGCTCTATACAGAGTGCACCTACGCGCCTCCGTAATGCCACGCAACCAGCGTTGCAGTCTCACGTACAAACGTTCTGACATGTATGATAGAGCTCTGTACCAGGACACATGGACTCAAGCTGCCATCTGAAATGCGATCTGTGGCGAATAGTATGAGGCGTCGTCAAGAGGCACCAATCAGCTCGTGTTGCACCGCACTCATGAGCCTGAGTGCCTTTGATGACGAATCGTGAGAGTGAGTGCAACGTGGGAATGACTTGACAGAAGTATGCACAAGTTTTTGGCTCCGCAAGTGACCTCAGGAGTTAGGAAATCAACGTCGATTCGAATCGTTCGACGCAACGTCATGGTGCATGATCCAAGCTGAGGAATCATCGTGAAACGCGAGGTCAGCAGGCATTTTTCGTTTCTATGTGTTTATAGTGGTTGTTGAAATATACTGACCCCCCTGAACTTGGTTCACTACTACGACAGACTTACGTCACGTAAGGATGAAGGTTTCTAAGTGGCTGTTTCTATCTTGGTTGACAGACTTGACAGACTGGTACATGTCCTGCAGGGCAACAACGTGGTGAACGGCCACTCACAAGGCTGTCCGCCCTCATGAACCACGGTACTTACCTACTGTACGCATCACTGTACCAAGGTCAGGCGGGTCTGCACATTTTTGCAGCACCGATACAGTACTTAGGAATGACTTGTCTGTGATACTCTACGGAGCGATGATCATGTCAGCAAAGACCAAACAAGAACACGATGGTCATCTGTTTCTGCGACAGATCAAATATCACGGCAGATAGTTTGTTTGTCCTCCCTCGGTTGAAAACCTTCCATCGAGAACAAGCAGGCGAGGCATGGCACTAGAGGGAGTCATCATTTTTAAGGAGGCCCAATCGGCCAGTGCGGTACCTGAGGGAGGCCAGCAGTCTTCTCCGTGAAGGCCGTTTTGATCTAGACTATGTAAATCTCCTCTAGAGGAAACCTCGCATCGCCCCAAAGCTCCCCCTTCATAGCATTGTGGACAAAGCTTTCCCCAAGCAGCCTATAACGTCCGTCATCCCCCGCTCTCCTCAGTACAAAAGGCACAAACCCCCCTTCCAGAATAACAATCTCATCACCCACTTTCGCAGCAAGCGGAAACAGGCCAATGTAGCCGTTCGCTGTAACTCCCAAATTATACCGACCAGCCAGGAGCAGAAAACTTTGCATAAAGTCGGCACACTCGGGAGGCCCATTGTGGTGTCTGGGGCCGTTTGGATTAACGGCCATGACGAACCCGGCGAAGTATTGCCATCCGTAGTCGACCTTGACTAGGCAGGAACCGAGGAGAGCTCTGGCTCGCCAGGCGAGTACGCAGCACCCGACCAAGACGACTGGTATCGAGTAGTTGCGGAGCAGGATTGTGGCCACGGTGGTTGTTAGCGGCGAGTCGTCCCAGCCCATGAAGAAGATAATGGTGTATAGTGGGACAAAGTAGACCATGCGGACCAACCTCGCAAGAATAACGATACATGGCAGCGATATGACGAAGAGGAGGGCCAGAATGATCAATGCAAGTCCGAACGCCTCGATCAACCGTTGCTTGTATGCCTGGTACTGCACGGCGAATTCCGGTGGAGCTTGTTCCCCCTTGCTGGTACGGTTTGCGATGAGCGTCCTCCAAAGGGCATCCTCAATGACCTCTGTGTTTGCTCCTGGCCCGGCAAGTGCTTGCAAGGTGGCTATGTACCAGTGTGGTGGGGCGAACATTTGCCCTTGCGTGATGTGCAAAACGGTGTCGATACGAGCACCACGGACGACGAGCGTGCGGTCTTCGTCGAGGAACCGGGCCTCCATGGTAGAGTTCCCTGCGGCGCAGTATAGGAGTTCTTCGCGAATGTCCTTGTTGCCCGGTACAGTGAGACCGTGCATCATCAAGTTCATGGAAGGGAACGCATTGTTTGGACGGATTGGGGTTGTCCAGTCAGGAACCCAGGAGAGGGCGTCAGATGTGGTCCGACATGCCTGCCTGGTTGTCCCAGCGACACCCAGCACGGCAGCACCTTGGCCTTGTTTTATCAGCCCAGCTGCAAAGCGTTGGCAAACATTGGCTGGAGGCTGCTCGGCCGAGTACTCGATTCTGAAATTCGGATCATCCGTATCGATGTCGCTGGCAAGACCCAGTAGCGCGTATAGACGATCCACTGGATTCGTAGCGAGGAAAGTCCTCGTCCTGTTGAGCACTTCGAGCATGCCCGGGCGCTTGAGGTTGAATTTAGCTCTCCCTGCTGCGTGATCTTGCAGTAACCTCGGTCTCATCAAGCGTTCATAAGCTTGAAGAGCGGGCAGATCTCGTCGCAAAGGCAGTCTCTCGTGAGGCCGTAAGCCTCTTTCGCCAAGCTGAGCAGCAGGGACCTGTTTGTCTTTATCAGTGCACCACGACACAACCATGTATGAAGGGCTCATATAACCCCAAGCGCGAAGCCGAATGTCTGCCATGGTGAAGAATGAGTTCGCGCCCTCCAAAGCGTCCACAGCAATGTGGTATGTGAACATTGTCAGACCCGTTTCCATCAATCGGTTATTGTTTTGGCACACGCGGGCTGCTAGCCAAAGCTTCCTCCAGTCGATCTCGAGGTCGCCACAATGAATGACAAGATCGGTGGCGTTTACCAATTCTTGCACAACCCAAACACGACGAAACCTGTACAAAAAAGCTTAGGCGTGAACTAGACTACTTAGCAGAGAGGACTGTGACACTTACCATGGGCGCAACCAGAACGACCGCAGGGCGTTCCATGTCTTATCTTCTTTCCCGGGAGGAGCATATCCATTCTCCAGAGCAAGCGCGTACGCCTGTGAATTGGAGATGTTCAAGCTTTCATCCAGGTACTCCATGTATTCTGCCATGTGCTCCAGAAACTTGATTGCGAGGGGGCTATCATCTACTTCGGGGCCTAGATGAATTTGCACACGCTTGGCGATACGATAAATATCTGGCATCAGTCGAATTTGCTGGGCTTTCTCCTCAGAGTCTCGGTCCGCCTGGTTTATGCAGACGGCGTCGATCCAGACGAGAACACTCGTGTCGGGACGCACAATCTTCTGCAGGACATAATGTAGGTGCGCCGTGACTCCGATGGTTCGGTCACCGTCGATCACAAGACTGTATGGTGTCGTGGTATCTTTCCCCCACGTGTACGAAATCGCATCGTAGCCGTGTGGGTGTTCGAGATGTTCTTCCTTGTCCGCAGTTTTTGGATGATAGATCGGATTCGTCAGAGGAACATGGAGGATCGACCCGGTCAGTGGCTGTTTGCCGATATTGGGGTGTAATTCAAGGACTCTAATCTCGCCCTGGCCGAGTGGCTTGTAAACGTAAGGCTCCATTGGCGATAGAAAAACTGTATTGAATCACTACTCCTTTGTGAACAATCGACCTCTAGGTACTCAGTTGTGTCTGACAGCACAGGCAGATTCCTGCTTTTTCAAGCATGTGCTGGCAGCATAGTGAGGCTGAAACATCACGCGAGCTCAGCCGCCACCATTACAACAGGCAGCGATGGAGACCGGCTGGAGTGTGGGTATACAGGAGTGAGCCGCGAGGAGGTTGGCGCCATTTACCAGTTATCAGTGCGCGTCCAGAGCCACGCCAAAAAAAAAAAAATACTCGGGCGAGTGCTGATGGCGTTGTGGACGAAGAAGGAAGAGCCCGGTGTGGTTGCCGCTTGCCGTCGAAGCGCCGAGCCTCCACAGCGCGTGCCCTATGCAGCATGGTCGTCACATCATACGACAACACTGTGACTAATTCTCATTGCTGCTCGAGGGAAGGGGAACCCCCGTGTTGTGGGTTTGCCGCGATAATTCACAGGTAGATTCGAGCTCTTCGACTACTACATGAGATGTACACACAAATAAGACGAGAGGGTACATATCCCCTAACGCCAGCCGAAGATGCAACCTAGCGACAGCTTTTCTACAACACGAACCTGTCGGTCCATCTTCCCTTGCCAGAAGCTTTTTTCTCACTGCCAGCATACTTGCCCTCTTCTTCCTCCCACTTCTTTCTCTCCACTCTTCTGCGCGCCGAGTACGCTCGGGCGAACTTCCACGCCTCCGTATCCGCAAGGTTCCACTGTTCGACTGCATCAACGATACCTTGCGTAAACCGATCCTTGCTCTTGATTGCGTCCCGCGCCTTGTTCAGCCTGCCCTTCTCCTTCTCCGTCCAGATGCTATCCGGCACCTCGATGCCCTTGACCGGCTCCGGGAACGCTGGGCGCGGGAAGACGATCAACTCGCTTTTCTCGCTGGGGCTCGTAGGCTCTCTAGTCTTGGAAGCAGCAGTAGGAAGCTCGAAGCCGAAGATCCAGTCCAGGTCATCTTTGCTTGTTCGCTCAGCTGTGAGCCAGAGTGAGTGTGCTGGGTTGGCAGCGACGAGTTCTTTGAATTGGAGGAGGCGGTAGGATTCCGAGTGTCCGGTGCCGATGGACTTCTGTGTGAGGGTGTTGAGCCAGAGATCGCGTTTCGCGTTGTTGCGGAGGAAGGAGACGTCGAGGTTGTTGCGCGTGTAGTGCAGGGAGTTGATGGTGTACGGGTGCGGCACAGTGCCGACGGTGAAGAATTTCGTCGTGTTCACAAACTCGGGGAAGAGCTGCAGTTTTGGCGAATTCTTTGTGCTGCAGGGCACGCACTTTGGCCGGTTCGGCGGACAGGACTTTGGCATGGGCGAGGCGGGGCATTGTGTCAAGTTTCTGGCGATGTCGATGGACGGTTCGATCAGGGACGTAGTGTGCTCAGGGAGGGGCTGCGCGATTGCCAGACCCTCAGGGTGCAGTTCCTGAAAAGTGAGGTGGAGGTGCGAGTTGACCAGACTGCTCAGCAGGTCCAGGCCTTCGGCTTGCGTGGTGTTGGTGAGGGTGTCGGCGACTGTCTTGTAGGAGCTGGTGATTACGGCGGTGCTGTAGTAAGCGATGCCGTTCGCGTTTGTGTCCTTGGCGATGTCGGCTGGGGCCAGCAGGTTGACCACCGCGCCGCCGTCTTTGGCTGCTGTTGCTGCGATCTTGTCCTTGTTCGCTGTCATGTTCTTGAGCAATGGGCAGTTGACCAGCTTCTTGAGGGCACCTTCCACCGCGGCCTGGTCGCCGAAGAAGATACCGCTGTCCAGCCCCTCGACCCGAGAGAGCTGGGGGTACTCCTGTCGGCGTAGGAAGGCCAGCATCGGGTTCTCGTACTCGGCCATGGGTAGTGCCAGCGAGTTGGCCAGGATGCCTCCCCTCATGTTGGCCCATGCAAGCCAGCGCATCATGTCCACCTCCACCTTGGAGTCGAGCTCCATGCGCTGGAACAGCTGATAGTGCGGGTGGTGCTCGGCTTCTTTCCGCGACAGCACCACTGGCCTAAAGCCCTGTGCCCACCATGCCCTGCGCCAGGCGAGCACCAGGCGGTTCTCTGCCTCTGCCACCTCCTTTGCCTGCTTCTTGCGCGCATTGTAGTAGGTGTAGATGGGCGGCCGTTCGCGCAGCGGGGGGAGAAGGGCCGTGTTCTCGTCGAGCGTGATGCTGGAGGAGAAGGGATTGCGCCATTTGAAGTCGGTGAGCCACGCGAGCTTGCCGTACGCGCTGGCGACGGTGCTGTTGGGCTGGGCCGCGGGGTTGGGCGGCTTGTGCGCCGCGGGGCCAAATGGATTGGGCACAGCGGGCAGGCTGCCTACGTCCGGGAGGTGCGGGTTTTTGACAGCCTCGGCGACGGACTCGTAGGTGGGGAGGTCGGCGGTCGACGGAGGTCCGTTGAGGGCGAGGGTGAGTATGGCGACCAGCGCGACGAGCAAAAGCGCCTGGAACCTCGGCGGGGGCATCTGCAGCCTGACAGGCCGCCCGAAGATTGTGCGCTGCACTGGCATGCCGACTGGAGGCGAGAACGAGGGACACAGCGCCTATGGCGACATGGGCGTGGATGTCGCGCCCGGGCGGTGTTGGCAGAGCGGATATCCGTGTGGCTGCGCGAGGCCGCTGGAAAGGTGGCAGGACCTACGGGAAGAAAGCGTGACCACGAGCAAGAGCAGATGGGGGGGAAGGGGGGGGGGAGGCAGCAAAGCGATGCAAACCAGCGACCGGACGCTGCAGAATCCCACAGGACGCAAACGACGTTTCTCACGCCTCGCGCCCCGAGTGACGCGTCGCACATGGCCCGTGTTCCACCGCCGAGGGCGCGCCGCTAGCACAGGGCTGAGCTGCGAGCTCCCCAGAAATTTAGTGCGGGACCGAAAGCCGATACCGCATGAGTCGACGTATCTCCCCTCTGTGTCCCTCCCCAATCCACCCCGTCCAGACTCTTCCTTCGGGCACCGCCATAGAGGGATGCGCTCGGACTCCCTGTAAACCGCTCCATCACTCCTTGCATAGACACACCGCCAGGCTGGATTGATTCCATTGGCACCCATTCGCACCCATTCGCACCCATTGGCACCCACACACGACCCCGCCAGATAAATTCGTCGACCGCCGGATCGCAATTGCACGCGACAATGGGCCCAGCAACCCAGGCAAACATCCCAGACCCTACGGCGGACCTTCGCTGGTCCGACTTCAAGGGTCCAATCCACGACATCTTTGCTGCCAACGCGCGCAAGCACCCCGAGCGACGATGCGTCGTCGAGACTGCAACAGCCAGGACGCCAGAGCGCGCATTCACATACAAGCACATCTTCGACGCCGTCTCCGTGCTCTCGCATCACTTCGTGCAGAGCGGGATCCAAAGAGGAGACGTTGTCATGATCTTCGCCCACCGCGGCGTTGACCTGGTCGTTGCCATCATCGCCGTTCTCGCGGCAGGCGCGACCTTCTCAGTGCTGGACCCACTGTGCGTCGGACGCGGCAACCAGCTCTAGCCAAGGCTAACAAGTCGACAGATACCCCCCGGACCGGCAATGCATCTACCTCGAGGTCTCCCAGCCCCGCGCGCTCGTAGTCATCAACAAGGCCACACAAGAAGCCGGCCCAATCTCCGACCAGGTCCGCCAGTATATCGCAGACAATCTGCAGCTCAGGACCGAGGTGCCAGCCCTCGAGCTCACCGATGACGGGTCCCTGGTTGGCGGCGCCAGAGACGGCAAGGACGTCTTGGCGGAGCAGCAGCAGCGCAAGGCAGAGCTGCCCGCCGTGCTCGTCGGCCCAGACTCGACACCCACACTATCCTTCACGTCTGGATCTGAGGGCAAGCCCAAGGGTGTCAGGGGCCGACACTTCTCCCTGACGCACTACTTCCCGTGGATGGCAGAGACATTCGGACTCTCTGAAAACGACAAGTTCACTATGCTGTCCGGCATCGCCCACGACCCGATCCAGCGAGACATCTTCACACCCCTGTTTCTTGGCGCTCAACTGCTTGTACCGAGCAAGGAGGACATCCAGCACGAGAAGCTTGCCGAGTGGATGCGCAAGTACGGCGCGACCGTTACCCACCTGACACCGGCCATGGGTCAGATTCTGGTGGGAGGTGCTTCGGCTGTCTTCCCAGCTCTTCACCACTCGTTCTTCGTTGGTGATCTGCTCATCAAGCGCGATGTTAGGAGACTGCAGGCGCTTGCACCCAACGTTCGCGTCGTCAACATGTACGGCACCACCGAGACACAGCGTGCGGTCAGCTACTACGAAGTACCGAGCGCGACCGAGGCCCCCGAGTTCCTGGACAGCATCGGTGAGGTCGTTCCGGCTGGTCGTGGCATGGACAACGTGCAGCTGCTCGTTGTGAATCGCGACGACCGCAACAAGATGTGCGGTGTTGGCGAGAGTGGAGAAATCTACGTGCGCGCTGGCGGCCTTGCTGAGGAGTACTTGGGCCTGCCAGATATGACAGCGTCCAAGTTTGTCGAGAACTGGTTCGTGGATCCCAAGAAGTGGGTGCAAGAGGACGAGCAGCGAGTTCAGAGTCAAAGCGCAGCTGAGCCATGGCGGGAGTTCTACAAGGGCCCTCGCGACAGGCTCTACCGCTCTGGAGACCTCGGTCACTACGGTCCGGACGGCAACGTTCACTGCACCGGACGTGTCGACTCCCAGGTCAAGATTCGAGGTTTTCGCATCGAGCTCGGAGAGATCGACTCTCATCTGTCTGCCCACCCGCTGGTTCGCGAAAACGTCACGTTGCTCAAGCGCGATGCTTATGAAGACCAAACTCTTGTCAGCTACATCGTTCCCGAGATGAAGCGATGGCAGGATTGGCTCCAGGAGCGGGGCGCTAACGAGACCTCTACAGAGGAAACAGACATGGTTTCCATGCTCAAGCGCTTCAAGTACCTGAGAGACGACGTGCGTGAACACCTCAAGAAGAAGCTCCCGTCCTACGCCGTTCCATCCGTCATCGTGCCCATGCTGCGATTCCCTCTCAACCCCAACGGCAAGATCGATCGCCCGGCTTTGCCCTTCCCTGAGCCCAAGCAGATCGCCGCGGCAGGTGCCAGGCGACCATCGCAGCTGGGTCAAGCATTGACCCCCACCGAGCAGAAGATGGCTGAGATCTGGGCTGAGCTTCTCAGCGACCGTGGCGTGACGGCCGAGAGCATCAGCGGCACCGACTCTTTCTTTGATCTTGGCGGACACAGCATCATCGCGCAACAGCTTCTCTTCAAGATCCGCCAGGAATGGAAGGACATCGATGTGCCTATGACTACCATCTTTCAATACCCCACACTGCGCGCCTTCTCAGCCAACATCGACCAGGCCGTTGACCCTATCGGTCTGCGTCTCGACACCGCAGAGGCCATCGAGGACGACCCAGAAGACGAGGCCTACTCCGCCGACGCCAGAGATCTTGCTGCCCAGCTGAGCGACTTCAAGACTAGGGAGCCTCTGCAGCCTGGCGAGGAGATTCACACTTTCCTCACCGGCGCTACTGGGTTCTTGGGAGCATACATCCTGCGCGACCTGTTGTCCAGACCTGGCAAGGTTACCGTTCTGGTCCGCGCAAAGGACCTCGACGGTGCGCTTGACCGCGTGCGTAAGACATGCGAAGCGTACGGTATCTGGGAGGACAGCTGGGAAAGCCGTCTCGAACCGCTCGTCGGTGATCTCCAGAAGCCAAACTTTGGTCTCGAGCCCAACACATGGAACCTTCTCTGCGACTCAGTCGACGTCGTTGTGCACAACGGTGCTCTCGTGCACTGGGTGCTACCCTACTCCCGCCTGCGCGGCCCCAACGTAGAATCTACCATGACCGCTCTCTCCCTCTGCTCTACCGGCAAAGCCAAGAACTTCGGTCTCGTATCCTCCACCTCCGTCCTCGACACCGACTACTTCGTCCAGCTATCCGAGAAATCCGTAGCCGAAGGCGGAACCGGCGTCCTCGAAGAAGACGACCTGGAAGGCGCCCGCAAGGGCCTCGGCACAGGCTACGGCCAGTCCAAGTGGGCCGCCGAATACATCACGCGCGCAGCTGGCAAGCGCGGTCTCAACGGCTGCGTGATCCGCCCTGGATACGTCCTCGGAGACCCAGAGAACGGCACAACCAACACCGACGACTTCCTCATCCGCATCCTCAAGAGCTGCGTCCAGCTCAAGTCCCGCCCAGACATCAAGAACACGATCAACATGGTCCCCGTCAACCATGTCGCGCGTGTTGTCGTATCCTCAACCTTCAACCCACCTGTAGCACCGCTCGGTGTATCGCAGATCACTTCGCACCCGCGCATCACGTTCCAGCAATTCCTCGGCTCCTTGGAATCCTTCGGCTACAACGTCCCTGAAGTCCCATACTCCCAGTGGAAGGCGAACATGGAAGCCTACGTCGCGGACCGCTCCGGCACAAAGGAGGAAAACGCACTCCTCCCGCTGTACCACTTCGTCACCGGCGACTTGCCCGCCGACACAAAGGCGCCTGAGATGGACGACAGGAATGCGGCCAAGGCGCTCAAGGAGGATGAGAAGTGGACGGGCCAGGATTGGAGTGCGGGTGGTGCGGTTACGGAGGATACGGTGGGTGTGTATATTAGCTATCTCATTGAGCTGGGTTTTATGCCTAAGCCCGAGAAGAAGGGGTTGAAGGATTTGTTGGCGAGTAAGCTGACAGATGCGATGAAGGAGACGTTGAAGACTGTCGGTGGACGGAGAGGTGTGTAGAACAATCCCTTGAGGAGCTTTCAAGAATGAGAGAGCAGTGAATTCAATCGTCCACAAAAAGCCGATCTTGTTATTCCGAATAGCGAGTAGAACGTAGTCTCCAAGCTCCACGACTGCATCAGATAGTCGCGCAAACGTTTCCAAGTTGGTACTCAGCCCCCAATGGAACCTAGCGTCGTCGTGCTCAACACTCGGCAAGCCGGCTTAAAAACACTAAAGGGTGAGTACTCCAGGGTGCGCAGAACGTCGGTCAACCTACTTGGTCGTAGTTGCTCGAGATCTGCATGTCTATGCACGTACACATCAATGTCATCGCCATCGCAAATGCGGGCGACACCAGGACGAGTACCATAATACCTGGAAGCCGAACAAACATGGGCAAAAGCTAATGGAGGTGGGTCCGCTACATCCTCGCTGCTCGCAGTCTTGTCCACACAGCTCAACCAGGGCACAAGTCCATACTCGACCAAGCCCCACCTCCTGCTCCAATTCGTACTGGCCTAAGTCGTGGGGACTCTTCAGCGATTGTATCAGAGCGTAGGGGCATGGCACGAAAATAGACCATGTATACCGACAAGCGGTGTAATGAGGTTCTTTGTCCGATACGTGACGATGACTGAATGGCTGGATCCTGAAATGACTCTGATGTACGACGAGTCGCTTGCAGAGCCCCACACGTAGGAGAGCGCTTCATACTTGGGATGACGGACCTTAGCATCACGGTTCTTGGAATCATTGACTTTGGACTCATTGTCCTCGGAATCATCGGCCTAACTAGTGATCAGTGACGAAATTCTTCCAAAATGATAGGTGCACTGACTAACACTCGTCTGACGATAAATTCGATCTGTGTTCCAGCGTGGAAGAAGGGCCCGGGCTGTAGAACAGCTACGCGAATCTCGTCATCTTCACCTGGATCTGACAGTGCGTTGTACTTATAAGCCGTGATCGTGAGAGGACGGAGCTGACAACAAACGGTACAGTGTTTCTTGAGCAGTGCGGGAAACGGGTTAGATGGTGTAGGTAGCTGCAGCTCTGGGTTGCCGGTTGGTGAAGCGACAGTGGCTGGCGCTCATACCAGGCAGCAAGTGGCTCGTCCAGATGCGATGATTGTCCTCTCCAGTCAAAGGAATGCCCCCTAGGCGACAATCATCGCTAGAACCTTGCAACACTCTTTGAAGAAGTAGCAGAAACACACTCTGTGTCGAAGGAACAGAGAGAGAAAGGGAGCAGGCTGGGATTATAAGAGGATGGGTAAGGCTGCAGCTGAGGACGGGCTGGAAGTTTCAGTATTGCACGATCAAGGGTGACCAAACACGAGCGAATAATGCGACATTCGACAGCACTTGACCGTCTCGTAGGACCTACAGCCGGTCGAACTTCAAGAGTGACGGGTGCATCCGTGGAAGAAGGACGGTGGTGTCACAATGCCCTCGCCCCTTAGCGTGCGCTACGACTAAACCGAGAGCGGGCCTCCGTTCCATGTGAACGACAGTTGACGGCGAGCATAGTAAGCTAGGCAGCACAGCCATAACGCCGGTTCTCACTTGCTCACGCTGAGTCCGCACCTGAGCAGGAGCAAACAACAACTACCAATACGTACTTGTGTACTACGCCAGGCATGAGGGGTCATTCTGGGCCAGCGAGGCTGCACATCGTAGGGAGCCAAGTGACCTGTCGCAGAATTTCAGATGCGGTACCTCAAATTTCTTCATCTCATACACTTTTCCTATCATGAATGATATGGAAGAAAGATCAATTCACTTGACGATATATAGATCCTCATTCAGTTCAACCGATATTCTTGATGTGATCCGTAACCAGGCAAGTCCAGTCCGAGCTGTTGTAATAGATAGTATGCCCATCGTTATGCGTCAACGCTCCCGTACTGGTAACTGTATCACCCAGCTGCCAAAATAGATCCGCCGCCATCCCCGCATCCTTTAATCCCAAGCTTGTCGCCTGCCACTTGCTCTCAACCGGGCAGTGGTCCGCGGCAACATCCACACCGTACTCCTCCAGCAAGCAAGGTTTGTTAGCCTTCTTGCACGCAGCTGCGTGCGTAGTGATCCACGCATTTCCCCAGTCGTTCGTTGTGCTCCAGGACTTTGGGTACAGGTGGATGGTGCCGAAAGAGACATTGGGTAGGGCGAGGTTGGCGGCGAAGTCGAGACCCTCGCTAAATTGGTAGGGGTAGGAACCATCACCGGTGAGGCCAAAGCCTTCGTCGCCGATGGCGATCATGTGGTCGGAGTCGAGAGACCGGACGTAGTTCGATGAGGCGCGGATCCAGTTGGTAAGGACTGAGGTGGCGCAGCCGTTGCAGCGCGGCTCATTGGCGAGCTCCCATGCGAAGACGGCGGTCGAGGTGCGGTAGCGCGAGACGACGGCCTTGATGTAGGCTTGGTACATGGTCTGGCATTTGGTGGACTGGTACCACTGAGCATTGCTGCTGACGCCGCAGGCAGAGAAGTAGGCAGCCATACCGCCGTAGTCGGTCCAGTTATTTACGAAGTTAACGATGAGCTTGATGCCGTTCTTCTCAGCCGACTTAACAACGGCGTCAAGGCGCTGCAGGCCGTTGGCGCCGGTGTTGATGGTCGCTGTGGAGCCAGAGAAGGACTGGAAGTAGACTGTGCCGGAGCTGGGGATAGATGTCACGTCGTTGAAGCCCCATACTCGCAGAATCTTCTGCCCGGAGGTAGCTAGGTGACCCATGATGACGTTGACATCGTTGTCGTCGGTGAGAAAAGGGATCCAGTAGCTGTTGGTGCCGGCGTAGTCTGAAGAGAGTCAGTGAGGAATCTGGGAACTCCGACCGTCCACTTACACTTTGTGACACCGTCGATGTTGAACTTAAGACCATCAACTTTCGAGTACGATGCTCGAGCAGCAACATCGTTCTTCGCAGCTGGGAGCGCAGCCACCGCAGCGACGAAGGTGAGGATCCTTGCAAGCTTCATGATTGCTGTGATTCCAGATGTTGCAGTGATGCTTGACGAACAATGGGGAACAACAGACTTTATGAACTATTGAGGGCAAATGTGCTCAGGATGAGATCTGAGCTTGATGGAGACGCCCTCTCCGTTTCGAAACAAATTTGTTCATCGTTGGGAGATGAAAGGATTCTAGCGGTGGAGTTACTATAGTCCATATACCCTGGTGCTGTCGATCGCAGATCTCAAGACGCTACAATGGGTGGTTTTGAGCGACATTTGAGTGAGCTCTTCATTTTGCTTGGATCAATTTCCTAAGTGAAAAAAAATATTCAAACGGAGTAGAGGAGTCCGGGCTCGAAGGGATCAAGCGGCCGTTGCAAGGCGAAAAGCAGTGAAGTCATGGGGTTCCGTGTAGATTAAGCAAGCGTGTCAAACGTCCGGGATCTTTGATTAGCGAGGCGTCAAATCTGGGGTGCAGTCGATCACAAATGACCTGACAGGTGAGTTCGAAACAAGACAATGCGGACGTTCGTGCACATGTCTGTTTCTCTGTTGATGGGTCTGGTGTGGCCAACGTTCCAGTTTGTCCTGAGGCCGGTGCAGCACGAACAATCATGCTCGGGCACGACGAGAAGCGCAGGGCTGTTCTACAGAGCGTCATAGCCCATCAGAAACACTATCCAAACGCATCTACAGCGAGAGCACATTCGGCTTCGATGAGGAGATGGAAAGGGATGGTTGAGGTCAGCGGAAGAGGACACAGTAAACGCTAGCGCTGCGCTAGCGCTGAGTTTCAAAGGACACACTACACTTTCCCGCCAGAACTTTGCTCTGTACACAAGTGTGAAATACTCTACAATCCGATGAACCTAGAACATATCATGTAGATATGGGACTCCTGTATGCATTGTAGCCCTGAAAGCTCACGTGCAATCAATTACGCTTCAGACTGCTTAAGCTGGGAGTGGCTCTTTCTGTTCTGGCGAAGGCAGCCACCAACCTCCCACTCGACAACGCAGGTGCAGTTTAGCTGCCTATACATACCAATGGCGGCCTTAAGTTTGTTGTTAGCTGTTTCCCTCCCTTCTCCTCGAATTTCAGCGATTTCACGCTTCTCCGCAGCTGTTCGCACCGAGCCTTGAATCTGTCCCCAGCCTTTCAACCCTCTGCTCACCATATACCCTTTTCAGCTACCTGCACGACCTAGCACTCGTCCTCGCGTCAATGCAGCTATGTGACGAATGGTGTTCACGTGCGCACCATCTCAGACCGCCGCCAATGCAAAGCTGCAGACGCCGCAAACCATGGCACGAGCGTCCTGGTGTTGCACCTAGCCAAAATGCCGCCCATTCAGTTCACAGCAAGCAGCGCAGAATGATGCCAACAAGATAACGTTCTTCTCTTGGCATGTTAGCACAGTACCATACGCACCTTGATGGACAGTTTAGTGCTCGAGCAAGCCCGCTGGCACCTCATTGGGGGCTGAAAGCAGCCACGACTTGGCTCAAAAGCGCTGCGGCAGCGCCAGCTGAACGTGCACCTCCTCGATGGGCCACAGGGCTGAGATGATCCAGCTGTGGAGCCGCAGAGCCTGAGGCAGCCGACGGCGCAAAGCGCGATATCTCAGGCGCATTTTGCTGGCAACTCCTCTTTCACCTGTGCCTATTTCACTCTTTACATCGATGACGTTGCGCCTCTTGCGCACAGTCACAGACCGTTGTCGCACAGTACGGGTCACCCCAGGCTGATACGAACCCTAGTCTACTCGAATTGCCAACTGCGATTCGGTGATAACAAAGGACGGCTGAAACCCTTCCAGCAGCGCTGCAAAGAGGGGCAGCAGAGGCGGACCCCAGACAGCCCTGCGCATAATATCCGCGGCAGCAATGGCCAACCGCCATCGCGAAGCATCGAGCAACCCTAACAGCGCCGACTCAACACCTGCACTGCCTGCGCTGGGCTTCGACAACACCTCACCCTCCTTCGGTATCTCCTTCTCTCAGCCATCTTCCTCCTCACCGACCACGCGCGCCGGCTACTCGCGAGTGGGCAACGATGCGACCGACCGATATGCCCCACCCACGATTGCTGAGGACGATGAAGAAGACATTGCGGATAGCTTCCGTAGGCAGGGCAGCGGTGGATTAGGTATAGCAACAGCTGGAGAGTCACCGACGTTGGGCAGTGGAGCAGCGATACCACCTCATGTTCGCAATGCGGGAAGCGCTCCCATGTGGAGCCCGGACATCACACTGTCACCACCAGGCACGAGCGAACCCTTCCTCGGCAGATTTCCTCACGATTCTGCAGAGGTCACACCTGATTTGACACGCGATCGTTTCAGTCCATACACAGGAAGCTACGAGGAGTTCCAGCGCGGCATGCTAGGGCACGCGCAGCCCAATGCCAGTACCACCGACTTTCAGCAGTACATGCACACTTCAGACACACAACGGCTACGCGGTGCACCCTCCATCAGATCGGCGTTTGAGAACAACGGGTTCCATCCTGGCCACGAGTGCCAGACACGCAGAGACTTCTACCATTCTCGATTCTCTTGGCTCAACGGCACGCTCATATTCATCTGTCTACTCTCCACGGTACTGTCAGGCATCTTCCTAGGGCTAGCACTAAGAGCTCCACGATATGGCCGCTACATCAGCACGAGCGATGGGGCAACGATGCGCCCTGCAACTGCAATTCTGTGGACTTCTATCACAGCGAAGATTATCGAGCTGTCCTTTGTCACTGGATTTGTCGCATTCCTGGGCCAGGTGTTGAGTCGGAGAGCATTTAGTCGAGTTGGTGGAGGTGTGACATTGTCAGAGCTGAGCATGTGGCGTTGGGTTGTCCAACCAGGTACCCTCATCACTCACTGGGAGACTGCGAAATACGCTGGCCTGTCGTTCCTTGGCATGTTGAGTCTGTTGAGTGCAGTCCTGGCAACCCTCTATGCGCCTGCAGCAACCGCTCTCGTTCAGCCAATGCTGAAGAACGGATATAAAGAGACCAGGCTCTTGGCTGGAAGCGTCAAGAGTGATTTTGCAAACATCCTACATATTCAGGAAATGTGTCAGACCCCAATCACCACTGACAAAGAGTACGGAGGCACAACTTGTACACAGATTGAACATGCCGGTCAAGGATTTTACAATTACCATAAGTACCTGGCTGACTGGACCCACGAAGCTAAAACGTACAACAGCTCATCCGATCAGACAAAACGCCCGCTAGGATTCGGACTCTTGTACGAGAACACCACCATTACAGCTCAGTGGATTGACATCATCAACACCACAGAAAAGTCCAAGGAATACGGCCGAGTTATCAATAATGTCTCCCTTGCCATGCCACACGCTGGTGTGTTTGCAGCAGCACGCGACCAAAGGAATGGCATTCTTCAGCCAGAAGAGCTAGATTCTGAAGGTACCTATAAGCTTGAGGCTTCTGTACCTTCGCCGGTCATGAAAGTCTTATGCGTCAACATGAACGAGTCTGAGCTTGCGCCTCTGGTCTATGCTAAATGGCCAAATGCCGAGCCGATAAACGCCACAAGCTGGACTAAAGCAAATTTGATGGCGCACGCAACTACCACGAATGCGACAGTAGTAGATGATATCTTCGGCTGGACCAAACAAGACAAGGAGACAATGCTCGATTACCCCCCAGTGTTCTCCAGATTTCCCAAACCCTTCAACACGGTCCTCAACCATACCAGTTTTGCCTGGGGAAGACCTGCCATCTATTTGATGGGTCAAGGTGGAGATGGTACAGCGGGGCCCAATATGACCGGAATCTACTCCGTTTGCAAGATCGACGTCGACATTACGCCGTATTGTAGCACACAATACGTGGCTGGTGGCTCTGGTGGAAAAATGGAGGCTCTGTGTGGAGATCCAGCTAACAACACGGTTGGCAACATGGCGTACATCAACAGCCTGACAAACGCGACATTGGTGCGAGGTGTCGCCAACTGGCGGGACGTCGGAACCGATTGGTCAAACAGTTTATCGCTCGGCACTGGCATCAGTGATGGTGAAGCCAGCAATTCGAGACTGTTGATGCAATTGCAGCTAGTGCCTACAGGTGGTATGAAAGCGGACCCGAACAACCTGAACGTTAAGCTCAACCCACTGCTTCCTAGCATGAGTGAGGCCGTTGCGGTTTTGTCTGGCTGCACGTTACTTAAGAGTTTTATCGACGCACCTTTCGTTCCTTTCTGGGTAAGTGGACAATACGGATGCATATCACAGGCTAGTCGTAGGAACCTGCTGACGTGAGTAGAACTACACTGTCCCTGAGGGGACAGCGTCACTCGAGGTTCCGCAAACACAGTACTTCAACGCGACAATTGTAGCACAGCAGTATGCCTCCGGTGGAGTGGACAATGCTTCCAAAGCCTGGATGGTCATACTCTTCTTGGTGTTTCTCATGAACATTTTTGTTCTTGTCTACTTCATCTTCCACCGCGGTCTCGTCACCGACTTTTCCGAGCCACCGAACCTTTTTGCGTTAGCTGTCAACAGTCCACCCAGTCAGGCTCTGGCAGGCAGTTGCGGTGGAGGCCCGGAGGGCAAACAGTACATGGTCAACTGGTTTGTCAATCATGAGGGCGAACACTTGTACATGGAGCCTGGTGAGAAGACAGCACTTCTGGCTGGACACGAGCATCCGCATGTGCACCCGCACGTCCATGATCATGACCACGGTGCTCCGCGACAAGCCCAATCGAAAGGAAAGGGTGTCTTATCAATAATCACAACGGCGTTCAGTAGCGTCCGGTCGCCGTTTGGTTCCAAGACTAAAGCTCCAGCAAAAGTCAGTCAGCCTGCTGGTGCTGAACGACTTCGGCCTCTCAGCACGGTGGGCAGTATGCGCTCTGGAGCTTCGCCTTCTGGGTACGAGCTCGAAGACGGTGAGACGAGGACACAACGACAGTACGCCAAATTATCGAACCGGAGGAGCATGCTTTGAGTTCCAGGCATTAGCATTTAGTTTTCATCGCTGCGTTTGTGCAGCCTCGCAGTCGGGATCTGCAAGTGATCTAAATTGGCCAGTTTCGAAGCGGGGTCATCTGCATGAGACCCATTACAATCCAGTCAGCCTTTTTCAAAACTTGTGTTCCTTCATGTCAGACCTTGCAAAGACAAGTGGACTATCTGCTAATGTCAAGCATCGTGTCGAGAGCGGAAGTGTGCGGCATGGCCGGACAGCCTTGCGACATCTGTCCTACTGCTGTTTCTTTCGATGAGGGCTACAAGCCTGAATCTGTCGACCGGGGATCATACTTCTACACACCATGTAACACATGTGACAGTCCGCAATACCGCGACTCTACCCTTTGTACGGGGTGTACACATTTCAGACTACGACACCTGGTTAAATGCGTCCAAGCGCACGACATATGGCCACGGCCACACTTCTACATAAGACGAGATCTTCTTACAGACTCCAGTGCAGACGAGTACCCTCTCTGCCATATCTTTAAGCACATACTAATGTCGATTGATGACAAGGAGCAATCGATCACAGGCTATTTTTCCAGCTACGGTTTCGATGAGCTGGTTGGACCGATGTTCCACATGCCAGATCCAGATAACGGCTTGTGCATGGTCATGCAGCACTGAAATATGCTAACACATCCAAGATGATATCCTGCTGTTTATGAGTGAGACCATCTCCTGGGAGTCACTGCAAGACGGTATCGATTACTTATGAAACATCATGAGGCAAGTCGTAATGACGCAGAACTCAAGCTGCTAACTGGGTGCAGAGTCATCGACGTACAAGAGCGGTGCATCTTAGAAGTGCAGAGCAAGCGATGCAACTTCTTCGCGCTCAGCTATGTCTGGGCCAAAGACGACCCCTGACACCAAGACAGTCCGGCGAAACCTCGAGGCCTTTCAGGTTCCAGGCGCTCTACTTGAAGTCCACCTTCCTCGGACGGTTAAAGAGGCAATGGTTGCATGCGCTCAACTAGAACAGAGGTACCTTTGGGTCGATAGACTCTGCATCCTGCAAGCCGACAAGACAAATCAAATCTGTACCATGGACAAAATCTGCTTGTCAGCTCAACACGTCATTATAGCTTACGGCAGCGAGAACATGCACCCTGGCCTGTCCGGTGTCAGCCGTCCACGACCACAGACTCAAATGAGTGTTAGTTTCGCAGGACTGGCTGTAACGTCAGAGGGATTTGACGACTTCTGTGACTCTGAATTCAAGGGATGCATACGGCAAGAAAGAGGGTGGACGTAACAGGAACTGGAGCTTGCGCGATGGCAAGTGTGTTTCAGGAACACGACCACCTTTCTGGAATACCGCTTCAGTAGAAAGTGTGAATACACCCGAGGATACGATCAACTCAAAGATGATACGCCTCAGACTGCTCGACGCACCCATCCACTCTTTCAGCAATATATGGCACACATTGACGCGTACTCACGCAGACAACTAACTTACTACTCCGATGCAATTGCTGCTATTACTGGGGTACTCACCTGGCTCTACGAAGGTAGCCAGAATCAGTTCTTGTATGGACTGCCAATCATACACTTTGACAAAGCTTTGTTGTGCTTTGGTGTGGCTCTCAAAGATGACAAGAGTACTCAATGGTGACTTCCCTTTGTGGTCATGGGCCTCCATTTCAGGCTCATGCTCAAGACTGGTGTCCGAGAACGCGGTATACTACGATGTACCGGGATTACGTTCGACCCATCAATCAGATTCTGGACCACCAAATCTGCCCGACATGGAGGACGTATATGGCAGAAGCTTGCAATGGTGGCTGCGTGTTGAAGTTCAACGCACGTTGTATTCGAAGCACAACAGACCATGCGCTTTGAAATAATCGTGCCACGTTGCGGCAGGCCGTTGCTGTTGTTCGTCAACTCCAACAAGGTCGAGTGGGAGCTCAAATATTGATCCGCTCATGACCACTGGTATCTCTGGTAGTACTGGAGGCCCTTGATGAAACTCTACGAGACCTGGATAAGGTTCTTGCTCTTCCTCTGCATTATTCCCAGCGTCCAGCTCTGCAAAAGGCTGTAGCCCTCCATACCTTATCATGCAGCTCCTGGCACTCAGGCGCGTCGAATAAGCCTGAGGCGGATAAAGAACCGTAGGCTGTGGTTGACTTGCTTCAAGTTCTTCTGGCAGGGGAGAAACCGGGACTTCGTCATCGAAATGCAGTTCAAGATGTTCTGGCTTGACAATACTGGGGTCTGTTGGCACACCCCCAGGAGACTTGGCTTGGAGGTTCCACTTCGGGTATGGGTGGTGGGCTAGGCAAATCTTTATCCTGGTGAGAGTGTGAAAGATCAACGGGTGGTGGATGGCTGATATAGCTACGCCGATGGGGTGTACTCGTAGGCTGAGAAGTAAGAGATTGTAGGCGTTGTCGAGATGATGGCTCTGGCGACGTTCTGTTTTGACAGTCATCTTGGTGCGAAGCAACAGGAGGATCTGGGTATAGCGGCCTAGAGCCTACGAAACAAGACGGTGCGCGAATCCCCACCAAGTCTCGAGGAGCTCCCTCAGGTGAGTATTGTGAAAGTGCTTCAGCAGGTAGGGGCACGATTGAACCTGTAGGTTTGGATGGGGGTGATAGCACGGGAACTGGCATCCGCGCCTCATAATGACCTTGCGATTGTCGGACCACTGCCTGCATCCGATTTAAGTCGCGTTGGTATTGGTTACGATAATAGCGCTGATTTCGTTGTGGTTGAGTTGCTCGACTAGGCGCCAACGACTGCGCATTAGCTGGTTTGCTTACAGAGTCGTGATGATCGCAAGGCGCGAACATGCCGGGACACTCTTGCTCTGTAGGCATCCTGGATCTTTATCGGCGCTACTGCGGTCGTTCGAGCCAATCGAATGGATGACTGTCAGTAATCTGATACAGCACGAGTGCGATAGCTGGGGAATTTTCAGCAAACCATGTATTCTTCTAGAAAGAGCAAACCCGATAGGATACATTGTTGTTGTTCAATGTAATGAAGACGGAGGCTTTCACTGGCAAAAAGTATAAGTTCTGGTGTAATACCATCGAAACTGTCGACGCTATAGTGGATGCAATCCACACATCAAGCAAGTCCCTGACGTTGCGTCAATACTTGAGTGAGTAGCATAGCCTCGTGAACATGGCACCCAATATCGTACGAACCTGCTGGATTTCATCTCAGAGCGTGGCTGGCACTTGCACAAAAGATCGTTCGGGGCGGGCCGCTTCACCTTCAGCTCCTTACTGGTATGTAGCGCAGCCAAGCCACCAGCGCTTAACACATCTTCATCAACATCTTGCCTTCCGTTGAGCGACAACAAGGCTGTGAAATGCACACAAATGATCGAAGGGTTTACTAAAGAGCATCCAGCATACTCTGTTGTCATCGCACTCGGCATACTTGCGATCATGTATCCTGCGGCCATGAAGATGCTTGGGTTCAGATACATTGGGGTTGAGCCAGGTAAGGACCGTCGCAGGTATGAACTGGTTATGGAGACTGACACAGAACGTAGCATCGTATGTAGCAGTATGACAATCCGCATACAGTGGCGCTGTACCCGCGACATCTCTCTTTGCGTACTTTCAGCACCTGGGTATGACGATGGTAGTCTAGCTCGATCGATGTTGTTGGTGAAGGGCGTACCAGATCCTCTCGCCGGCCCCAAAGCCTTGGATGCTGCTGATTAATGATAAACTATTTGCGTGGGTGGGTGCACGTACAGGACAGCCTAGAAATCAACCAGGTGCAAAAGGCATACTCCATGGCTGATTATTACCTCTAATCAAGCCCAAAGACATGCTCACCATTGTGGAGGGAGGAACTTCACGTGGCGCAAAATCTCGATGCCTGATGCCCTCAAACTCAGGGAGTGTGGCTGAATATGCGGCGTCTCGAGATTGGTTCGCTTTCGCCCACTTTCACCTCACCGCGAGGTGTAGCGGAGTCACGGCGCTTAGCTTGCAATCTTACAACCTCTTATGCGCCTGCACGACGTACCTTGCAACTACCATTGTCGACCACAAAATGTCAGCTCTTATCACCGCCATCATCTATTGCATCACAGGTGCTTCGTCGGAGGACAAACCCTACCCAGACGAGAAGCAAGCGCTCATCCATACCCGCCACGCTCGCCCACTCGACGAAGTCGTAGTAGATGTGGTTAACGCCATACTGCGCGCCGAGAAGGCCGGCGCAGGACTGAAAGCCGAGCTTGAAGCCATCGTCGGTCCATACGGATGGAAGGAGTATCTGGCGGAGAAGGTGCTGGAGAAGCTGGGTGCTGCCTTGCAAGGTGCGCATGACAAACTTGGCCCTGCGATCCGCGACGCGTACCACAAGGTATGGGAAGTTGCAAATGAGATCGAGGGCTTTGTCATTCAGCATCCCGTCATGTGCACCATCATCGCGCTCGGCGTTCTCGTCGTCATTGCGCCTTGGGTAGTTGAAGCGTTGGGCTTCGCGGAGCTAGGACCCGTGAAAGGTGCGTATACTGAGCGTAGTAAGCCTGAGCTTCGTGCGATGCTAATAGCGTCAACGTAGGCTCCTTCGCATCCTGGTGGCAGATATCGTACGGCGGCTTGGTGCCCAAGGGTTCGCTATTCTCTTTCTTCCAGCGCTTGGGCATGGTGGGGTTGTGGCATTGACCACCTCCCGGCATGACCTTTAGGGGTACCGGTGCTGCATCGTACGATGATGCGTGCGGAGGCGAAGATGAGCCAGGGACGGATATTGAGTCAAGATCGAAATCCGATGCCGAAGTCCAATGTCCTCGGAAGATAAAGTCGGGTCACGAAGTTTCCTCCAGGTTTTCTTTTTGCATGACCTTCTTTTTACACAATTGCGTCCACGAATCGGGCCATCAGTCTACAAATGAACGTTAGAGCTTAAAGGATTCATCGAATCAATAAGTTTTTGCTGAGGTCTTCTCTTCTCTACTGTTCCTTGCCGACATCCCAGCTCAGATCATAGCAATCAAGGATTCGATGTGTTCAAGGATGCAAAAAGGGAGACGAGATGAGATATCGCTGCCATCCCTGTCTCGTATCGCAGCCGATGATGTCACTGCAATGCGCGCGCAAGATCGACAAAATGGCGGAGTGAGGCGTTTCGAGAAGCGCTGTCTGTGTTTCAGAAACGCGGAGGATCCTTGCATGCTGTGGGTGCAAAGAAGAGATGAGAGATGATGTAGAAATGCGTAAAAATGGAGATCTTTGACGGTGTTGACGTGTCTGTGGAGATGGAAGGAACGTGTGGATCCCTGTCAAGCGCCGAGTCAGGTCAGTGCACACGTCTTCACTCAACCTTGGGAGGCAACCGACATTGCGCACCGCCACAGATGTATCTGCGGCAATTGACTTCTGTGGCTGAACGTTCGAAGAGATAGACGTTGGTTTGTGATATGGTGAAGTAGAGCATACGCAAAGATCATACCAAGCCTCACCACCATGCCACAAACCCTGCACAGATTCGGCTTCAACTCAGATGCGCCAACCCTCAAAATTACCAGCCCGACACTTGTTGACAGCAGCACTCAAATCAACATCGTGTGGACATCATGGTGCGATCTGATCTACACAACTACCAATGCTGACAATACGCGCTCCATAACCTATACCGGAACAAGTCTCAACACCACTCAGCAGCAAGAATTGACTTCCCTTACTTCCAACATCAACCAAGCTCTCGCAAACCCAACATGCCAACTATATTTCTTCGGGAACACCATGTACGACGGTGTACGAGGCTATATTTGCGATGGCAAGATCACGGTCTTTGGTACACCCGCCGAGGAGGCTGCACTGAGGAGTCAGTACCATGATATCGAATTTTGGACTTTTCCACCACCTCTCGCTGAGATCAGGATGTGCAGCGACAACTCCCTCTTCCTCACTTCCAAACCCGAACCGTACGAAACAGGCAGCATTAGCAATGTTACAAACCTTCACGCCGTCAAAGCCCACTGCACCTGCACCACACCCATAGACCAGCGCGCCTCTTTCGCCCCAACCCAACTCGTTACAAACGCAACAACAACCACAGCCCTCTCCCCCTCCGGTCTTGTCTACACACTTACAACCGACCCCCGATACCCCTCCTGCCTAGGCCGTCCCTATACAGGCACATCTTCCTTCGAGCCTGTACCCTACCTCTCAGAAACACGCATCACCAAGATAGCATCGGGAGGCTACATGACCGCAGCCATCAGCGAAGACGGGGAATTGTTCTTGTGGGGTCAGGCAAACCCGGGCACAGCAGAGGAGTTGGGTGTGCTGCATAGGCTAGACTATGATTCTGACGCTGCAATGAAAAGAGAAACGGTCATTTGGGGCGATACTGTGCAGGACGAGAATGTCAAGTGTCTCAACATACACATCGATGGACGAGATGCAATAGCATATGACGTTGCCATAGGGTTCGGCCACATGCTTGTTGCTGCGAAAGGTGAGGATGAGGAGCATGTGGTGTTTTCCGCTGGGTGTGGGGCCGAGGGTCAGCTGGGTATAGGCAGAGCTGATGACTTTCTGCAGGAGTCTGAGGAAGTGGTGGCTGTGAGAGGCAAGCGCGTCATACAGCTGGCAGCAGCAGGATGGTCCAGCTTTGTGGTCACAGAAGAGTAATCGAAGTGTAGGTAAATGCTCAAATTGAAGAGATAGGCAATTAGGATATCGAGGATAAGATGACCCTGGCTCGCCAGACCAAAGGAGGAAGACGTTTATCCAGGCCAGAAGAAGGCAGCAATGTCTGACGCAAGCAACTTAGCCCAGGCACAGACTGCCATAAGTCCTCAAGCCCTGAGGCAGCAGCAGCCAACTGCCCGAGGAGGACCCTCCCGACAAAGCATCGTATGCTGCTGAGGCACAGCCAGTGTATTCACGACCTCGAACGTTGGGGCCCAAGGTTCCTGATGTCCATCGTGGAAAGGTGCCGAAAGGGCTGGAGACGGAAAGGCATTGTCCACCTCGATCTTCGTTGTTACGGCAATCGAGTTCTGTCGAGGTGTTTGTGGTTCGCCGCCGTTCAAACGAAGGCGTGTATTGCTGCGTGTGGCGATACGCGTGAGCCTCCTCGGCACTACCTTCTCGAACGCTGGACGCAGGTGTGGCAAGCAAGCAACGATGATACCCGTACTCATCTGGGCGAGGGCCCAGAGCAGATTTATGCCTATGCCGTAGGTCAAATCGCTATCGACAGGGGCGTCTGCAATGGCGGTAATACGAAAAACGCCAATAACAATTGTCCTAGCACCCGTCAGTACTAGAGTTTTCACGTAAGTAGATGTTCCATCGAACAGTATTCCAAAGGCGAAGATAGCCGTGATGGCAAGCTTGTGAGCCCGACGTAGCCGTAACCCCCATACCACATAATGAGGCGTGATCCAGGTGATCAGGTCCAAACCAACTCCTACGACAGCCATAGTGATCATGAAAGGCTCAATGTCAAAGCAGTAGTGGCCTTTTTTTATCGACAATTCCTAGTTGCGATGCAAGGGTCGGCAGTGTAAGAGCATTCCAGTAATGGTAACGACAGCCGAAGCCATTGATACAGCGATGCAAAAGTACGCTGTACAAGATGTCAATGAAATTGTTGCTGTGCAAGGGGAGACCAGAGATGGTTGAAGTGATACCAGTGCGTCTGAGCCATGGATACATATTGGTGTAGAACGTGCGGAGAAAGAAGATTAAGATGGCGCAGCGGGTCAGAGAGAGCTGAACGGCCATAGGACTTCGGAAGAACCACAGTACCTGTGAGTGTGAGTCATGTAGCCATAGCAGAGATCGTTGTCGTACGAAGAGCGTCCTCTGTAGTTCACCCAACGTCGCCGTCCGCATGTGCTGGCCAACGTGCCCAACTGCCATGGCTTTTGTTGCGTCAGCATTTCTCGTGTGAGCAATCGCTGAGCTGGACTTGCAGACAATGAACACTCCCACGATAATGTACAGGAAGATCTAGCTCGCACGTCAGCCCACTACATGTTGCTGATTGCACTGTAGTCTTACCAAAGCAAGAACTAGCAGTGTGTCATCTAGCGACCATGTTAAGCTCTTGGTCCTTTTCGCTGCGAAGCGAGCGGCCAGGAACAAGGCGGGTAACACGGCAAGGATCGTGACACCAGCGATGTTTGCTCCGAGAGACATTGCCTCTATGAGTGGATATGCTGTAACGGAGTTTGAGTGCCCTACGATGAGGCAATCATTCGCATTGCGAAAGACGTTAAGGAAAGGCCGAAAGGTGGGCTGAACCCAGAATAGATCGATAATGCTAAAGGGCAGAAGGAATGCGAGATCGATCGATGGTACTGCCTAGGGCGACCAGCAGTGCGCCTGCCGTTGAGGCTGGTGAAACACGTGGAGATAATTGGAACGCAGGAAGTCGCTGCTTACGAGGATGCCTAGAGACTGGTCGTGAGTTTTTGGCAAGCGTGGCTGCCTGTTTGGGCAGAAGCCGCGAAAAGGTTTGACCGCTGGCACACTTGTTTCGGTGAACAGGTACGGAACTTTATTGACCCCAGAGCTACGCGTCGACGGTGCTATTTCGTGGGGTGTTTCGCCTTATCCGCAGGTTCTGGTGATGTCATGGATGGCATTGTTGTGGTGATTGTTCAGACAGATACGATCAGAAGGCAGCGGAGCTGTCATGCGAACCCGAGCGGCCCCAGCGGCATCAATTTGCCCTGCCCACTGCCTGGTCAGTGAAACGAGGCCTACAGCGACTTGGACCGAGTGAGTCCGCAGCACAGCCGGCGCATAAGAGAGAAGGATTCTGGCTTACGACAAGGTTGCAAGTTGGTCTCAAGCTGATGTACAAGCAAGTGCTGAGGCTGATGTATCTCAGGATCATCTGTTTAAGAGACGTCCAAGCCATGGTGTTGAGTTCGTCTCCCAGGCTAGCCCCGGCAGCTAACGCGTCCTGGTGCCAAGGCCAGTCACGCAGTCAGCTTTTAGATGTCGGTTCTTGCGTTCGGTCGAATCGCAACGGCTTTCCCTAGAGTTTGGCGACGTCGTGCCTCAGCCTCGGTGCCGTCGTCTCGGTGCCATGCCGTCGGACCGATGACTTCTTTGAAGTGTGCATTGCGAGCAGATATGCCACTGCATCAGTTTGGCAGGGCAACAGGCCTTCAACAAACCTTCAAGAGCCCACAGCGGGTGCCGGTGCTTTGTTGATACTGCAGAGTCTGCAAACTGGTGGTCCCGCAACGCGCTCATCGGCGTGCAATCGGAGAATCTGTTTTGCATTGCAACGTGTGGCCCCTTTTGTGTACCCGCGGGAGAGGCTCCACGTACGTGGACAAGCGCTGATCGATTCACTTCAATTTTAGCTGTAACTGGCAACCGTCCAGTCAAAGAGAGGATTGTCAAGCAAACAGGGCGGGCTCCAGGGTTGTGACAGGGCTGATCAGGCCTCATAGAAACGCAGACACGCGAAGAGAGGCAAGGATGGCGGCGATCGTGATGATCAGTTGAACCAGCCTCGCTTGCTGCGACGGTGCGACGGTGAGAGATCGCAAACACGATAGGACACGATGCGCTTTCGCAGCCGCGCAGCAACCGGAGGTGTCAAGGGTCTCCACAGCCTCGTGTTCTGGCATCGAACGATATTTTCCAGTAGCGCAGCACGGCAAGAAAATGATCAAGAGTTGCCACGACGTTACTGCTAGCGGTGCAGCAGATGAGAAAGGCATGTGGCTTGGTGCTGGTGATTGGCTCGCTGACGAAACGCTAGGTGCAGACTACCGGGATCCAGCAAGGTGGAGTGCACGCTATTCAGGGGTGGATGAGTTCGTTCCTGCTTTCGCGCCTTTCCAAGGCCGTGCAAGACTCGCCCATGCTCCTCGTAAACGTCATGTGCACTGCCAAAGTGGACTTGTCGGCTTGGAGTGCCGCTCTATTTTTTACAAGAAGCGACACGACCCACTCATATCAGCCTGTCCCGTTTCTAGCGACCGAATTTGTAGCCATAAGCATCTTACTCTCCGCCCCTCCGCTCCGCTGCCTCTATCAATTCACCTTCTCTCATTCAGCCTCACCTCCTGGAATACATCGACTACCTCAACGGTCAATCCGCCCTCTTGAAGTCAACAGGACTCCAGTACTCGACATTACAGCCGCAGGTCTCGGAAGTGATGACGTTCGGCTTACACGCCGCCTAACTCCGAGCATTACACAGCACGAAGAACTTAACGCAATGGAACAACGACACTCTTCGCCATCCTCGAGGGGCAGAAGCCCAAGGCCCAGCACCTCTAGAAAGAGAAGCAATTCTGTGCCATTCATTGTGGCACTAGGCTGCTCGACGCCAGAAGCAAGATTGATGATGGCCGAGGGCAAGGCTGCAGTTCGTAACCGGAGACGCGGCCGCCAAAACAGGCCTGTCAATGAAGAAAAATATGCCACCACTTTCGACCCCCGGAACCATCTCAAATATCTCGATAGTTCGTACCAGGAGAATGATTCACCAAGGCCACAAAAGGCCAAAGTCAACCATTCTCGGCATCCTTCTGATGCCACAGATAAGAGCAACTCGACAATAGTTGCACCAACCAGGGATTGTGAGTCTACTGGTAACGGCGCTCCAAGCCCACTGGGAGACTACTCTGCCAACCTCGCGTCGTTCATCAAGGCACAACTTATGTCAATTCCGACCTACACATCGTCACCTGATCAGATCTCACCTCGTTCATGCCCAGACTTGTCTTTCCAGCTGCGCACTCCTCCACTGTCACCGAACAAGGTCGCAAGGAGGCCAGTGGAAGCGCCTAGGGTGATCAGTATTCCTCCTATTCGTCCACCGATGCAGAGCGCCTTTTCTGCATGGAGCTCAACCGACGGCTCAGAAGACGAGGTGCCTGCGCTGCCCGAGATTGATCAGTACACGCAAAATGCGGTGTCGAAAACAACAAGCAATGGCAGCACACCCTCATTACTTGGGTACTACGCCAACTCGAAGGACTCCTTCTTGTTCTCGTCGACACCCTCGGAGGAGCCTCACACTGCTAAGGGTTTCCAATTTCCCAACCCACCAGCGCTAATGTGCTCCTTTACTGAGCCCCACTCACCACCTCACGATGACGATACTGACTACTACCCGTCCTCCCATTCGTCGCGGCCGCAGCTGACATCTTCATCGGAACCATCAATCTCGTCGTCCTCAGCCTCGGCATCGTCTTACTTCGAATACAAGCGCCCTGTGTCCAACCTGTTCCCGCCCCACATGAAGGACCGGATCGTTGCGGCAGTCACACCACTAAAGGGAAAGATGTTGACAGCTATCTCGCCGTTCGAGGGCGCTGCACTGTCGAATGTACACGATGTGTTCATCGAGTCGCAACACAGGGTGCATGTCGATGGCATGTCATTTGACATGCTGCGCGACTTCATCGTACCCACCAGCAGAGTCTCAACACCAGTTTGACTCGCCGTTCTTTGACATCCCTTCGACTGTATCATGCGAGATACCTGCGTTTGTCTTTCAGCGTTTGCGTTTCTGCGGTCCGCAATATATCCACGTCGATACCCGTGGTACAGCCGGTCTTACCACCCGTTGCGATCCTTCTTACTCCATCTTCCTTTGTCACTTGGGTCGGCGCAGTGGAACACATACCTTCTTGTAATCACTTCCAGTTTACTGTACATCTAGATTGCTATTTCGGGGCTTCAGCGCCCGCCTCTTCTTTCGCCGCAGGTTATACCTTTCTTTCCTTGCTGTTCAGATATCCATACACAACGAGTGTACGACGCGCACGATTTTTCTTCTTAGCTAGGTGATATTTGGGGTGTTAGATTGATCCCTTCAGCAATCAGGGACAAGAGCTAGCAACATAAATAGCAGGGACAGCCACCGGTAGCAGTATCAGAATGAGCTACACAGCACAAAGGTGCATACACAATATCTAGCAATGCAAACAGTTGCACATCCACTCCACCTTGCACACTCCCATACTCGTGACTCAGTTCACCATCGTATTGCATACGCCGGGACTATTCCACGATAGTAACGATACCCCTGACTCCCGCATCCATGACGGAGGGGCCAACAAGCTCAACCAAAGTCAAGCTACGCGATATAACGATCATCCTCATATAATGCGCGACTGGACAGCCACCACTAACACTGAACCGGGTTTGGGTGTTGTGGCTGTTGCAGATCGGTGAGCGGTGCACACGAGCGAAAAGTAGGATTACGTCATGTTTGATGCGTTTGCACCTAGCTCCCCCACATTCAGAACTTTTGGAAGGAGGCAAACATCTCGCGTGTTTGCTCTTTCCATTGTGTTGTGCTGTTTCCTGGTAGTGAGGAATTGCTTTCACTTGTTCTCACACGCTTAGACGCGTTCAGATCGTGGGTACAGGACACCGTGTTCTTTGACAGCTTTGACAGCTATCGAGGCCCTTATAAGCACCGCAACTCCACTTTCAAACATACTTTAATCTACGCTCTCTGCGTTGTCACCGACTGCCCTTAAAAAAGCCAGTAGCTTTCGCTGACAAGCAGCTCGCGCACTATCATTTACGATTAATACAGGCTTCCTGTACGACCACATTCCGCCTCTAGACCGGCTACATCACACCTTGCCATCATGGCAGACGCCAAGCCCACACTCGTCGCGCAGATCCTCCAGCGCCTCGCCTACGAGTTCGCAGAGGCGCGACCCATGCTGCCGACATACTTCCATCTAATCTCCTCCGCCCTTTTTCCCATCTATACCGGCGCGCACGCCTCGCTCTCCCGTCCGTCCACAGCCGCGAAACCCACAAAGAAGAAGCGCAAGGCTCTGCACCGCAAGGGCTCAGATACTGAAGATGATGACGAGTCCAGTGATGATGATGAGGACGAGGAGCAGCACAACATGGAGGGTTTGTCTCCGAAAGACGCCATCCTGATGCCTCTGTTCGCAGGCATTGCACTGTCTGGGCTGTACTTCCTTCTTAAGTGGATGAACGACCCTACATTGCTGAACAAGATCCTCAACGCCTACTTCGCTATATTCGGCGTCTTCTCTGTATCGAAGCTCGTCACCGACGTCTTGGACATTGGGCACTCGATCATCTTTCCACGACGACATGTCATTGACGGTACGTTGTACCATGTCAACGGCAAGGAGGAGAAAGCCATACCAGTCGTAGGCAATATCAAAGGCAAGCAGCTGCTCAGTACGCCTTTACCCGGCTTCTTGGCGAGCACACCGCTAAACGAGAGTCTGAGGAAGATAGTGTGGAACGATCGCGCCATGCCGGCGAACAAATGGTCTCTGAAGCTGTACTTGCACCGCGCACTCGCCGCCAAGTTCAAGATTGGAGCGCATGGAATTGTAGGCGCACTCACAGGACTGGGTGTTGTGGCATACTTCAACTTCATTGACAAGCCGTGGTATCTCACGAACTTGCTTGGTTTCGGTTTCTCGTATGGTGCACTGCAGCTCATGAGCCCGACAACGTTCGCCACAGGAAGTCTGATTCTAGGAGCATTGTTCTTCTACGATATCTACTTCGTCTTCTACACGTAGGTCTGGCCGTGGATATCCCACACTGCATCACTGACACAGATACAAGGCCTATGATGGTGACCGTAGCAAAGTCTCTTGACGTCCCTATCAAGCTCATGTTTCCTCGTCCCGGTGACCCGAAAGATCCCACCTCAGCCCCTTCCCATGCCATGCTAGGACTCGGCGACGTTGTCCTCCCTGGCATCGTCATCGGCCTTGCATTGCGCTTCGACCTGTACCTCTTCTATCTCCGCCGTCAGAAACGCGTACCCGCTGCATCAGCAGAGGGCGCTGAGGCCATTGAGAAGGCGGAATACTTTCCGCTCGCAGGACGCTGGAGCGATCATTTCTGGACACATTCGCTGACCGGACAGCCGCTGTGGGTAAAGGACGATAACAAGCCAGAAGCACCATTCACGTTTCCCAAGACATACTTCAAGGCCAGTCTGGTCGGGTACGTACTAGGCTTGCTGGCTACACTGGGCGTCATGATAATCTGGGATCACGCGCAACCTGCGCTTCTGTACCTTGTGCCTGGTGTGCTGGGCAGTGTCTGGCTCACTGCAGCTGTCAGGGGCGAGCTGAGCCTGATTTGGAACTACACAGAGGCTATTGAGGAAAAGGAGGATCGGAAGACGGGCAAGGACGACAAGGCTGTCAACGGCACCAAGACGGAGGGAAGTAAGCGTGTCACACGATCGCAGAGCAAGGCCACCAAGGACATTTCAGGGGACGGCGAGAGTGATGATGAGTCTAGTCGTCCTCGCCGAAGCATGCGCGGAAGACCAGAGCGCGAGATTTTCTCGTTCACCATTGAGGCTCCGTCAAGCATGAAGAAGAGCAAGGCAAACAAGAAGCACGCGAGATCTTCCCCAGCTGACGAAATCAAGACTGTAGCAAACAACAATACACCAGGTCGGAGCACAGCTGTGGAGACAGGTGCTGAACCGTCCGGCAAGAGGCAGAGATTGAGGTGAGCAGTCGACGGTAAGGAGCAGAACACGTTCACATGCAATGCATAGCGATGGCGTCCCTGCATCGCGGCTCAGGAGCCGCTGCGTTTTTGATTCTGATCAGAAGTCATCAATGATATGCGATCGCACTTTCTTAAACTTTCTCAATACGTGCTTGACTGCTATTCCCCACCTCACTCTTCATTTTTCGTACGCGCCATAAAGGTCGTACCTGATGGCTGCTGCTGATGGGCTAGTCAAAATAGGTACGGTTTCTGTGTTCAGATGCACCTGTCTGGAGCAAGTCAGTGAGTGAAAGGTACAACCACCGTCAGGATCCCGCCGAATTCCTACTTCGTGTTGCACCATTCACGATGTACGTTGCGCTACTTTGCGGACCTCGACTCAGTACATCCAATTCAGTTACAAAGTCTTGCTAGTTGCGTACTTGAACTTAATTTTGCGACCGCACTTCTCGAGTCCTGTTGACGACCTCCAGTGGTCAACGTCTTTCCATGATTCTGAAAGCCTGCTCTTCGCCTCGAAGCAAGGTACGGTTTTTTCGGAGATATTGAAACATGAGGTCGAAGCCTTGTAAACATTTGCATTGCGAACTGTAACTCGATCGCTTAGCCACAGTACAGATCCCATCCCAGCAAATCATGCCTTCCAATCGCTACGACCTGTTCCCTAGACTCGATGCACGCCAATGAATGTTCTGGCTCTACCTGCATCTTACCGCAACAATATGGGTATGGAGAGGGTGGGTGCTGGGTGGTAGAAGAAGGAGAACGAACTGCCTCAGTGTAAACGTCACAGCATACATGCTTGCAATACCAAAGACAGCGCCGACCACGGTGCCCAGCAGGATGAAGTACAGCCAGCCTTCTACTATCCAGATCTCTACTGCTTGGAGTGCGTCGCCGCTTACACGGCCTACATCTGCTGCTCTGCTGAGCAGTCGGTGCGGGACATTTCCTGCTACGCGATTAATGCCAGGTTTGAAGGCGAGGCCTTCTTCGGGCGCGTAATGGATCAGATATGTAGCGAGCAGTAAGAACGGGAAGCCGAAGCCATCATTACTTTCCGCCTCCGCAAAAACGATCTCTCGCAAGGCTCTTAGGACGTATTTATCTGCAAAGGATCCTTTCGCGATAGCCTGCGAGAGCACGGGATCCGTTGATGTGACCAGCGACGCAATAACCATCGCGGTGAGTGTGGTCAGCTTGGGAAGCACGTCAGCGATGTGATTGAGGAGACTAGAAGAGACGTACTAGCGTGATGTGCTCGGTTTGGTCTTTGACGGCGGAGCCCCATCGTTCAGAGTCAATGAATTTTGCGGCTAGAGGTCCGAGAGCAATACCGACAAGCAGTGCTGGAAGAGCCTCGCCAAGATACCATACTTGCTTGATTTTTACTGATGCAACACCGTACAGGATGATGAAGGCGCCTGGCAACAGTGAGCTCTACGAAACAGTTGCTGACCGCGTGTAGTGCACCAAGTACTGCAATGATGATGTGGAGCTCGCTCACATCTAGGGGCGGCATGGTCTTTTCCTTGGCCGGGTTCCAGTTACCTCTATAGAGGGGCTGCGAAGGCGTTGTCGCATTGGGCGAGACAAAGCTCTCTAGGTGTTGCGGTGTGCCACTGTAGAATACTGATAGCTACGGTAAACGATAACGTAGGACTATCGGGTCAATGGAATACTGCGCTGAATTGCTATCTAGCTGGGGGATGACGACTATATACCTGACCTCACGCCAGTGACCTGTCACACACTAGACTAGGGTAGTCTGTCAGGGGTACAGTCAGACCTTGTACAGACCGACCGATGCCGCAACAATAGGGCATTGCGGACCGGCCGATCAATCCGAGTAACATAATACAAAGACAGAAAAGAGTCGAGTGTGGTACATAACGTCCGGGAAGGCTGAGCATGCGAAGAGCCTGTGGTTTCAAGCAAAATGCCCAGTTTTGTAGATAGCAAAGAAACGGGATGAAACGGGAGGGAAGAAAGCTTGGTACAGTGGTTGTCGCCTAGCCATTTCCGAGGGGAAATAGATGTGACAGAGCTGACAGTGTTTCGCGCGGACGGCGCTTAGGTGGTCGATCATTGACTTGAGCCTCATTCAGCCTCATCCTTGGTGCTGCGATCGTGACGTCTTGAGGTATACACACGGTTTTGCTTTGTGTAGGGTCCGATAGATGGTCTGTGAAGGGTGTCACTTCTTTACCAAAGGCGTTTGTAGTCCTTGAGAGGCACATCACCCGTCTTGATAACCCCTAGTGGCATAGAAAGTTGGGGTGAGTGGTATACTGGTAATCATTGCAGTCGAAGTGAGATTGGTTCTTGCCATGCGGCCAAGTTGCTCCGCCGCTGGGATCTCCGCCGTGCAAGCAAGCTGCGTTGCTTCAAGTTGCCTACATCCGGCTGTCTTGTTCCTGTATTTTTGATTTGTGGTTGTCAGTGGCTGGCAGTGAATGCGGCTGGTGGGTCCAGTACGTGGACCAAGGCCGGATACCCGTCTCGTCGTGCTTGGTAGCTGGGCAGCGGAGAGCGGAAGCTTGGCACTGGCAAGTCAGTCATTTGGTATTCAGCCGATAGAGATCGTCAGGGTAGGAGGACAATGGTAGATAAACAGGTTGGTGGTTGTGTATGGTATCTCGTTCTTGTATCATATTACTCGTCGTCATCGTAAACCTCTCTGTCCTGGAAGACGAGGAACTCTCCACCGTCCTCACCAACAATCTTCTGCCACACTTCTTTGACATTGTCGAGTAGGGCATCATCAAACGCCAAGTCCATCGACGGAGGCGGGAAGCCGAGAATATGCTCATTTCCAGCAGGTAGTGTCTCAGTGCCAGAGGAAGCGTGCTGCTGGTACTGTATCGACCAAAGCACATCCGGTTTGGGCGTTACTTCGACAGCCACCAGCAGCGCATCGACAGCCTTTCTGAGAAGCCCGAAGCCCATTTCGGAGCTTAACGATGTGGATGAGTAGAGTATACCTGATGCGATGTTAGCATGTGACATTGCAAATGCGTGTGCTAATGAGTGTGTAGGGGAGCTGTTGTATCAGTTTGTAAGAGTATATTATCTTCAAGTAGTTCAGACAATGTAGATAAGTATTTGTTGAAATCATCATAACAGCAGTGAGTGCAAGGGATTTTGTAGACTTACTTTGACCGGATGGGCATTCGCCGGTGTCGCTCGAGTGAACGAAAATGTGGACTGGGGGTAGCTCTTCATTTGAGTCGTCTAGTGAAAGCGACCCAGATGGGAAGACAATGACAGCAGATGCTGGCGCGGGTGCTTCCTCTGCGATGGGCGAGAAGAGGGGTGCAAGGGGTGATGCAACGATGGCAGTCAATCTGCAGTACGAGTCCTCCCCGGTGGTTGATGAGCTTCCACCGACTACCCACTTGGCAGTGACAGCTTCACCGTCTTTCAGGTAAAGCTTTGCCTCGCCCTCTGAGGTTGTCGAGGCTTCAGTGTTAGACGTCAGGCCTTTTCCAAGGACATACACGCCCCCACCAACAGCGCAAGCTCGGCACGAGACCTGGCTGATCTCAGCAAGCCCTCCCCATTTTGGCAAGACGGCGCCGAAGCCAGCTCCGAAGATGCCGATAGATCGAAGGTGTCTCGCAATCCGTGGCAGCGCGAACTCGGTGGTGGTCTGCGATGAGCTTGATGGTGACAAGGCGAGCGCTAGCAGCGGACCTTGCAGTGTCGCAGGGATCTTGAACTGCTCCAACAAGAAATCTGGGAACGGCTGTTGACGGTGGTCATTCCAGACCTCCGTCTGCTCCTCGTACTCGGTGATGAAGCGCAGGAACTTCATCAGCGCCCGCTTGGCCTTGAAGTCGAGCTGGTGGTCCTGGAAGACGTCCTCGCGCCCGTTCGGGACTTTGAGGAGCTTCTTGGATGTGACGTCGCCACCTGTAGCTTTGCCCAGATGATCATGCGTGTACACCCACCAGCTACCAACGGCCAGGAACTCGAGCTGGCGATAGACCCGTGACGATACAAGGTGCTGGAGCAGCGTCGACCTCGCGTAGATGATCTGCGGGCTGAGCGCCAAGCTGTACGCTCTCGAAAAGCTCAGTTTGCCTTGAGCGTTCTGACTGTCGGTCGGCTCGGGCTTCATAATAGCGACCTTGTCGAAGGCAGCAGCAGTTGCACCTATACCACGTTAGCAGGACCTCATGACGCTTCAACGAGCGCCCAACGTACCATCATTCACCCTTCTCTCCCACTCCTCAGCTTCCTGCAGACTGAACGCCGCCTCAGCGCCGCCATAGTAGTCGTTTTCGTCGATGTGTAGGATCTTCTTATCCGACCGTGACAAAGCTCTTCAGGTGCGGCGTCAGTCAGACCGCGCCACACCCTTCACGCTTCGAGACGACCTACAAAGCGAGCAGAGATTGCTGCAGGCCCGTGCCTACAATCAGGACATCCCAGGCAGTATTGTCGAGAGTTTCCATGGTGGGTGCGCGAAAGAAAATGAGGTCCGCGAGCTCGGATCAGCTCCAAGTTTTAGCGCGTTGCTGACGTAATTGGCGACTGAACAAAATCTGCGGCCAGCGTGCGTTTGAGGAATGACATCGCGCACGCAAAGGACTTGGGGCTATCTACGCCATGTCCGCAATGCAACCGGCCCTTCACTGGGACGGAGAGGTGCGCGACAGATGGATTCCTCGCCCAGTATCTACCGCTTTGGATTTTACCTGAATCTGCGGCTCGAAGTTGGCGGTACATACCGAATGTGATTGTTTTGTATCTGTGAAGCTCGAGCGAGTTATGAAAAGTGTAGCTTCAGTCTGGCTTCAAGGCTAGGAGCACATAACCTGCGTGCAAGCTTATCCTGTCAACTAACAAATCTTTCTCAACGCATGTAACGATCAGCAAACGTTCGGATCAACCACGACGTTTTGTATTTGTCAAGGAGACTGGCAATGCCCCAAGTGCCACTGAACCCAACACAATCACGGCTAGATCTGCGATGACTGTCATCGACACAATGCCTCTGGCGGAGCATCAACGTCCAAGTACTTTTTGATATAATGCAAAGCATCACATCCGCACAATGATCACAGTTTACGACGAATTTACTCACAATGCCAGTGCCAGTCAAGAACCTAGACGATACTCACAAGTCACAGCAACCCCTTCCATCACACTTCGTACCTATCCCCCCACCCCCAAGAGAGCCCAACAGCCTCACTATAGCCCACAACACCAACCTGCCTCAAAACTTCAACACGCCAGGCGAAGAGGGATGGTACTGCCCATCGTGCGCGCACATGAAACACTGCACGGCTGGATCTGCCAGAGCTGTCTCTGGAACTGCTATAAGACTCGGTACATCGATGCCGCGGACACTGCAGCTTACAAGACGCTGGCAACGAACGATTGGAGGGGTAAATAGGTGAGGGCGGTTAAGAAGGCGTTCAGCAGGGAGTAAGGGTATCAATGTCTTCACTGTTAGAGCTGCCGGTCTACCTTTCTAGCAACTGAAGGTGTCTGTGAATCCCGTCGTTTATCCTACGACGACTTCTTCATGACAGCGATCTGGTCCAAACAGCCGCTTTTCTGCGTACCACCTGTTGCATTCTTTAGCCCCACCTCGAATCACCACATGAATTTGCGCTTAGGCGCAGCCGAGGCCGTCAGTGGTGGAAGTTGTCGAGGATCCTACAACAACTTCTTCATGATAGCAATCTGCTCCAGACACGCGCTCTTGCTTGTGCCTCCACTTGCGTTCTTCAGCTCCACAGCACGCTCGTAGTCCAAGCACTCGACGACATCGTCGCCTAACCTCGAGTCAATAGCCTTCAGCTGCTCCAAGCTCAACTTGTCCATGGGGATATCGTTGTCCTCGGCGGCTGCGACCACGCGGCCAGAGATGTGGTGGCCCTCGCGGAAAGGTACGCCTTTCCTGACGAGGTAGTCTGCAAATTCTGTGGCGAGCATTTCGGGTGCGAGCGCGGCATACATCTTCTCCTTGTTGATAGTCAGAGTGGAGATGACGCCAGTAGCGATCTGCAGTGAGTCGCCGACGGTCTTGATGTGGTCGATCAGCGGCTCGACAGACTCTTGCAAGTCCTTGTTGTAGGTTGTGGGCAGGCCCTTGATGGTCACGTAGAGACCGGCCATGTGTCCGAAGGCGCGACCGCTCTTGCCGCGGATCAATTCGAGCGAGTCTGCGTTCTTCTTCTGCGGCATGAGGGAGCTGCCGGTCGAGTATGCGTCTGCAAGGCGCACGAAGCCGAACTCGAGGCTCGAGTAGATGATCAGATCTTCGGCCCATCGAGACATCTTGAGCATGAGACTGGATCCCCACTGCAGGGTCTCGAAGACGAAGTCTCGGTCGCCGACTGCGTTCAACGAATTTGGCAGGAGACCCTCAAAGCCAAGCTCCTTGGCCATGGCATCGCGGTCGATGTTGAAGGGGTTGCCGGCAAGCGCACCGCAGCCCAGAGGGGAGCGATTGACACGCTTGATGACTTCTCGTAGGCGCTCGAGCTCCTGAGAGAATGCGGTAGCATGGCCAAGGATAAAGTGTGACCATCGAATGGGCTGAGCCTTCTGCAGATGTGTGTAGCCGGGCATGATCACGTCAATCTCGGCCTCCGCTCGCTGGACTGAGGTCTGAATCAACTGCTTCAGGTAACCCTCCAGTGTGTGTAGCTGGTCTCGCAGCCATAACCGCATATCGGTCGCGACCTGCTCGTTCCTGCTTCGCCCTGTATGCAGCTTGCCGCCAATGTCCTTGCCGATGATCTCGCTCAGCCTGCGCTCGTTGGCTGTGTGGATGTCCTCGTCGTTAGGCTTGACTTCGAAAGTGTTGTTCGCCCACTCTTCCTTGATCTGGACGAAGCCCTTCTCAATGGCAGCGAACTCGTCGGCGGTCAAGATGCCATTGTTCTTGTTTGCGCGCGCAAATGCAATTGAACCGGCAATGTCCTGTTCGTAGAAGAGACGGTCGTACGGGAGAGATGCGTTGTACTGCTCCATCACAGGGTCAAGGCCCTCTTTATAAAAGTCAGTATGTAGCTCTCAATGGTTCAGATACAGCTCATAAGGCGGATAAATGAGTCAATTGACTGCGGTACTTACGCGTGAAGCGACCTCCCCAAAGCATGTTCTCGGCAACTTTTTTTTCTGAACCCATTGTGCTGTCTGACTGTAGAGTTGGGTGGAAAAAGTGTTGTGTTACTGTTGTGACTGTTCACCCCAGAAAGTTTGGGGAGATAGGTATGATGGGCTCCGATTCGGCGGCAGGGGTGGGGTCCGCGCTAGAAAGTCGCTAGCGGCCGCCTCGCCTTCCCTTCCTTCGTCATTCACCAGCCCCACTGACACTGTTCATAAACCGTCACATCGTTGGCGGCATGCAACATCGCACTTGAGATTCAATGCGTGGTTTGCTATTGCACTCAAACGCCAGAACTAACAATAGGGTATCAACTTGTAGATGTGCCAGCTCTGCACGGCTTGCTTGATCAAAAGCCAGCAAATCTCTATATGTCTAAAGGCAGCTCGGCGATCTTGCTCAGGTCAATTGCCAAGTACTGGTTCTCTTCCTGCCTCAGATACCCTCGCGTTGCGAATGTGGCATACACAAGTCGCTCTTCGTTTATCGTAGTGTTCGAGCCGGCACCATGGTAAACACCTCCCAGCATGAAGAACGTGTCACCAGGTATCATCTCAGCGTGGGCGAACATCTCCGGAGAATCTGTATAGCTTAGTGGAGGAACTGTGAAGTCCCGATGAGGCTAAACTAGTGCAGCTTTGCCGCATTGAGAATCGGGGGTTTTCTGGCACAGCTGAACTGGGTCAGTCAACAACCGAGCTGCATCGATGCTTTGGACTGGGGTGGCTGCCAAACAGAACGCCAGCGGCTGCTACGATATGCACTCGATCAAGGATCGCGGGACTGTCTGCGGTTCTGTTGTATGTTCAGCTGTTCATTATGTGTCTCAGGGAGAATGTAGTCTCTTATATGAGTTGCTCTGAGAGGTCTTCTGTGTACTTGGAATCTTTAAGAATCTGACACGGCTGCTCTCAACATGGCCCTCTCTTCACAACTCGCTGCTTTTCAAAACTCCAAATCCTTAGCTGTCTTCACAATATGTACAGCTTGCCTGACTGATGGTGTTACGTACGGGCTTGTTACACCGGTAGTTCCGTTTCTCCTGAAGGATGAAGGCCTTGTGACAGAGAAGAACAGTAAGCCAACCTATCGTCACTGTTGTAATACGTCTAACAGGTAGTAGTTCAGATCACTACACTCTGTTGATAGCGTCATTCTCTATAGCTGACTTCTTCGGTGCTCGTGAGTCCACCTGCAATTAACATTCCGTTCCATCCTTTCATTGACACCCAACAGTTGATTGTGCCTGGTACGTTGATAGGGCAAGATCATGTCGAGTTCCATGGTATCTCGATATTGTTCTCATCACGGCTGGAAGCTTCCTGTTCGGCTTCTCCAACAACATCGCCATGCTCATCTGCAGCCGCATCTATCCTGTACACCGTTGGACTAGCAGTGCTCGTCGACACAGTCGGTAAAGACCAAGTGGGTTAGTGGATGGGCACCGCAATGAGTTGTAACAACATAGGCATGATCATAAGTCCTATGCTAGACGGCATCGTATATGATAAGTTGGGCAAGCTCGCTGTGTTCGTCATCACGATCAGCCTCGGAGCTTTCGACATCGCTTTACGGCTGTTGATGAACAAGCCACCTAGGAAGCTCACATCCGTGACCATCACCACCGACGCCGTCACACCCGAATCGAGGTCAGAGAAGTCGAAGCCTCAGGTCACCACTCCACCCAACAACGGCAGTGACATAACCAGCACATCCCCTTCCTCCACAAGCTCCCCATCAATCAGCCGCCTCCCTGGCACCCTTACCCTCCCTACCTCCTCGCCGCCCTCTACGGCGTCTTCATAAACGAATGCCTTGTAGCCTCTCTCTGCGCCATTCTCCCCTTCTTCGTGCGTGCCACATTCTCCTGGACTGCGCTCCCCGCCGGCCTGCTATTCCTATACATCGTGATCCCCGCCTTCGCCGACTCTTTCGCAGGATACCTCTTCGACCGCTTTGGCGCGCGCTGGATCGCTGTGAGTGGATTCTGTTGCATGCCAGCATTGTTGTGAACGTGACTTGCATTAGTAAGCATACCGTAAGGTTCCTGTAAATAAGCTGGGCTGGGATGCTAGGGTCAACATACACACAAGACACTATAGAACACACAATAATACTGTTCTACACCTCTCAACATCCTGCACCCAACAGTGCGACAGATTCTGTCTCACTGCGCCGTTGCTTATGCTGCTCCGTCTTGTGGACCATGATTCGCTGCAGCAGAAAATCTTGCTCTGCGCAATTCTTACTTTGTTCGATGTTCTTCCTTGCACCGTTGGGTGCGGAGTGCTCGTTTGTGGCTGAGAAGGTCAGTGCGTTGACGGGGTTGGAATTGTATGCTAGTAGTTCCAGTCTGATGAATTGCTCGCTTGCTGCAACGGGGCTATTGGGGCCGTTGGCTGCGGAGGGGGGGGGGGGGTGGACAACTATCGCTATGGGGTTGTTCTGTATGATGGGCGTTATTCCATGCGTGCTTGCGACTGGAGGTAGGCGAGTCAAAGTGGCTGATGATGGCAATGTCGAGGGCGCTTAGCTTCAATACTTAATACACGTGCGTGCAGATTCGTTTATGGTCTCTATAAGTCCAACAAATGCCGACGTCTACTATAACCACGCTGCAGTCGCTGGAGTGTATGTTGCTCCTATGGTGAGCTCACGTTGATGGGGCGCCCAGCTCTCGTAAAACCTTCGCGGGCCCAATCCTCTTCCACTCTTCCACCTGTTTCTCATCTGGCACCCATACACAACCCATCATTCCGCCAGCATTCGCACTTGCTCCTTCGAAGAACCCTCGCCGGCGAGGTAAAACAATAAGTCTATCGTCCCACAGAACAATGTTGTGAGGGCAGACGTCTTCTGGTCCAACCCCAAGCACATCTCGTGTTCGGTCGAGGAGCACTCTGTATACATCAAATACATCCGATGCCGATGAAGACCGTAACGCCTGATCAAAGTGATGTGTGAAGAACCGGAATGGGACGCTGAGCTTCTCCTCACTTGCGCGTACCATATACTCAAACGCGTACGGCGGCCCCTTGAGACCTTGCAGATGCTTGTGCATCCTACTGCACCCACCGGCTTCGCTGCAATTGTATATCACGTACATGCTAGGAAACAACCTCAAGGTCTCCAGCGCAGCCTCAAAGTCATCAAGCGCCAGTGGGTCGTACTGCCGCTGATACGAGTCCAGGGTCAACATCAGGAGCTGAGGTCGATCGACACAGAACAAGTTCAGCGCTAGATCATGCGTGCCGTTCAGTTGACCCAAGATTAGCCGCTCGTTAGGAAGGTACATGTCGCTGCCTGATCCCCATTTGCGGCTCTTGTCGAACATTGAGCCGAGTTTTGCGTCGACGGTGTGTGGCTTCTTGCTCAGATGCTCGCAGACGCGGAACTCGAGCTATATGCGCTTCCAGTTAGCAACATGCAAGCAGTGTTGGATATGCTTCAGTGACTTACAGGGTAGCCTTCAGCCTCGCACTTGATAGACTTATAAGGGCCGTAAACGAGAACATTTTCTGAGACTAACTGATCAAACAAGGCGGTGATATTCTCCTCATTCAAGCCCGCCATTGTTACCAAGTTTATGGTCGAGCGATAGAAGTGAGGTGGAAGTATGTACAAGCGCTAGTTGCTGATGAGTGGGATGTTTGTTGCTTCGCGAGATGCAGGGGTGTGTGCGCTAGAGTCCGATTCGGTAAAGCTTGAGCGGCAACCTTTCAGCTTTCACCACCGCAAATTTACAGTCCGACATCTGCTCCACTTGGGGAGGGTGCCCAAAGAAGCGTGAATACCTCCGTAGTCCTTTCAGCTCAGAGAACCTCAGCCACTGCACCAAAGGAGGATGTAGCGAAGAAGAGGAAGCTCACACCGACCGGACAACTCGAAGTCATGCTTAAGGATGAGTTGAAGGAGAGGAGGAGGGTGGACGCTCAGAGGGTGGCGAGGGGAGTCAGTGGTAGCGCGTATATGCTTGACACGAGCTTTATCAGCAGCATTATTCGCCCTATATCTCATTCGGCGCTTCACTGATCCTGGTAGTCATAACAAAGGCAACGTGCTCTGGACCGTTTCACACAAACTGAAAAGAGCGCGATTCGGATGTAATTTGCAACTTGGATGGGCTCAGACAGGTTGCATGTGTAAGGAGTGACTAAGGTTTGATTTCCTTAATTAGTTAATGAAGGCAACGCAGAAGTCAATTTCTTATAACGCAAAGCAACACTTTTGTACCCAAACACCCGAGTGAGTTGAATCCTCGAGCCCAGCAACTATGGTCGGTTGAAGACCTTCCCAACAACCTTTGCCTCTAAACCTTCTCTTTCGTTGTGTCATCTGACATGACAGTGTCGCTTGTGTAGTAGCGACCAAACATGCGATCCTCAATTTCCATGTTCTTATAATCAACACCAAGCGACCCACGAGCTTTGCGTCGGAAGTATACACGCTTGCACCACTTCCAACTTTCTACGCCCGCAAAGAATAAACCGGCCTCGACAAATACAACGCCCCACTCCCAGTCGATTGGCGCGTGCTTGAACACCACGGTGTTGATGACTGGGATGTAAATGAGCGGGAATAACGTTACAAAGCCGGTAACAATTGCCCAGAAGAGGAACTGGTTACGCCAAACGTCGATGATCCACTGCGTGAAGTAGCGTTTTGATCCAGGCTGCATGCGGAAGAAGGAGCGCCTCATATCGATCATCTCCCAGGCCAGAAATAGTGCAAACCACGTCAAGCATGCGAATGTTGTTGCTCGCGCGCGGAAGACGAGTTCACACGATTCGTTGTAGCTCTCATTGCAGCCAACGCCAAGATTGCCATCGCCGAATCCGAAAACGACGAGTGTGAAGCTGGACAAGCAGAGCGCAGTGATCCATAGGCCATACACGACCATATCGACCAGGAACTCCAAGGTGAAGATGCCAGTCTTAAGAGATTGCGGTGGACGTTGAAGAATGTCGGGCACAGCGCGCTCGAAGCCAAGACCCATGTCTGGCATACCAGATGTAGCCATGATGATCCATACTACCTGTACAGGGGCAAGAGGAAATACAGACAGACCAGTGCTGTCTTTGAAAGCTAGACCAACAAGAAGGGTGCCGGCCTGTGCGACATTTTCGGCGAGGACGTGGAGGTCAAATTTCTGGATATTGTCGAAAATGCGACGGCCTTCTTCGATAGCGGCGAGGATTGAGGCAAAGTTGTCATCCGTAAGGACGATGTCGGATGCTTCCTAGCATGGAATTAGCAGTTTGCTCAAATGGAGAAAATTGGGCGGGATTCTTACCTTGGCAACGTCAGATCCAGCTTGACCCATAGCGATGCCGACGTCAGCACGCTTGAGGGATGGTGAGTCATTGACACCATCGCCAGTCATGGCACAAAAGCGACCACGCCGATGGAGGGCTTCGATCATGCGAACCTTCGTCGAAGGGGCACAGCGAGCGACTACCAACGGCAAAACTGGGAGCTCATCCACTTGCTCGTCGGTAAGACTGTCAAACTCAGAGGCGGCCATGACCAATGACTTCGCGACATCTTGGGAGATGCGTTGCATACGCTCTACAGAAGGCAGAATGCCAACTTCGATTGCAATAGCCTTCGCCGTCTCAGGATGGTCACCGGTAAGCATGTGCACTTCGATACCTGCCTCGTGGCATTGGCGCACAGCTGGAGCTGACTCGGGTCGTGGAGGATCATATAACCCAATGAGGCCCCGGAAGACAAGGTTACTTTCGACGAGGGCACGTTCAACATCAGCACCCTTTTCGACCTTTCCCTCGAACGGCTTACTAGCCAAGGCCAGCACACGAAGCCCCAGGCTGGCTAACGCGTCCATGTTGCGTAGAATTTCTTCACGGAACTCTTCGGTGATGCTTCCAGACTCGTCAGGATCGGTGGTGACTGATGTACAGCTCTGAATCACTCGTTCGACAGCACCTTTGGTAAATGCATGTGCTTTACCACTCGAGTGTCGCATGATGACCGACATGCGCTTGACATCCGAGTCGAATGGGAGCTCTACAAGGTCTTCCCAAGTAGCGGTGTCCCCTTTGGTCATACGTGAGCGGTCCAGTCCGAACCGAGCTGCGAAGACCTGGATGGCTATTTCGGTAGGATCACCATGAGCTTCCCAGTTGCCATCGTCTTTCTTCTTGACCGCAGCCAAGTTCGCCAATGAAGCGACGTTCAGGAACTCTTCCAGACCTTTTGATGCAGTTGGCTGGAGCTTCTCCAAGCCCACAAGCTCACCGCATGCGTCACCGCCAGCCTTCAAGTTGATTTTACTTGGTGATTCCAGGTGGAAACGGACATCACCGATTGTTGGATCCTGTGGTGCAGTAGAGTTCTCGATGGTGTACGTTCCAACGCCTGGTATCCATGCACCACGAGCTATCATCTTGCCCTGAGTCAGAGTTCCAGTCTTGTCGGAACAGATGTCTGTGACACCTCCCAGCGCTTCCAGGGATTTCAGGTTCCTGACGACGACATTGCGCTTGACCATGCTCTTAGTTCCGGCTGCCATAGTAATCGTGAGAACGACGACCAAGCTCGCTGGAATCATAGACAAGCCTGTCGCGACTGCGTAGATGATAACTTCTTGGGTCGCGTTGAATTCGTTAGCCGCAAGAACGATGATGGCACAAAGAACAGCGATGCCGAATAGGAGCATGGCCAGCTTTGACAATTTCTTCTGCAACGGTGTGCCAACATTGAGACCCAGGAAGCGACCGATGGCATCAGTAGTTGTAAGTGTGTACGCTTCGAGGTAGCGATGTGGCTTTGCATGACCGTTTGGTCCACGCTTCTTGACAGGACGAACTTTGGATTCTGATTCTCGCAGTTGGGAGGCAATGGCACCAATCTCAGTGTAGACACCGGTTGCAAAGACCACACCTTTGGCGCGACCTTTCGTGACATTGGATGAGCTATAGGCGACATTGAGACGATCTCCAGGGCCTGTCTTCTCGGGAAAGGTAGCGTCTTCATTCTTGCGGACAGGCAATGACTCTCCGGTGAGGAGGGCCTCATCCGTCTCGAAATTAACCGCTTCAAAGACCCTGATGTCAGCCGGTAGAGTGTCGCCGGTCTTAATCTCAATGACGTCTCCAGGCACGATCTCGGCAGAAGGTATCGTTGACTGCTGTCCGCCACGAATGACTCGCGCAGTGGGAGAACTCAATGAGCGGAGAGAGTCCATGGTCTTCTCGGCAGACCACTCCTGGAAAAAGCCAACTACAATGTTCAGTAGAATGACAAAGGTGACGACTCCACCTTCAATCCACGATCGGATTCCGAAGCTGACAGCCATAGCGAGAATCAAGACCATTGTCATCGCGTTAGCAACCTGTGCAATTAGAATCTTGACCACAGACACGTCGGCGGTTTCTCCAAGATCGTTTGCGCCATAGTTCTCAAGGCGACGTTTGGCTTCGGCATCGTCAAGTCCGGACCAGGTATCGGTGCTCAGTTCGTCCACAACTTGGGTGAGAGTAAGACTGTGAGGCGGCAACGACAGTGGCTTATTCGATTGTCCACTCGCGTGCCCCTCATCGGGCGATTTGGCTTTGTTGCCCATGATGCTGGTTGTTGTTTGTTCGTTCGATATGTGTTTGTATGTTCGACGCTCGTTCCTATGTGATCCTTCTTCTTGTTCTCGTCCCAGTGTGGACGAATTGAGCAATTTTGTACAACGTAGACTCCATAGAGGACTTCAGCACGGGTTCTGGGACAGACTCCTCCGCTTTTACGCCGTGATTGGCGATTAGTAAAATGACAGTAAGGTTCGTGAAGATATAGAGCGCGAAGCGTGGGGGGTTGGTGAAGTTTTACGGTTTTCGATGCGTTTCGATCTTGCAGGTGCGAAGTTGCGAGGATAGTGGAAGAAATCTACAAGATCGTGAGTATACCATATATGTTTGCCCCAAGAGACATGCCCAAAAGCACGTGGGCGACAGAAGACGGATATTCGGCATCTTGCCAAGCCATATTGCAAACTCTTGCGACTGTTGTCGAATTGGTGAGTGTCAGTGTTCTTGGCCTTCAAGACGGTAGACTCGGCGTCCATCAGGTACTACTAAACCAAAAATCTCATCGTGCAACGGGGGACGTGTGCCTTCAATCGTCCAACGATTTCATGGTGCTCGTATTGTAATGTGTTATCGCTCACACGAAGCCTCGTACTGATCTGTGGCCTTGTTCGTAACCTGGACGCTTCAAAGTGAGGTTGTCCAAGAGAGCGTGCCAAGATGCCAAGTCAGGTTTGCAGATCTCCGAGGGCCGCTGCACCACAGCACACAAAGGCGCGGTCATGTCCGTTTTGAAGAGATGCATTTGATGAGTCCGCTCAACCACTGAGAGCGTCGCAGTGACCACGTAGTGTGGGTTCCAAGCGAGCGTTGCGAAGGCGAAATCGCTGCCTACGTCATAGCAGGCGTGTCGTGCAGAACACTCATCGTGGCGAAGGACGTTTCACAACAGCATGCTGCGAGTCTGCAGTCAGAGGTGCATCGTGCTATTTGATTTGTGCCGTGAGACGCAAAAAATGTGGTGTTGAGTGCTGGAGCGTGTTGTTGTAAATGTTTGTGTGGCGAAACGCGACAGCTCTTGCCTTCGTGAATCTCCGATACACTGTCGGGTAGGCTTTATCACCTTAAACGTGATCACAGATATTTGCATATGAATAGCTGAGTTGATATCGGTAGACTATCAGATACTACGCGGCTTCTCGTTCTGCGTTGTCACGCCCAGTTTCGGTCCCCGGATCTCCCATTCGTCGCTTCCAATCGCTGTTGTGGCATAGAAGACTCCACGTGGATCATACTTCTACATGATGCTTACCAGTCGAGATTATTGTTCACCATAGAAGTCTTCCTTCCACTTTAGCTCATTGATAGCAGCTTCATTAAGATAGGAGCCGCCTCCTTCGCTTGCTGGTGCTGGGTCCCTCCATGGCTGCAGGATCTCCTCATTCAGGGCACGGTTGCCTTCCCCAATCACCTCAGAAGTAGCATTCGCGGTAAAGGTAGGCTATACGGTGATGAAGAAGGATTGAGCGTTGCGCCATGCAGACGAGACGGGCGTATGACCAGTCTCGGCGGGTGCAACGGACTGGTAGAGGATTGGCCATATGTTATTGAGGATAGAAAGGAGATTGTGCTGAGGGCACCACAAGCATTGGCTCGGAAAACTATCTTGCGGTAACAAATGGTTGCTCTTCTTATGTAATCGCATGTTTGTATACTTATTGCTCCTGCAGTCGCCACATGCGTTCCTGAGTACCATCTCGCTTACTAGGTCGGGCTATAGTAAGACTACATAGTCGTAGCTCCGACTGATATTGTAAAAACATGACTCGGTTCGATGTTTGTAGCTTTTGAAGGTCTTGTCTCAAACAGTGGACCACTGCTTTCTGGCGCAACAAGAGGACAAAATATTAGACAACGATGGCACCTGAGGCGGTGCCATCTCATTGTTAGCAGGCGGCGATGTAGATGATTCCATCAGACACAATAGGCTGCAAAGGTGATGGGAATGGGAAGGAGATAAGATGCGGCGCAGACGCGGGTCGTCACTGCACAGAAGCCCGTTCCCGGAGGATTTTAGTTTCGTCCTTTCAACACCCCAAAAGTCCTCCATTCGTTGAAAACCATCCTTCTGCTGCGCATTCCTGATGGACTGCAGAGCCAAGGCGTTACATTGATTGCCCATGGCTCGGTGGGTGGGTGCATCGACTTGACTGCAGATGCCTTGGAAGACCAAAGCACTCGTTATCAGCTTTCTTTCGCTCGGCTTGATCGTTACTGCCATAGCCTCCTATTGACTGTCAGTCTTCGTCAAAGTCTTCAGCATGAACAATCCTTTGCAGAACGAGCCTCCATGCAGCGTACGAACGCCATTGTCGAATATCGAGGCAAGTGTGGCAGCAATAGCAGCATGTGGACCAACTCTTAAGCACGTATTGGGTCTTGTGATACGTGTGCTGAGAAGTAAGGGCCCGGACCGATCAGACACCAGGAGGAACCATACGGTCGAGGCGAATACAAGTTCTGCCAAGAATGCAGGTGGAAGCGTCGTTGAGCTCGCGAATGCTTTGGATTAGCCAATCACTCATGAGAACAACTCGCGCAACATTACAGAAGAATAAAATGGAAGTATCAGGACTGCAGCTTCCACCGTGGCTGGCAAGAGCACCAAACCGTTCTGCGAGAAGCCCAGGTCCTTAGTCTAGCCTATCAGGAGCGAGTCGTGTATCGAACGTTGAGGTCCAGCGCACATTACACAGAAGAATATTATGTCTGACACGAATTAAAGGGTCGCGTTTTACTACTGGCACTTCCAATGGTAGAGAAAAGTGCACGGAAAGCTGACAAACAGTCTAGCACCCTGAAGATAAAAACCATGGTAACGCAACCGCTGATTCGCTGAACACAACGAAACACTCAAGTCCGAGCTATTGCAATAATGTCTACCACGCCAGAATCTCCTTCTGCGGTCCACACGCCAGACCGGCACAAATATCTTCATCCTCATCCGCTTGATCAGCAGAGCCCAAGCTCGCCGGTTTGGAAGGCCAGAGCTCTTTGCCCGCCGCTTTCTCCTGCTTGTAGTGTTCTGTGATAGCATCGCGTACCGTAGGCTGGAAGAAACTTGGTGCGGTATCGGTGGCTTTCTCTCGGCTCAAGGCGCATGCATATGCATCACTAATGGTCTTCCAATCCTGGCCTGAGCAATCCTTGTGGCGGTAGATCTCGTAGTGTTTGGTCGTTTTGTTCGGTGCCTGTGGGAGGACCTTCTGGATCGCGATGTACGTTGCGGATACTGTTGAGGAAGCGTTCGGGAAGTAGTGAGTGTTTACGGTCTTGAAGTTTTTCTTGATCTGCTCGGGGGTCGAGTCGGCAAATCCATTCTTCCAGTTGAATTCCAGATCTTCCTTCTTCAGTTCCGACTCGAATGTGTAGTCATCGAAATTGATCAGTGCGTGCTGGTCCTGGGAATCGACATTGTTGAAGTGCTCTTCGAATGAGATTTTGGGAGTCTCCTTGGCATCCAGGTTGATCCAGATGAAGCCGTTGTTATCAATTTTGGTGTGGCAGCGGAAGAGACTGTTCTCGTCCATGTCTAGGTTCATCTCTTGGTATCCAGGAGCTTTCGCCAGTTTGCCATTGAGTCCATACGACCAACCGTGGTACCTGCAAGCGAGGATCTTGTTGTTGCCAGCGCCCTCCTTTTCGATGACCGGATAAGCGCGATGTCTGCAGACGTTGTGGAAGGAGTTGATGGCGCCTGTCCTGTCCCGGGTGATGATGATGTCGTAGCTCGCAAAGCTATAACGAAGCCAGTCACCTGTCTGAGTAAGACGTGACTTATGTGAGATGAACAGCCACCTCTTCGAGAAGATCGCACGACGCTCGAATTCGTACATCTCTTGGGAATCATACCATGATGCGGGCAGTGCGCTCTGCAAACTCTTATTAATGTCTGTCGCGCCATTGGTAGGAGCGCTGAAGTAGTGTTGGATGCTGCTCATTGTTTCTCCGATCTTGCGTTTGTAGTAGTAGTTTAGGATCCGGGTGTATGCTAAGACTGTAGGTTGGTAGATCAACCCTCGGTAGAGGGCGCTCTATAATGCTTTTATATCTTCTTCATCAATTCCATCGCGAATACCTATCTTTGTGAATGTCATCCGAACTGACCACGCTGACCACGATAGACAGCTGTAGACAGCCCCATGGGGTAGCCGGGAGCGAGCCATAGCGGCGAGATACGCTAATGAGAAGTTCAGCCCTACCGGTCGTTTAAGGCCATGCATCTTCAGCCTCAACTGCTGCAACGACCTACCACGAAAAGCTCTCGTGAAGAGCCGATGTAAAGCATAAAAAGTGCTTAATCCAGGGCCGCTGACAGTATTTGGTACCCTGTTCAATACATTTACATAAGTGTTCCTCCAGCTATGCACCGAGATGTAAGTCAATCTGGCCAATCGCGTAGCTCGCTGGATTAGCCAATCGCGTCGACGCAATATTTCAACCTTTGGTTCAGCCAATCGCGTCATGGCATTCAGCTCTGCATAAGTTGCTAATGAGGCTGGGGCTGTGAAAGCGAGAAACTTAAGCGAGAATTGATAAGGTCTTTCGTCTTTGCTGATCTATCACGAATTGCCCCCGGAGTGCGAGAGAAGGTTGCGGCAAAAGAAACGGTCGGAGAGTGTTGTTACGGCTGCAGGGTTGGGCGTGTTGTGTGGAAGTGGCTCTCTGGTGATATAGGGCAGGAGCATTTGGGTTGTTTACCGTTCTGATTGGGACTAGGGTCAATAGCTTGTATGGGCGGCCTCTGACCCAGGTTTCTCCAACGGACACAAGGAAACACAATCAATCGAGATCATACTCCAATAGGGCGATGTGTCCGGGGCGTGGTAAGGAAGCGACAAGTACGGAAGCACCAATACATCAACGAAACTACGACAACCTCTCAAGCGATTCACTTTCTCCAATTTCAGATCACAACAAAGAAGCGAGTCATTCGCGACAAAGGGCCGATAATGTGGCACGGGTGGTCCCGGCACGGTGGCGTTGGAGGCGTCTGCGGACGGGCCCGCCGTCCCATCCTCAACGTCTCACATCTGCCATAATGAAGCTATGCGACGGTAACTTTACGAAATCGAAGATCTATTGATAAGCAGCGATGATGGGGCGTTACTCTGCGAACTGATCAGCCAAGTTGCAACTGCCGAGTGGACCCTGAACGCGATGACCTCATGAGAATTAATAATACAGACCGCAAATCACATGCCTAGTGTAATACACAGTATACAACAACGCGTGCTCTCATCTCTCTTGACACACAAGCAATGCTTTTGAACTGACAACATGACGATTGCTCTTACAAGCGCAACAGGAAAGCTCGGCGGCGCCGTGCTGAACGCCATCCTCGAGAATAAGCTCATCGACCCCAGAGAGCTGGTTGTCTGCGTACGTTCATACCTCGTCTTCCTCACCATACGCGCACTCACTTCCCCTAGACATCCTCAGACCCAAGTGACTCGCATTTTGACGGTCTCCGCTCCCAATCCATCACCCTCCGCCATGCCAACTTCGATGATCCCTCCTCGCTCACACGCGCCTACGCGGGCTGCTCCAAGTTGTTCCTCGTCTCCACCCCTCGCACTGAAATGGACTACAACGACGCACCCCTCTGGCAAGGCCGCGAGAAACACCACCGTGCCGCCATCGACGCCGCCCTTGAAGCAGGCGTGCAGCACATCTACTACACATCGCTCGGTTTCGCGAACCCGAGCAAAGCGGGCGTTATGCGCGCGCACATACGGACAGAGGCGTATTTGCACGACCTGGAGAAGGAAGGGAAAGTGCGGATTACGATTATTAGGGAGGGGCTGTATAATGAGAGCTGGCCGCTGTATTTCGGATACTACTTCGGTCTCAAGGACGAGACGAGGAGGGAGGTTGTAGTTGCGGGTGATGGCCCAGTCAGCTGGACTAGTATCCCTGATATGGCGTTCGGGACGGCGAAGGTGCTTGCTGCGCCGAGCGAGGCGTGGAGCGGAAAGACGTTTTATTTGAGTCAGAAGAAGACGTGGACGTTGCATGATATTGCACGTATTGTTAGTAAGGTGAGGGGAGAGGAGATAGGGCTTAAGGTAGTGGGGAGGAAGGAGTATGAGGAGTTCTATGCGCAGAAGGGGACGGAGAGGGCGAGTGTCGAGTGGTGGAGTAGCTCGTATGATGCGCTGGAAGACGGGGAATGCGCTATTGACGACTCGACAGTTGAGGATTTACTGAAGGAGGCGGGGAAGAGGCCGAAACCGCTGGAAGAGACGATCGAGGAGATGCTGAAGTAGGTCACATCATGGAGTTGTTTGCAAATATTTTATCTGGGTTGCTTTCAATTTTTGGAACTTAATCATTAGAAATTACCCCCATAAGAAACTACCCCCATAAGAAATTACCCCATAAGAAAGTATACCGTAAGAAAGTACACCATAAGAAGGTACACGAAAACCTAGCACGCTTTCCAGCTCAAAAAGGGACTTGAGTACGGCTCTTTCCCCAACCGCTTGACCCTCACCTCATCCATCTCCTTCAGCAACTCAGCTCTCGTCGCCGACCTGGAAATCTTCTGGTCCTTTTTCTTATCTTTTTTCTTGCCCTCATTCGGACCTTCAACTCTCATCTCTTGCACCTCCGCAGTATTGTCTTCTTGAGTGAGCGAGGAGGTACTCAGCGTGTCGACGGGTGACGAGGGAGCGGAGTTTGAACTCGCAGTGTGTGAATTCGCATCGGCAGACTCTCCATCATCCGACGTTGAAGAGGATGCTTCGGATGTGGAGGCAGCCTCCGCATCATCGCCTTCCGGTGGCACGACCCAGATGATGGTATGCGTTGACGGACGTGGACGGCCAGGTATCACGGCGACGGCTTTGGGCTCGTCGTTTCTTTGGCGGGGTTTGGGTGCAGTGGTGAAGGAGTTTCGTAGGGTAGCCATTTTGAGTCGTGTGTGGTGAAGGAGCTTTCGGTGATGGATGCGTTCAGACCTCTGCCGAAGAATGTGATGGATGATTATGATGCTTCTTGCCGAGGCGTGGAGGTATTCAGAATCTTGAAGATGCAAATTGTGTGGGATTGTGTGATGTTCGAAAAGGAGGACAAGAGGTGAAAATATGTACCGACTTCATAGGGTGTGAACTATGGTTCAGTTTTCTACACTCTGGCGCTGTGTAGTCTCAACATGTAAAGTTGGGAGCGGTTCAATACTCCTCGCTACCACGAACTCTCGATAAGGCAGTGCAGCATCACAACACTAACTACTTTTTTTTCATGCAAACTTGCACTTGCACACAGCAATATTTTTCATCAAACTTCGAATTATTGGTCTACCACATCCTACGCTACTTGCAGCTTGCTCAACTCATGCTGGAGGCATTCAAGATATTCTACGAAGGCTGAAAATCAAAAGACACCCGTAACATGCTACGTCCCACTCAATGCGTGTTTCGCCTCCGAATGCCATTTCCAACTCCATCCCCTGCCTTTGACCTGGCTAGTCGATTGCTCAAACTGTGATCGCTGCAGAAGTTGGTGCAGATATTCTTCGACCTCAGCAGTAACCTTCAGTGACTGTTCCTTGTAGTGTTTGAAATCGGCGTCATCAAATCGATACGATTTTGTAGTATTTGATGATGCAGCCTGCTGATTTCTCCCAAAGATGGCATACTGCGCTGAGTTTCTATCTAGCTAGGAGAAGACGACCATATACCTGACCTGTAACACACTAGACGAGGGTAGTTTGCTACGGGTATAGTTAGACCTTATACGGATCAATTGATAGCTTTACCACTCTGCTGGGCGATCCACTTGTCAGTAGCCACCTCCTCGTCCTGGCCAAGAGGTCTGAAGTCAGCGCAAATGTGAAGAGCGCCTTCCACAAAGAACTGATTGCAAATCCCCCTGCCAATGCCCTGAGACGAGCCGGTGACTATCGCAACGCGATATTGCGGACGTTTGCCAGACATGATGGAGTTGTAGTGCCAAACCAAGTCGAAAAAAGCGGGGAGAGCATCCAATAGCAATGATCGTTGCAGCATGGCGCAGCTAACATGTGTCTTGGAATCTAAGTTCGACGGTGGAATACTTAGAAGGGAGCTGGAACTTTGACTAAGCTCTTCAACGCAATATCCCCGAAGCAACATGTCACGCCCATTTGAGAACAAATTAGCCATCATCACCGGAGCCTCGAGAGGGGCGAGCTTCTACATACCGTTGAAATGGCTGAACCTGACTGTCACCAGGTCTTGGTGCGGCCCTGGCCCATCATTTAGCTGCTAAAGGTGCTAATGTAGTGATCAATTACACCTCGGACGCAGCCACTGCTGCAGCAACAGATCTTTCACAGGAGCTTGAAGCGCAACACTTGGTCAGGACTTTGGTGGCGCAGGTTGACATTACAACTGCCAACGATCCAGAGCGACTAATCCAGCTTGCTCAATCAGCCTTCACAAAAATGGCAAGTTCCAGATCGATATCCTAATCAGCAATGCGGGTGTCATTAACCCAGCACCCATGGGCTCTGTCACATTGCTGGACTTTATCGCAACTTTTGACCTCAACACCGCGCGCCGCTTTTCGTGCCACAGGCAGCGATTCCGTGCCTTTCCAAATGATCGATCGGGTTGTTTCGTCAACGTGTCGAGCATAAAAACATCGATGGGCTTCTGGTGGCTGTCCAGCTATGCCAGTACGAAGGGTGCGCTGGAGGCCATGACCAGGGTATGGCCCTGCGAGCTCGGCGAGCGTTGTGCTGTCAACAGCACCAACCCGGGAACGATGGCCACGAGCATGTATATAAATTTGCTGAATGAGATGCTTGAGAAGGTGTGGTTGTTGAACGACATGGCGCCACTTGCCGCAACCAGGGAAAGTGTCGATTCTGAGCAGACTATCGCAGCTGCAAAGCCCATGGGTGGTAGACCTGCATATCTGGAGGAAGTCGCTGGCATTGTTGGTTTGCTTTGCATGCCTGAGGCCGGGTGGATCACAGGCTAGATCATTGGTAGTAACGGCGGTGGTGTGATGACAAAGGGATAAACGTGCTGTGTGTAGCCACCTTGTATACACAGATTGCAAGATATAGACTGTTCAAGATAATTCCGAGCCCGTTGCGTAACACTACTAATGTTATTGTGATGCGGTTACGGGAGAGGATTCGTCACTCTGGACGCGTTTTCGATGACATCACCGACGCGCCCCTTGCCTTCACCCGCGTTGAACCTACCACCACCGAAACCCCATCATCTTATTTCAAGGACAAACAAGGTCTCAACAATCCTAAGTAGTCTCGGTCTTGCAAAAAAAGACCTCAACTGGACGTGTTCTCTCACAGTCCGCTCGCTACATAGAAGTGAGGAATCAGAACGCACAAGACCTACGATACTGCACCCTCTACAAGAATCAGGCGAGGAATGACGAGAGCTCAAAGAAGTCGTATAATAGCGAAAGCAGTGATAGCTCATATGCAGAAGCACGAAAACCTGTTCGTCCCCACTTTTAGATGTTTTTTTTATCTTTTTTTAACCTGCTGTACGGATCCAAAGATCCATTTAAGGTCGTCCAGACTCAATACTGCCGCTGTCTGGAGCATTGAGGAAGCACACACGTATGTTAAAATTACTTTCTGAGTTTCAAAATCGCAGATACTGACTTTTTTAGCTTTGCATTATTGTCAATATTCAGGAGGCGGTCATGGTATTCTTGATCTTTGACAGGTCCTGGAATCGTGAATCCCGGCCACCCATCTTGCTGGATTGTAAGCATCTCTGGGAGTGATTATATCGCGGCCCCGCAGCGATACAAAAAGGCAGACCCTCCCTGGCCCCTGGGATTCTGAAGGTTATATAAACCACGAAAGGTTATCACTCTAACATAGATGACGACGTTTCTTGTACGTTTCCGCACCGGGCTGCCGCATAAGTGTTGTCCACCGGCCTCTTTTGGATAAGTTCTGCGCCTCCACAAATCATATCTTTTGGTCAAGATACCCACTGAATGGGACGACAAACTGTGCGTTAAGCCCTCCAATTAGGAACATTCGACAAAAACTGTCACGGTTTAGACTACGTGAGGAGAAGCCGACTATATACTGGCCCTAGAAGTCGCTATTCCAGGACAGTATATACCAGGGTAATAGGGTCTCAACCGAGACCACAACATATTTAAACACACAGAATAGTGAAATACAACCTCAGTTCAATCCTGCCATTCTGCCCACATGCGTACGGATCACTCACGATCCCCGACAAAAAGAGTATAGTACCGACTTTCTCGCAATCTAACAGGAAAAGTCAAGAAACCCGATCATGGATTCCCAGACTGTCTGCGTACGGGTAATGTGCTAGGAAGTGCTCATCAGTGTAATTCTGCTCCACCCGTCAGTTTCAATAGTCCCGGTACCCTTAATGCAATTCTTAGGATGACACGATCTCTACCGTGGTACTTGACTCTACCAACGCTATCCGCTCAGACGTGCTCACACGCCTACTTACATCGGCTAACCCGAGCTCAAGTAGGAACATCTCTTGAGAGAAGGGAGCCCTGGAAATATTCAAAACCACAATGGATTCTCTACCCATCCTTATTTAACTGCCCCTACGCACACAACCCCTTCCCCAACAACTTCTCCGGACCTCTTAATCGACGCATATCTCACTACCGTCTGAACCTATCTTTGGCAATGCTTTTGAGCAAGTTACGACGGATATGAGTGGTCACAGACGCGCTGATTGGCAGACCTTTGGCCTTGAACCACAGAACACTACACCACAACAATATTCCAACCCACGGTCAAGCAATACACAAGATCTGTCTCCTGAATTATTGTTGTCTACAAATGTAGATCTCTCTTCGATTTTCCCTCTCACAAACTTCACAGTCCTCAATATCGCAATTCACATTTCAAGGCCCTGCACCGCACGACACATGTTCCAAAAAATCCCAAACCACCCACCCAATCAAGCAGCAGCGACTACCTCCAGCATCCACCATGGCACCAGGAGGCTTCGCCAGCATCGCCCTCGCGCGCCAACTCTCCGCTGAACGCATCGACCGCACGACAAAGAATAGCTGGAAAATAGTCAAGCAAGTGCGCTTCGAGATTCCAGCTGATACTGCACCAACTACCTCCCAGCTCCCGTCAGAGTTTGCAGCATCGCCGCGGCAGATGTACAGTCCAACGTCTGCACCGGTGTCAGCCCAAAGGGCACTGAATGCCTCCGGGGTTGCACTAGCCACTGCGACGAAAAGGAAGAGAACGCCTACTGAGCAGTTTGAGAGGATGCTGGGTGAAGAGTTAGAGAAGAAGAGGAGGGTGGAGACAGATATGGTAGCGAAGGCTGTGTGGTGGTAGGGTGTTCTCAATTACAGGTTTAGACCCCCAGGCTGGAGCTGTTCACAAGACTCTGACGGGCGAGGATGGAAAAAATCCTGTTTACGACATTGGTGGTTCATGTGGGTCAAACTAATATTGTGTTTCGGGGTTCGAGTGTCCAACTACCAATCAACATGTGACAGATTGACATTACCGCAACCCACCTATACTGGCTTCCATTCTCGCCAGGCATATATAGAGCCAAACAGCTGCCTAGATCCCAACGACACTCTGGTCTAGAACCACCCTCCTCGGCCCCCTCCCATCCTCCCTCAAAACCAAAGCCGGCGCAACAACCACCGCACCTCTACCCGGAACCTCCCACTCAAAGCCCCACTCACCCATCTGACCATACAACCAGATCCTGCATTCCAGTGCCTCGCCAATGATTCCCGCCAAATCACTTTCCCGCTCTTGGTCGCCAAAGGTGGGGTTCGCCCAAGGGAAGAAAGTCAGGGAGAAGTGCTCTGCTGCTTCACGAATGGTGGAGGACATTTTGCGCGTCAACGAGAAGGCGGAGAGATTGGAAAGGCGGGACTGCGATCGGTTTTGTGGTGTAAGTGCGTTTGCGCGGGTATAAAGGTAGACTGTAAGGCGGCGGTGGAGGGCTTGAGCAGTAGATAGTCGGCTGGAATCTGTACCTGCGTAAGTACTTCTAATTGTCACGTGCTGAGACTAGCAACATACCTGGACTTGGGAGATTTTGGTCCTGGCCCAGGACACTTGCAAGCTCGTCTGGCCAGAGGGCCTGCTCCGTACCCTCACTCTTCGATTCCGTGGTGCTGAGCACGAATGCTAAGAGGGCGTGCTTGAGCGCGACTGTTGGACTTGAGCAGTTTTGCAGCAGCTCAAGCATATCTACATCCTTCCCAAATGATGCCAGATCAGAGTCCATGCTAGGCGTAATGCTGGCGTGTACGTCACGATAGTACGTGTCGATGTGTCGATGTATCTGCCCGAACAGCGCCAACACGCGGTTCTGGACATCATGCTCGCTTGCATCAGGCGGCAGGATACCAGCTAGAGCATCGCTCACTCCTTGCGGAGAGACAGCAGCAGGAGTACGTGCTGGGACCGGGACAGGTGTGCGCATCTGGGTCTGCGAAACCTGAACATACGGGCTCCCTGTTGCAGCGCTCTTCTGCACCATGACTAGCTCTGGCGAGGAATCGGCGTAGATGGGGTAACCCGAAGGGCAAGTCTTCTGGACAAACTTCCTGTCCCGCCTCTTGAACAGGAGCCAAGCGACGACAAAGGCGATAACCGCGCCAACGATACAGGTTCCGATTGCGATACCGGCAACTGCGCCTTTGCTCACACCATCGTTGTTGCTGCTCTTACTTGTCGCCTGTGCGCCCTTCGGTACTTCAGTGGTTACCGACGGAGAGATTGTTGTAGTCGATGCTGCAGTTGCAGTTGTTGTAGGAAAGATCGTAGAGACTCTTGTGTAGAAAGAACCGTCGTCATTGGTGATGATAGTCGTGAAGACTTCAGCGTTGCTGGCTGTTGGTTGAAGAAACACTTCCGTTTCCCCAGCTATCTCCGTGGTTCCAGTCGGCGAACCATTTGTTGTCGCTGGCACGGTTTGTGTAGCTTCGTGCGTACCTCCGCAACCAGGCGCCTGTGGGCTGACTATGCACTCGGGGCTCTGAGGGCTTCTGCGAAACCAACTCGCCATCTTCACTTAAAAAGTACAACAGCACGTGACAGCAACGCAAAGCAAAAGAAGAAAAAGGAAAAGAGAGTCTGAGAGAAGCCATGCCCACCTTATGTTTACCCGAGTCAGATCTCACGCTCGCACACGCTCAGCCACAACACGCAGTGTAAGCCTTACCGCAGCCATACCATGCCCACATCTGCAAGTTCGCATGATGCGACCTATCACAGCAAGTTCAGCTTACCCTCGTACAACATTACGCGTCTAAGCTCGGGTCGCCTTGTTGTTAAGGTGCTTATGTGGTGGATGAAGGATGGAGCTGCGGTCGTGTTTGATGTAGATTAAGCTAGACTAGCGTGGATGGGGTTAGTGCTGCGGGGATAATCTTTCACAGCCTCGTCACGACATCTATTTATGTCTCACGACATGTTCATATCAACATAGCAATGCTCAAATCGCAAAGTGTGTCGTGAATTGGGAAGCGCTTTGGTAGTTGGTAAAATTCGTCAAAGGCTGTCGTAGTAGGTAGCACCAACACCGTACGCCTCCTTAACTGTGGGTACCATACATCGCGCAGATCCAACTATCCTGAGTCTGGGCAACGTTCCTCGCTCAAGGCAGGCCAAGGGCGTAGACAGGTCACGGGTGTCGAGAAGTGCATTGAGATCCTGGAGGCAATGCGGAGATTTCCCTCCTTCGAGCAGAGTGGTTTAATTACAACTCCCAACACACGCGTCAAAAGCAAAGTACACGCATATAGCGAGCTTGAGCAACTTCACTCTAACGAGCCTCTGGTGGTTGAACCGACTTGCCTTTGATGAAGGCGCAAGTCGGACAACTTTACACCATTCGAGTTCTGGGTAGCTGCATGTTGGAAATGGGTTGTGCTTGGTCTCGCCTTTGAACCGTATGACCACATACGTCCAGAAACCGCAGCACCACCACAGAGCGCGTAACATCTTGAAAACACATCCAAATATGAAATCATATCCAAAACTTGATATGTAGGCTCCCTTTTTTAACTGCACAGTCTACTCATACGATAGACGTACCTCCAAAGCCTAGTCGACCAGAGCGATCAGCAAGTGAATTGCTGTCTGCACCGAAGGACGTTGTTCATACTCATGATCAACACATGTCTTTCGGCCAAATCCCAGCCTACGACACAATCCATGACCAGCGGAGTTTTTGCATCTATTCAAGTCAACACCAAAAAACACAACACAAAAAAACAATCTCCACCACTTCGTGGGCGAGACATCGGCAACACGCTCCTCGACTTCTCCCATCTTGTCCACAACGCAGAGTCGAGGAGCGCAAAACCTACCACAACACCTGCTCATTCCACAATGGTCGTCCACACTCCGTCGGACAGCACTGCAGTCTGCCACATCTCCCCACAAACCTTTCAACACCTAGTAGTGGAAACTCGCAAGGCACCTTTCAACGTTCAGCACATCATGAACAGTAGCAATGCATTCCGACCTGTTTTGTCTTCGAGATATAGGAGCCGAATGGTGGATACTTGCACACTAGCACAGCTCGTAGGGCTGACGCGTCACGCATGACGAGGAGCCATCGATGCAAAGAAAAGCCACTCATGTAGCATACCATAGATATATATACTGTCGCCACCTCGTGGATGTCTATCCAGTTCCCTTTTCTTGATGGGGCGCGCTTCTAAGCAAAATGCCAAGGAAATGCAACACTAACGACCGTAACGCTAAAAAGAGTGCCCTCTACACGAATGAAAGACTACATCTACGCATACCGCACCGAGTTACGATGTTGTAACGGCGGCGGCTGCGGTATCCCCCCGTTACCTTGCCACCCATACGGCGGCGGCGCCCCCTGATTCTGGCTCATACTAGGCGGCACAAACGGACCCTGCTGCCCCATATGCGAAAATCCACCGTTCGCTCCCATCGGCGGTGGCGGAGGCGGCCGTCTTCTCCCACCCCTTCCACCGTTTTTCGGCTGAGGACCGCGAGCATACGCAGCAGCCTGGGCAGCATACTTCGCCTTGCTTCTGCGGCGGCGGTACGAGCGCCAGCAGCAGCACAGGATGCAGAGGATGAGGGCGCCGCCCAGACCGGCGGCGAGTCCAATGACGAGGGGGAGATGCTCGTCGATCCAGGATTTGATTTCGTTGCCGACATTGCCGTCGCAGCGGCCCTGTTTGGACGTTAGCATCTTGTCTCGCTATCCTCGGGATGGCGCTGCTGGTGTAAATCCAGCAGGATGGTGGGAGTAGGATGAGTGTGTGGACAGGATGTGGGGGTTACTTACGTTTACGCAATGCCCACCGCTACAGACGGTGCCATCGAGGAAGTTCTGCTGCAGGCCGTAGCACTCTTGCCCAAACTCCGGGCTACCACATGAGAGCGTGCAGCTGCGGCTATCACACGCATACGTCTGGTTGCCCTGAGTGTAAGACCCCATCAGCGTCTTACACTGCTCATCTCTTGACGTACACTGCCCACTCGCACACTGCAGTCCACTCCCACAGCTCTTCCCCGCCTCCTCCCACTTATCCTCCGGACAATACGGACTCGTGCCGTTACACGTCTCTTGGGGATCGCACGGCCCCTGACTCGCCCTGCAAACAGTCGTGGCAGACGCGAACTGGCAGTCCTTGCAGCAGTCCTCGTTGCTGTCGTCGCAGACAGCGTTGTTCTTGAACTTGCACGTCGACGGGTCGCAGCACGCGTTGTTACCGCATTGGCTGGTGCCGCCGCAGTCGCAGTCCTCGCCTTCTTCGACGATGCCGTTGCCGCACACGGGGTTGCCGATGGTGGTGATGCCGCGGTTGTTGGTCAGGCAGGAGGATTCGACGCTGTTGCGTTGCAGCGCGGAGCAGATGTTGCCGATGGAGCAGGGGGAGAACTTGGTGATGCCTTGCGCGGTAGAGGGGTTCATGATGTACTGCTCGCCGGCATTGCACGTGCTGCTGCTTAGTGGACAGCACTGCTGGGAGTTGACAGTGTTTGCGTCGGCGCAGGCGGAGGATGTGCAGTCGTGGACGGCGCCGTACGTGTGGCCGGTCTCGTGGGCGATGACTTGCCATTCAGTGGATGTGCGGACGACGACGTTGGCGCCGGCGACGGTCTCGCTGGTGCTGCCGCTGTTTTGTTGTGAGCCTTGCACGCACGCTTGTCCGAGCCAGGCAAGGCCGACGGCAGACCCGGTGTTGCAGGTCGAGAGCAGCGTCCAGTGGGAGTAGTTGTCACTTTGCTGGCCGCGCCAGCTGGAGAAGAGGTTGAGGCGGTCCTGGATGTTGACGCTATCGCTGCAGCCTTGGTTCCAGGGCGTGGACTGCTGTTGGGTAGCCGGGCAGTCTGGGTCTGTGATGATGACGTTTGCCAATCCCAGCGAGATCTGAAAGGTGCTCTCGAACAGCTCCGACGCCGCGTTGATGGCCTCGATGATGTTCTGCTGCGTCTGGTTCTTGTCCCTGTTGAAGGACTGGATGTACGTGCAGTCCGCCGCAACACCAACCAGCGCGACCTTCCGCGTTGTCGGACAGCCCTGCGTGCTGCCGATGGTGCTGACCAGGTTAACACCAGCGCCACCGCTTCCCGGCTGGCCATCGATCTGCCTGCCGAACAGTCTCTCAATAGGCATCGACGCACGGCTAGTCATATCCCGCACGCGCATGCCCGCGTATACCGGGTGGTCAGCCTGCGTATTGAACCCCAGCTGGTCACTCCCGCACGCCTGCCCATGCACGCCCGCCCTCTTCCGCAGCTCAGCGTGGTCCTGGTGCGGCGCCATGCCCATATCGCTGTCCCTGAACACGACCATGCTCTCCTCGCCGCTCAGCGCAACATCCGGGTCCTCGGCCAGCCTCGTCGCCTTGTAGCTGCTGGCCAGCTTGACATGGTGGTGGTCGTGGTCCAGCGTGAATGTGCCCTCAAACAGCGGATCCATCCCGTCCCGCCGTATCCCGACACGCGCCCACCCGACATGATCCCAGCGACTCCCCCGCTTCGCCCAGGCGGTCCCCCTGAACACTTTGTGCTGCGTCCGGTCGATCGGCTCCTGGCGCGCTACACTGCCGTCGGCGGCGAGATGCGTGATGCGGCCGCCGTCGACGAAGATGTCGTGGTTGGGCTCGAGGCTGAGGCGGATGCGCTGGGGGCCGACATCGAAGGCGACGTCGAACGTGGACACGGCGGTTACGCGGTGGTTGGGCGTGAGGATGTCGGCATTTCTGGCAAACTGTATCGATCGCAGCGGGGCGCGGTGCGAGGACGAGGCGGCGGCGAGGTGCGACGTGGCGAGGGCGAGGACCGATGTGAGCGCGCTGAGAATGTGCATCCTCTGTGGAGTCAGTCCTCTGCGTGAGGCTGTGGCGCTGCCCGGGATACAGTGACTCAAACAGTGACTCAAACAGTGACTATGCAACAACCTAGATTACAGGAGATTCACGTTCAAGAAGTCAAAGTGAACGACATAGGTCGGGTATAAGCAAGAGAGAGCAGCAAACTAAGCAAAGAGAGACACACAATGGCGGGCGACAGTGGCCGTCAGCGAGCGAAGGGGCGGTGCAGAGAAGGCTGCTTGGCGGGTGCATCAATGGCAGAGTTAAGACACTAACAGTTTCGGGGCGTGGACGGCCTGTCATCAGCTTGCATACGGGGCAATACAAGCATACGTTTCTTTTCGATGCACTTCAGGAGGCATTCACTGCCGACTTCCGTGATGCTGCACGTCGTGTAGGAAATGTTTCATTCATGGTATAATTGCGTCGACGCGGCAACCACAGCACACACCGCATAAGCGCAACGTCTTACATCTCACGGCGCGTACCAAACATGTCATCCACCCACATTCCCCGGTTCCGCCGACGTATCCGTTTTCCCGTCCAATCACTGGCACCCTCGCCAAGCCTCTATTTCTTCTTAGACTGGTGAACGATGTCGATGATCTTATCGACTACCGACGGATCCGAAAGCTGTGCCGAAAGCCGTTAGCCAAGTCCTCAACTCGCGGGAACGCGTCATCAACACCACCTCGCGTATTGGTAGAAAACATCTCGAACACAGGATTTCACGCTGCGAAGGCAAACTCGGAGAAATGGGAAAAACTCACCGTTGTGATGTCGCCCAACTGGTCCTCCTCTCCCGCCAAGATCTTGCGCATGATGCGACGCATAATCTTGCCAGATCGTGTCTTGGGCAGATCGGGGACAACGAATATCGCCTTTGGCGCGGCGAACGGTCCGATCGACTTGCGTACTTGCAGGATCAAGTCCTTCTTGATCTGGTCGCTCGAGCCGGTACCGTCTTTCAGCGCGACGAAGGCGTTGACGGCTTGGCCGGTGAGTTCGTCGTGGATGCCGACGACTGCGGCTTCGGCGACAGAGTCTACATTTGTAAGTACATATGCTGAATGTAAGGGTGTGGGGAACGTACGGTGCTCGATGAGCGCTGCTTCGATTTCAGCAGTCGACAATCTGTGTCCGGAGACGTTCACGACATCGTCGACACGACCTCGAATCCAGTAGTAGCCCTCGTGGTCACGACCAGCGCCGTCTCCGGTAAACTATCCATGTCAGCAAGGTCCTCAGCATCGACGCCTCAATACGTACGTAGTAGCCCTTGTACACGTTCAGGTATGTATCCATGTATCGCTTGTGTGCTCCCCAGACTGTGCGGGCCATGCTAGGCCACGGCTGCTTGAAGGCCAAAACACCCTCGACATCGTTGCCGTGGATCTCATCGCCGGACACGGGGTCGATGATAGCAGGCTCGATACCGAAGAAGGGGAGAGAGGCGGAGCCGGGCTTAGTAGGCGTTACACCACCGAGCGGTGTGATGACGTGAGAGCCGGTCTCAGTCTGCCAGTAAGTCTGACATCTGTCAGTATTCTGTTCAGCATGATAAAGTTCAAGACACGTACGTCCACAACATGGGCCTCCTCCTTTCCGACAACTTCAAAGTACCACTTCCACACCTCAGCGGCAATGGGCTCACCGACGGATCCCAGCACACGGAGGTGCTTCATTTGGTGCTTGACGTGCTCGTCGCCCGCACGCTTCAGCAGACGCAGCGCAGTAGGCGCAACGTAGAACTGGCTGACGTTGTACTTGTCGACGATGTCCCAGTAACGCGAGAAGTTAGGGTAGGCAGGTGTGCCCTCGAAGACAACAGTAGCGACACCAAGCAGCAGAGGCGCGTAGACGACGTATGTGTGGCCAGTAATCCAACCCACGTCACCACCGCAGAAGAACGTGTCGCCGTCGTGGATGTCGAAGACGTACTTTCCAGTTGCTGCTGCGCCGAGAAGGTAACCTCCAGTCGTGTGCATAACACCCTTTGGCTTGCCAGTCGAGCCAGAAGTGTAAAGCAAGAAGAGAGGGTCCTCAGAGCTCATCGACTCTGGAGCGATGTAGTTGGGGTACTTCTCGACCTCCTCGTGCCACCACCAATCTCGGCCCTTTGTCCAGGGGATCTCAGCGCCGGTGCGCTTGTAAACCAGGCAGTGGCTGATGCCAGGGCACTGCTTGAGCGCCTCGTCAACAATCTTCTTGGTTGCAATGACCTTGCCTCCACGCTTGCCCTCGTCGGTGGTGATGACAACCTTGCACTCCGCATCGATAATACGGTCGCGCAGCGAGTCGGACGAGAAGCCGGCGAAAATGACGGAGTGCACGGCACCAATACGTGTGCAAGCCAGGAACGAGATGACAGCCTCGGGAATCATAGGCAGGTAGAGAGCAACAGCATCGCCCTTCTTGACACCCATCTCTTTGAGGGTGTACGCGAGCTTTGAGACCTCGCGGAGAAGCTCTCCGTATGTGATGATGCGGCCATCGCCCGCATCGTCGGCCTCGTAGATAATGGCGGGCTTGTTGGGGTCCTTGAAAGCATGACGGTCGACGCAGTTGTACGATGCGTTCAGCTTGCCCTCCACAAACCACGCATTATCACCGTTCTCGAAGCTGCCGGCGTGCACTGTTTGGAAGTCGCGCTCCCACGTGAGCAGCTCGCGCGCTAGGCGGCCCCAGAACTGCTTGGGCTCTGTGATAGACTCCTTGTACAGCTTCTGGTACTCCTCGAGGTTCGCAAGGTGTGGCTTGGTGTGTGGGTGCTTGCTGCGAAGCCATGTCAGTAATCGATCTACATTTCGAAGCTCTCCTGAGCTCTGTTGTTGGTGATCGCGATGCGTGAGGCCTAACTCGGCAGAGCGGGGTCACCCCGCTCTGCCGACGAAGCTTGGGAATGCCGCAGCTGTCACTGTCCTGGACATGATGACAAACAACCGCACAAAGGCGCACTCACTCGTAGAACGCTTTCGGGACGTGAAAGGTATCGACCTGATGGGCCTCGGCCACAACGGGGTTCTGGGGCTTGACGTCGCCTTCAGACATGGTGCTTGCGCTGCTGCAGTGCGTCTGAAGTAAAAAGAAAGCACAGAGAGCGCGCGCAATTGACGAGGGAGGGCGAGAGCTTTCAGAGGACCAGAGGTCGGCGAAACGGGTCTTTGAGGCAGTTATATGTCCCAACGCCGGGTAAAGGGCTCGGTGGGACGCTTGATTGCCGCAGGGGCCCAAATTGAAGCTGCTGGGGACAAGCTCGGAGAACAAGTGTCTGTCAAAGTGGAGCTTCGTCGCGTAATAGGGGTATTGTCTACCGCGGGCAGTGTACTGTACTGAGCAGCGAGGTAGTTCGGTGTCAAGTAGCAATAAGTTTACGGCTCGCATCCAAGGGCGAGCGGCTTCTTAAGCAGCTGCTCGTCGCAGGCCGATCGCAGCCCTTCGCAGCACAGCCGGACCCGTAGACTACCACTTTACCCCTCGTGAGCGAGAGCGCGCTGCGGGCTGCGGGGGCATGGAATATGACGAACAGTCTCTGGCCGTTGTCTGGGCCCACAGCTCGTTGGTTGAACCACCGACCACTCACCAACGCGGATAGACCAGGCCTGCTCCGTTTCTCCGGATTACACCTTAGCCATACCCGCGGCCGTGGTGGGCTGACATTATTTTTGTACAGCAGACGTTCGAATATCGTGCCTCCTGGGGCTTGCCTGTTGTTCTGCTGCTCTACTCTGTGACGGTGTTGCATTGTTTGGAGCTGTTTTAATATTTCAGTGGGGTTCTCAATCCAGAAACACGCGAGTTGACAGATGAGCTGTGGGTCACAGCTGCGAGGCATGCAATGTACCCTAGCAGAAAATAATTGGAAACTGCATTGCTGCATTTGGCCAGGGTCTTTGCGGGACTACGCTATTTCTGTATGCTCGCTTCGAGAAGCTCGCGTTTGTGCCGTAAAGCGTGCTGTTGGTACATCGACTCTGCTTTACTTGGGCCTTGCCAAAAGCTTGAGGAGACACCAGCTGCCAGATCGTCTTGAACTCGTTCGATCTTCAGCTTTGTAGTCTAAGCGTAGTACTCGAGGTTACACAGCTCTGCGGAGCACCCAGATACCACGCGACAGCTGCTCCAAGGGATCCACACCCACGATCCGGACCTGGGGAAGCTCGTACCTGATAACCCGAGGCACCGGCAACGGCAAAACGCGCTCCACAGAACCGCAGAGCATTCCGAGTCAAGAACGTGGCCTGTTCTGTCGTTCTCCTGTGAGGTTCCTGCGAGGTCGGCCTCTCAGGATATCGCAGGTGTTTGACATGCGGCTTCCCGTAGGGAGTACCTTCGGTAGGGTGACAAAGAGACTCGCTGCGAGTGGGTGGTCAGTGATGGTGTGTTTGCGCTAAGCTTTTCTGATGGCTGGTCGGGTTACTGCATGCGGCGGGCGCCTAGCCAGAGCGATGGGATATCAAATCCACTGCGGATGACCAACTCCGAAGCAATTGATATCGAAGCCCGTGTTCATGTCCGCGTCTCTTGCTTCCTTGTCAGGGCTGCCATGACAACCTAGACTAAACTCAACCAATACCGGAAGAGCTCTGCCGGTCTGCAGCAGTGTCAGGCTTCGAGCTGCACTCAAATGGTCCACCGAGATGTTCATTGAAGCATCGGCTGACGTTTGAAGAGCCTAGGCATGGCTAATGACCACTCCCTCCAACCAATAGGAGGCGCTGGAGATCCGAAGTGTAGGCTAGAGTGTGGGTGCCAGTGTAGCGTTGCGGGGCCCCGCTGCTTGGAATTTGGAACATGGGACATGGATCGAGATGGCCGCACGTGGTTGAGTGAAACTCGTGTTGTCAACGAGTGTTGCGCTTGTATGAAGTTTGGTGTTGGCGAAGCTAATTGTCGTGCAGCTGAGTTCAGGGTGATGGTCGAATCCAAGGCAGCGAAGGCGACGCCATGGCGGAAGACAACACAAGTCATGTCAGTAGTTTATCCTCAAGCGAAGCACGCTCAGTGTACGGTAAGCGCAGTAACAGTGTAGAGGCGTGCGAGAACAACGACTGGTGGCGGCGTGGTGTTAACTGACAAGTCTGTGATGCGTTAGGAGATGTAAACCGGTGCGCAGTAAGGTGCGTAAAATAGTGCAGATGTACACGTAGACGCTTTGCAAAGTGCAGGGTAAGTGTAGAGCGAGGTGGAAGGTTAGAGGTCAAGTAAAGGTTGCGAGCAGATAGCGGGCAATTAAGAAATGGAGAAAGGTACAGTCTGGGGGCAGGTGAACCTCAGAGGCAGGCGCATTCTCTAGACATGTCAGCGCTTACTGTAGTCCTGCAGGGTTTTAATCAACAAAAGCAAACAGGTTGGTGAAAACTGTTCCGAAGAGCAGAACTAAAGACTACAATTACGTATACACAGTACAAGATGTCTGAGGATCAATGCCTTCCTCGACAGTTTCAACGCCGTATGCTATCCAAAAGACCACCCAGTATTCAAACGCCTTGTCGTAAACATTTCAAGATCATACTGTCGACGTCTCTGAAATGTTTCATCTCTCTGAGACCTCTTCCGCCGTCTCAGTCGACGTTGTTATCGGGGTGAGGATCTCCCTAGACTCTTCATCTCCCGCAGTCGTATCATTGCTCTGGCCCAGCGAGCTGGGTGACTGTCTGTAATCCGCAGGGGATCTCAGTGGTGTGGATAATGCAGCTTCACTGTCCTGGCGAGTCCGTAGAGCCACACTAGCAGCAATTCTCTCGTCGAGTATATTGACGAGCCGTTCGGAATACTGATCCAAGAGCTTCGCCATGGCAGTCTCATCAAACTCTTTCGTCTTAGCCCGCTCACCGATCGTTCGTGCAGTTGCCGCAAGCTCACGTTGGATTTCCTTGACTATGTCGGTATCCAGCGCCTCGGTACTGCTGGCGAGACGTTTGCGGTAGGCCTTGAGTTGTCTGCAAAAGCTCTCGCTTGCGCCTGCAAGGCTGCCATACTCGCTTGCTGGCCCTCTCAAGTTCGGCCGAGACCTGACATCTACAGATGCTCGCCTCTGTGTAACACGCGCCTTTGGTGAAGCTGGAGGTGAAGGTGACGTGTTATTCTTCCTGCGTAAAAAAGTGTGATTCGTTGTGCCCCCATTCCTTCTCTCTCGTACACTACTGGGTAGTGGCGATGGGTCGAGCTTCGGTGTCTGAGTCTTGTCTAAAGAGAACTTCGAAAGTTTCTTCTTCAGTGTAGGTGATCTGCTGCCAGTAGGGGTCGCACTGCCACTGTCATCTGGCGAGCGTTGGAACTTGGCGAGCCCGGACTGTGACAGCACACGGCGTATTGGAGGCTTGCTTAACAGTAAACTTGTTGTTGATTCTGCTGATGTACCTAGCACATCCAGTGACTTGTACATCTCTTGACGGTACGGTGACTGCAATGTCAGACTCCAGACGAAGATGGTTCCATCCACGGCAACCGTGACCAGGGACTTGTCGCGCGAGTCTTCGTCCTGCGCATTCGAGGGTTGTACAAACGCGATATCTGTGACTCCTTCAGTGTGACCCCAGTCTCGAGCGAGTAGGGTGCCGCTTTCGTCGTAGACGCGTATCGACTTGTCTGTACTAGATACTCCTGCAATAAGAGGTGAGCCCCACTCGCGTGGGATATGAGCCAATGAGTGCAGTACGACAGCATCACCCCCGTCGCTGTCTGATGCCTTGAAATTACTGAGGCACTGCCCACTCTGCACGTCGAACTTGTGCACTTGACGGTCGACACTCGATGCGATCAGTACATCATCCTGATCAACGTCCCATGTCATAGACACCGGCGTGGATTTGAACGCTATGCAGCGGAGGAAGACGAAGACGCGAATGGTCTCGCCGTCCTCCTCTCGAGACAACATCTCACGCACGACAATACTGCGATCACTCGACGACGAGACAAGACGTGTGCCATTCTGTGAGAACTGTATGCCCAGCACGGCTCCGGCATGCTCGTCCAGAGTCTGCAGCAGTGTCCATTTGCCTCTTTCTCGACTAAAGATCTGTACGGTGCGATCTCTGCTTGCAGAAGCGACAAGAGTGGAGCTTTCATCTTCAAAGATGGCAATGCTGGTGACCTCGTTTGAGTGCGCTCTCGATTCGAAGATGACAGTCTCGAATCTGCAATCGATGATCCTTAATACACCCATCTTATCTCCAGTGACGAGAAAGCTGGCATCAGATGAGGCGCGAACTGTGCGGAGTTCATTTGGCACGAAGTCAGAACCAGCAGGCTGTTCTAGTGCCACCTGCAGAGATCTTTGAGTACTACCAGTCTGACTCCAGAATATGACGCTACCACCTGCAGCCCATGTGTAGTACGATGCATCGAGGTTGTTCGATCGAGATAGGACTCTAACCCCCAGTACAGAGTCGCCCTGTGCTGGCAGCGTATGTATGACATCACCGATGCTCGTCTCATCGTTTGCGGAATGAGAGGTACTAGTCAAGTCCTCGGTCGCCACGCTGGCCGCGCACAGATGTGACAAGCGAATAGCACGCTGCGAATCTACCGTCACGATGTGCTCCGCCAGACATGCGATTGCACTGATTTGGTTACTGCAATCGGTGATGGAGATAGTGGGCGACCCGCCTCGAGAGCCCTGGGAGGATGGTGATGGCGGTGGTGTCAATTTGCTGGTGAGGCTGGCCACCGTGAGCGTCTTCAACCCTCCATGAGTGCCCGCAAGATGAAGCCGTCCCTTGCCATCGGTGGCCATGGAACTGATCGAGAATCCAGCGTGCGCTACGCGGGAGAAATTCTGATCTCGTTCTGTCTCGTCAATGAGGCATAAGTCGCCACGCTCAGATGCCACGATCGCTTTGCTGAGTGCTACTTGACACACGCTCGTGAACGTTGCGTCTTGCAGGTCTCCCAGCAGGCAGTTCCTGCCAGATAGTGGCTTATGCGTACTGCCAGAAAACATATCGCTCTGACGTGGTTTCGACACCCGTTGAACAGGATTACGGTCTTCGAGAGACCAGACCTTTACGTGCCGCGTGCCTACGGTGATGAGCTTGTTCCCCATCCAGGTCATCTGGTTGATGTTGCTGACACACTTGTTGCTGGAGTGGAGAGTCGCGGCTCCAGTACGAGGGTTGATGCTCCATACGTATAGGAAGCCATCTTGCGCCGTCCCAATGCTTGCAAGGTACCGCGAGTCTGGACTGAAGGCTACACAGTTGACGCCAAATGAGTGCTCCGACAGGGCAGTAAGAGGTGTATCTGAGGGGGCGTCTGAGGAATTGGAGAAGATGAGTACGCGAGGCTTGTACCCTGTCTGCGCATGGTGTTAACGAATGCAGTGCCACGATTGATAGCATGATCGTAGCTCACCTCACCCACAGCCAGGTACTTTCCGTCTGGACTGAAGCTCACACACGTCGCTGCTTTGATCTTCTCCCGTGCAGTCCATGCTCTGTTGTTGGGCGAGTCGTTCCAGTCGTTCGTCGCTGGCGATGCATGCGGTGATGCGCCGAGACCGGCCTCGCGCAACGACGCAGTTATTCTGTTGCGGCTCTCGTTCTGTGTGGGTGTGGCAGGCCCCCCGTATATGGATGAGGAGGAATTGATAGGGTTGGTGGTGGGTCGAGCGCGGTAGAAGCGCTGAGAGATGTTGTGCTGCTCGTCGACGGTGGCTATGACTGCAGCTGTGCCTGCGGTATATGCAAAGCAGCGCGCAGTAGGGAGGCTGTCGAAGGCATTGGCGGTGCTTGTGGTGGTCCCTATTACAGTGCGCAGAGCAAGGGTCGCCTCGGCGCGGGCCGCCTTGACAGGAGAGCGGGGGTTGTTCTTGGTGGCCGTGAAGGGTAAGGGCGTGGGCGTGAGCTTGATGCCTGCTCCGAGGGTTGCGTCCCTCATTCGAGCGTTAGACGGAGTAAGCGACATCGTTTTCTCCAGGTCAGTCGAGGAGAAGGAGAGCGATGGCTAATAACAGACATCTCAACTACACGTCATGACACGATCCGGGGTCTGCTTGCTGGATAAGGTGAGGCGTGGGCTGTGGAATTGCGATTTGCTTGCAGTTGCGCGTGTTTGGTCGTGGGTCGTTGGTGAGGGGACGCAGGCACGCAAAGCTGGAAATGCGTCACCACTCACTGGTGAGCTGGTGAACGTGCAACCGTGATGCGCGCCCAATGGAGAAGCAGACGAGGGGTGAGGGTGAAAAGTCGCGCCTGCCGCAACTCTAGGGACCCATGCGCAATGAAGGGACTTTCAGCGCGCGCCGTGAGAGCCGCTCCGGTTTTGCGGGCGGTCAACACGGACGAGAGAGGGATCATCACGACTGTGCCTCTCCAGCCTCAGGTACCGTCCAGTAAGATGGTCTCGGTAAGCGTTATCGCATCCATCACACACCAAGCTTTGAAGCTTTACCCGTTGAGGCATCGTGACTTATGGTCCTTGAGGTTCGTTGACTCGCGGTGCACTGGCTGTACCGTTGCCATCAAGCTTCGAAGATGGCGTGAGGGTGGGCAGTTGAGAATCCCAGCATCGATCATGCAGGTACCCGTCTGCCGTGTGACAGACGGAGCAGCAGCACGAGCATCGCTTCGATCACCGTCGGCCAATGATCACTTCAGTCCTTTGTGCATTTGTGCAGACATTATGCTGAGGATTGTCACATGAGCTTTGTGAACCCTCCAGGACCCTGCCTCCAACGTGTGAAGCTCTGGTGAGCAGTGAGCATCCCTGGCTTGTAGGCTTCTCACAGTCGTTGTGAGTTTCATGATAATGCCTGTAGTAACAAGACTATCAACAAATTGATAATCTCAGTATTCGGTCAACAAAGAGCGCGCAAACACAGGCCTTCTTAGAGCCAGAGCAACAGCCAAAGGAAACCCCTTCCCAAGGCCAATTCTTCAGCCTCCAGCCTTGAGACTCAATGTCACTGGAAAGGCGAGATCGCAAAACAGTGGTTGTCCTCACATGACAGTCATTTCCATCTGCAACACGTCGCCGTTGACATTGCGGCGTTGCTGTCTTTTGATTCGCTGAGTAACCGCGTGAAGCGCGCTGTTTGCCGCTGGGAAACGCTTGAACGCCAGAAAAGCTCAAGACGACGTGACGAGACAACGCGCCGCAACGCTCGCTTATCAATCCTCCTACCTATCCTCTCTCCTGCAGGCGCATTCCTTTCCTCATCAAGGGCACGCCCTCGACGCCCGTATGTATGTGATACGGTCTGCACTGCGAGCATCCACAGGACGCGCTCCAGCACGATTCATCCGCGGCCGCCGCTACCCATTGATACCACGCATACGCTCACTACACACCACACGCGCGCTCGCATCCGCGTCGACACCGCCTTCAGGGCCAAACAGCACACCCGTTAGCGAAGATGGCGCCGATAAGGCCGACCGCGAGAAGGCGGCAGCAGGGGAGCAGCAGGCAGAGGCGGAGATAGCAAACGAAGACCCAGATCTTTTGGCGCAGAAGGTTCAGCGGTCACGGGAGACAACACGGCGATACCTGGCAGCGCAGCGCCGCCAGCAGAGGGGGAGAAAGGCGCAGGGCCTCCCACCAGTGAACGTCCCAGACTGGTTCCTGAAGAGACGCGTACTGCGTCGCGAGGATGTTCCCAAAGAGCTGCAGCAGCACATCACTCCCAAGGCGCTGTCGGTGTCAATTACACATACGGAGGCAGGAGAGAGCGCGACGTGTTCGATACCGGCCTCCAAGGACCTGGATGCTGTGAAGGTACTTGCACGGCTAGTTCGTGGCTTGTGGGGGCGGCGTCTGGATGACCAGGAGAAGCGCAAGATCGAACGGTACTTGGAAGAGAGAATTGCCGCCGAAACCGAGTCAAGTCCTGACGCCGAATCGTTAGGCCCCAACGACAACAAGGCACATTCCATGGGCGAAGAAGAGCTACGTATGAGACTGGAGTTGCGCGAACAGCTCCTCAGCGCTACCCAGGAGTTGAAAGTGGATCCAAGCAGATCGCTCGCTGAGCGAGCAAATGAGCTCAACAGCAAGACGCAGCGGTATATGCTCAAGAGGGAGCACGCCAAGTCAAGGTCGTCGCGAGGCTCAAAGCGTCTGTCGCCCGTCGTACTCGCCGAAGTTCGTGCCAGCATCGCAGCGGCGCTATCATCGTTGCGCCCATCGATCGGCAGCACGTTTCCTGCTACCAAGACGAACCTGATTCTACACTCGCCGGTGCCTGATCACGAACTGCTGGTGGACAGGGCAGTGGAGGCCATTGCTCTGGAGATGGATTCTGAATTGGTCGTCTTGCGAGCCAACGACCTCGCACAGTTAGCCGGAGACTACCTCGGCGAGGGCGCAGAACCATCGCCACGATCGATACGATCGCTCGGATACGAGACCTACCGCCTGAGCTCTGAGCTTGCCAATGCTTTTGAGGACATGGAGAAGGACGATGCGGCTGAAGAAGACCCCGAATCCGCTCAGCCTTCGTCAATGGACCCCTCAGAGAAACCCAAGATGGGCGCATTTCCCCTTATCTTACCCCTGTCTGCGCTGGCTTCGATCAAGGAGCTCTCAAACAAGTTCAAAGCCGGGCAACCGATTTCGTCGAGTCCGTTCGAGACATCAGCCAACGCACTCGGTGACGAGCCAAGCCGCTTACAAAGCCAGAGCGAGATACAGCTGGAGGACTTGAAGCTTGCGACGCTTCTCGAAGCTTTGGTCGATGCTGGCGAGTTGAAGCAGAGTCGGAACATCGTTGGCAATGAAGGCTTCGAGCTGCGAACAGCACCAAAAGAAGGATCAAAGAAGCGGAGGGGGAGCGATCCCAACTTCTTCGACTACTCTGTCAGCTCTGAAGGGATTCCGCTTGAACTTAACTCTGCTCTCCCAGAAGCCGCTAGACCTGTGATAAACATGGCTATTAATGTTGGCTCCGTTCCATCAGTAACACAGGTGTCAAAGAAGTCGAAGATCATCTTCGTCAGGGACTTCAAGGAACTCAACGCCACACACTACGGCGGACGCATCATCCAGAAGCTTGAGGAACTTGTCCGGAAAAGACGGAGCGCTGGCGAAAGCATCATGATCGTTGGTAGCACCTGTTCGCTGGAACTCACCCCTGACCTCTCAGCTAGTGGTGTTCGTGGCCTGCAGTCCGAAGGCGAAAGCACTTTCTTCAGAACCATTGTCGTAGCAGCGGATACAGACAAGACATCTCTGTTGGATGAGTCCAATGCGATGTCAAAGGGTGAGATTGGATCAGCAATCTTGTCGCCGAAAGAAAGAGGCAAGTTCTGTGGCATCAACATGCTTCACACTCAAGACATGCTACGATCGCTGGACCCCGTCGCAGCTGCCCGCATATCGGATATGGAGTTGACTATTCAACACCACCGAAACTTTGCAACCATCATACCAGAAGCTTACCTCAACCGAGTATTGACGTACGACGAGGTGCATAGGATAGCACTGACAGCTCTTGGGTTGCATATCACGAACCCAACTGGATCAACACAACTTGACGTCGAACAAGGCCAAGTAAATTGGGCACATGTCGCGCTAGCCATGGGGCTGTTGAAAACCAGTGACACCGTCAAGTACCTCTCCTTCGACAAGGCACTGCAAAAGCAACAACCTCGGCAGGATCTAGGCCCAGAAGCTGAAGCTCACGTGAAGGCGAAGAAGCGACACAGCGAAATTGACCTGCAGCGCCAGCGCGACCTCCAGCGTATCACCGCAACTGCGACCAAGCACGAGAAGCGCCTGATATCTGGCATCGCAAACCCCGATCAGATCAAGACAACATTCGATCAAGTTCACGTCCCCAAAGAGACGATCGATTCAATCCGCACCATAACCTCGCTCTCGCTCCTTCGCCCGGACGCATTTAACTACGGCATTCTCGCCACTGAGAAGATCTCCGGTGCGCTTCTCTACGGCCCTCCGGGAACCGGAAAGACACTGCTTGCTAAAGCCGTGGCAAAAGAGTCCGGCAGCACCGTGCTCGAAGTCTCGGGCTCGCAGATCATGGACAAATACGTCGGTGAGGGCGAGAAAAACGTCGCTGCCATCTTCTCGCTGGCTCGCAAGCTGTCTCCTTGTATCGTCTTCCTGGATGAAGCGGATGCTGTCTTCGCAAGCAGAGATGCCATGCGCGAGCGCACAAGCCACAGAGATATCCTGAACCAGTTCCTCAAAGAGTGGGACGGGTTGAACGACCTGAGTGTCTTCGTCATGGTAGCCACGAACCGCCCATTCGATCTCGACGACGCAGTCATCCGCCGACTGCCGCGCCGTCTACTCGTCGATCTGCCCACACAAGCAGACCGAAAGGAGATTCTGCACATCCATCTCAAGGGCGAACAACTCGACCCCTCTGTCGACCTCGACGACCTAGCAAAACGCACACCCTTCTACAGCGGCAGCGACTTGAAAAACGTGGCCGTCTCCGCAGCACTAGCATGCGTCAAGGAAGAAAACGAGGTCGCTGCCAAAGCGGCTGCAGAAGCAACTCTCACAACGCCCCCGCCGGAGGAAGATAGCAGTTTTGCAGAGGAAGAGAAGGATGAAGCAGCAGCACCAGCGTACTTGCACCACACCGACGGTCCGCCCCCACCACCCACACCATCCTTCTCCTCTCCTCCATCCTCAGAATCCATCGCTTCAAGCTCTGCGTCCCCAACACCGGCTCACCTTGTACAAGGTGTGAACTACAATTTCCCCGCTGTGAGGACGCTGTTGCCGAGGCATTTTGATGCGGCATTGCAGGAGATTAGTGCGTCGATCTCGGAGGATATGTCGAGTTTGAGCGCAATCAAGAAGTTCGATGAGCAGTTTGGTGATAAGAAGGGGAGGAAGGGGAAGAAGGGGTTTGGGTTTGGGGAGAATATGGGGAAGAGGGATGAAAACGCTGCAAGGGTGAGAGGATGAGGTCTTTGTATCTGTTGGTGCGCTCCTGACTTGGCGGAGAAATTTGCTCGGAATGGTGGAGATGAAGGGCATGAGGAGAATATGTGAATACTGCATATCGGGTATGTACAGGTAGTGTACTATAGACTGAACGAAGAACGGACGAATGGAACACATGATGATGCCCATAGCTAATTGATGTGTGTCATTTGTACTTGAATATGCATGGAAAAGAGAAGTACAAATCAGCAGGGGAAGAGAGCTCTGAGACACGATGTGTTACACTCCAATTGAAAGCAAAGTACGCAGTCCATATCTAGGGCCCTATAAAATCGAAAATTGAGGCTGAGATTTCGTGGTCAAGATCGGGATGGGCGGGATGCGATCCCCGGTATGAGCACGTGGTCTCCATATTCCGGGGGTTGTCGAGGCGCGGTTTTGAAAATGTGAGTCACTTAGGGAGGAGGTTCTTCCGCAGGATCGGACTCGAAGGTCGATACCTGGCGAAGAGGCTGCTGCTCCATGTCTAATTCGTATTGGGACGTACTGTCACTTGCTAGGTCGTATTCTGTTGGAGCGGTTTCATTGAAAGATTCTTTTCAACCGTCTTGTCTCCGCATGAAATGCTGGAATCGGTGATCCCAGGCGATCAGGTGCTTTGTCGATCACTCATCGACGAACCCATGAGGACGTACCGGATCCTTCCCAAGGACCTAGTATGGACTCATCATAGCCAGCAACCTGACATATAAGCTGAGCCTCTGTTAGAGGCTGCGATTCGTACAACTACTGCAGTTGACTCTGTTGCAGACTAGGCTGGTCGAACGCTGACAGCTGCGCCCAACGGTCAGAAGCGGAGACATCATCGTAAGGGTCTAGTTGTGGCGGTCGCTTGATGGCATTTCTAGGCCTTCTTTCATCCTTGCTATTGTTCTCCATGACGCTCCGCATAGCCCTTGCTATCAGTCCCAAGAAAGGCTCGCATAGTCGCTTTGCGCACCGTGGTCATATTCTTTTTCGATTTCACTTCGGCGGGAGTAGCACCCACAATGAATTGGAAATTCGTGCTTCTGTCATCGTTGCTATTGCTGGTGGTAGCTGCTTCGAGCTGGTCAACATGATCGGATTTCTTCTGTCGTGCCTCACGAGCAGCAAGAGTATTGCGCGCTCGTTTTTCAAAAGGAGCGCTTTTGCGATGATAAGGCTTGCTGGTACTGTTGGTAGCAAGTGGGTTGGTAGCAGTAGAGTACTCTGCAGACAAATCCGTCTGATACGAGCTGGTACACTCTTCTTCGAAAAATAGAGAGAACCAAGGGTTTGTGTTGGTTAGAAGAGGTTCATCCTGGAACATGGATGTAGACTCAAGAGGCCCATTTATCATGGGTGAAGTCCTAACTGCAGACGAACTCGAGCTGCTACGTGCTACAGCCGAGGGTGCAAAGCCAAGAGCATCAGCGGAGATATTCTTTGGTGCTGCAAATGAAGGCTCCACATGCACCTTGTCAGTAGGAGTGATCGAATCGCTTTGATCGCTTGACCTAGTTTCAACTGAAGAATTCTGCGTTGGACGCGCAGAATCGCAAGTATCGGAATCGGTTCTCTCGGCCTGCTGCCGGCAGCGGTTAGCTAACCTAGCCTCACCACGAGCCTCGCTCTTTGCAGCAATCAAGTCTACATCGTGCACATGCTGAGCCGCGGCTGCTAGATTATCGAGTTGCTGGTACGAGAGCGTCATGCACGCCGAAGAGGAGGCTGTGGGGGTGGGGCTGCCTTGGATGGGCGCAGGAGATTTTGGCTGCGTCGCCTCACTTTGCAGCGTGCTAGCGAGCGTGCCTCTCAAGCGATCAAGCTGATCTGCACCATTCTCCTGTAAATAGGTGCAGACACTAGTGCAGCCTGCTGCATCTTGAAAACTGAGAGCCATTTTGGCTTCTCCCTCTACCCAGGAAATGAGTTTGTCTTGCTGCTTTCTGAAATGCTGGCTTGTTGATACGTTTGTTTGTAATAACATCAGGGCAGGGTGATGTGTATTTTTCACTACCAGGTATGGTGTGCCGTCAGTGGATTGACGACCATAACACTGCCCGCTACCGATGTCGACCCAATTATGATCCTTGAGTGTGGATACTGTGGCTTGCCAAGATGGGGTCGTAGGCTGGTGACTCCAGAAGATGTTGGTTTCGTTAACAGAAATGCCTGGAGTGCTCCCAGGTGAGACTTCATCCGCGTTATCCGACCGAGTTTCTGTCTCTGTGATTGAGTCTGATTCAGTATCGGACTCAATGTCACGAGGAAGTGATACCAAAGCAATGTCTTCCAGATGGCGTGCAAAGTGGACCAAGACGGCGCTTTTGCCGCTCTTTGTAGTATCGAGGCAGAGTGGACATTGAACGGCATCCCAGTCAGGCCCACATTCGTGTCCAAGTTTGAGATGGTCGGTCCATAGCTGACGATTTGCGAAGGGCTCACGCGTAAAATTGCAATTTGTGAACAAGTAGGTATAAGGCCGAAGATCAGTGTAGAGATGTTTTCTACCAATTGTGAGTCAGCTCAAGATGGAAGATTATTCTCACTGCCCTACGTACCTCCATTCACGATTGGTGGTTGCCCGTATATGCTTGCCACAGGCGGTGCATTCGAATGGCAGTCCGTTCTTCGCATCTGCAGGCAGGGGAGGGACATTGACCCGTTTTCCCTCTGGAACACTGGCCATGGATGAGACAACTGTCTCCGCGCACGAAGATACAACTCGAGGTAGAGAAGTCCCAATCCCCGAGTTTTGGAACTCTGATTCAGCAGCATGCAACTTGTCGCCCGAGGTCGGCGCAAACAGTGCGTGCGCATTTGAATCTCTCTCTTGCTGCATTCGCAGATATCGGTTCCAGCTGGTCTGACCTAGACTTTGCAGCAAGCAAGTTTCAGCCTTGGGAAACTTTGCCCTAATCAGATCTATATGGAAGTCATGTGGAGAACGCTGATCTAGCGTCACCAGACTCGGTCCTTCGTCATGCTCAGGTTCGAGGGCTGGGCAGTCTAATGCGGTACCCAGATCGATTAAACAGTTAGTGTAAGTTTTGATCCTTTGTACCAGTTCGTGCATCTTATCAGTAGCACCATCGTCGCTAGAGCTGCTGGATTCACTGCCGCTGTCACTCGTGTCATCGTTGTCATCTGTCAGCAACCATTTTGTCTGACTGTATAGTTCTGTAGCAGTATTACACAGCAGTACAATCACATCGTCGCCTTGTCGGGGAAGAACATGGCTTCTCAGCCCTGCATCGATTAGCGAAGGCAATACAAGGAACCGATCAAATACGAACCGTGTGAAAGAACTCTACACATCGGGTTGAGAATAGATAAGGTCGTGAGACGCAGACTATTCGATCGATCGAGCGTCATATCGAGAGCTCCGGTGGTTGCGCCATGTCCGTCCGACCATAGTTGTAGCGAGGCCAGAGAGCGTCGAAGGATGTTGCGTTCGCTTCTAGAGATCGAGGTTGCATCGAGATGTTGTAAGAGGTACCAGAGCGAATCCTGGCAGGTGAGAAAGAGTCTTGAAATGACCCCTTGTTCCTGTTGCTCGGGTTCGGAGCTCGTTCGCTCCTGCCAATGATGGATCTGATTCTGATGGTTAGGCTGTAGATATACACCTTCTCTCGCGAGCTGTTCCATTGTCGCGACGAGATTTCGCTTTCACTGGGCGCGTTTGGTCAAGCGATGGCACCGATCGATCGTAAAGTGCAGTTCTGGACGCTATAGAGGCTTTCAGCCTTGTGGCATCATCCCACAAACTTCCAAGACTCAGTACAGACCCGTACTATATCGATATGCTGCCCAAGGAGACCGATTACAACGAAGAATAGAGTGTGCTCCGTGGTAGGACTTTGTAAGGTTCTTCAAAGGCGTGAGGCAAAGTCTAGATGTGAGATCGGGGCTGAATTGCATTGCGGGGCTGTGCATGCAGCATGGGGCTGAGCGAGGCACTTCGAGGCCCAATATACGCTCAGCCTACCGCACTGGACTGCTCGATCATGTTCCTGTGCTACTTCTCCCAATGTCTGGCATTGAGATCGCCGGCATCGCCTTTGGCGTTTTACCCATACTCATTGAGGTTGTAAAGTCCTACTCAAACGTATGCAAACAGGTGCATACGCTACGTCATTACTCGAAAGAGGTGAAGTCCATCTCAGAGCAACTCAAAGTCCACAATGGCATCTTCCTTAATGAAGTTCGTCTCCTGCTGCGATCAATCGAAGCAGAGGAAGAGGTCGAGAGCATGTTGGAGGATGCGGTGGATCAACGATGGATAAGTAAACACCTCAACGACAAACTGAGAACAGTTCTTCGGGATAGCTTTGACGTGTGCCATGGCATCATCGAGGAGACCAGGGATACAATTGAGACGATGAGAGAAGAGATTGGAAATTTTGACGTCCTGCTCAACCAGAAAACGAAGGTCAGTAGGTCGTGCATGGCGCTAGACAGGCACCCCCGACGACTTCCATGACTTCGTCTCATCACTCATCACAGGGCGAATCCATCAAATCAACACTCAAACGCCTAGGAGGAGCCATCAAAATCACGTTCGATAAGTCTCGACACGACCGATGCCTAGCGAATCTTCGGGACAGGAACGGCGATTTGAGCGCGCTCCGGTCCCAGGTTAGCGCCTTGCAACGCCAGGACGCCCATGGGACGAGCGCTTGTGTCCAACACAAGCCTCTACCGAGGGGGCTCAACTCTATACAAAATGCATCTCAAAAGCTTCATGAGGCCATTTGCGGTGCTTGGTGTTGCGATGACCCCACACATCGAGGACACTACGCAAAGCTGTGTATCGACGCCCAAGTTCAAGCAGAAGTGCGGCTCGACCTCGCCATATCATGCCATGAACCGAGCCCGAATGGTAACAATAAGTGAGTGTTACTGAGTTGAAACAGTGACCGTATGCTGATCATGTATAGCTCGTCGCCAACACGCCCGATTTGGTTTTACGTGCAGTCAATCAGCACATCGAGAGACGCCGCTGGACAACAAGCGAATACTACATCTTCACCAGATAATCCGGCACCGTCGCCTCCGCTCGAACTGCTGACGTCTTGTGTTGTAAATGTTTTGAAGAAGAAAGCTTCTTCTGATCTCCAACATCAATCTTCATGCCGCAAGAAAGCCAAGAGTGTATACTTCGTCGATGCGTCCACGGCGTCTGATCCTGTCGCAGCTGTCTCGAAACCTCCCTTCCAGGCGCTTGCGCCCGATATCGATCTTTGCCAAACAAAGGACATTTGCAAATACTTGCAAAGGCACTACCATCTGTCTGGGCAAACAGTCGCTAAGCGCTGTATTGGCTACCTGGAAACCCCACAAATGTACAAACACCTGTTCTATTTTCGAGATGAAAACAGAGCTGTAACTCCTGGACCAATTAGAACGCAACTAGACAGCGTGTGTTCTATCTTCGATGTTATGCGACACAATGCAGATGATGCTCTAGCGGTCGAGGATCAGTTGAAGTTGGCCCACAAGACTGCGCTTGCGCTTCTTCAATTCAACGACACGCCATGGCTACCAGATCGCTGGCGGCTCCGCGATCTGAGCTACTTCGGGTCGAAAAGTTCGTTGAACGACGAAGCCCTCAAGACATTGCATCTCAGCTCGCAGATCTCAGCCCCTGCAGTAGCAAATGCACTAGACAACACGATGAATGGTATCGAACAGGCTGCTGATGTTGTCAGTGATCAAGATCGTTACGGCATCAACAACACTACCTTGTTCTTCCTTGGCATTGCTCTTCTCGAGATCGCACACTGGAAACCAATTGAAGAAAAGATGACGGACCGCGATCTCAACAACGAGATCTTCGCTGCTCGTCGTCTGGCAGCTGGCCGTGCACCATTAGGCCCACAGTACCAGAAGATCGCCGAGAAATGTCTTCAATGCAACTTCGGATTCGGGACTAAGCTCGGCAACAAAGGACTGCAGACAGCTGTTTACAACGATGTGGTGTGCGAGCTTGAGAATATGATAGAAAAGTTGACTGTCTAACACCGGAATGGACATATCTGCAGCTCGAATACGAGTCACGCACATTGATGTCTGCACATTATGTGCACCACAATGCCAGCATTGACTACTCTTCGAGAACCAGCAAACGGATTAGAGCTCAGGAAGTATCCGGAGAAAACGATCGAGACGACTTCAAATTATATATTGTCATCACCTGTCCTCAGTGTATCCCCCGAAACGTCCGTCCAGAGACCGTTGTATTATCAGGAGAGCAGCTTCATCACCACCCAACCTTCCCTTCACCAAGTTCAATGCCATTCACCTTCGGAACCGTCCACAAACCGTCGCTACCACCTGCCCAATCTGTGCACACACCGACTGGATCGGCCATACAATCAATCGAGCTAGGCGCACGCGTGAGGGGAGAGCAAGCGAGCAAGCAGAAGTGAGGAGCCAGACGACCCGAGTGAGTATGCGGACAAACGAAAAAGGGCGAGCAGGCTCTCCAATGTCCTTGGACAAGGAACATTCCAGAGGGGCAGGGTGGTGGACAAACTGATAGGAGGCAGTAGAGAGGGACCACCAGAACAGCAGTTGAATCAATCAAAAACTTCGTTCCACAGCAATACAGCAAAGATCAAACGGCACGAAAGCATGCAACCCAATCAACCGTCGCTCGTTAGTATGATGGATATTGAATCCAGCGCACTCAAACCCCACACTCTACAACATCGTCTTGGCAAAATGCATACCCGCCGCCCAATGCCACAACCTCGCGTCCACCGTCTTCCCCTCCTTATCGTACTGCACCAGCCTCTCATACAGCTCATCAAGCGGCACAACCACCTTCTCAATGAACTCCCCATCATCCAGCGCCTGTTCGGGCTCCGTGTCCCCTTCTTTCAGGTTGACTTCGACGGTTGCGAGCTGCATGTTCGCGCTGCTCAACCCGGGGTCGCTGACAATCGTCGGCGAGATGAAGGTCAACTTGCCCTTGTACCCCGTTTCCTCGTGTAGCTCGCGCACGGAGGCATCGCTGGGAGTTTCCTTCTCGTCCACCAGCCCGGCAGGGAGCTCTACACAGACGGCATCGACGGGTGGGCGGTACTGCAGGATAATTATTGTGCTGGGTTTGCGCTTCGGGTGCCGGATCACGGTCGTGATAGCGACTGCGTCAACGCCCGCTCTGCCGCGCGTTTTGCGGTTCGCGGCTTCCCACACGCGCTCCCGACCTGTCTGGTCTTGCCAGGAGATCTTTTGGAATTCTACCCACTTGGCCTCAGCTGCAGGCAAAGCCTCGATCTTGTTTATTCTGGGCGCTTGTGGCATGTTGTAGGCTGCGCAATGGCGGGGTGATGTGGAGAAGGTACAGAGGGTGAATTGGTAGCGCGGGTTTGCGAGGGCGGTAGTTGAGTGTTTTGCGATGGACTGGAAGGGTCGCGTGTACATTGACGGGTTTTGAGTGGATGTGTAGAGTGCAAGTGTGTACCTGACGTCGTTGATTTGGGGTTAGAGCTATGGCCAATTAGATCATTGCCCCACTACGCGTCATCCACACGCGGTTTCACGTGCATGAATCCTTCACGCTTACACCAATTGTATTATTGGGGATCTTTTCAGGGCTGTCAGAGATCATTGGTTACGATTCTGGTTTTGTTTCTCAATGATGGCTTTCTCTAGTCTAGAGAGTAGGGTCTATGACTCAACACAACACGTTTATTGCTCTGTCGCGATCCCCGACTCTGGTGTGCCCAAAAGAGGTTGGCTTTCATCCTCCCTACTCGCATCTGCATTCTTTGCACCAGAATCGGTAGCTGAGATTGGCAGCATGCCGTACCACGCGATAATCGCCACCATTGCGAGACCATTAAGAACACTGACTACGAAAGCTACGATACCTCTGGGCGTGAACCCAGCAGGTAACGGTGCCGGAGGAGCAGGTTCACCTTGGAGATTAAGCAGATCAGCGACGTTACCGGCTGCATTTCCTGAAGTCGGTGTCGATGGGTCATTTCGTTCGCAAAGAGCATAATGATTGGGTGGAATAGTTGTCGTTTCCTGTAGCTGTAGCGGCGCTTCGATGAAGGTTGCAGTAAGTCCCGAGGCAACGTGCCTGTGAACGGGGGTAGTCAATACACGTCGTCATGGGCATGCAGGGAAGAAAGCTCACCATTCAATATGACAATGGAACAGCCAAACACCGGGATTGTCGCTACGGAATCTTAGAACGGCGTAGCCATTGGGCCGGACCAGCACGGTATCACGTCTCATGGGGACGAGTGGCAGATGTGCTGCACTGTTGACAGAATAACTTCCCGCATCGTCGTCAGAGCGCGCTACGACCTGGAAGGCATGTCCGTGTAGATGAAACGGATGTTTCTGTGGACAGTCAGCCACGATGTGAATAAGAGGGGTATTTTACGACGCACCCCATCATCGTTGTTGTTCAGAACGATTTCAACAGTCTCATTCCCATTCAGTACGAAAGAGTTCGTGTGACTGCCATACACTATTGGATCGCTGGCATGTTGGCCAGAGGACATGACCGTGTATAGGGTCGGGACTTTTGGTGGGACGTAAGTCATATCGTTGAAGAACGCACTAGATGGGAGTATCAGCCTAGCCATCAGTGAATAAGAACGGACACCCACTAGTTAGCACCATCTCCAAGGTTGTCCATCTTGAGATCTAGCGTGATAGTTCTGTCGACTGTATCAAGCGCGGCCAAACCGTCCAAGGGTCGAAGTGAGTAGTCGTCCACAGGTGTGAAAAGGTCAAGTTTTAGTGGTGGTGGTAACCCTTGTGTGCTGTCTACCACGAGCCAGCCAGTCACGTTGGAGTTCAAATCGTCGGGAATTGTATCGAATAGTTCCTTCACACTCATCAGATAGACATCAAACTTTGAGAATTGGTAACTTACTTCATCCATGCTCGCCACAAAGGGAATGTTGGTCACACTATCGCTGTTTACAGAGAGAAGTACAGAGTACCGCTGACCAGCCGTGAGATAGAGCAGACTCGCTTCCGCGGGTTCAGTATAGATGCCGTCCACTTCGACAACCTTCATTGAGCAGTTCTGGAACCACACATACATGCCAGCAAATGCAGCCATATTCACCTGTCGGGGTAAGCTAGAGCTCCTACCCATACATGATGGAACGGTCTCACCATGCGTATGAGATATGTCCTCCCTGGCAGCACTGCGATCGTCACGTTCTGTGCGTCATTGATCAAAGCCGAGTTTGGCACGGGTTCAGCGCCCGTAGGATTGGTGACGCTGATGAATGACGCCAGGAGCGGTTTCATCAGATCGTGGTACCAATCAGAGAAGGAAAGCACAATCTCCTCATCAAAGTCATTCTGAAAGGGGTTATCCAGGTCGTGAACGATGAGCGGAGCTCGAAGTCCATCGGGATATTGGCCCTTGGTATGAGAGTGAAACCAGTATGTCCCTGGCTGGTTGATCTACGCTCCTGTCAGCGAAGTTCAGGCAGAGTTTGGATCTGCTTTCGCATCTCACCTTGAAGTTATAGATGAGACTCTCACCAGGCGAAATCTCACACTGTGTTACACCTGGCGGACCGTCCATATACGTGGTGCCATTCATGTAAAGGCCATGCCAGTGTAAGCTGGTCGTCTCGTTGCCAAGGTGATTGCGTACTGTGATGACAACCTGCTCGCCCTTGGTGGCGTGGAGAGCGGGTATAGGCCATTGGCCGTTTATGCCCATCACAGGTCTGTCGTGTAAGCCATCAGGGTTGCGATTGACCCAAGTGATGTTGTACTCGAGTCTCGTAACCTTCGTGCAGGCGGCTCCATAGATGAGAAGCAGGAAGGACAACAACACAGGAAGCATTGCGCTAGGTGATACCGCGAAGCGGACCAACGGTTCCAAGTCAAGTGTTAGAGCAACTCAGATTAGATGCGAGTGGCACCCATTGCTGAATGAATCAAATGTTAGGCATTGTGGTTGCCCCCAGTTCTGCTGCGAAATGAGAAGCAGCAATCGGCTAATCGTGAGCTCGAGGACGATGCCGGGCCATGCCAATCGTGAGGCCCGCAGCGCAGCAAAATGTTGCAGCATGACTCTCATCTGATCCGAGTTTAAATACGGCTTGCCGCTTTTGAGAAAAGAGGCATCCAAATTTTCGGCACTAATCTTATCTGATCGGCTAGATCCGACTTATGACCCACAGGCAGCTCCACTTATGCGACAACCGCTGACGAGAAGGATCTGTCCCGCGCCAGCAAATGGGGGCACATCTGCGTAGCCCGTTCTTATGCTCGCTCCGGCCTACTTCTATGGGCTCAAGCGCACCAGAGCCTTGGCTGAGGGCTGCTTACTATCCCCCGGTGTTTGTCTTCTGCTCGTGCCTGGGGTTGCATATCACAACCTACTCAATCGCTACAAGACCTTTTCAATTCTGAATAAGATTACGTTTACCCGGTCGCGATGGTGCAAATATTCGCTGCGCAAGGTCCGTACTATGACGGCCAACCTATTGCTGCCCACTGAAACAACGAAGTCTTTTTCATATGTTTCCGCGAGAGCTTGGAGACCAGCATCATCGTATCAGTCTTGCTCTCCTTCCTGAAGCAGACGTTAAGCCGCGAAGATGAAAAACCCGTCTATCGAAAACTGGTTCGACAGGTGTGTCACTCAACCCAAATTACCCCAGCTTCTCTAATGCCACGAGAAGGTCTGGCTAGGAGTCATCCTCGGCCTCGCAATATGCCTGATCATCGGTGGCACCATGATAGTCATATTCTACCGCTTCCAGTCTGATCTCTTTGCCAAATACGATTACATCTGGGAGGGCGTGTTTGGTTTCATCGCCTCGGCAATCATCACCATCATGGGCGCGGCTCTACTCAGGATATCCAAGTTGCGCGACAAGTGGCGCGTCAAGATCGCTGCTGCCCTCGAGGCCAACAGTGCCGATGAGACTTCCAGTGGAGACACTGGATTAAAAGGGCTCAAGTTGTTTGGAGAGAAGTATGCTATGTTCCTCCTTCCCTTCGTCACAGCGCTGCGCGAAGGCCTGGAAGGGGTGGTATTCATCGGTGGTGTTAGTCTTGGATTGCCAGCCGCTTCGTTTCCGCTGGCAGTAGTGTGCGGCTTGGGAGCTGGCGCGTTAATCGGGTTCTTGCTCTACAGGTGAGACGCTTCTACATTGAAGGCCTTCCACATGACTGACCTGTCACAGAGGAGGCAATGCATCGTCTTTGCAATTGTTCCTTGTTGCATCGACATGTTTCCTATATCTCGTGGCTGCTGGTTTGTTGAGCAGGTCCGTGTGGTTCCTTGAGAATTATCCGGTAACCACATGCAGTCAGTATTCCGACAGAAGACTTACTTACAGTGTGTAGTGGAACACGGCCCTCGGTGGCGACGCAGCAGAAACAGGCTCTGGACCTGGGTCATATGATATCCGCCAGAGTGTCTGGCATGTGAATGTAGGTTGCGCTGCAATCGTCCTGTTACAATACCCCTCTGCTAACATCAGCGATCGCGACGTAGTGCTGTAATCCCGAGATCGATGGAGGCGGCTGGTGGGGAGTTTTCAACTCACTCCTTGGCTGGCAGAACTCTGCTACCTACGGCAGTGTCATCTCCTACAACCTTTACTGTGTTGCGGTCGGTGCGGGATTCCTGGTCATGGGCTTGAGAGAGAAGTATGGGGGATGGTCAGTCTCACGGTACAAGGGCAAGAGCAACACACGTGTGGTCACATAGACGCCGTCTGCTACATTCTTGGATATGCAAGGCAGCCTAGTGCCAATGTATAGATTTTCAAACGTAGACTCGCAGATTTGCACTTTATGCAAACTGCGAAGTAGGTACAAACAGGTCCGCCTCCAAATGCATATGTGGTAAGATATGCTACCAATGCCTTGCCGCCTGTACAAAAGAAACGCAACGCCAGCGACGGTGATATGTGGTATCATGCAGAATATCCAAACAGATGGAAACGAGTGGTCGGTAAGCTGCGGGCTTGCCCACAGCTGGGTTGGGATGGTCAGTGAAGGATAGGGGTATGTGGCGAGGATTGTGTTGCGGTGCGATCGAGTGTGTGACACTACCGTTTCTCGAGCCATTTAGCGAATCGCCCCTTGTCGTTTGCGCCGGTGGCTTCAAGGTGTGTACTGCGATCGTATAGTTCCTGCCACGTTAGCTTTCATCCTCTCCACTCCAACCCCGTCGAGACTTACATCATCGTCCTTACTGATCTTGACATCCAGAATCAGACCCCGCACCTCCTCGCACTTCGTCCACGCCGGATACGGCGTGCCCTGCGCCCTCTGGATCCCCACAACCACATCCCCCATGACCTCAAACTTTCTCCAATTGATCCTCTCCTTGCCCACGACACCGCCCGGCGGCGCTTCTTTGCTATCTCTACTCCCCGCGGCCCCGGCAAATACGCTCGTCCCTGGATGCGGACTGAAGCTCGGCGCCGCGGGCTTCGCTCCGACAAAAGTCGAGGAACCCTCGGACGCGGAGACGAGATCGCGTCGGTACAGAGGGATGTACGGTATGCGTTCACCGGAGCTGTTTTCCCAGGCGAGGCGGTATGCGAAATGACTCTTCTGGGGGCCCATGAGGATATCGAGCTTCAAGAAATCGTGGTTCACAGCCTGCGGCACAAGATCTCTTGTCGCTATCAGCCGGTACACAGCGGTACCCTTGATGCCCGCAATGATCGCGCCGAGGGAGTTGTAGTTGTTCAGCTTCCGCACGTGACGCGCTATACGCATCCACTTTTCCAGCATGAGCGCGCGGTGCTTCGGCTTGTCGCGCAGCAGGATGTAGTTTGTAACCAGGAACGCGATGTGGTTGAAGTGTGCGGTCATGCGGGTTACGTTCTCGAGCTGTTTGCATTGCTTGCGCGCCTCGGTTGAGAGGGAGACGTGGCGGACGAGGTCGCGCGGGCGCACGGAGGAGAACATTATCCAGTCCATGCGGGTGAGCTCTTTGGCGATGACTTCATCGTCGCAGGCCATGAGTTGGTGCCATTGTATCTTGGAGAGGGGCTTGATGGGGTTGGGCCCGAGTTGGCGGGCGAGGCGTTCGTTGCGCTCGACTTGGGTCACGAGGGTTAGAGAGGAGCCGAGGGAGCCGTTGGTCGATTTGGACCCGACGGTCATGCTGCTGCGGGCGACGGATAGGCTGTCCGAGCCCATGGACATGTGGCCTATAGCTCTAGTGAACTCGTCGTCTTCCGACTCCTCGTCTAGCACGGTGTTGTAGAAGGCTGGCAACTGGTCGCTCTGAGCGCGTTGACGATCGCTGCACGCCCAGTCGGTGTCGTCGTCTTCGGAGACCATTTCAAGATCGCGGAGAATCTCCATAGCTGCCACCGAGAACTCCCGATTCGATGCTAACGCGGATGCAAACTTCCGAATCAGCTTGCGTGTTGTAGGATATGCGAAGTCGCCAGGATAGTAGGCGACCCATTGATGGAGCACAGCGAGGTAGCGCAGTTGCGCGATCACGCGGATCATGGGCATGTCCTTGTTCTTGGCCAGCGCCTCGAAGCGCTTGAGGATGGCTTCGAGCAGCTGGCTCGGTGTGCCGAATCTGCGATACAAGGCCAGGAATACCGAGACGAACTTGGTGTCGTTCTTGGACATGGGCTGTGCCAACAGTCGGTCGACTAGCTGGTCGAATGTGTACCCATTCTCGTCTGATGGCTGCACTGTCATGATGCTGCGTGCAGTGTCGGAGCCGTCGCCAGACTCTTCCGAGTCGTAGCCTGGAGACTCCTCGTTGAAGAATGTCTTGTTGACATCGCTTGGCTTATAGCGGTGGCTTCTCCCGCCCAGCGACCCTTTTCTCGAGTACTGCGAGGATAATTCCGAGCTTGCACGCTCGTGCTTCTTCGTCCAAGCGTCCTTTTGCGTCATGGACAGGACTGCAGAGGAGTTGGCTCGCCGCCGGGACGACGCCTGTGACCTGGGCCGTCTGGCTGAAAGGGCAGCCCGTATGAGGACCGCCAGACACGGTCGATGTGTCTCAGGAGAGGCCTCAGAGGTGCTGAAAACGCTGACGTCTCCGAGGAACGACTTCGCCTTCTGTTCGACAACGGATGGATCGACCTCTCGGTGCGCAGGGTGCTGGTCGCATTTGCAGGCTGCCAGGACGAAGGGCAGGTTCGACTTGGAGAAGATACTGAGGACATCAGGCACTCTGGCCAAGCTGTCCTGGCTGGTGACATCATAGAGCGTGATCGCACCATCGATGCGTGGCGTAGCCATGTCGTGGGTAGTCTCCGGCCACTTGATGAGGTGCCTCTCGCCGATCTGCACATCGTTGAACGACATCTCGAGGAACCTCACGAGACACGGCGTGCCGTCGATGGTCCACTTCCTTGCACACGCAGCAGGCGCCGTCGAGTCCGGGAGCCCCAGCGCTCGGCGTATGAAGGTCGACTTGCCCGTGCCCCTGGCGCCCAGCACGGCGAAGTTCAGGTGCTGGGTGGCGGGCGTGTCGTCGCTGGCGCCTGAGCCCGTCTCCGGCGACTGGTCAGCTTGGCGCTCGCCGCTCATGCGCTGCTGGCGGTGCGCGAAGTGCGTGGGGCTCAGCGGCCCCTCAGTGTCGGACGAGCTGTCGACGTCGCTCTCGCCGGGCTCCTCGGCGGTCGAGGCGACGGCGTGGGGGAAGTGGTAGCGCTGGAAGAAGGAGTCGTTCGCGATCTCGTCGCCGTCCTGGGGCTCGTAGGCGCGGTCGTCGGGGGCGTCGTTGGCGGGCGACATGGGGGCCGAGTGCGCGCGCGACTTGAGGCCCGGACGCGGTGCTCCAGCTGTGTCCGCTGTGTCCGCTGTGCCCGCTGTGCCCGCCGCGCCCGCCGCGCCCACCTGCACGGATTCGCGCCGCGGGGGCTGCGTCGACTGGGCCCCGCGCGTCTTCTCTCCTCGACTGGTCGCAGGCGCCATGGCGGGCAATGATACGAGAGAGGTCCTCCGCGTTCCAGCTCAGACCTCAGCCTGTGCGACGTGACGGCGGGCGTGTGACGGCCCCCCAAGCAGAGTTGCAGGGGCTCTGCTGCCGGACATTGGGGGATGGGCGGTGGATGGCAGGCGAAGTTGGCAGGCGAAGATGGCGAGGCCCGCCGTGGACGCGATCAGATGTGGTCGTTATTTTGCAAAGGAGTGATGTCCGTCGCCCAGCTGTCACGGCCATGTCCAGCTACGCTACCGTGGGGCGAGCGCTAACTAATGCACATCAAACTTCCCCGGCACGCGTCTGTGCGTGCTGCGGGGCGGCGTCTGCACACTGAACTCCACCACCACCACCACCACCACTACCACCGCCACGTAACGTCAGCATGGCGATTCAGTGCAATGGAAAGCGAGCACAGCTGCAGGCTCGAGGATGCTGGACAACGTCGTGCATGGACCTTGAATCGGACCATCCCCCTCAGATATTTACCGCTCCGCTACCCGAACGCTGTCTCTCTCGACGAAAGGGATATTGTGACGGTTCATGGAGTATAGAGGTCATGTGTGCCACGTGTGTTGGCACAGTGCTCTTGCCCTTTCTACCTCTGTCTGAACGACAGATACGTCATGTAAACAGACCCTGATGGCCCGGTGAGAGAGACAGAACACTGAACAAGAACAACAATATATACAGATTTACTGCTTCGCGCGGTTACCCCTGACTTACTGCCCTGCGCGGCTACACCTTCACTTATTGCATTTACTGCAACATATATAGTCGACTACAGCTTCGCAACCCCCTGCACAATCCTGAGGTCGTCCCTCGTGACTTCGCTGAGGCTCTTTCGGCCAAGATTCGCAAGACTCGAATCTGTGTCCGCCAGCAAGCAACTCATCACGTGTCTTACTCCCTCCTCGCCTCCCATCGCCAAGCCGTACACATACGGCCTGCCTACTAGCACCGCCTTAGCACCCAGCGCAACCGCCTTGAGCACGTCTGAGCCCGTCCGAATGCCGCTGTCGAACAGCACAGTCAGACCAGATTGCTTGACCTTCTCGTCTGCACCAATCTCGGCCAGGGCGTCGAGCGAGGCGATTGCACCGTCCAGTTGGCGGCCACCGTGGTTGGAGACGATGATGCCATCCATGCCGTATGAGATGGCGCGGTGTGCGTCTTCTACTGTCTGAATGCCCTGCAACACATCAGTGTAAGCGGTGACTTCCAATTTGGACCAACAACTCACCTTCAGCACGATTGGCCCAGTCCAGAGCCGTCTCAGGGTCTGCAAGTCGCTCCAGTCCCTATAGTTGCCTGAAGCTACCAGGCTGGTAAAAAACAGCGCTTTAGGAATAATACTCGCGTTGCTCAGCACCCTCGCTGCGCCGTAGAGGCTGCCCGGGCGCCTAAGAACCTGCCACAACTCTGCCAGTTTCTGACCTCCAGATCTGGTGTCTTCGGCCTGCTGTTTCGCGTACATGCGCTGGAACACCGGGTCTGAGAAGCCGACTTGACAGCCCTGGCCCCAGATGAAAGGCAGATACGACTCATCGAGATCATTTGGGCGCCAGCCGATCTGGAAGGTGTCGAGCGTTACGACTAGCACACTGAAGCCGTTCTCCTCTGCACGGTTGAGTAGCGAGGCTGTAAATTCCTCGGCCTGTGGCTTTGGCCAGTAGAGCTGGAACCAACGATCGCCGTCTCCGTTCGCTTTGGCGACCTGCTCAATACTCCGCGTCGCGGCCGTGGAGAGAATCATGGGCACATTGGCTGCTCTTGCGGCTCGAGCGGTCGCTTCTTCGGCGTCTGGATGCACAATCTCTTGCACGCCAATTGGCGCAATCAACAGCGGGCTCTTGTATTTTTTCCCAAAGAGCTCGGTGGACATATTGCGTCGCGTGGCCTGAACCAACATGCTGGGCCGCAGACGATAGCGCTCAAATGCTGAGCGGTTTGCCGCATGTGTGCTTTCGCTGCTGGCAGCACCAAAGACGTAGAGGAAGTTGGGCAAGGGGATAGTATTGCGAGCTGCGGCTTCCCATTCATGCGGTTTGGTGGAGTACTTTGGCTTGCGGAGTGAAGCGTAGATTTCCCGCTGGAACTGCACATAAGATTCTGGGTCCGGTTCGTAGTATTGCGTTGCAGTGACGCTGGGCTGGTCGTCGGCCATGATGGCTGTTGTGCGCGGACTCAAAGACGGGATCTTATAACGCTTTGGAAGAACGTCGTTGATGTTCCAACACTATCTCTTGAGCCGTCTTTTGAGGCTTCGCTGCTAGTCAAGTATACCCTCCGAGACGAGGTGGACTGTTCTCGGAGTGAACAGAACGTAGAGTGTCGTCTTACAGCGTGAGTGGTGCAACGCTGTCGATCAGGTCGGTCGTGAAAGGCGGAGGTGGAGACAGCCGAGGCCCATGTTCGTCGGAACCAGGGTCGCAAACCACAAATGCGCTCGACAGACCCTGAACATCAACCAATCATGCACTGTACCTTCAAGACTGGCAACCCAGTGTCCGACATTGTTCTGGCGTTGGAATTTGGACGTTCGAAGAAGTAGAACACCCGGCAAAATCCTGGTGAAGCAGGCGCGTTCGAAGTGATAAGCTTCACCGCCTTCTCGTTTTGCTCTCAAACACCAGCAACAATGCACCTCACAACATGTCACTGCCCTCGACAGAGGCAACCATTCAACACTTCCGCACGGCGACGAGGATGAACGCAGCCTACAGCCGGACTCTGGTCCTCCTTGGCGCTGTAGTGACTCTATTCTCTCTCTATTGGGGCTATACCTCGAACTACCCTGCAACATGTCCTCCTCCAGATGCGCAGCATGGCCACACCGGATACTTCGCATATGAATGCGCAGGTAGACCTCACCACTCGAGTTGGAGCAGCTGGTGGCACCCACAGCGTAACGATGGTAGCATCTTCGAGCGAGGTCAGGGTGCTGGCGCTACGACCAAGGACTGGAACATACTGTACCACCTCGGCGGGAACGGACCTTGGGTCGAGAAGGTCATTGATGTTGTCGCGACTGGCATCGCTGTTCCTGATGGATGTGAGGTCGAGCAGGTGCACATGATGGCCCGACACGCTGAGCGCTACCCGACCAAGACAGCCGGCCGCAACCAGAGAGCGGTGGTAGAGAAGATGAAGAGGAGTGGCATTCGCTTCACGGGAAACCTGGCGTTCTTCAACAACTGGGAGCTCTTTTGGACAGACGACGCCATCCTTGAGCAATTGACCAGCACAGGCCCCTTCAGCGGCCGTCTAGGATCCTTCACAACAGGCGTCCGGCTGCGAACCCGCTACCATCATCTCTTCGAGAAAGCCCTCGCCCGCAATGCAACCTCTTGCTGGGCCAGCGGCTCCAAACGGGTCATCGAAACAGCCCGTCATTTCGCACTCGGTTTCTTCGGCCTTGACGCACCTACGACCCTCAAAGTCATCTCTGAGAAGAAAAGTCGCGGCGCAAACACCCTCACACCCGGCCGCACCTGTCACGCCAATCAGCTCGACGGCCAGGAGGGCAAAGCAAAAGGCTACCACCTAATGGGCGAGTTTCGAACCACCTACCTCCCCGCGATCGCAGAGCGCCTATCCTCACAAACCGGCCTCACGTTCACACCGCAAGACATCTTCTCCATGCAGGAAATGTGCGGCTTCGAAACTACCGTGCGCGGACGAAGCGACTGGTGCGACGTCTTCACGCAAGACGAGTTCCTTGCCTTCGAGTACGCACGGGATATCTTACACTACTACCGCGCTGGGCCAGGACAAAAGTACGCTGCAGCTATGGGCTGGCTGTGGTTGAACGCGACGACGAATCTGATGCTTGAGGGGCCTGCAGCGGGACCTTTGTTCTTCAGCTTGTGAGTACTGCGTTCGTTGCTTTTTGGGGTTAATGTGGAAGGCTGATGATGGGCAGTGTACATGACGGCGATATCGCGCCTATGATCACGGCGCTAGATGTTATCAATGACGAGGAACATCTGCCAACCTCACATATCCAACATGATCGCAAGTGGCGCAAGTCTCAGGTCTCGCCTATGGGCGGCCGCATTATCTTCGAGCTGTTGTCGTGTAGGGCAAGCAACGAAGGTGCTGAGGGCAAGTATGTAAGAGTCAATATCAATGACGGGATCACGGCTCTGTCTGACTGTCAGAATGGGCCGGGGAACAGTTGTCCACTGGATGCATTTGCGGCTAGAACAAAGAAAAAGGGCGAGGATGCCGGCAATTTCGTGGACTTGTGTGGGCTTGAGGAGGGTGCTGCGGATAGAATAACCTTCTTGCACCAGTGATCTTGATCATACACATCTATAAGCAGGCGAAAAGAGGATGGGGAACATGCTGGACATGTTCTTATGGTCAGTCCTGCAGGTTCCTTTGACCACAGTGGTACACACTACTCGTAGTACAGTATTCTGTTTCAGACATGGTGATGAAGGTCTCAGTCGAATACTGGTCTGGGAGTACTGTAAATGTCCAGAACTACAGATACAAGCAGTGAGTGATCATAGATGGACTTGAGAAGTCGATGGGCTGTCACGAAAGCCATTGGCTCCACGCTGTACTGTTGAACTGACTTGGAGTTTTCGTAGCATGACTGGTGGTGTTGGACGTGGTCATTTTCAGTCAAGCCAAACTCGCCAACAGTTGAACATTGTCCCTCCCAAGGATATTGACAACTTCTCCTAAGATACGATGGATCTGGTGTTTCTTTGGGGGAGCGCGGCTTTCCGCCACGCAATCTGACGTGCTTCATCGCGGAAGATTTGCTGCGCACAGATTCTGCAGCAAAGTGAACCGGTGTTGCGTCGTTGGAGCCGTCGGCACCATGATCCGAATCTGCCTTACAGATCATCGTAGTGCGATTAGTATGCGAGTATACGTAGTCTTCGAGAGGACTTGTCGATGTTGGGTGTAAAGAGTCGGTTTACGAGCGCATCATGTTCGTACATGATCCTCCTGCTGGTGCTGCGCCTCACAGCCGCGCAACATTCTGGGCAGCGTCAACCAAACGACCAACCAGCCCCTGACGTCTCTTCCCAGCCCGTGCTTTCGGTGGTGCGGCACGCGTTTGATCTTGATCACCAACATCCTTGCGCGCAGCCACTCAACTAGAAGGCGCCCCCGGCTGCATGATTTCCAACACTCGTTTCTTGTTCCGCTGTTCGCAGGCTGACTTCATGGTGGCATGAAGTAGTCACACTCACTTTGAAGTCACGACGTTACACACCAACGGTGGTAACGACACCGCTGGCCGGACTACGTATATACACGACCGACTCGAGTCACTTGATCCCCGGGTAGTCTGCACACCATGCAGCCCGGCTTTACCCTCGCGCCTCGCGACCCGTTTGCAGATGCAAAGCAGACGTTGTCATCATGGGACAACTGCATGGCAAAGGACTACTGCAAGTCAGTCTTCAACACCTGCCCCACCCTTTCTTCGTCCACTCACGCTGTTTAGATGGCCAGTCATAGTCGCCATTATCCTGGGTGGTATCATTGCGTTCAGCGTGGTCTTCTGCATAGCACGCTGCATCTGCTGTGGTGCTGAGTGCGCCATATGCTGCTGCAAGTGCTGCACATGCTGCTGTGGAAGCAGCGACTCGGGACACAAGCGTATGAAGAGCGAGAACCAAGGCTACCCCCCACCCCAGCCGTATCCTCAGCAACCTTACGCCTCGCCGAACCCCTATGCAGAAGCGCGCTCTTTCGCACCACCCCCTCCGCCTCCGCCGCAGATCAACACGCAGTACCAGTCGCATGAGACGCCGACATTGACTCGGCAGCCGACTAACCCAAGCTTCAACCCGCAAACGAACCCCAAGTTCGCCCGCCCTGCCTCACCTAAGCAACCGCAGTATGCGACATTCGATGCGCACAGCAAGCCTGTGAACGAAGATGCGCTACCCGCGATGCCAAGCTGGAACAATGCGCGAAGCGTGCAGGTCGAGGTTGAGGAGGACGCTGTGCCAGAGAGGCGGGGCGATGTCGAGATGGACAGATTGAACCACAACGGCAGCGTACCGAACACATCAACCGCAGGCGTCGCCGCAGGCGCAGTAGGAGCAGGAATGCGGGGATCGCCAGGGCCAGGAAGAAGCCCAGTATCGCCAGTGCAAGGCAGCAATGCATACGGCTTCCCAGCAGGCTACCAGAACCAATACGACCGCAGAGGCTCGCCAGCACAGAACCAAAACATGTCGCCAGCGTATGGCGCGAACGCTGGCTATGCGCAGAACGACTACAACCGAGGACCTTCACCAGCGCAGTCGTACAGCCAGTACAGCCAAGCTTCAGACCCCTACGACCGCCGCTCACCCGTCCAAAATCAAGCATACAACCAACCCTACAACACTATTGCGCAACAAAACCCCTACAACGCACCCTCGGAGCGCTACAATTCCCCCGCCCCACCAAGCTACCACACAACAGCAAACCCATACTCGTACGCCCCAGCACCATTCCAGCCGTACGACCAGCCAAGGAGTAACACACCTGGACATGGCAACGGGAGCGGGAACGGAGGATACGACCCGGTGCCGAACAGAAGTCAGGCAGCCACGCCGAGTGCATACCCGGGCCAGCAAACCTATCAGGCATTCCAACCACAGGGTGTGCAGGGGCAACAGTACTCGGGGATCGCGAGGAAGCCGGTTGAGGGGAGCTTGAGGGATGTTTAGTGGATCCTTTTTTGGTTTGCATAGCGTGGCGTTCAGTGGTGTTCAATCGAGTCTTCATCTCTGGCCTCAATGCCATGCACTGGTTTTTCCCCAGCTCCTTGCGTTTTCGACCATCAACTGCTTTTTCTTTTGCGTACTCCGCATCTCGTATCGATAGCATATTTCGAGTGTGCCTGCCTCGCCTGTGACGATGACGCAGCTGCCACGTTTGTTTACCTGCTCATTTGGCGCACCAGTGTCACTCCCTCCCTCCACTCACCGCCACCTTACACTTCCCTCTCACAACACCTTCTCTCGGCCGAACTCAAACAGTTGCGACCTCTCACCTAGTACGTTCGCCAGTTGCACGGCAACCAACCATACTTCCCTCATGACGGTCAGGACTCCAGGACCTCATCAAAGCGCGCCGTAAGTGTCTCGTCCGTTTCAAACGCCGATACACATCTAGTGAGAAGCGTGAGAAGCCCGAGGCAGATGGAGGCTTTCTGTCTGACGTCCTCATCGTCCATCGAGACAAACGATCCTTGAATGAACAAAGAGTGTGGAAACCAAACCGGATGAGAGCTATTGTTCAGAAGCTGTACGGTGTCAGCAACCTTCTGACAGCCGCAGAGTACCTGAACTCAAGCGGGGGATAAGGTGATCCACCAAAGCCGATAACCTGATGCTCTCAGGATACTGACATTTGAGGAGGTACTCAGGGGATTCACTCATCCACTCGGAGCAAGAGAACCTGTGAGAGCTACTACCACAACGTTACCGCAAAACAAGGACATGCTTGCAATCTTGAATGCGTGCGGCACGGTCCTGCTCAACTCGGCGTTCGCGGGTCGCCCAGAGCAGGTTGAGATCGTCAAGCTTGCGACGCTCGCTATCGATCTTTTCAACGGCCTTGTGCCCGGCCTCGGCCCTTCTCTGGAAACTTGGTACCTTCTAATGATCAGAGACGATGTGGGATCGCTCATGCTATCTGCTGTTGATGGCTTTTCAGAAGATTCGAGGTGCAATCAGCAACCGCACATTTACATCCTCAAACGCGACATGGCTGCCTGGCGAGAATGCTTCAACAAGAAAATCCCAGCCCGAACCCTAGCTCAGGTGAAGTCTCTAACATCCACTGGAACGCAGCACGTCGAGCTACCGATGGATATCCAAAGACACCAGATTGCTGAACGCCTTATAAGTCTCCATGCGAACAGCGAGGCGCTCGTTCATCAGCTGAGACAAGCTCCTCGCCCCACAAGGTTCTATCGTGAAGCAGAGTACATGGGCGGCCTGTACTACACCGACTATCAGGTAAACTACACTGGATGTGCTTAAAGTTCAGAGACCGGGCCGACACTATTTTGTCCATGGTTGTTGAAGGATGAGAAGTCCAGGAGGTGGTTCTGACTTTTGCAGAGGATGTGGGTTACAGGACGAAGAGACCCGGACAAACCGGCATGCGAGTACCTCCGGTGGTAGCTAATACTTCATATTGCAATACAATGGAACCTACCTATAGTACTCACAGAATGCTTTTAAAACAATACGCTGCGATGAATCGCAATCGCTGCGCTCCGTTCGATTCAGGATGCATCAATGTCCATCAACATGTTCACTGTGCCCAGCACTACCTTCACCCCAAGCATCCCAACACGGGGCAGGTACGTGTTCAAGGCGGCCCGCTCATTCTGGAAATGATCTAAGTCCGCCAAGCGCGAACATTACGTGGTCCAGTATTGGTCTTAGCATACGCGGCCATCTGCGCGACGGTCATCGGTGTGACATCGAACCGAGCGATGGTAGCGGGAAAGCCCTTGCTACGCCCGCTATTGAGCTTCCCACCGTTGGAGCCAACGCTGTTTGTAGCAAATGTGCAGCCCAGTGCAGAAGAACATGCCTTACCTGCATCCAAAATAAAAGTTGCAACCCCAGCTGCAACATCAGTGCTAGGCCAGAGCACGTTCTAGAACACGTTGCCCTCAGTTAGCGCCTTGACGCCGGATCGTGCATCAAAAACATGGCCTTTCATGTTCTCAAAGTAGGTGTTGACAGCGTGGAAGGTTCCACTAACACTATCTGTGCTGAGCTTCGGAGCACGGCCGGAGGGGTCGTGGAACCAGTTGTGGTCTAAGGTCAACTGGTCGACTGCGCATCTATTAGAGTATGGTTTCAGAACGACAGATGTAGAGCACTATGACAGTGTAGCAAGAAGCGTACCATTTGTATATAACATTGCACCCCAGTAATGAGTACCGTTGCAGGTGGCAGAAGTTGTAGTGACACCGTCAAATTCGTTCTCGGAGATGGTGATGCGTGAACCGCCGCCGTTCTGACTGACGATGAATACACAACCAACACGAGCAAATCTGGATCCATTGGTGAATGAATACGCTTGCATGAGGCTGCGCGTACTTGTTGTGGTCGACCTAGATGCCGTCCTTTGCACTATCGGAGTTGAGAGCATCGCCTCCCCACACGGCGCCGGGGTTAATATTAGAAATTCCGAGGCCTTGAATGATGACATTCTTTGCTCCCTTTTTCAGCGGCAATTTGACTACACCTCAGCCGCCAACTCTGATAATGGGGTTGTGGCTGCCAATGATGAGGGGTGATGGAACAACAGCGTCATATCGAATAGATGACACAGAGGTCTCATCAGTTCCGCCGTTGCAGGAGATCTTACCAATATAGTATTGCCCACCTCGGGGGACACTGCGAGATTGTCATTCCAAGCCGATGCCGATGCCCTCATATTTTCAACCAGCGGACAAAACGACGGACATCGCAGGTCACACCGTACTGCGGCTGGACCTGTCCAGATGTCGACTTTCCAGAAGGTTGTTCACCTCATCGATTTTATCCTTGAACTAAATCTGCGCATTCAACGAATACTTGAATGGTCCTTGGCATACAATCTTGTTGCTCTGGCTTTTTGCTCCGGCATTGCAAGTTTATATTTGCTTGATCCATATACCCAGTGGATAGATATCAGCCTGTAAGTTGTTCTACGATGTGTACAATCAGTTGGAAAAATTGTGCTGATCTCAAACTTCAGTAGAACTGCCACCTTAATCATGTCCCAAAATAATCTCGCAACCTCGAACTTCTTTCTCAAGTAGATAGAGAAAGAATCAACAACCACTATCTTTGTGTACTTGAGATTGTAGATGCAGAATAAAATCATTGCGCGAGCTTAACCGGGGGCCTATTAACAGTTGGTATTGCTTTGCAATAATCACATTTACCCATGGCATATCAAAGATGAACACGCGGAAGCAGATGTCGAATGCTGCGTTGTCCTCATCCGAAACACATCAGAGGCCTCAAATCAGGATCACCGTACCCAGTACGATCTTCACCCCCAAGCATCTTGGCGCACACAAGCTCCGCTCCGCTTTATAGGTATGCGATGCTTCAAGTCGCATCGCCTGGACGGTCGACTTCACCGAACTCTCCGATCTGTGCCACGTTTTCTCAACGACGAAGAGAAAGACTGGGCGCTCAGGCGAATGAGGCTCGATGACCACGGCACAACAAGCGTAAACGTCGACGAAGAGAAGTCCGACTGGTACTGGGCCAGGATGGCATTCAAGGCTTCGCAAACGTAATTAAACGGATTCATCTAGTTTTCCTTGCTCGTCAGTCCCATCCCACGAATACCCCCAGCTTACATCTTTGGCTGATATGGCTTTGTAGATCCCACTCTACTCCTTCTCCCTCCTTCTACCCTCAATCGTGGCCTGCATGGGCTACCAATCCACCACCGTGCAACTCCCCACCGTCACGCCCAACATGGCCGCTTTCTTCACCGTGCTTACATGCGCATACTACTCCGACCGCCTCAAGACCCGAGGTGCTTTTATCGCAGCCGGCACTATCGTTGGACTAGTCGGGTATATCATGTTGGTTGCTGCGAAGAACAACGCGACGAGATACGCCCACACATTTCTTGTCGCGATTGATGTTTCCCAGGGCAGTCCGATTGTGGTTGGTTGGACGAGCAATAATATGGCACCGCGTTATGTGCAGGCTACGGGTATGGGCGTTGTGGTTTCTATCGACATTTGCTCGGCGTTCATTGGTACTTTTATTTACCTGAAGAAGGATGCGCCGCATTATACCTTGGGACACTCGGTCTGCTTGGGTGTGATGGTCATTTGTTTCGCGTTGACGTTGCGCCAGATGGCGCACCTGCGTTGGGAGAACAAGAAGAGAGAACGACGAGACAGAATGTCAGATTGAATCAGGAGACATGGAGGCTGGGGCATAGACATCCGGAGTTTAGGAATACTTTGTAGAGGTGTGAGGTGATGGAGAGAGAATGGGGCGGTCGTCTTAAGGATTTCACCCGAAGAGTGCTCTAAATTGCCTCACCAGTTTTGAAATGATGGCACCCTTGCAGACCTGCCTTGACTTCCTGTGAGAAGAACAAAGCAATTCGTGTTCAGCTTTGTCTGCAATGTCCAAGCACAAGATTGATGTAAGGCGTTTTTTTCACACTGAAGTTCGGCATCGCTGGTTTGAACAGGTTGTTCTGGATACACAGGAGCCGTTGAGCTGTGATCGTGTCATGGGATTGAACAGTTGTGTTATGAAGTCTGAGACATGGAGATGCAGAGATGAAGAACAAAGTAAATGACGTCATTCAGAATGAGCCTCGGGCCAACGCGAAATATCAACCAAACGCGCCGAAACGCGCAACGCTCGAAACTACTCAACTGGTCTCGACCGACTTTCTGAATGATGCCCACCTTATCCCCAGTCCAAGAAACGCCTCAATCGCTCTCTGCGACGAGTTTGAACACATTGCGCCAAATATTTGAGTTCATCCATACTGTCCGACTCCTTGTAATTGGGTTCGTCCTATGTGAATTGAAAGATACTCTCATCAGTATCGGCATGGGCGTCACTTTCAATCCCGCCAAAGACATTGGCAGCTTAGATGGCAAGGTCATACTCGCCACTGGAGGTACATTGTCTCACCTCATTCCCACACAATGGAGACTGAACATGCCCAGGTAACGCTGGCCTAGGCAAGCAAACCATAACCTACCTTGCCGCGCACAATCCCTCACGTATATACCTCGCCGCCCGCACCGCCTCAAAAGCTTCCACAGCTATAGGCGATATCAAATCTGCGGTACCCAGTGCCTGCGAGATCGTCCACCTCCCCCTGGATCTCACATCCTTTTCCTCCATCGCCGAAGCCGCAGCGACATTTCACCGCTCCGAGACACGTCTCGATATTCTCATTAATAATGCAGGCATAATGGCGTGTCCCTACAGCACCACAAAAGAAGGCTACGAAGTCCAGTTCGGAACGAACCACATGGGCCACGCCCTGCTCACCAGACTTCTCCTCCCGACTCTACTCAAGACCGCCGAGACGCACGGAGATGCGAGGATCGTCACGTTGAGCAGCGCAGGTCATGCCATCGGTGTCCCCGGCGGCCTAATCTTTGACCAGCAGAAGCTCGAGCAGCAGAGCACGTGGAAGCGCTACGGGCAGTCGAAATTGTGCAACCTGCTATTCGCGCGCGAACTAGCGGAGCGGTATCCCCAAATCATGTCCGTCTCTATCCACCCTGGTATCATCTTCACCGATCTCTTCCAATCTCTGCGTCCCAATGTTTTCCTAAAAGCTGGTTTGTGGATATACGGATTGTTCTTCTTTCTGATCCCTGGGCATTTCAAGACAACGGAGGGCGGCGCAATGAATCAGACATGGGCCGCAACGGCGAAGAAGGAGGAGCTGGTGAATGGCGCATATTATAGGCCGGTGGGGGTGAAGAGCGAGGGGAGTAGGGCGGCCAGGGATAAGGGGCTGCAGAAGAAGCTCTGGGAGTATACCGAGGCGGAGCTGGGGAGGCATGGTTTTGAGGGCTGAGGCGAGGGAGGAAGACAAGAGCATGTTTTCGGCGGCAAAGGAAGTATCTGAGATCCGGGAGGTATGAGCCTCTGGCCAGGTTGGTACTGAGGTAATAGACCTTCTTGAAGTGCAATACAGTAGCTCCTTGAGGAGTAGCCACCATGTGGCGAGGTTTGATCCTTTTCCATGATCACAAGTGGACTCCTCAACGTGGCCTCTGTAAGGGGCCAACCCTGAGGGTAGATGCCAGATAAGATCAGATGAATTTGGTGAGGTTTGCCGGCTGTACTAAGCTCCAAGGCCCGCGCTAGCCAAGGCGCGAACTGGGCGTAGCCCGTTACAGCCCTCTAGGTATAGTACTTGATAGACTGTGTGCTTTGAGATTGGGGGTGACATGTGAGAGGCGGCCCAGAGTCCAGCCTCCTCCATAAGAGGCCAGTAATCAATTTTTGGATATCTCCTGGCAATACAAACAAGTAAACGTTGTTGACAACGTGTCAACAACAATGGCCAGCCGCTGCAAGGCCTGCTCACGTTGCTGCCAGTATTGTTGCGTGCGCTGCATGTTGCCGTTGAAGTTTGAACTTGCTTAGCACCTTCAGCTGTTCCTGCACCACCTTCTATGGCTGCTATGATACTGTCACAAAGGCATTTTGATAATTCCTGACCTGGCAATAGGTTGCTGCTAACTGCTTGACTGTATTGAGTCATGGTTGTTGAGTAAATCTGCTGTAAAGTTGGTGTGTGATTTCACATTTGTGTGGTGTTGTGGCCCGGGCTCAAATTCACGAACAAACTTTTGTAGCTCTAGGGACAGCTACACAGAATCGACAACACGGCAAGAGCAGCATACTAAGAGTAATATTGGACATCCTCTTGCTCAGCGCACAATGCCCAAGACCTCTTTGCCTGACGGATTTACGCACTTTCTGAGTGCTTGTGTTTGACTGCTTGGTGCCACACAGCATGTTGACCTGTCCATACCGTGTCTGTGCGCGCAATGCGCACGTTCTCGCAATGCGCGCCTCAGCACTTTCACAGGCAACACAAAAATGAGGCTGTAGAGCCACACACGATAGTTATTATTGTGAGATATTTTGGTGGAGTACTCTATAGGCCTATGTGACAATATTCCCTCATACAAAACGGGCAGGCAGAGGTGAGGTGCGGCCACGGCGGGTGGTTGTTGTAGGAGCCACCTGCACCAGGCTCTCAGCAGCAGCACCACTCCGGGCAGCAGCAACACCACGATTCTGCTTCTTTCTTGGTACTGCTTTCTGTGAGGCCTTGCGCTTGCCTTTTTGGGATAATTGTAGAGCTTTTGCAGCGTCACGGGCTTGTTTTTGACGCTCTCTCTCAGTTCTGCGTTTGGCTGCTTCCTCTGCCTGTTCAGCCTTCTGCTGGTCACGCTCTTCCTTCTCCCTTATCCGCGCCTCACGCTTCTGCTGCTGCTGCTTCTCTTTGAGTAGTTTTTGAGTGTGTTGTAGCTCCTTCTGGGTAGCTTTCTCTGCCTCTACCTGTTGTTGATGGGCCTCAAATGCAGCAGCACGGGCATTGGCTTCCCTCTTCGATGAAGGACTCCACCAGGTAGCTCCTCCGTGCCGCTCAAGGCTGTGAGCGTACAAAGGCAGTACCTTCTTCTTATTCTTCACCCTATCCTTAGCAGTAAGAGCCTGTTGTACACCTTTTAACTCATGCTGAGTGAGCTCTAGTTGAACGTGGAGCTGGTGGATAGCCTGTTCCAAAGCCGATGCCTCTGCACCAGCGTCATCCTTCACTACACTCCGCAACAACGACTTGGCTTTGAGCCAGTTTGGCTCTGTAGGTAGAGCAGCAGCTGCAGTTTGCTCTGGAGGTGTTGCTAGAGGCGGAGGAGTAGGCGTTTTGAAGCGATCAAGTATGATGTTGGCGTTTGGTGGGTGGATACCTGTGGCTCGGAAGGCAGTCAATACCAACGTTTCAGTGAAGGTGTTCACCCAGGCAGGCCAGAATAGTAAGAAGAAATCGCTCTTCTTTCCAGGCGCCTTGCCTTGGCTTGTATAGTTGTGTTTATCTAGCTTGTTGGAGTAGTTTTGAGCCAGTGGCTTGAAGCAGACTACGTCCAACGGCTGGAGAGTATGGGTGGCATGTGGTGGAAAGATTATGAGTAGAATCTTGTTACTGTCGCAGTATTCGATGAAGGGCTTTGTTATATGACTGCCATGGCCATCGATAATGAGTAGCCGCCACTTCCTCCGAGCCTTGGGCTTAGTGTAGCGATCAAATACCTGCTGCAGCCACGTCAAACCCAGGTCGTTATTAGTCCATCCATTTGGTGACGTAGTGAAGTGGATAGAGTGTTTTCCTGCCTCAATGGCGTGTACCCAACTAGCCTGTACATCACGCCCGGCAGCTGGAAAGATGATGCCTGGAGGCAGGTGGGATCCATCGGCACATATAGTGGCCAGCACTGTCACCCACTCACGATTGCCATCGTGGGTTGACTGCTTATACTGCTTCTTGCCAAAGAGTACCTTATCAAACACTCTCTTGCTCCTTCCTGTGACCCCAATAGTGAAGCCCTTCTCATCCATATTGTACGTGTGAGCCGGCTCAATAGAGTATTCAGTCATCTTTCTGTGTAGTAGCTCAAAGTAGAGGCAGTACTTTGGCCTAGAATCGGCATTGTGGCGGCTAGTCTCCATGGGAGTACTCCAGGCGGTAGTGAGCGCATCTCGGTTGCGGTGAAGGAATCGGGTAACCCAGGTCTCTGAGGGCTCCCAGGCACAGAGAGGAGTAACGAAATTGATAATCATTTGCCTTGTAGGCATAAGGTGTCTCTCTGTGAGTCCTCTGATGTACTGCACAGTCTCCGCCTCGTCGCGTGGGTGGAGTAGTTGTTGTTTGAGTGCCTGCTCTTCTTTTGACACGCATTCACCCTTCAGTTGACGCGTCAATGTTGAGCGCACTACACTGTGTTTTTTAGCTAACCCAGTATATGAAATATCTTCACCCTGACCCTCTGCACCTGCCTCTGTAACAGCATCCTTCACAGGCATTGTGGCGTTGAGCTATAGTAGTTGAAAATGTGGGTGTTGATGAGCCGAGGCGCGCGTTGCGAGAACGTGCGCATTGCGCGCACAGACACGGTAGCACAGGCTGCACAACAACTGACGAGGGCGAGCGGGAGTCGCCAAAATCTCGTGCATGTTACGAAGCACCGATTTGGACACCTTCCGTTTAAATCTCGACTAGTTGAATGATATCACGATTATTTTCTCTTGGACCAGATGAACTGCTCATGTGTCGATGTCGAAGCACTTCCACCATGACTAGCAGCTCGGCACGTGTACCCGCATACGAGCAGAGTTCGTAGAACACCAAACACTAGGTGTGTCACACCGGCGAGACATCGAACGCCGTTCGGCGGAAACGCCAGATTAAAGGTAAATTCACATATTGCTTAAATGGCCGATAATGCGTCACTCTTCCAACTATGATCACACCCGCCACACCTACCAGGCTTCTGGAAGCAAACATCCCAAGCTATACAAGCTGTCATATGAAGCTCCGATGCCATATAGAGCGAAAGTGGCGCCCGTTTCCCCACAATCGTGCTCATTATTCTCCGCAACGGGCGCAAACGAGATGAACTATACCAGTTCGGTGAACGAGTACCTCGGCTGCCTTTTGCATCGAATATCTTCGACCCTTCATACACGGCTGCGTGCACCCGAGGCTCGTTTCTGCTGTTTGGTTCCCCGCTTTGGGTCTGTGCAAGATGTTTCATGATCAGTAGAACATGGATGCCGGATCTATTGGACCACTTCTACCGGTGGGAGCAACAAAGTTTTACCTTATGGGAAACAAGGCGAGAGGTGAGATGCCAGAGCTTCGAGATGATGGTCGACAGACAAAGGATATAACACCTCTTGACAGACCGATGGTCTTGACACTACCATTTCCCACACACGCTCTCGCAGTGCTTTGCATAGCCCCTATTCATCATGCATCTTTCCAACCTTTTGTCAACCAGCCTTGTGCTGCTGGCCTCCGCTTTGACCAGCAAGGCACAGTCCTGCAACCTCCCTTCCACCTACCGCTGGTCATCGACCGGACCACTCGCCACTCCCAAGAACGGCTGGGCCTCTCTCAAGGACTTCACAACCGTCCAGTACAATGGCAAGAAGCTCGTGTACGGCTCCACAGCCAGCTCTGGCGGAAAATACGGCTCTATGAACTTCGGTTTGGTCAACAACTGGTCCGACCTCGCCTCTGCCAGCCAAAACGCACAATCTTTCAATGCCGTTGCACCCACCCTTTTTTACTTCAAGCCGAAGAACATCTGGATCCTGGCGTACCAATGGGGTCCTACAACCTTCACCTACCGCACCTCGGCTGACCCTTCTAACGTCAACAGTTGGGGCGCCGCACAGCCTCTGTTCAGTGGCAAGATCACCGGCTCGGACACCGGCGCCATCGACCAAACCGTCATCGGCGACGCAAATAACATGTACCTTTTCTTCGCCGGCGACAATGGCAAGATCTACCGTGCCAGCATGCCCATCGGCAAGTTCCCCGGCGACTTCGGTACCGCGAGCACCGTCGTCATGACGGATAGCAAGAACAACCTCTTCGAGGCGGTGCAGGTGTACACGCTTGCCAACCAGCCCTCGCCCAAGTATCTCATGCTCGTCGAAGCTATTGGTGCGAATGGAAGATACTTTCGCAGCTTTACGGCATCGAAGTTGGATGGCACCTGGACTCCCCAGGCTGCTTCTGAGCAGAATCCGTTTGCAGGCAAAGCGAACAGTGGTGCTACTTGGACCAACGATATCAGTCACGGAGACTTGTACAGGGCGAACCCTGATCAAACGTTCACTGTTGATCCCTGCAACCTGCAGCTGTTGTACCAGGGTCGTGATCCGAAGAATGTCCCGAGTGATTACAACTTGTTGCCCTACCGCCCTGGTGTTTTGACACTGCAGCGATAAGAAAGGCTACTTGGTTTGGCGGAGTTGGCCCGTCATTGGTGAATCGACGGCGGTTGGAAGAGGAGGATTCTGTTCTTGGTGCGCTCCTTAAATTGCTGTATATATTTGAATTGAATCACTTGTTACTTCTGGTATGTTGCAGTATCAGTCGGTCCTTACGAGATCCGATTGCCCTTGCTTAGACTGTTATGGGCTAGCAGGTTACCGGGCCACAGTATATATCGTCATCCCCTAGCTAGATAGCAGCTCAGAGCAATCTTCCATTGACCTGATAGTCCTACGTTATTGTTTACCGTAGCTATCAGTATACCACAGCGGCCCACGCCACCAAATGGTATCATTGTTCTGTGTAGCGGTGTGGACCGCTGTAGAATACTGATAGCTACGGTAAACAATAACGTAGGACTATCGGGTCGATGGAATACTGCGCTGGATTGCTATCTAGCTAGGAGGAGACGACTATATACCTGACCTGTAACACACTAGTCCAGGGTAGTGGTCAGGGGTATAGTCAGACACTGTACGGACCAACCGATACCGCAACATTCTGTATCAAGTAAGACAAGCTAGACGAAGAGCCTATCCTTCAAGCGGAGATAAGAGCGTCTTATTGGGCAAAGAAATCAATCTCCTCGGAGGCTCTGTTCCGCGTAATACATTGCATTCTGTCAAGATTAGGTGGTTGTCGTGCTGTATTGTAGGTGAGCAGAAGCTCGATATATCCTATAGACGCTAGTCTACCACGTGATGGCTATCGGTGGATCCTTCTCCTCCGACACATTCGTCTTATCTTCTGCTGTTCGCTCACGGTAGACAACCTTTCGATTTCTGCCTCCGCCGTACTTCTGACGCTAGTGTCGTGGTGTACTGGATATCTCTTGAGTGCATCGACATGTACTTCTTTGTGGTGACCACTAAGCTGGCCATTCGCCCTGCTATCAATAGGAACAGTTGAGAAGCATTGTGTCATCATTCTTTTATGAGCTACGACTATGTGAAATATATCAACGCTGTGAAGAAGCTAGGCCAAATACGGCTAGCTGACAGATCCAAACCGCCTTATAGGGACTGAGGGAACGTTCCCTGAGCACTGACATCAACTCCGTGGTCTTTCGGCGGCTACCTTCCATCAATCCGCCGGTCTGTCATCTTGGTTCACTTTACAACGATTGTGGGGTAAAACGTGAAAGAAAAAGTTTATCTATCGTGGAACTCTATCGTTACGTCTATTTACCACACACCTACTGGCCCTTGCGCACGTACTCAACAGGTCCAATATACACATGTCGACCGTGAATGGCATAGTACACCAGAGCGAAGATGATGACCAATCCATATCCCAATACCGCCCAGTTCATATCAGCAACTGCTGGGTGAGGTGCCGATGGAAAAAATGTGAAGACCCACAGGAAGAGCAAAAACAACACGGCAATAATGTTGATCGGCAGCCCCAACCTGCCCAGGTTGAACTTGGAAGGCAACAGCGGCTCACCACGAATTCTCTTCAATGCCACACAGCCGATCGATATTAAGTACGATGTCAACATTGCAGCAACGCCGAGGGAAATGACCTGCATGAAGGCCACACTCGAGCCGAGGTTGATCAACGACAGCAGCAGTACGAAGAGGATCGTCAAATATACTGAGTTGAGCGGTACTCCTAGGGTCGGTGAAACCTGAATTTTTTTTAGCTGTCGTTCCGTGTCTCTTCGAAAGTGGATTGAATTACCTGGCTGAAGATGCTCGAGAAAGGCACCCCGTTGTCGCGCGCGAATGCGAACAATTGGCGCGAGTTCGTTGCCATGACTGCAACGCATGCAAAGACTCCGATGACAAGCATGATGCAAGTCAAGCCTGTGGCACCAGCCGCGGATCCGGTAGTGTTGAGGAACACCTGGATTTGCTGCGAACCCAGCGGTGTCAATAGGACCGACATTGTGTCGCCGACGCAGAAGCAAAACGTTATTGCCATGATCCAACCCATCAGTCCGTTGCCGATCCACGTCCACATCATCGCGCGAGGAATGACATGGGCCGCATTACGTACCTCTTCGGCCATGTGCGCGCCGGCCTCGATACCGACAAAACAGCTGGCAGCTCCTGTGAGTCCGACCATGGTCGACAAGGGAACGTTGCCCCACTCCATGTTGTCCTGAAAAAGTGTGAAGACATCTCCAGTGTTACTGCGGTCGCCCATGACCCACAGAGGAATAATGACTGCGAAAAAACCAGCAACGTGGAGCACCACAATGACACCTTCAACAAGTGGGAGTTTTCTCGAGAAGAAAGTGTTGAAGATAAGACTGACCGCAAGTACAGCCCAGATAAGCATTGTGCCTTGCCATGCCTGCGGAACGTATGATGAGTCCCAGAGAATGATGAGAGCTTGGAGCTGCTTGCCAGTCAAGTACGACACAGTCGCGGCAGCGGTTTGCCAGCCGAGGACGCCCAGCCACCCGACAATGTATGAGAGAAACCGTTGGCAGCTCGGTGGTGCGAACTCGCTGACCCAGTGGTACTGACCGCCAGATGTTGGAGCCCTGAAAATGTTAGACCCATTGCAACACGTCTTTCAGATACTTACATCGAGGCCATTTCCGCAAGCGAGGCTACAACGAAGCCGAAACCAATCATACAGATTAGGTATCCCCAGATCAGCCCAGCAGTGCCACCGTTGCTCAACGAAAATACCGCCGTCGACAATATGGCTTCCCATGTCGATAGGATGACCATACAGAAACCAATAATCGTAATGTGACGGAAGTTGCGTTGGGTTTCTTGTCGTTTGCCCATTCGCATCATGTCGTGTACATCGGCAGTGGTACCATTTTTCTCTGACACCAAAGCATTCGGCTCGCCTGCGTCCAAGAAGTTTGGATCACTATCCACGTGCGACTCGGCTTCTTTGTGGTGGTCCATCGTTATAGAATAACGTAGCAAAACAAGCAGGAGGTAATTAGGTGGATGCTCGACTTTGGAGGGCAACACGTCTTATATGACAGGGCAAGAGCTCATGCAGCCCCCACTTTGCGCTACGCGGAGGGAATGCTACCACAATGCATAATCGGTTTGCACAGTTGTTTGCCACGCCGCTGCAATCCTCCTATACTATGTTCTGGATCTTACGTTCGGTTTCACACCCATGTCAGTCAGCTATGACTATAAGTGATAAGATTATCGTCCCGCGATGCTGGGCCCAACCGACACGATAAATTGTTCTACTGTTGTTCGCCGATCGCATTAACAACGACCACCATAAACTCGTTTTCCCTCTGTAGCCGGACCTTTTCAATCTACGTATGCTCGTCTCAAATACGCCAGGCAATTTCTTGCGCGAGGAATGGCGACCATGCGCAAGAATTTTTCTTATGCTGTGCCGCAATCTATGCCCGTGCAAGTGGGTCAAATCCATTGAGCAGTTCACGAAACGAATGGTGATCGAACGGAGTACTAACTGCTGTAGCAATGTGGAAGCTGTCCCGTCCATGCAACCCCACCGGAGAAGGTTTAGCGTGGGATTGGCCTAGTGGCGGATAAATCAAAGCTTGATTATTTCTAGCCACTAGACGGTACGAGGGATCCACTTTCCGTGCCGAGTGGCTCCACCGGGAGCAGTCCAATCAGTTCACTGCGGTGCATCCGTTACGGCGTACCATGCTCCTACGTGTGATCCTGTAGAAGGTAGAATAATCGCAAGACGACTGGTTCCATCTGTCTGAAAAATCGTATATATCAAGCGGTTGGGGATCGCCGACCATTCAAGTCACTTCACCAGAACCTCGCAGCACTGCTTGCCGTACTGTGAAGGAGGATCACTGTAAGTTGGGAACATGATCACTGCGAGATACGTGTACGAAATGCTCTAATCAGGCTGGAGAGATGGCAGATAGACGGTACCAAACACTCGGTTCCAAGCTGGCATGGCACACGGCATCTCGTATTTAACAGTGCATCCAGTCATTGGATGGGATGCAATCTTGAGGTCCCGGTTATGCACGCGCATGCAGGATTCATCTTGGCCAACAGAATCCATTCAGGTGATACTGTGTACGTATGAGTAAAAGGTCTTAATCACTGGCCATGAGCTTCGAAACAGCCAACGTGGACCAGTTCCTGTGTACTTACCACTACCAAAGATGGACAACAATGTGGCCGAATCCAGTGTTCTCCCATGGGACACATCTGTGGGAAATCGTTTCGCTCACTATTCTCCTGAGAACCACAGTGCGACAGTGTGGATTGCGGCGGCTTTGGCATTGACCTATGTAGTAGGTGTGTTGTTGATTCGAGTCTTCATCAAGTGGAGAGTGTTCGGGTGGGACGACAGCCTCATTGTCATCAGTACGGTACGTTTCTTACGCAAGATCCTAGGTGGCACCACTGACTGGCCTAGGCGCTTGCGTTTGTACAGAGCATCGTTGTGTTCAGTGCGCTCAAGAATGGCCTCGGCAAGGTGTCAGAAGATTCTGACAACCTTCAGTTGGCTGGAAGGGTGAGTTCAAGCCAAGTAGCTTGCCTACAGCAGGTGCTGATAGATTACAGCTTGCATTTTCGTCTCGTGCGCTCTTTGTAGCTTCGCATTACTTAGCAAAGCTGTCAGTCCTGTTCCTCCTACGAAGGTTGTTCGTTCGGGACCAGAAGAACACCGCTCTGCTCTGCGACATCACAATCGCCCTAACCACGCTGAGTGGTATTGTTTCAGTACTCGTCAGCACCATACGATGTCCTTCGTCATTGTTCCTTACCAAGCACTGCCATGGCCAGGTACACTTTCTCCTGATGGTGATGAATGAATTTTGCTGAGAGTGTGCCAGATCGCTCGTTGGAGCCTAGTTACCGCACTAGATGTTACCAGTGAAGGCTTGACCCTGATTTTGCCCTCATACATGGTGTGGCAGGTCCAAATGAAAGTAGAGACAAAGCTTCGTGTCATCGCAGCGTTCTGCTTTCGACTCGTGTACGTTCCATGCAACTTAACTCCTTGGGATACAACTAACGAGCCATAGTGTCATTGCTCTATCAGCTGTTCATCTCGATCTGTGGATCAGCTACTCGAATGGCCAGCCGTCATCACTCGCTGTTGTACCGACTTTCATCTTGCAACAAACGCTCATGGCCACTTCTCTCATTTCTGCGACGATCCCGAATTTGAAAGCATTTCTGCAATCACTATCTGCCAGTTGGGGCGAAGCAGAATTCAGCAGCGGCTACACAACGAAGGCCTACGGCAATGGGACATTCGAGATGAACAACCTGAACTCTCACGCACCCCCAGCTTCTCGAACAGGTATGGGAGATTTGTATTCCGCAAAAAGCCACCCAGACTTTGAGACACAAGTCACAACTTCGCAACGGATTGCTGGCGAACGGAGTTCGCTTGGAAGTGGCGAGAGTCAGGATCTGATCATCCGCAAAGAGACCGCTTGGACCGTGGAGCGGATTTGAGTGAACGAAGAGTTGGAAGACGTTCTGACAAAGCACCCTGGAAACGATCAACAGAGCCCACAAGAAACATCCTATCGCTGAAAAACCTCCGATCAGATTTGTATTGATTGATGCAGGTCCCGCGCCGCAACCATAAAAAGTATAGAAAATGATAAGGGTATAAAACTTCTTTCCTATGGAAAATTATGCATGGAATCCTTCGTCTGGCTTTGGGAGTTAGCATAGAGTTTTAACCGCTGCGACGCTTGCTCGGGTTGTGGGGCGTGCCCGAGAGGACGTGCGCGTCGCCCGCCATCAGGCCACATCTCCCCGTACAGCCCAACCGCGCCGCACGCGTAAACGGCTCAGCCAACCAAGCATTGCCTATGTACGGACTGAACACCGAGATCGCATCTCGCTTGATCCCGCTCGAAGGTTACGTTCTTGGCACGCTCCTGCGTGAGGTTGAAAGGCTTGTTGTACAGGGTCTCCTGTAATTCTCCGTCTATCACCTGTATCTCGAAATCTCTGAGCGATCGTGGATTCTCTGCGTAAAATATATCACCATGAGCGCTACTTCAAAGACAGATTTAGCTGCGACTCACGACAAGGCGACAGCAACTTACAAACTTCGTGAAGCGCAGCTATCAGATCTGAGCCAGATAGCTCGGGTTTGGCACAAAGCCTTCTTTGACGATGAGATCATTGGCGAGATCATGCACCCCCATCGCCAACAATACCCTGAGGACGTGTACTGGTTTCTGCTCAGAGGCGTCCGAGAGCGATTTTGGGATTGGAGACATCAATTCATGGTAGTTGTGACCACAGAAGAGAAGAATATGGAGACCATTGTTGGTGCTGCGGATTGGAGGAGGCTCGGTGATGGAGGGGCTCAGAGAGAGCTGCTGAAGTTGGATCCGCGTGAGTTGACTGCATACATCTGTCATTGGACCGCAGGCTCATACTGTCCAGGAAATCTGATAACACCAGCCATCCATTCGTACCACGCTGTAATGGGCCGTATCTTCCCAAACCGCGCCGCCGATCCTTCGCGATCGTCCTTCCTCGACGCAGCTGTCGCCGCCTCGGAAGTGTATTGGACTGGTGATCGCACCGAGTGTTGGGACTTGCATGTATGTGGAGTTGACCCGGACTATCAAGGCAAGGGAGTAGGCAAGCTACTAGCGCAATGGGGTGTACAAGAGGCGCAGAAAGAGGGCTCGGGCACATGCGCGAGTGTGCTCTGCGGCGAGAAAAACCGTGGTTTCTACGGCAAGGCTGGCCTTACGGTTCAGGTGGGCGGGCGAGAAGGCGAAGGAGGCGGCATTGCGCTGTTTACTAGGTAAACCTCACTACATGTGTCGATGGGTACAGGCAATGGATAGTACAGTACTGGGTCATAAGTTTTGCAGTGCTGGCCCGTGCCCTGCCCTAACGCCGTGCCGGCCACTCACTTTTTGAGGCAATTGAGATAGCTACATATGGTGAAATCAATCAAATTTCTGGTGTTGTACTTGTTTTATACTAGTATTTTGTATGCCACCCACAGGCAGCCCTGCAAGCACTCATACGCTGAGGCATTGAGCTAATAAGCTGAGTGATAAGCCTATTTGGTATAGCTTGCCAGTGTTGAAGTCGTGTGTCACGGTATCCTCTCCAGATCCCCTGACAATATCCGGATCCGCTCCGTACTGTCCCTGACCGTACGCACCAAATCCCCAGCGTCATTACGCGCCTCCGAAGCGGACGTACAACCTCCGGTCACCTCCGGAGCAGGCCTGCAACCCCTGAAGCGGGAGTATTAGAATTCTGCAAGCCCCGCTCTGGGACTTGCAACCCCGATACCTATCCAACTCAGTTCCGATTATTAACCGGTAACCGAACGAACCCACACGTAAGTATATAGACTATTGCTGGTAGAGTTCTGTTTGGTACACAACGTCTTGTACCTACTTAGATACCGTACGTAGTAATTGATTTAGACTCCCAGCGAGTCCTAAAGGGCCTACTTGTAGCATCTTCGTGACAAACAGGTATCCATACGAGCTCTGTCGGGACTCTACATCGTCAGCAAACGCTGCGTCAGATGCTCCATAGAACATGGACAGATCATTGAATTGGTTGATGTAAGTTGTGTTGTTCCTTGATTGTTTACACGCTCCAATAGCAAGGTACTTGGTACCAAGCAGATATCTCCACACATGTCTTGCAGCTGCTAGGTGCTTCTGTCCAGGGTTCTGTAGGTGGCGTGCTAAGACTGAGTGTGCTCGTGACACATCAGGCCTTGTGAATGTCGATATATAGGCCAGTGATCCTACTAACTGCTGGTATGTCTGTGTACGGTTGATGTTTGGCTCCTCTTCGCTCGGCTGCAGGTAGCTCTCGGTCAACGGTACGGCTGGGTATCTTCCTGATGTTTGAGCCAGGTCAAACTTCACTGACACCTTGTCAATGAACGAGTCTTGTACTAGTCGTATAGTTCCTGTGGTCCAATCTCTTACTACGCGTATGCCCAGGAACCACTTCAGGTCTCCTAGACTCCGTATGTCATACGCTGCCTTAAGTTGCTTCTCAAACTGACTGTGATACTCAAGTTGCTGTGGGTGTACCAGAACGACTATATCGTCCACGTAGAAGAATACAATCAGTTGATCACTCGTGAACAGGCACGGTACGTCCTTGATTGGCCTTAATCCCATTCTTATCAATGTCTCTTTCAGATGCTTGTACCACAACAGTGGCGCGTCCTTCAAGCCATATAGGGCTCTCTTCAACTCCAGTAGTTCACCCATCTGTTGGACAAATGTGTCATCCTGACATGGCTTGCAGCCAATAATAATCCACCCAGTCACACCTCATGGAACCTCATGGAACCTCATGGAATCCCATGGAACCTCATGGAACCTCATGGAACCTCATGGAATCTCATGGAATCTTATGGAACCTCATGGAATCTCATGGAACCTCATGGAACATCATGGAATCCCATGGAACATCATGGAATCCCATAGAACAACACAGAATCTTCTGGTTGCTGACAAATGATTACAAATGATTACAAATGCCAATGTATATAGAACATTCCAGGAGCCAGCAGTCTGTCTATAAAGGCAGCCTGCCCTCCTGCTTAGATAACTCATTCTTGCAATTCAAAACTCAATCCACTCCTTCAATTCACCTCAACAACTCCTTCCTCAACTCACTCCTCACTGATCCTTTGTGGTATTCCCACACTTGATCCCTTCTTTATCACTTATCCTTTTTACCACTTGTGGTATCCC